AGCTTTAATATCAGGTCATGGTCTACTTTCATCATGTTAGCCTCTCTCCTTCGTCCTAAGAAACGACGAGTCGATCCCGAGCGCTCCCCATTCGCGTCCCGGCACCCCGCCCGACAACGAGACTTTGCAGCAGAAAACGAGTATGCGCGGCGCAATTATGGCGCGATCGGGGAACTGGACGGGATAGAGAATGAGGACCAAGAAGCAGATCGGGACGAGGAGGAAGACGGTGCTCCCCTGGAGTCGACACCACTGCTTCCCATATTTTCCGCCTCACATTTGGATACACTGCCGGTCTTTGAGATCACCCACGCGATTCGCCCGTTGGTCGTCTCTCGCTGCGAGACCACCTTGACTTGGGATCAGTTGCGCTCGCCCCAGATCTCTCAATTCTTGGTGAAGCCAATCCAGCAACGGATCCGGAGTCAACATTTCTCTCGCGCCACCCTATATGCGCTGATGGCCAACTGTCTCCAATTTATCAGCGAAGCGCAGTCCAATCCAGGCAATAGTGGCACCTGTCAGACCCGAGCCATGGTGAGCGAGCTGCTCGCCATCAAATTATTGAGGGAGTACTCCACCGAGGAGCTGATCGACGCTTTGTCCTACGAGTTCTACCCGCTTCAGGGCCAGCCATCTGTCGAACCTCCCGCGCGGAAGAGCCAACCGATGGCGGGGGTGGCGCGCATCTCGTGTCTTGAGTTAGCGATACGGGCCCAAGCGAAACGGTTCATCTCTCACCCGCTGGTCGTGCAGCAGCTGGGGGCAATCTGGGCCGGCACGATCGTCTTCCATTACGCCGCAGACAGCCTACATCGTAGTCCAGCGCGACTCACGCGTGATGAGAGGCGAGGGTCGAGGTATCGGGGTGCAGCGAGTACGCAGAATCGCCGCTGGGGTCAAGGAACCAGCCCACCCGGAACCCATCTAGACCCCTCACGGTCCGTGACACTGTACAATCCAAGGGAGGCTTCTCTCTGCAAACTCTCCAGACTGAGGGTGCCTCGGTACCGGCAGTTCCTATCTACGGTATCATTCGCCGTGCTCCTGGGGCTGTTCCTCGCGGTGTTGCAGCAACGCAAACTGGAGATCACCCCGTTGGAGCTTGTTTTCTGGTTCTGGAGCGCCGGCTTCATGATGGATGAGATCGTCGGGTTCAACGAGCAAGGCTTCAGCCTCTACCTGATGAGTTTCTGGAACTTGTTTGATCTAGGGATCTTGTTTCTCCTCTTCTGCTATTATTGTATGCGCATCTATGCGGTCGCGCCGTATACCCGCAGTCAAGCAGTCGCCGACCAGGCCTACGACATATTAGCGGCCAACGCAGTGCTCCTCTTCCCGCGGCTCTTTTCCATCCTGGATCATTATCGGTACTTTTCGCAGTTGCTCATTGCGTTTCGCATCATGGCCGCGGATTTGGTGGCGGTGTTCGTGTTGATAATCATCGCCTGTAGTGGATTTTTTGTTGCCTTCACGCTGTCTTTTGGCACCCATGAAGACCACTCACCTGGATCAGTGGCGTACGCCCTGTTTCAGATCTTGATGGGATTCAGCCCCGCCGCCTGGGCGTTGTGGGATGACTATAATATTCTGGGGAGAACGGTCCTAACGGTGTTCCTTTTCATTTGCCATTTTGTCGTGGTCACCATCCTCATCACCGTTCTGACCAACTCATTCATGCGTATGCTGCACCCACTTTCCCTGATCGTGGTATGGTTCTAACCTCGACTAGGGATTGTCCAAAACGCCGATCAAGAGCATCAGTTTTTATTTGCGGTCAACTGCCACTCCATGGTGAAGTCGGATGCGCTTTTCTCTTACATCGCGCCGGCTAACATTCTCGCGTGGCTTCTCACCCCCCTCCGCTATGTCATGCCCTTTCAGCGCTTTGTCCAAATCAACCGTACCATTATCAAAGTCACCCACCTACCGATTTTGTTGACCATCTACTTGTATGAGAAAGTCATCCTCAGTTCCCGACTCTTTGAGCCAACGGATCTCATCCGCTTGACGGAGTCGGGCACTACGGCCCAACCGCGGATGCCGCGCCGAAGCCGCATCAGATCTTTTATTTCCCAAGGCCCGCGATTTGCCCGGCAGCCTTCAGTGGCAACGTACCAGAAGGATCGGGCCCTGGAGGAATTATTCCGACGGGCTTCTCCGGACCTGGGCGGTACCGACCATACTTTCCCCAAGGGAAACAAGATTGTGGACTGGATGCATAGAATGGGCTCTGGGTCGGTCCACCCTCCCGATGAACAGGACTCGGATGAGATGGACCGACTAGAGACAACCCCGAAAGGTGCACAAGGTCGCCTTGCAAGAAGACGGGCTCATCTCCGCAGCTTTACGGAATCTCGCCGTTCCGCCAGATCCAACCCCGAAGACCACATCAGCAATGCTGCCTCTTCCCCAGTTCGGCAGCGCCCTACCCGGCATTCTCTCGTCGCCACGACGCAGCGGCAGATCTCCCAGCACACCGGGATGGAAGGCGACGATGAACTGACGAGCGACAACAATGGAGGCTGGGAAGACGAGCAAGAGCCCGCGCTGGCCCCAGCCTCACCAGCCAGCGGGCATTCACGCCCGAAAGCCGTCGAGCGTCCTGGAAAAGCGACACGCAAGGGCTACCCGTCAGGACCGTCAACCGCCCGGATGAAATCCCGCAAGACCAGTCCCGCCCCTCGACCAAACCACCACCTGCGCACCCGCTCCAGCGTCACAGCGCCCTACCCGACGAACCCCGGCCCGAGCATATACGACGACGCAGCCTGGACCTGGAGCTCACCTCCCATCCGCCCTCGCGCCGACACGCCCGACCACGGGGGGGTCGGAATCCCCACATCCACCGGTCATCCCACCGACCCGCGCAGCGGACAGCCACTCCAGCCGGTACTACCACCCAGCATCCGCCCGACCAGCCCGATGTCATTACCCGCGCTATCCAGCATGCCAGCAGGTCTCGACCCGCGGGACGAGCGACACCGGCGACAAACCGCACTGCTGCAAGCGCTGGGATCAGACCTCGGCGACAACCGAGCGATCGTCAACGGATTCCTCGGGGAGGTGCCATCCAGCTGGACGACGCAGATCGCATACGGGATGCAGCGCGGGGACGGCGCGCACGACCAGGACATGCTGAGCAAGCTGGTGCTGGCGCGGATGAACAACATCGAAGAAGGATTCCGCGAGGTGATCCGCGAGGTTAAGGACTTGCGACAGGGGGGAACCAGTCGGGGTCAGAGTCGACCGGATGAGTTCCGGGGTGGGGTGGTGAAGAAGAAGAGGCCCGGGAAGAAAGAGTCGGGCAAGAAGAGTAGGGGGAGTAGTTAGCATGTGTATATTTCTGACATAGTTTGAACCCATGTCACACATTTCAGCCTGTCTATAGAATTCAAAATTTGCATGACGACCCAGCTTAGCTGACTCTGGCTGAAGTTTAGTTCCTATTACGTGAGTATTGCGGCGATGTTCTGCCACGAACAATGTGACCACCGGAGCAAGCCTGACAATGAACAGCTCAATCGGCGAACTTCCGAGATCGAGCTTCCGATCAGGCTTGACAGAAGGAGCAATGAAGTTCGGAAGGATCTGACTGATTTACTTGTTTACAAGATTTAGTGTCGATGTCGATTCCACACAGAAGGGAAAACTCAAATTACTTCCATTTGGATATCTTCGACACCGATAGATTATGGAGTAGAGATGAGCGATATTTCTCGAGTCCCTTCTCGGGTCGAATCCGAGGGTCACTCAGGATACCACCGGTGACTCCGAGCCATAACACGACGAGAACAAGGTCTCAGGGGTAACATCGGTGGGTCATGGGTGAACCATTCCATGTGTTTTTCCAGAATACACCTGTGGCACTGGTACGTATGGTCGTTGAGCGGGGAGTGGGGACTCGAACGGTCAATCTAACCTAGAGTATAGGAGGTCGGTTTACTTGGTTGACTGGTCCCTTCCTCGATACAGGAGCTGCGTGGTCAACAGACCCTGTCTATGGTCTGGCTGCAGAGCATAACGGATAGACACATCCGGATCCGAGTTTGAAGGATAACGGGAGGAAGCAAGTGTAGGTATCTTGTCCCGTTACAAAAAAAAAAAAAAAAAAAGGAGGAAGGAAAAAAACAATGGAGACCAACAAGGCAACACTCGGTATACACCGAGTGCAGTGTCCACTACCCGTTTATGCCGAACAGCAGCTAGTCGGTAGGTACCTGTTCTAAGTAGACTACGAAGGACTAGTGGTGGGAGAGAGGTTGGTCTAGGATAGAGGTTGAACTTGGCCAGTCCTGACTAGTGACTACGGACTGTTGCGTCGAACCCCTTTCCGCAAGTCATCTCCGATGGGCTAATCGTATAGGGAAGGACTGTATCTACCTTCTTCTGTAGTCCACCTGGTTGGGTAGGAAACAGAATCTTGCGTGGGAGACCGGGAACGAGATTGGTGTCGAGCAGCGGGTCCAGACTAGATATTGCTAGCCGGATAGAGTAAATGACAGGACTTTCCACCAAGGTTGGAACGGGTCCCAAAGGGGAATAGAAGCATTATAGTCAAACGGTAGTCTGTAGGTTACTAGTCAGGGTCAGATTTGGAGTACGGAGTAATGGGGTACAATATAACGGTCGATAATAGGAATAGATCTGGGGATTGATGCTGGACCATATCAGCTCACTTTCTTTCTGGTTACTTGTATTCTTGTTTGTCCTTGTTATGACTATGATTATGATTACTATGAGTCTACTTATCGACTCTCAATCGCATGTATCTATTGATTTCTGTTGATTCTATTTCTGTCTAATAGTGAATACCTGAGGCGATCCTTACCTAATCCGACCAAAGTCCCGCCACGAAGGCGGTGAGTGGGGCTGATCGTCACGGGATGATTAATGATCCTGCTGACTCATCGATCCGCCTGGATGAGACAATTCGATTGTTTGTGTAGAATTCGTAGGATGGGAGGTTTTTGTCAGGAACACAGAAGTCATCCTGAACACGAACACTGTCACCAGACAGATGACATCAATGGAACCAGGATACCTGGATCCGTCCCTTGGAAGGACCCCTTCCTCGAGAACATACCGTTGGTCAATCATCTGTTGACCCCGCACTGGACTGGAACCGCGGTTGCCAATGGTCAATGGTGGGCTTCCACTTCCACCTGGGATTTGCTGTTCCTCTGCTTCCAATCACCGCAGTGGATCCCCGGAGCAATGGGAGGGGCAACTTTTCATCAATCATGGAAGATTCTTTCTCTTTGGCCTGGAAGAGCTTGTTTGAAGGTGGTCTGGCTGGCTATCGTCGGTGTCGAGAATTCCGTAGGTTTCCCCTCCTTTCGCCCCCTCCTTGCTCGTCTCCCTCCCCTCTCCGCCCAACTATTAGAACCACCCTCTCCCTTCCTCTTCGTTTCATTCTTTCTCTCTCTTCTCTCTCCCCAGTGATACCCATATATATATATATTCATCATGTCGAACCTCTTCACCCAACTCGAGACCCCCTTTGCCAAGTTTGAGCAGCCCCTGGGCCTGTATGTCCTTCCCCTCACCCTCCATCAGATCCATTCGTCGTGTTAATAATCCCAGGTTCATCAACAATGAGTTCGTCGCGGGCTCCGAAGGCAAGACCTTCGAGACCGTCAACCCCACCGACGAGAAGGTGATCACCAGCGTCCACGAGGCCAACGAGAAGGATGTCGACATTGCCGTCGCCGCCGCCCGCAAGGCCTTTGAGAACGAGTGGCGTCAGGTCACCCCCACCGACCGTGGCCGTCTCCTCACCAAGCTCGGTGACCTGATGGAGCGTGACTCCGACACCCTCGCCGCCATCGAGGCCCTCGACAACGGCAAGGCCTTCACCATGGCCAAGGTCGATGTCGCCAACGCCATCGCCTGTCTGCGCTACTACGGTGGCTGGGCCGACAAGATCCACGGCCAGACCATCGACACCAACCCCGAGACCCTCGTCTACACCCGCCACGAGCCCATCGGTGTCTGCGGCCAGATCATCCCCTGGAACTTCCCCCTGCTCATGTGGTCCTGGAAGATCGGCCCCGCCATCGCCGCCGGCAACACCGTCCTCATCAAGACCGCCGAGCAGACCCCCCTGTCCGGCCTCTACGCCGCCAAGCTGATCAAGGAAGCCGGCTTCCCCCCCGGTGTCATCAACGTCATCTCCGGTTTCGGCCGCGTCGCCGGTGCCGCCATCTCCAGCCACATGGACATCGACAAGGTCGCCTTCACCGGCTCCACCCTCGTCGGCCGCACCATCCTCCAGGCCGCCGCCAAGAGCAACCTGAAGAAGGTCACCCTCGAGCTGGGCGGCAAGTCCCCCAACATCGTCTTCGACGATGCTGACATCGACAACGCCATCTCGTGGTCCAACTTCGGCATCTTCTTCAACCACGGCCAGTGCTGCTGCGCCGGCTCGCGTATCCTCGTCCACGAGGCCATCCACGACAAGTTCGTCGCCCGCTTCAAGGAGCGCGCCGCCGCCAACAAGCTCGGCAACCCCTTCGACCTGGGCACCTTCCAGGGCCCCCAGGTCTCCAAGCTGCAGTTCGACCGCATCATGGAGTACATCAACCACGGCAAGCAGTCCGGCGCCACCGTCGCCGCCGGCGGTGACCGCCACGGCGACCAGGGCTACTTCATCCAGCCCACCGTCTTCACCAACGTCACCACCGACATGAAGATCGCCCAGGAGGAGATCTTCGGCCCCGTCGTCGTCATCCAGAAGTTCAAGGACGAGGCCGAGGCCATCGCCATCGGCAACGGCACCTCCTACGGTCTGGCCGCCGCCGTGCACACCAAGAACATCAACACCGCCATCCGCGTCTCCAACGCCCTCAAGGCCGGTACCGTCTGGGTCAACCAGTACAACATGATCTCCTACCAGGCGCCCTTCGGCGGCTTCAAGGAGTCCGGTATTGGCCGTGAGCTCGGCTCGTACGCCCTGGAGAACTACACCCAGGTCAAGGCCGTGCACATCCGTCTGGGTGATGCTCTGTTCGCTTAAGCATGTCGTATATAATGGGGGTTTCGTATATAATGAGAGTAGTCTGATCTCGACCATGCACTGTCATGGAAAAATGACACGATTTATGAGTTTTTTTTTTTAACAATTGTAGATATCGTAGATACGTAGCTTGACCACCCAGCTGTCTTATTCACTAGTAGTTCTACACACTACTCCTACAAAGGTGACTTCCACCCTAATAGATCGGAAACACCAACCACATAACATCCCACCAAGTAAAGAAAATACCCATGCAGACAGGGAATAGCTCTAGTACCATATCCCAACCCAACTACAGTTACCCTCGCACGAACAAGCGGACAGAACACAACCCCGGACAGAATCCCAGACAACATGCCGGTGCTGATCGCGGAGATAAAAGGAAATAAGCCCTGTCAGCGGCAGATGTCAACCAATCGGATTGCTGTATTTGTTGGTATTCGGCACTTCGAGTTGTTTGAGTTTATGTGGTGGAGGTGGAGTAGACCAGTAGTCGTTTCATCTAACATCGTGGTGTGACCTCCTTGGGGTAGAGGACGCGTTTTCTTGCGGGGGGGTTATATACTGTGCAATACGTTTTGTAAAACCCATAACTAATGGCGAGTCGGTGGGTATGATGCCGGCTTTTTTGGTGGTTAATTGCCACAATCCTCCGCTAATTGAGAAACAGGCAAGAGGTATCCTTATGGTCATGAACCATTGAGTTAGAGGTAAGTGTGTAGAGGGAACTCAAATTCCTCCGATTTGGTTGTGTGTGACGTGCAGGATTCGAACCTGCGACTTTTCTGATCGGGAGGACTTGCCGCTAAGCTACTGACCCCAAAAGGAAAATCGCGCCAGGAAAGAGTGGATGTTGATGTTGATGTTGCTGGGGTTCTAGGATTGTCTGCTGGAGGTAATTTGGCTAATGTTATATTATTTAATGATAAGGTTAATGTTGTTGTTGTTTGTTTATCAAATAGAGAGATGTTATGCGAGTTGGTTAGGTGGCTGAGGTAGATTGCTGGATGTGTTGAATGTGCTACGGAGTACCCCGGCTCGATATATATCACTAGGTAGTATACTACACAGCACTCACGATATTACACCTTCACTAAGTGACCATGAAAGTTATATTCAAAAGTATAATGAGTGATTGACAAATTCCAGCCAATAATTCTACTATATTCATAAACCCCGAGTCAATACAAAGTAAGATTATCAGGTCATCTGCAAACAGCCCACATAGTTAGTCCTTCGTCTCCCTTACTTCCCCTCATCTTGGCATCTCCAACTACCAAAGTTAACCACAAAGTCTATTGTATCAGCTTACCCCACACCGGTACCATTCCGACTCTGTAAGACCGCACCTCATCTACCAACAACCCATCTAGATGCAACCACTCAGAGTGAACCCACCATGCCCCGGGCCAAAGTCGACCCGAAGAACCGCCAACGCGCCGACAAAGCCTGTCTCGCCTGCAGGGCGGCCAAGAAGCGATGTAGCGGGACGTTTCCGTGCATCAAGTGTGTACGCACTGGGCGGGGGGACTCTTGCGCTGCTTCCGTACAACTTCAAACACCAAGTCCCTGGTTGTCCAGTACTCGCGTGAGAGATGCTACGGCTGTCTTGAACTCTGATCTACAGGATGCCGTCGCCGCCCCGAGACTACGATGCGCAACCCCGCCTCTGCAGAGCTCGAACCAAACGGACCATCCGGGCTCACTCTCCCCTGAAGCGCCCCATCGGACGCACCCGCGCATGCTGCGCAACCTACAAGGGGAACGAGGTAAGATTTGTCTTCCCGTGAGAGTGGACAATCCGGTCTGTGTTGACACAGGTAGTCTACATCGGAAAGGCGGCCTCCCTATCGTTCCTACAACTCCTTCGAGATACCGTCACCCAATATATCGGACCGTCCCAGTTCTCGCATAGTTTGAAAAGGGAGGATATGCTCGAGGCGGAAACGCCTCAGGATGCCTTACCCCCCTTCCAGGAGAGTGACATCGATGATGATCGTCGGCAGGCGTTCCTCCTGGCTTACAAGATTGCAACGAGTGGTTTTGTTGATGTGCTGTCGGACGAGGAGACAGAGCGGGTGTTTGAACCAGCAGCGTTTCAGGAACCAGCGAAGTGTCTCAATACGCAGACAGCCCTCCGCGATATAATGATCGCCATCGGAGCGCAGTGCACCAAAAGTGACAGCATGACCACCCGTGCAGAACGCTTCTTCTTCTCGCGCGCCCAAACCCGCGCCTTCACCGGCATGTTGGAAAACCCCAGCCTCGAGATCGTCCGGCTATTCCTGCTCATGTCGTTCTACATGCTGGGTGCGTGCCGTCGCAATGCCGCGTTCATGTACCTTGGTGTGGCGGTCCGGGCGGCGGTGGCCCTAGGACTTCACATCCCAGACTCTTCAACTACGACGGCAAAGGAGCAGTCACAGCGGTACGTCACGTAGATGACTATTGAAGACAGCGCTGACAGCCAGAAGAGCGTGCATCTGGATGAGTCTGTGTATACTGGATCTGCTAATCAGCTCCATCCTCGGCCGTCCCCCCGCGACGGCTTGCCTACGCTTAGAGAATAGCGGAAGTATGGAGCACGGATCAACCCAGATAAGACCGGACCTGGTAGCTTCGTACCGTATGTCACGCATCCTCGACGAGATCATCGTCCGCCTGTACAGCGAGAAAGCAGCGTCTGCAGACGCAGCCGCGTCCATCCTCGGTAAACTCACCCGGTGGAGCGACAGCCTGCCTCCGTCACTCCTGGCGCCGCCGTCTACTGACTGCGCGCGCCCGGCCGCCCAGCAACACATCATCGGTAGTCTACACATCGCATGCTTGTACCACTTCGCAGTCATCATCGTCACGCGGCCCTTCCTGATCTCCGTGCTCGGGATTCGTCTAGCGCGGTTCCAGCCCGCCTCGACAGGAAGTCTGGGCCTCCCAACCGAAGCCCTACAAGACGACCCAGCGCACGCGCAACTCGCTTCAGCGTGCGTCGACTCCGCCCTATACATGATCCAAACCTGCATGGAAGTTCACGAGTCCGACCTGCTACTAGGTAACATGTGCATCCTCAAGGCATTCGTATTCGCAGCCGCCCTCGTGCTAGGATTCTCGCTGTTCGCACAGCGCGAAGTCAACACCGCCGTCGAAGACGCCTTCCACGGAGCGATTCGCATACTGCACGCGCTGTCCCAACAGTCCGCCCAAGCGGGCCACTACCATGAGATTCTCACGCTGCTGAAGAATGCCATTGCCGAGCAGCGCCAGCGGCTGATGCATCGGTCGCCGCAGAAGAACCGGTACGTCAGCAAGCTGTTTAGCTTGAAGCGAGACCAAGATCCTGCGGGCGAGGAAGTACCAGCGAGCGTAGGGGAAAACGCCAGTGGTATGACGACGCCGTCGCAGGCGAATCTGCTCGACTCACTTATGGACGGCGGTCTGTTTTGTGACTGGGACGGGATGGAGCTGCCGTCGTGGGATAGTTTTCCATTTACTGAGGATGTACTGTCGTAGATATGACACCACCATTACAAAGATAGCTTTCCGTTGAAGGATGCAGTACGGAGTACGGTCGTAGACTATGGTATAGCTGTTACAATGACACATTGCACACCTCATATTACACAGCACACGGGTCTTACTATGCAGACAGCACGCCGAGTATACTAGGACAGCAGCCTCGGCAAACCGACCACCATCGGGCCGGTAGAGGGTCCCAGTGCCGTAAAGCCATTCACTTCCCAAGCTGTGAATAATAGTAATTGTCAAGTAAACCCATTCCACGAATCACACCATCCAGTGCAGAAAGCGATATGGTAATGACAACCTCAAGACATCCACCCGTGTCGCAAAGCCGCGCCCAGACCACCACAAGTGGACCGGGAAGATTTTTCGCCCCACCGCCTGCAGACAAACCGGACAAACACGGCCGGGTTCGCTTGCGACTAGTGCGCTCGCTAGCGGTCCTGGCAAAATATAAAAGGCGGCTCCTCCCCGACCATTTAGAAAAGTAAGCGACTCTACGTTAGTTCCCTCCCCCCCTACCTTGGGAACAATCCTCCACAGGATTCTCCCAAGGCTCTCCTCTCCTCATTCTTGATGAATCAACCAACTAACAATTTGCCAACAGTTCAAAGAATCACTTTAGAGTAGACGTCCTCTTCTGAGCTCTTCTTATGAGCCACAGAATCTCCACCCTTGCTGATGACCCTTATGTCCTCGATGCCCTAAAGTGAAGCCTCTGTTTACTCCCGCCTCGACCTGGTGTCTCTTCATTACCGCAGACGGCGGTCTTCGGATCGTCTGTTCGCGTGGTGAATTGCACCGTCTGGTCCAGGGAGTGGTGATGATCTTGGCCTGGTTGTGATGTCTGACTTCGGTCGGTCCGACTTGGTGGGTGTCGAGGAGGTCTGAAAGGTGCCTTTCCTCTTTATTCTTTTGATGTTTGGGATTTGGATGGAGCTGGTTTTGGTTGGTTCACTTTTGGTAGTGAACTGGCTGATACTTGGCTATGGCATTGGAGGTTCTGGTTCTGGTTACATAATTGAATGAATTCTATTGTCTTATTTCGAATATTGTTCCCTTTGTCGCTTTGTAGTATGGTCTTGTTTGCTCTTGTACATTGTCTCCTGATCATCTGCTTGTAACCCATTGGTATTGATGGATTGTGTTGATACATTCAATCGCCTTCCAGGCCTTTAAAAACTTTCTTCAACCGCGCTAGCAAAATCTGGTACTGTTGCACTGATTTAACGCTACATAACCCCGCTACTGCACATGTACTAGGCCGTAAAAAGGTCTGTACAGTAAGTAGTCTGCAAAATGAGCCTGCCTCCGATAAATATACAAGGGAATTGCAATAATGTACCAAGTCACCAGTACTTATATAGTTTGACTGTGTCTTTGTCACATGATTCAGTGGTAGACTTTCAAGAATAGTGAATTGTAAGTGGAATACATTCATGGCTTCTGGAAAAATCCTGGAATCATGAGGATTCCTTACAGCTAGTAGATCAAATACAGTTCATCCCGCTGGCAGCTTGGAAAAAAGAAAAGGAACTACGGTAAACAGCCACATATATGTGTTTTATGATCTCATTCGAAAGAAAGTAATACTCGATGATCGACTAGTTCACAAGGCTACAGAACGCAACATGGGGCTATATCAGAGTATAGCATACTGAGGAAACTGGCAATGGGAGTGGTGGTCAATAACTTGCCGAGCTTTTGAAAATAGGACTTGTCTCAGGGATTAATGTCGAACTCTGGACAGCAGTTCCTGACCTTGCTATTGATCCTTGCCGTGCGACCCTGGGTAACCATTTCGTCGAACCGTCCAATATGGAGCCATATCCGGAAGGAGTTGACTACAAGTGCAGACCCCGGGGTACTCTGTGCTTATTGTTTGAGGACCAGTGAGGGTAGAAAATTAGGACAGTAAGGACTATCATGACAGTACCACCCGCATCTGAAAATCCTTTTACTGTATTCGGATCTGCTTAGGACCAGCTAGTTTGCCAGTCTAGAGGCATCTTATGCGACTGGGATAGTCTGCCTTCTACGCCCCATACGAATATATGTATATAATGTCGGAACTCGACCAGATTTGATCGGATGAGGAAGGATTTCAAATAGCGATTTCGATCAGTTAACGAGAGTGTACAATGTATAGACGATGACTCAAAGTTCGCCCTTCCTCGCATGGCCTTTAACGTGCCGATCACGATGGTCCTTCCTGCGGAACCCGTCGCCAAGTTCAAAGCTACGTTTGCACCACTTGACGGGACAGAAGTATGTTGAAGGCTCTTCGACCATATCGGGGTGTTTCGAGCCGTAGTGCCGTGTGAGGTCCTTGTGGTATTCGAATGCCCGCGTACAGCCGTTGACTGTGCACCTGAAGGGTTTATCGTGGCGTTTATTATGACGACTTCGAAGAGGTTAGCCCTGGAGTCAGAGTATCTGGGTGAAGCCAAGCTGGGGGAGTCTTCACTTGAGTTCATGTGGTTTCTGAACAGTAACGCCGCAGATATCACACCTGAAAGGAGAGGAAGTTGGGGTATGCTTAGGACTGGTGAACTGTGGGTTTGCTGGAGTCGGTGGTAGGAGATCTCCAGGGCTAGCGAGTGGGGTTGTATCCGGTGGAAACGAGTGTTGGGGTGGGGAATGGCTCGGAAGATCATCGGGCTGTGAAGGGGTCTGAAGGGATTGAGAAGAAGATGAAAGACCAAGGTCAGGGCCAGGATGCCCAATATCCAACCACGCAGGGTCAATGCAGTCATAGAGCTGATAAAGATGATGTTTGCTTGGATGACTGTTAACGGAGCTGTGATTCAGACTGTTTATCCTGGAAGGAAAGGGAGATAGGAGGGCTACTGGGGCACGGGTTTCTCAACCCGACGGGACCAGCCTTCAGTCCGAAGCAAATAAAGAGTCAGAAAAAGAGAAGCAAAGAGCGAACTGGATATAAAAGAATGACGAGAAAACGCAAAGGGTGAGCAGCGGTCGGTTGGTGGTAAAAGGGCGACTAGGCGACCTCTTGCGAGAGGCGCCGCTGTTGAAGGAAGAAGAGCACTTCTAGTCGAGGAATCCTCTGTCTTTATATGCTTGAGGGTTACTGTAGAAAGCCCAGAACACAAGGGCTATCTCTTGGCAAAATGGTAGGCCTCAAATTTCCCGTTGGAGTTAGCTCGTGGTTCGCTGCAGCTGCATCATGCATATGCAGCTCAAGGTGCCGATACCATTGGCTCGTAAACGAGTCACCCCAGTGGTAGGCCTCAAAAATGGATCTTGCGTTCGTCCTGGCAGGGTCTCAGTGGAGGTTGATGAAACCAAGTCCATACTCCTGAAGAGCGAGCAGATTGGCCATTGTAGCTTAGGTTTCTATGCGCATGGTAGGCCTCAATTATTGCCGATCGCACTCTTTTCAGTGCTCTATCATATGCAATACTACAGACAATCTATAAGCGTAGATATCCGTATAGGAAGGTACAAAGTAGGCGTTCGAGCTATAAATACAGACATATGTTCAGCCCCGTCTCCCCAGATGGGTTGGAAAGCCCCAAAGAAATAAGATCTGCTTCAATATCTCTCTGCCTTTGGTCCTATAAATTCACCCCGAGCCCAAAATGACCGACCCGTCCCCAAAGATAGTGGACAGGACGGCCGCTATTGGCGAATTGGTTGAGCTGCTCAAAGACGTTCCAAACAATCCTCCATCCATTTACGTCGACCTAGAAGGTGTAAACCTTTGTCGTCACGGCTCAATCTCAATAATGCAAATCTTTTCGCTCCCCCAGAACGAAGTGTACCTCATCGACGTCCACACTCTGGGCCAGGAAGCCTTTTTGCACCCCTCTACGAGCGGTCACACCCTGAAAGGCATACTGGAAGACGAAAGAATCCATAAGGCTTTTTTCGATGTTCGAAACGATTCTGACGCTTTATATGCCCACTTCGGCGTTCACCTCGCGGGCATCCAGGATCTCCAGCTCTTTGAGCTCGCCACTCGGAGTGGGTCAAGAAGATTCATAAACGGTCTTTCCCGGTGCATTCAACATGACGCAGGCTTGACGTTGTTTGAAGCCAGAATGTGGAAGGACATTAAAGAAGATGGACGACAGCTGTTCGCGCCTGAGCGCGGGGGCTCTTACGAGGTGTTCAATTCCCGGCCCTTGTCGGAGACTATTATCAAGTACTGTGCTCAAGATGTTCGGATTCTACCGAAATTGTGGGCGGTCTACAATGGTAGGTTGGGATGGAGGGGTAGAGAGAAGATCGAGGTCGCCACGCGCGATAGGATCAACGTTTGCTTCCAGGCTGGGTATACGGGCGTTGGGAGGCATATGGCTCAGTCACCTTCAGGCTTGGCGTAAATCTGTCGAGCAAACCTGGATGCTATGCGCATTGTCGATGCTCTGTTGGTCGTAACTGAACCGCCAGCTCTTCGTCCGTGGATCCTCGAGGTTTCCCTTTGGAGGGTTCAGAATAAAGCATCTTTGAGATATAACTTGACTAGACAATCAAATCAGCTGTAGGTTGATGAATTTCCCACTCGGGCACACAGGCCATCCTAGCTACTCTTAGAATACGCTTGAGGAAAGAGTTGTTCAGCACTCGAGTAATCTTAGAATGTATTGTGCAGAAGGGGGCTGACAACTGCGCCGCAAGTTCACCCCTCTCATTGCAGATGTGGTGCATGTACCTTCGCGTACCACATGTTTTTCGTCTTGGAGCCTGGAAAGAAACAGTTATAAACATCACGCTCAGTGATGAGGTATGGGGGTAGATAACATATTCATGGCGACATAGGGTGGGGGACCAACAACCAGAGACTGTTCCATAAACTCGTTTACCATAGGAGACCTCATCAAGGAATCACTTTCTTTTTATATTCGAATGAAATCAATAGTCAGGTTGCTTTGTGAACTCTATATCTAATTGACATCGATCCCTTGGCTCTGCAAAATACACATGAGCCTGCTATACCCATATCATTATCTAGGCCTGTGATCTTGGAGAAAACCTTTGAGATCCATGGGACCCGAGATCATACTATCAAGTCATACTATGAATAGCATGAACCGCAAGTAACTGACAAGAAGTGCAAGACCGACTAGCACATAAGGCATGTGATATGACATTGTTTCCTGTCTAATAGCCTTGATCTGAAGTTAGTGAGGGAAGACCAAGAGCATGTAAAGTTCCTTATTAAATAAGGGGCGACAAAAGAGACTGCTCGGTGGTTCGTTTATAACATCCAAGAAGAGTTTAAACATGTGAGAAAGCTATGACTAGTGGGATGCATGCGAAGCCTTTCTAACCACATTGATAGCCGAACACTTTGATATTACCGTACATGATTGTCTGGGTCTTACATGATGAAACAGACATTATTTTAGATTTATATTGTAGATGCGCTGGTTGTATGATACAGTCTAGTTATTATCTGGTTTGCTGGCTAGATAATAGGCCTGTCTCTGCGGGGCGGAAACAGGTTTCGATTCAGGGTGTATCTTCTATAAGGTCCCTTTTGTAGCATTGTAGTCTGATCGTGTTTGCCCCTTTGACTGCATATAGTCCGTTGGTATAAATGACTTTGTACTGATTCATTCGATTGCTTTTCGGGCCTTGAAAAATTCTCCTAGTCCACGCTATAGATATCTGGTTTAATCTAATTATGACCTACACTACCATCGGTAAAGCATAATTATAATACCTACTGCACAGCATAATTATAATACCTACTGCACACTAAGCCGTAAGAAGGGTATTGATATACAGTGTGATAAATATAAATGGGTATTAAGGAAATAGATATAAATAGGTAATGAAGATAGTCATTGATCACATCACATTAAGGCAAGATAGCTACCTAGTAAGTAGCTGTAAGTTACTTCTCACTAGGCTTGTCCTTCCCCTCTGCTGCGCCGGTATTCCCCTTCGATCCTCCCTTATTGCGTCCCCGTCCGCCGCGCGATCCACGCGACGGCGCTGATCCACTCCCGCCTTCACCAGCTTTCCCACTACGACTGCCACCGCCGCCGCCGCCCCGCTGCCTCCTCCCGCAGAGCCCGACGCCTGCGACTCGTTACGACCCTTCCCACGACCCTTTTCACCCCCCGGGTTGGCCTTCCGTTCCAAGACAACAACCTGACTCTGCGCGACCGTCACCGGACTGGCGGCGATGGCGCGTTGGAGGGCGTCGGGGTCGGCAAAGTCGACGTAGCCGAAGCCCTTTTTCTTGTCGATTTCTACCCGTAGGATCTTGCCAAAGGGGGAGAATGCCGTGTCGAGAAGAGGCTCTGTGACGCCTTGTGAGGGATTCGCGTGTTTGAGGAACGCCTGCGTTGCGGCTGTTGGGGCTGGTGCTGCGGCTTGTTTTCCGCGGTTGGATCGGGATGGTTTTGTTGGAGGTGGTGGCGTAGTGTTGTTGCTGTTGGGGGCGCCGTTGGGTTCGGATTGCTCGCTGGGTTGGGGTGTGTTGTTGCTGCTGTTATTGTTGCTTCCTTTACCCCGTTGGTTTTGGCCTCCTGCCTTGGACTTGGTGAGGATCTCTTTCTTGGGCGGTTCGGAGGGCGATCTCGCTGGTTCGTTCTTTGCCGCGTCGCTCTCCGCTGCGCGGCCGCTCTTGCGACGACCACCACTTTGGGCCAGGCCCAGGTCTCGTTGGAGAATCTTGGCCGCGACGGCGGCGTTTCCGCGCTCGCGCTTGCGCTCGGTGGGAGTGGACTGCGCGGAGTCTGCGCTTTGGGAACCGGACCTGCCCGACTGCTTGGCGACTAAGGCGGCTTGTTTGTTGGCTGCTCTGACGGCCTCCTTGGTAGCCCGATCGCTCTTGGACTTCCTCTCCGACTTGTCTCCCCCGGCGGACTGCACGTCCTTGTCCGATCGCTGTAGTAGTTTCTTCGCCTGCACCTTTTCGGCCCTGGAGTCTTTGTCGGATTTTCCGTGCTTGGACGATCTGCCCGCATCCTTCGCCTTGTTGGCTTTCTTATCTCTGATATACTGGATCAAGGGCGTGACAGTCGGCCCCTCCTTCTTATCCTCCGGTTGATCTGACGGTTCAACGGACGGCTTGGTGATCGGCTGCGTGAGACTCTCGAGGAACGCGATAAACTCCGGATCCTGGTCGATCGTGCCCTGTCGGGCATCCTTGCGCACGCGGCTTCCGGGAACTTTCGCATACGGCGCGAACTCCAGCGATGGCGGCCCGATCAGCACCGGATCGGTGGACGTATTGCGCGCATCCACGAACGACGACTGACGGACTTTGTCAGACAGAGGAATCGTGTGGTCGGCGGCAGTGACGTGGATGTAAGCGCGAGAGGGACGAGACGGTTTGGCGGGGCTGTATCAATCAATCAGACAGAGCTCGTAGCGTAGAAAGCCACAGGGGATCGTCGCTCACTCTTTGGAGACTTTGCCTGGCTTGTACTGGAGCCAGTCGACTTTCCCTGCTCCCGTCTTCCACTCCGGACCAAGAACAGTCTCAAACTCTGTCTGCGTCAGGCCTGGTGGAAGTCGTCTCACGAGGAGTTTGAGGCGCGGGGCTGCTGGTTTGGGCGCTTTCCTGGGTGCTGTGGGGGCATTCTTTTGGGTGGCAGCCGCTGAAATCTGCAGGACACCACCGGCTGGTTTCCCAGCAGAGTTTTGCGTCATTGTATCATAGACTCCAGGAGACAGGGATTGTGTATAGAGAGCGTGAGTCCTCGTGAGTCCTGGGAGTAGGATAACTGGAGTGATGACTAGAGAGGATGAGAATACTGCCAAGGCGGTCCGCCACGTGACCGCTTATCCAGTGATACGGCACCTGCGGGGAATCCCATGTCTTTCTGAGCGTCGCTGCATCGAGATCCTGCGAACACAGCGATCGGCGAGCATCTGCTGTTTACCCTCATCCTCTGTATATCAACATCGTTCTATTCGTTTGTCTTGCTGGTTCAACATGGTCGACAGCAAGATCCCCCAGCCGGGACCAGCGAAACTCAAGCGCAATGCTGGTCCTGACCAGTGGCTGGAGGCAGCCAAAGACTGCAAATACCTGTCGGAGTCACATATGAAACAGCTCTGTGAAATTGTCAAGGAGTACATGATGGAAGGTAGGATGATCTAGCCCCTCGGTTGCGGGCATAGGCTGACAGACCGCCCTCAGAGTCAAATATACAGCCCGTGTCCACTCCCGTGACGGTCTGCGGAGATATCCACGGCCAGTTCTACGACCTCCTCGAGCTATTCCGCGTCTCGGGAGGAATGCCCGACCAAGATTATACCGAGCCTCCGAAGTCCTCACCCACAGTAATCACCTCCGACGACATTGAGCCTCCGAGTAGCATCACCGACCCGAAACTGCGGAAGAAGCTGAGAAATGATGGCGGCGATGATGATGACGAGACAGAATCCAATGGTAGCCAGGGAGAACAGTCTTCCAATGCCGGGACGGGGGAATTGGCATTGAACCGCAATTTCGTCTTCCTGGGTGATTACGTGGATCGGGGGTATTTCAGCTTGGAGACGTTGACCCTCTTATTATGCTTGAAGGCAAAGTTAGTACTCTTCTTCTCTCAAAGGCAAGCGAATACTGACACTACCTAGATTCCCAGACCGCGTCACGCTGGTGCGGGGAAACCACGAGTCTCGCCAGATCACCCAGGTCTACGGTTTCTACGAGGAGTGTTTCCAGAAATACGGGAACGCATCTGTGTGGAAGGCGTGCTGCCAGGTCTTTGACTTTATGACGCTAGGTGCCATCGTTGATGGCCGGGTGCTGTGTGTGCACGGCGGGTTGAGTCCCGAGATTAGGACGCTGGACCAGGTGCGCGTGGTGGCCCGCGCCCAGGAGATTCCCCACGAAGGGGCGTTTTGCGATCTGGTGTGGTCGGATCCCGATGATGTGGAGACGTGGGCAGTCAGCCCTAGAGGAGCGGGTAAGATTTCCCCCGTACTCTTTTGATATGATATATTGATACAGAGCCCGCTAATCGCGATCGCACAGGCTGGCTATTCGGCGACAAAGTGGCCGACGAGTTCTGCCACGTTAACGACCTGACGCTCATCGCACGGGCCCACCAACTGGTCAACGAAGGCTACAAGTACCACTTCAACAACCAAAACGTAGTGACAGTGTGGAGCGCGCCGAACTACTGCTACCGGTGCGGCAATCTGGCATCCGTCTGTGAGGTCAACGAGGACCTCAAGCCGACGTTCAAGCTGTTCAGCGCGGTGGCGGATGACCAACGACATGTGCCCACGTCGCGGCCGGGCCGCAGCGAGTACTTTTTGTAAAATACCCGGATGGTTCTGTTTAGTCTTGCGTGCTGTTGGAGGGTGGGGCGTGGGGGTTCTTGCACCAGCGCTGGCGTTGGGGGTGCGTGTGGCTGAGGCGGGGGATGAGCATATATAACGGTTTAGAACAATAATGAGTGATGTTTGTTTCATTGCCTTGCTGGGTGGTAGCCTGAGGGTGTCTCAGAGAGAATACTTCAAGCTATGGCCTAAATCCAGAGATATGTAGCCAAATAGACACATCAGCATAAGCAAGACTCAACCCAAAGACCAACGACCAAACCGTCATGCTAGCAGGCAAGCCTCCGAATGCATATTATCTCAGGTTATGTATATTGACACCTGGACTTTGATACTGCCCACTTCCTACCTTGTGTATAAGCTAAAGCAACCCCCGACTCAGTAAAGACTATCTCAATAGTCCAATCCATACTACCATATCCAACAATACAGTATCAAGCAATATCTACCGGAAGTATGAGTATACATACATAACCCACGAAAAACCATCATCATTAACTACCTAGATACATGAATGATTGACTAAACCGAGGCACTCCCGGAGGAGATGCCGACCTTCCCCACATCACCCACACACCCGCACTACATGTACCCGGAATCGATCCCGAGCTTAACTACTACACCCACCCACGCCATACCCGGAGCACAACCCGGCGCAAGTATAGATAAGGGAGCATCCTATTTGATATCGTGTATTGGTGCTGTTTTACCCTCTTTTACACACTCTCTTTATACATACTTACGCCTACATACATACAACAAACAGCAACGACACCCACCCAACCGCCCCCAAAGAATCAAACCAAGGCCAAAAAAAGGAAGAAAAATGCCCAAAACAGACGTCCTAATCTGCGGCAGCGGCTCCGCAGGCCTCTGCGCAGCTACCTGGCTCGCGCGATACGGCATCCCCTGCAAGATCCTCGAGCGGCGCCCGGGGCCCATGACAATGGGCCAGGCGGACGGGGTGCAGTGTCGGACGGTGGAGATCTTCGAGAGTTTCGGCGTTGGGGAGGAACTGTTGCGCGAGGCGTATCATGTTTTGGAGGTTGTGTTCTGGGCGGATGATTATAATAAGATTTACGATCAGGGTGATCAAAGTGGCGGTGGTGGTGGGGATGGCTACGGGGAGAGCAAGATTCGAAGGACGGGTCGGACGGCGGATACGCAGCCTGGCTTGTCGCACCAGCCGCATGTGATTCTGAATCAGGCGCGCATTAATGGGTTGTTGATTGAGAGGATGCGTGCGTGGAATGGACAGGAGATTGATTATGGGTGTGACGTTAAGAGCGTGGTTGTTGATGAGGGGCTTGTGAGAGATCCTCAGGCGTATCCGGTTAGGGTGACGGCGGAGGTGGATGGGGATGGGGGGAGGAGGGAGGAGGTGTTTGAGGCGAAGTATGTTATGGTATGTTCTTCTTCATTCTTCTATCGTCTATCATTTTTCATTTTTCGTTTTGTCTTTCTGTCTGTCTGTGGATTCGTGGTGAGAAGTCTAATACAAGGCAGGCATGCGACGGTGCGCACAGTACCGTCCGCAAAGCCCTCGGCTACACCATGGTCGGCGACAGCAGCGACGCCGTCTGGGGCGTAATGGACATGATCCCGCGCACCAACTTCCCCGACATCCGCAAGAAGGCGACGATCCGGTCGCAGGCAGGCAACCTGCTGATCATCCCGCGCGAGGGCGACGCCCGCAACCTGACGCGGTTCTACATTGAGTTGCCGGCGGGGACACGGCCCAAGGAAGTGCGGCTGGAAGACCTGCAGCGGACGGCGCGGGGGATCCTAAGCCAGTACGAGATCGAGTTCGTCGAGACGGTGTGGTGGTCGGCGTATGCGATCGGCCAGCGTCTAGCTGATGTTTTCCACAAGGATCACCGCGTCTTCCTGGCGGGTGACGCTTGCCATACGCATTCGCCCAAGGCTGGCCAGGGTATGAATGTTAGTCTGCAGGACGGGTATAACATGGGCTGGAAGCTGGCGCATGTGCTTAAAGGGCTGGCCCCGCCGTCTCTGCTTGAGACGTACGTTCTGGAGCGCCAGAAGACCGCGACCGATTTGATCAACTTCGACCGCTACTTCTCCCAGCTGTTCTCGTCCGGGGGCAAGGTCTCCCCCGAGGAGTTCCAGCAGGGCTTCGTCCAGTCCGGCCAGTACACCGCGGGTCTGACGGCGCGGTACGAGGCGTCCCCGATCACCTCCCCCCGGGATGAGTCCGCGACGTTGGCCACCAAGGTCGCGGTGGGGATGCGACTCCCCAGCGCGCAGGTCGTGCGATTCTGCGACTCCAAGCCGCTGCAGCTGATGACGGCGCTGCGGTCGGACGGACGTTGGCGAGTTGTGGCCTTTGTTGGGGACCTCCAGTTGGGGGCGAACCGGTCTCGACTGAACGCGGTATGTTGGCCTAAAGATTTTGTTGGGAGGGTTTGTTACTAACGATCATCCAGCTGGGAGACTATCTTGGCTCGTACGACAGCCCACTGCAGACGTTCCGGATGCCCAACGGCGCGGCCGACAGCCTGATCGAGCCCATCTTTGTGGGCGTCGGGAACCGCCACGAGGTCGAGCTGGAGCAGATCCCCGACTGTTTCTACCCGTTCTGCGGCAAGAACCATATCCGAGGTGACAACTCCCCGCCCCACATCTTTGGGACAAACTAACCGGGCGCAGATCTACACAAATTGTACTTTGACGACGAGAGCTACAACAAGGGCCACGGTCAGGCCTACGAGCACCTGGGGATTAGTCCTCAGGAGGGAGCCATCGTTATTGTGCGCCCCGACCAATGTGAGTCCACTCCTACCAAACCAGACGAGTGACGGAGACTCAATAGTGAATGGGACTGACGGGCTAGATGTCTCCGCCGTCTTTCGTCTGGACGATCCCACGCAGATCGGGACGTTTTTCGACGGGTTCCTGAACCGGTCAAAAACGGCCTCACCCGGGGGAACCAAGCTGTGAGTTCCGAGGGAAAGGATCCCCTTGTGACGAGTCGAGCCTGACGAGAATGATGAATCGCTCTCTCGAGCGTTGGGTTGTAAATAAGGATTGGAGGATAGACCGGAAGGCTTGCTTTAGATCGATAGATGCATGCATCATTTTCTTTCTTTTTTCTTTTTCTTTTGCTTTGCTTTTCTTTCTTTTTCCTCCCCCTTTTTTTTTTATTTTATTTTCCTCTCGTTGGGCGACAGGATTATTTTCTGGTCGGTAAATTACCTACTCGTCCACCGGACGAATAGAAAACTCCACGAATAGGATCTCCACGAATAGGATACCCGCATGAAGGAAGCTCGGTGTGAGGAGCTAGGTTAGTCGGTAGGCCGGCAGGTAGGTTGTCTCGTAGACCGCTCTGTGCGCCCAAGACAAAGAAAGCAGATTGGATCGCAGACACAGCTGGGGTACAACTCAGCGGCGAACGTTGCGGTCAGAGAGACAGGGTCAGACCTTGTCTTATGAACACTTCCACTTGACTTCCACTTTCCCATGTCCACTTGACCTGATCCGGCAACGAGAGGGGGAATTAATTTGGGTCACACGAAGCGAGGAATCCATCAACCCCGAGGGGTGGATCTGGAGACCATAAGGAATGATGTATCGAGTGGAGGAGAGAGTTGGTACGACCGGTAGATTCAGGAACGGAGAAGACGCGACTGACCGACATGGAGAGCGACAAGATCTGCGGCCAGAGCGGTGAAAAGGCGGTCAGCGTCAGTCCCGTTGATCTGGGTCGCCAATAGAAACCATTATAGGATAGATAATTTAGAATAACTAGATAAATCAATGAAATAGATATATTTATAATAATATAATAGATAATTGGAATGAGATTCTCGGTGCCTGATTCCCCAAATACTTATATCCGTGACAATCCTACGGACGATCCGTTGTTTTCATCTAATCTACACAGTACTATCCTATACTACCACCACACTACTATACACTACTACACACCATACTACACACTATATACAGTATACACAGTTACTACGGAGTACAGTATACTAGTACTAGTACAATGACTACCACCGTCACCGCTACGACCCAAGACTACACCTACGCCCCCCACCTCGCCGAATACAATGCCCCCCTAGGCATCTTCATGGCCTCCAAGCCACAATACACCCACTTCATCGTCGGCGGCCACATCTTCTCGCACGCCTCCAGCGCCACACAACAGTCACCGTCCGTCCTTCTCCTACAGCGCTCCCAGTCCGACTCCTACCCCGGCTGCTGGGAAGGTCCCGGCGGATCGTGCGAATCCAGCGACGCGAGCATTCTGGCCGGTACGGCGCGCGAGATCTTCGAGGAGACCGGCCTGCACGTGTCCAAGGTGGTGGACCTGATCGGGATGGACGAGTGGATGGACGTCAAGAGGGGCACGATGCGCCGCTTCGCAAAGTATACCTTTCTGGTGGAAGTCCACGAGGCTGACGGCCTCGTGTTCGCTTCCGGGAGCAGCTGCGTCATCAAGGGTAATGGCTGTACCGAGGGTTTGCGCTGGGAGGATCGGGTGCGCGTCGACCAGGCTGAGCATCAGGACTATGCTTGGGTCGCGGAGGATGAGCTGAGGAAGTCGAATGGCTGCGAGAAGTATCGGTCGATTGGCGACCAGGCGCGGACGCTCCTGCGGGGGTTTGAGATGGTGAAGAGTGGACTGGGGGCGGCCAAGGCTAATGTTTAATACGGCTGTGGTTTCTTTGCTTTATGTTGGATGCGGGGTTCTTTTCCTTTCTTTCTTTTTTGCCTGGGTTTGATAGACTTCGCTTCGCAGCGTGTACACTGATCTTCGAGACGGCCGGATATCAGAACGGTGACGACTAATGCTTGATGGTGGATGATTTGGGCTTACGGGTCTTGCTTTCTTCCAATAACAAATAAAAATAAAACCAAAACCAAAATCAAGAAAATTTAGACATGGTAGATCCAACGCGGGATTTACGAGAGATCATCCTCTGCCGGAAGGGCGCCCTCCTTGCGCATCTCAAGCGCAACCTGGTCCACCTCCGCCCACACCCGCAGCAGATTCCCCCCCACTACCTTGGCCGCGTCAGCGTCGCTCACCCCGCGTCGCAGCAACTCCGCAACCAGCGCGGGGAACTTGGACACGTCCTCGAGGCCGTGGGGCACCGTGGGAATGCCGTCAAAGTCGCTGCCGAGGCCGACGTGGTCGAACCCCGCGCGCTCCCCGATATAAACGATGTGTTCCGCCACCCGCGCGAGCGTTTCGTGGGCTGGATCCGGGTCGGGGATGCCGTCCGGTTGGTCGGACGCCACGCACGCGATGAAGCTCGGCGAGAAGTTGACCATGACGATCGAGTTCCGCTGGCGGACCAGGTCCAGCACGTCGTCCGGGACGTTGCGCGGATGGGGACACAGGGCGTACGCGGAGCTGTGACTGAACATGACCGGGGCGCGGCTGCCCGCCCACCCGTCTTCCCCCGCGCCCAGGACATCGCGCATGGTGTCGGCGCTGACGTGGGACAAGTCCACGATCATCCCTAGGCGGTTCATCTCGAGCACCAGCTGCTGGCCCGCCGGGCTGACGCCGTGCCACAGGGGCTCGGCCCTTTTCACTCCGCCGTCGGGCGTGCTGAGGACGGCCGCGTCGGCGTAGCGGTTGTGGCAGTTGTGCGTGAGCGTCGCGTAGGACACGCCCCGCGCGTGAAAGTCTCGCAGGTAGGCCAGCGAGTTGCCGATCGAGTGCAGGCCTTCGACGCCTAGGGGCGAGATGATCTTGCCGTCTTCAAAGGCCTGCCGTGCGGTCGTGCCGTTGGGGGGCGTGGAGAACGTGTCGGGGTAAGCTTGCTGCAGGCGGGTCATGACATCGATCTGCTCGACCGTCTCGCGCACACCTACTTTGGTCAGTGAATCATGGCTCCCGATGGGAACAATCCATTTATCAGATGCATCGTGGTCGATGTAATAATCGAGACGTACCCTTGGCATAGTTGTCGTCTGAGAAATCAGACCCGTTCGCAGGACACCCCACAAAGACACTCCAGAACGTGCCGCCCACCTTGCCCTCCGACAGCCGCGGGATGTCGACATGCCCTGGGAATCCGCCCTGGGTGAAGGGAGCCGTGAAATCCTCCTGGTAGATTCGGTTCTTGAAGTTCTCACGGACGAAAATGGGCAGATCATTATGGCCGTCTACACCATTTGGTGGTTAGCACGTGCCCGTCGCACGGGATCATCTCGGTGTCCTACCGATCAACGGCGTGCGCGACAGGATTCGGTCCACCCGATCCTCAATGCTGAGGAGCTCGTGGGACGAGAGCGCATTGGTCACGGTGAAGCAACAACATGCCAGGAAGATGGCCAGGGCGAGAGTCTGGACCCGCTGGGTCAACGAGGTTTTGGCGATGTGATGACTCGGCGATAATGCCTGCTTGGCCTCATGCAGGCGTTCCGGCTCTAGACTTTGTTTGGGTGACATTCTGGTTCAAGTTTGGGCCTTTGTATGGATGTTTATCATGTAAAGACAGAAATCGCCGGTATCCAAACGGCCAACTGCTGGTTTGATCCAGGAGTGGCTGGGAAGATAGGAATGCGGGGATGTTTACCGCAGTGCCTCAGGCTGCTGTTATCACAGTTATGCACTTGATTAAATATATTATGTAATCAACACGCATATCACGGCAATGAATGGCAGGACTATAACAGATGCCCCGATGCTTTCAAGCAGGGCACAACTGTCCGCCGGTGAAATTGGGCCAAGTCTAATAATCATAACCTCTGCCTGGGAAGGAACGCTCTCAATAAAACTATAGAACATATAATCGTTCGGCATTTTGGTATAGCGACTGAGATCTTTCATTCCTAGGAGAGAACATGCCGCATGATTTATCACAGTATCCCAATATCTAAGCCATCTAGCCCGATCACAAAAACCCTGCCAGATTCAGACCCCACGGCAAGAATGCCATTTTGATAAAGAGTATTGGGCAAATAGTCGTGTCCATCTGGCCTATATTCGCGTGGAACAAGGATGATTTTCTGCCCACCATGCCAGATCCAATTCTCGTCGTAATAAATACCTTCGCTCAATAGTCTTGATCCGGGGCTCAAATTGTCAATGATCGAAGCAACCTGGAATTGTCCCCATTTTGTGTTAAGATGTGTCCCATCCTCAGAGAAAGCCAACTGCTTGATTGTCTGGTGGACTGGAACGAGCCCTAACTCTCTGCCGGTGGCTAGTTCGATGATTTGTATAGAATCCCCTGCCAATGCAAGCAGCTCTGCAGAAAATGCCGTAGTGTAAAGAGTTGCTGGGTGCCACAAGTAATGGATTATTTTGCCTGTATGAGAATCGAAAATCGCGACTGAATTGTCTGAATAATCAACGGCCAGGCGGCCTCCTTTGTTGGATATTGCAGCACACGTAGGCGTCCTCTTCTCTAGATTTTTCTGCATACCACCTACACGTTCATAAAACAGATTCCAACGGTGAACGTGATCTGGGGAGCTGTCTTTCAAGGGAGGCGACTTCATCTCATGATTAATAGTCATCAGTCTGCCTCCAGTCTCAACATCCCAAAGCTCAACGCCATCGACATTTGATGCTGCTACGAGATTCCCATCCTAGGAAATGGTGGCCACCACAGGGTATGACAGTGTGCATGGTAGAATTCTCAAAAAGTTCCCAGGTAGTCAAATCCCAGATAATGATTGATCTGTCTGCACGTCCGTACAAAAGCCTCTTCCCATCTGCAAAAAAGAGGGCCAGTGCTCCATAGATCAACTCGGAAGAAACCAAAGCACCCATATCATCTGGCAGATATAGTGTGCGCACCAATTCCCCGGTGTCAGTATTCCAGAACCGTAATTCTCGATCACCACCATCTGTTATCACCAGGTTTCTGTCGGAATGTGGGGAGAATGCTAGTTGCCCAACAGACTCTCCATACGACTCATCTGCATCATCTGAGGTGTCTAGAGTAAGATCCTAAATGCACATAAAGGATTCACCACACTTTATCATGAATCGCTCATCTGGGGAAATTTGGAATATTTGTAATAGGATGAAAGGCGAATTCCGAATAGTTTTGACTGTGGTCTGAGTGGCTAGATCCCCAGATTTGGACATAATTCGAGTCAATAATAGCCATCTGCTTTCCTTTTGGAGTCCAGGTTATAGACATGGTCCGATTGTGCGGATCTAGATCAATTGACAGGGCACATGCTGTCATTTCACCAGTGAGCAGATTCCCTAGGTAAAATTTGTGTAGTCGCACCATGGCGATATATCTCATATCAGGTCCAAAATATGAATGATTCGATAATTATGATGACTATGAAAGGTTTCTCGCAGAATATTTGCAGGGATCGCAAAAACATGGCCAGAGACCATCGTAGATCCCACCATGTATTTAGGGTTTCACTGCCACTATATTTGGCTTAATTAGTAAATTCCATATCATGGAGTGAGTAGCACACTTATACCTTCTTTTTATCCTCACAAGATCTTCCCTAGGGACTACTTGCATCAACTATTGAAGTCCTCAGAACGACGTCCATGAAAGTTCTCATTGACATCTGATAGAAACACAGCGGCCCCAGGCAACAAACGGTGGAGACTTCCCGATTAGGTAAGTGGCATCCAGAGGAGCCTGGCCAATCAGGCAGTCCCTGAAAAACCGAAAAAAAAAGTCCTCAGGCAGGCACGCCGGTTAGTCATGATCGATAAACGACTCGAAGGTCTTCCATCTCAAACTTCATTTTTCCTTCACTTCGACCGTCTTGGATTGTCGAGAAGTCAAGGCTATCACCACCCCAGTTCAAGTGTTTCTGCCAACACTGCGATGTCTGCCCCTCTGGATTAGATAGTGGATAATTTCCCCCGCCCACCTTTCTCCGACCGCCTGGTCGTGCACCATATTTTCCCCGCGCGCTGCATTGAAGACGACGGCTGTTTAAATCCCCGTCGCCATGGCACAAGGATCTCTGGTCGAGGGTAAGAAATGAATCCTTTCTTGATTCGTTCTGGGGAAGCGGATTCGAGAGGCAGAGTATGGTTTGCTAACTCAAACTTCATAGGTTTATTGACCCTCTGGCACGCTTACCGTGTGCCCATCCTCGTGATCCTCTTTACTGCCCTCCTCGTCTCGCGCACAATTGGTATCACCGGGTCGAAGTCAAAGGCCGCTTCTGCCTTTTCGAACCCCACCTCTCCCCGCAGCCACTCCCCCGAGAAGAGCGAAAAGGCGCAACTTGACGATGCGCGCGACCGCCCCGCCCCCACCCCCGCCGACCCCCCCAAGACGGCAGCTGCAGGCCCAAAGAGAGTGTCGGGAAAGAAACCGGCCAAGGTTGCTGGTCGACGTGCTGGAGCAGAGCCGGCGCCGCAGATGTCTGCCATCCAGCCCATCGTCTTCTTCGCCTCGCTGACCGGGACTACGGAACAATACGCCAAGGTTTTGATGGAGGAGCTGACGACTGCAGCCAAAGACCAAGCCGACGCGGAGAACCCCGAACGTGGTATTCTGCCTCCTCAGCTTCAGGACATCTCGTACCTGGATTTTGACGACTTCTTCACCACCGCCCCAAAGCCTCCGCCGAACTCGCCTGGGACGCGTTATTTGTACTGCCTATTGATCCCCACCTACAATATTGACACGGTCCTTACCACATTCCTTGGTCACCTGGATGAGACCCACAATGACTTCCGCATCGACACTGGATCCCTGTCGACGCTCGCCGGGTACACTGTTTTTGGATTCGGAGACAAGGAAGGGTGGCCGACGGAGGATGAAGGCTTCTGTTCCCAAGCCAAGGAACTAGATCGATGGATGGCGAAGCTCACGGGCCGCAAAAGGGCCTACCCTCTTGGATTTGGCGACGTGAAGAGTGACGGCGAAGCGGCTTTGAAGGAATGGTCCCGTGGACTGCAGGATATCATGCGGGACATTTTGGACTACGGCGGCTTGGGCGAAGGCGTTCCCGGGAGTGGAGATGCGCTCGAGAGTGACGAAGAGGATGTGGACGACGAAGAGTCTGGCAAGACCAATAAGAATGGTCGGAAGAGGGGCAAGCCTCAAGCGGTGGTTGATCTGGAGGACATCAAGATGGGCGCTGGTGATTCTGGCGCAGCTGCTCCCATCCCGGTTGACTTCACCACCGGAGGGCAATCTGCACCCCCCACCCAATCGACCGAGAAAGAAATGGTCCCGAAAACATCGCCTACTTACGCTTCCCTCACCAAGCAGGGATACACCATCGTCGGCTCTCACTCTGGCGTGAAGATTTGTCGCTGGACCAAGTCGGCGCTGCGTGGTCGGGGCTCCTGCTACAAATACTCGTTTTACGGTATCCGGTCGCATTTGTGTATGGAAGCCACCCCGTCGCTTTCCTGCAGCAACAAATGCATTTTCTGCTGGCGACATGGCACGAACCCCGTCGGTACCACATGGCGTTGGAAGGTGGATTCTCCGGAGCTGATTTTCGATGGCGTCAAGGATGGCCATTACAAGAAGATCAAGATGCTGCGCGGCGTTCCGGGTGTGCGCGCAGAGCGATTCGCCGAGGCCATGCGCATCCGGCACTGTGCTCTGAGTTTAGTCGGAGAACCCATCTTCTACCCCTACATCAACGGATTCTTGGACCTGTTGCACGCGGAGCATATATCGAGCTTCCTGGTGTGCAACGCCCAGCATCCCGACCAGCTGGAAACATTGCACCGGGTGACTCAGTTGTACGTGTCTATCGACGCGAGCAACAAGGAGAGTCTCCGCAAGATTGATCGTCCTCTCCATCGCGACTTCTGGGAACGCTTCCAACGCTGCTTGGAAATCCTCCGCGAAAAGCGTCATGTCCAGCGCACAGTGTTCCGCCTCACCCTCGTCAAAGGATTCAACGTGGACGACGAAGTCAACGGCTACGCAGATCTGGTCGAAAAGGCCCTGCCATGCTTCGTGGAAGTCAAGGGCGTAACGTACTGCGGCACGAGCTCCAGTGCCGGTGCCGGACTGACCATGAAAAACGTCCCGTTCTACGAAGAGATCGCCGAATTTGTGGTCGCCTTAAACAAGGAGCTGGAGCGCCGCGGTCTCGACTACGGCATTGCGGCCGAGCACGCGCACAGCTGTTGTGTGCTGCTCGCGTCCGAGCGATTCCACGTCGACGGGAAGTGGCATTCGCGGATCGACTATCAACGATTCTTCGAGCTTCTGGAGAAGGAAAAGGCCGACGGTACCTCTTTCCGCCCTGAAGACTACATGAGAGAGACGGAGGAATGGGCCATGTGGGGCAATGGAGGCTTCGACCCGAATGACGAGCGCTTCTACCGGAAGGGCAAGAAGAAGGCTCTTGAGGCTGCTGCGACGGAAGTTGCGACGGAAGCTGCGACGGAATTCTAGATATATACTCCACTGCCCGATATGAGCCAGCGCAGACATGCATCTGCAATTTGGCCCAGCGCCAGAGCTTGATACTTCCAACATACAAGTATCTATTCCGGGAGCGATATAATCAAGTCCCACCTGAACACAGCATCTCTCTGGTTTGCCCAGAAAAACAGGAAAACATATGTGGAGATCGTACCAGGTGCTAGACTACCCCGTGTCAAGTGTTGACTTGCCTTGCGTGGCGAACCTCACAAACTCCGATTCCAGTCCTGATACTAGATAAAAGTTACACGTGCTTGGTTAGTACATACATGAGATTAGCAATGCGAAACGAAGCTGAATGTACATCTGCCGTCTATGGAGTTCGCTTCTTAATCTACCTGTAGTTCGTTAGCTCCGCAGCACCCATACAGAGAACCCGTCCTTCCAATCGCTGCATTACATAGACGAGATACAAAAACAGCGAGCCTCAGCCAGCCAATATCACCAAGTAAATCATGACTACCTTGGTAACGGTGAGTAACGGGGCCCAGGGAACCTCACAACAGCAAATAGATTAAGAGCCCGCGGAGAAAGAAAAAAGGGTTTAAAAAAAGAGGAGAGATCGGGGATCGTCCATCCTCATGATAATTATAAGATTATCTAATGAACCGGCCACCTCATCAATCAATCGCCGATAGATTATATTAATTAAACACGAAAAGTTAATTAGCAATTGATGGAGTCAATGGAGGGAAGGAATCAGGCCAAGCTTTTCCGGTGGCTTCAGACTTCAGAAGGAGGATGGGGTTATAATGAAGGGAAGGAAGAGCTGTACATGACAGCACCCTCAGATTGAGATATGGATGCCAGCTCGTTACCTGCAAGATGATTGATATGACATGGCTGATCGGCGTCGTGGGTGCATGTCATGGCATGGGCATACGCTGTACTCCTGTCACTGTCCAGCTGTCTCCTGGGTCACTAAGGGGCTCAGCTCCAGGATATACCTATTACCTAGTTTGGATAGGCGAGTCTGAATTGGGAGGAGTTGGGTGATTGAGTCGGGTAAGGGGTCAGGGCTGTGGAAGATGTCGTATCGGGAAAGGAACGTAGACTTGTTTTGGTTGTTTGGTTGGCCTAGTCTTGTTTAGCATAGAAATCGTGATTATTTATATATTTTGTTAGTCATGATCGGCAGAGTGTGAAGGACGAAGGGGAAGGAATGGAAGGAACATTATAGTTTAGAACTTCCGATAGTAGATGAAGAAGCCAGCTAGTGGACACGACTGAACAATCGCGACGACGGCCGTTTCCTTAGCTTGCGTTGATCCAGAACGGACGTCGAGTCAGCCAGCCCGAAGAGGATAATTATTATGAGGACGCCGTCTCGGTAGTGCGGCATCTGACTTTGATGAAAGCCAGCCAGTCCTGTTTTTTACTAGTAAAACACTAGGGAGGAAATCCCGGCAATTGATCGTCGAGAATCGATGTACTGTAATCTGCAACCCTGCAAGTTAGTCTGTTGAGGTCGATTAATGCCTGTTTATGTGGAGCTAGCGCGCCCTTGTTCATTTCACCGCAACGTTGATACTGAGGGCACCCTGGGAGCACATGCCATTGAACCGTGGTTCGAGGTCTTTCGTCAGGGTCTCTCCAAGGCGTGGTTGACATGTGTCATGTCCGTGACATGCTTGGTGAAAAGTGCCAGACTTGATGTCTCACCTTTTGGGTTGGGAATTTGAGACTCTTGACTCTTGAGATCCATGGCCTCGCTAGCCCCGGCAGAGATCTAGACTAGACAGATATTCAAAATCTCTGCTCCTTTCTAAGTAGGAAGGACCCAGTACGTGCTGGATGATTGGCGGAAGCTTTCATTTTCATGGGGCAGTTTCTGGTTTGGGTAGGAGTGGATGTGGATCGCCGGTCGCTTGGCTTCTATGGAAAAATCCCCGTCGGCAAATCAGAGGAACCTGTATGGTACGGGAGGATTGTTGAAACTTGGGACTCGAGGAGGTGAATCCACGCAATTGATCGTATTAGCGGAGATAGATTCCCTGCTTTGCCTGAGATATACTACCCCCCGGTCACAGATAGGACGGCAACTCACCACCCTAAAGACACTAACATCGTGCCCACACCCATATGGCGATGATGTGGTCCACCTGTTTCCTCGGGCCTTGATCGCTACCAGAGCGACGCTCACGCTATCCTCCTGGCAGGCAAAGAAAAAAAAATCCCTATGTTTAGGCTTGTTTGGCGGTGTTTACCGCTGGGCCGGTTCCTCGTGGTGCCCAGCGCATCTAGTCCGCTCTTGAAATGCACTACCCACGAGTGGCCATTTATAACTCGTTCGTAGCTGTGCACTAGTCCCTGGTCGCTGGGTGGTACACTAGAATAGTCTGGGTCGCCCCCTCTCTCCCCCCCATGTCGACGCTAGGGAGAGAACGGATCCGCGTAGACTTTGCATGATTCCATCGATATTAGGGGAAGTGTTAAGAGAATCTCCGAGGGTATAATACCAGATGCTTTTCCCCAGTGATTTTCTCTCCATGACTCGCCTATGCCGCCATAATGACCGCCGATGATCGAAGTTTGGAGGTGAGGGTGGTGGCGGCTGTCTTCATGTCGGTGGCCTGCGTGGCTGTGATGCTGCGATGTTACGTGCGTGGATGGATAGTGAAGGCGTTTGGCTGGGATGACGGAGCGATGGTCTTAGCGGTGGTACATGCACTCTATCATTGTTGGTGCAATTGCAAGGGATTGGCTAACAGCAATAGTTGTTCCATATCATGTTTTCGGCTTGCATGATCGGAGGTTCTCTGTATGGTACCGGGCGGAAATATGAGGTGCTTACGGCGCACGAGCGGGTGACGGCTATGAAGGTATTTAGCAAATATGACCCGTTGGTCCTTTGAATCTCGAAGTCCTAACCGTGTTAAAGTATTGGTGGCTCTGCGAAGTCGCATTCTGTTTCGCCTCGATCGGTTGCAAGATCTCCGTCTGCATTTTCCTGATGCGCATCACTGTCAAGCGCACCCACATCTGGACCCTTTACACCGTCATGGCCCTGACCGTGATCGCGGGCGTGGTCTTCATGTTTCTAATGCTGTTGCAGTGCAAGCCGCTGCAGTATTTCTGGACAAAGGTAGCCTTCGATCCTAGCATTGAAGGCCACTGCATGAACATGGATACCATCATCGCAATGACGTACGTGTACAGTGCTTTTGCAGCGCTGTGTGATTTCACTGTTGGTCTTCTGCCAATCTTTCTCGTCCGGAAACTCCACATGAAGCAGCAGACGAAGCTCGCCGTGGTGGGCATTTTGAGTATGGCTTGCATGTAGGTCTCTTCTTCGATACTATTGCTCACTGGGTGTCCGCTAACTTGGATATTGCAGCGCATCGGCAGCGGTCATTATTCGTATACCCTGGGTGCACACCTTCGGGGATCCTGACTTTCTCTGTACGTTTCTGTTGGATAGCGGTCGCCAACGAGAACTAACCATCCCTCTCTCAGACGCCACAGTAGAAATTGCCATTTGGTCCAACATCGAAACCGGTTTGGGTATCACAGCCGGCAGCCTTGCCACCCTCCGTCCTCTCCTCCGGCACTGGCTCGGATCGCGCAACGACAGCAATTACCCCGCCCCTACACTCCCACTCGCATCGAGAAAATACGGCGTCGGCTCGACACGTCCGTTCCCATTGGGCTCGTTGGATGCCAGCGTCGAGCGCCGATTCCGCCCCGATAAGCTAGCGGTGACGGTGACTACCGTGCAAACGCAGCGCGATCCACACGACACATGGAAATCCCCGTCCAGTCCGAATAGCAGCGAAGAGGGCTTAACATCGGACCGATCACCGGGATACTATGATGGGGGCGAGATGGGCTTGAGCATCCACCAGACGTTCGAAGTCACCCAGACGACGTCGTCCGGAAGAGGACCGGGGAGGAGGTTATCAGGGAGCACATATGATAACCGCTTATAAAAACATTATGTAATGAATAGATTCCAACGAGGATATGAAATCATACTAGTAATGCCTGCTGCGTGGTTTCTAAACCGAAGTTGTAAACCGTGGAAAGTTGAGTTGTTGTCCAGCATCTGCCCAGGTGGTCCTGCTTGATCAGGCCGGTCATGTGTCAGGTGCTCTTTCTGTTTCATTCACTCATGACTGACTCTATAGATTGTCATAGTCAGCTCTACTATAGAACCATCATGTGTCTAAACAAGGCTCTATCGGATTCATTCCATGCCCATACTTAGGAATGGTGCGACGCACTGAAGCTCTATATCAGGTATCACTTATTCGCAGTGAGTCTACAAATGGTTCTACCTACAAGGTCTTGCGACTAGACCCCAAGACAAGCTTGCCAAGTTGCTTGATATTGGCTTACGGATATGGTAGGGAATATGTCGCTCACGATGCAAGGAATACCATGAGGCTGGGCAGCATAGGTACGCCGTTTTCTTGAATATAAGGAAGGGTTTGAAGAGAGTATACCCGGGGTTCCGGGGAAATCTTATTGACCTTTCCCAGCAAACAAGAGATATCAGATACGATCAAGGGGGTTTTTACAATGAACCTATGATTTCAACAGCGCGTTTATTCGACTGTCTGGCTGCAATTGCACCACAATAGTATTGTCATCTGGATGTCTACCTTGGACCTCAACAAGTTTAGACATACTTCTAGACCTACAGTGGTCATTGCAGGGGAAGGCAATGATCATCTTGTTCTGGGATCCATAAGGAATCTCTGGTGAGCACAACAGATCTGGTAGTCTTTACACCAGAGATTCGCAAAGACGTGAATTTTCGCCCATAAACCCTGCGGACACCCAAACCCCTGACTTGTTGGTCGAAGATTGGCTCGAGACACCCCTGTCAAATTAAAAGGATACTGGCCCAAGTGGGACGAGTGATGTTCATATCCTTGGTAGCGAAATATCCGTGCAGAACTATGAGATGGTGGGTTCCTTGGAATCATCTGATCCGTGCCCTTACTCAAAGACCACTTAAGAGGCACTATGAGATTAATCCCATCATATAACAACCCGAAATATGCGCTGGCTAGGTCTTGTAAATTGCATGATGAGATACGGAATCCACAATGCCAAGTACTAGCGCATCGCATTGCCGCTAAAAGGAGCAGGAAACTACGGAGAGGTTCCGATATATACCTCTGGAAGTTTAAATGTTCAGATATTTACTGAGTCTCGAGTGTTCGCAAACCTGCTGTGGATCGGCATTTATCGATTCCAGCCGCTCTGATTCCAATCTAAAACATTTCATGTGGCTTTATCCACTTCGGCTTCGAAACTCGGCATTGGTTGTTGCCCATCTCAGTCTTCAACTCACTGCTAAGCACTGGAACGGTTGTGCTTTGCTACTACATCTATACATTTCCAAAGGACACAGGTATCCATCAATACCTAATAAAGCCAGGTACATCCTATGATCGGGTGTGTTAAGGGAGAATTCGCCAGCTGGAATATGACGATGGATGAGTGGATCCATCCAGACCATCCCGTTGGGCCGAGCCAGCGCCCGTGTTTATACTGTTAGGTAATTGATTCAACAACCAGTTCGGTTTTTGCCCTCTTCCCCAACCTTCAACCCCACGTAATGCGAAGAGTCAAGGAAAACCACGCGGTGGATTCAAACGGCCTCGTCCGACCACCTACACCAACAGTCACCCTATCTGAGCCCCGCGGTGCGAACGTTGCAACGTCTTGGAGCTCCACCCCTGGATATCTTTGACCCGTCCCAAATCGCAATGTCCGAACAAACCGCGCTGGCTCGGTTTCCCAAAGCCATCAGCCGCTGGCTTGGCTATCGTTCGAGTCCCCACAAACCTCTACCGCAGTACCAGGTCTGGGGCTGGTCGTTCATCGCTTCCTTTTGCGGTCTCTGTGCCTTGCAGGCCATATTCAACTACTCCCAGTATTTCATCAGTCGAGGCGTACCAGGCATCATTGCCTCGTTCGTGAGTATCCCACCCGCATCATAAGATGCAATATCTGACTGAAACGTAGGGCGCATCGGCCGTACTGGTCTATGGTGCGATTGACGCTCCCCTGGCGCAGCCCCGTGCACTTATATTCGGTCATTTCCTAAGTGCATTGGTGGGAATATGCATCACGAAGCTGTTTAGCCTGATCCCGGACGAGGAAAAGTTCCAATCGGTGCGATGGCTCGCCGCATCGCTGTCCACGGCTGTCGCCATTGTGGTCATGCAGGTCACTCAGACCACTCATCCCCCGGCGGGCGCGACGGCCCTTCTCCCGGCGACCGACGATGCAGTGTGGGAGATGTCATGGTACTTCCTGCCTGTGGTTTTGTTGTCCTCCACGATTGTCCTTCTGGTAGCACTGCTGTTGAACAATATTCAGCGTCGCTACCCGGTGTTTTGGATCGCTCCGGCTAAACCAGCTCCAAGCCCTGCGCAAAATGATCTGCCCAAGTGACGTGTTTCTCATGGGTAATCCACGTTCTTTCTTCATTCAATTTGCGCACGAGAGCGACGGCGAGATGCTTATGACGCCAAACTGGTGCGCAGCCGGCCGGACATTTTCGAGATTGTCACGACGCCTGCGTTCTGTCTGACCGTGTTCCGTATGAACTTGTCTTCATTGGATACCAATGGTTTCGGCCAATGGTTATGTGGGTACAACTCACGGTATCGTTAATCTTACTGTACATAATACTCCTGTTTCGAGCATGGAAGAGTTTATATATACTAAATAATTATACATAATTTACAGTGATATTTGACACGACTTGACGATGCCTCTGACTGACATCACAGGTTGTCAACGTCAATCTTTTATACATAGTTTTGATACCCCGGGGTCTGTCCATGCCCTCCTCAAGAATAGGGAGGAGCGAGAGAGGAACAAGTAGCTAAACCCGACACAACCCCTCGTCATCCCAATCCTCACTCCCCACTCCCTTCCTCGCAATAAACAACCCCGTCGGATCCCACTTCTGCTTCAACCGATACAACTCGGGATAATTCTTCCCCAGAACGAAGCCTGAAAGTCCGTCTCATCCGCATCCGCCTCATTCAGATACGCCCCCATGGCATCCGCGCCCTCCACCCCACGCAGAATCGGCACCTCAACATCCGTGATATTCGCCTTGACAACATCCTGCTCCTCGAGGGTAGCGACGGCCGTCCAGCGGCGCTCGACAACAAGATGCAGCAGGGCCTGCCGCCACGCGGGGTTCAGCGCGCTGTCGACGCGGCCTGCGTTAGCGGCGACGGCGCCGCCCGCGACGATATTACCGAGGACGGTCTCGCCAGGGTTAAAGTGCAGGGACTGCAGGGCGGAGACGAGATTGTCTGCGCCGGACGGGGAGGTGAGCAGATCGCGCGAGTAGAGCCGTGAGGCGGCGCGCTTGCTCCCGCCGACGTCTTCCTTGCCGCCGGGGTTGAGGGCATCCTTGATGAGGGTCTCGATGTTGGGGACGCGCTTGGACTGGTACAGGGCGGTGACGCCCTTGTTGGAGCGGAGGGTTTTGACGAGCGGGTCGAAGAGGTCGTCGATGCGCGCTTTGTCTGTCATGTTGGGGAAGTGCATCACGACGGTCATGCCGGAGATGCTGATCGCGTCGCCTAAGAGAGGCATTTCCGGCACCATGAAGTAGTAGCCGGCGCCGCCGACGTCGACAAGACGCGGTAGGGCGGCGTGGAAGCCGGCCATGGCTCGCCAGAAGGAGGGATTTCCGGCGGGCGTGGAGATCTTGAGATCGGATAGAACGAGGGGGACTTCGTCGAAGGTGCGCACGGTGGCGTTGACAACGACGCCGAAGGTGCCGCCGCCGCCGCCGCGCAGCGCCCAGAAGAGGTCGGTGTTTTGATACTCGTTCGCGATGACCAAGTCGCCCTGGATGAGATTAGTTGTTGTATACGTGTACAACTAGTGAAGGGGGACTTACGCGCGCAGTGACCACCGAGAACTCCAGCGCATTATCAGAGGCCATTCCCTTCCATGGCCCCAGGAACGAGTGTCCCCCGCCCTGGAGATAGCCACCCGCGGGGGCGACGGAGCGGGCAGCGCCCCCAACAGCGATGCGTTCCTTCTCCGCCAGAGCGGCATACATCTCCTCGAGCGTGACGCCGGCGTCCAGGGTCACGGCCTGACCCTCCGATCGAGGTCCACCGGCAGGGACGAAGTCATCGACGATGTGGATGCCTTTCATGGCGCTAGTCAGGATCTGCAACGAGTCCGGCGCTGACGACCGGCCCAGGTAGCAGTGACCCGAGTTCTTGACGGCGAGACGGAGATTGTGTTTCTTCGCGAACCGCACCGCCTCCTGGATGTGCGCGGCGGTTTTGGCCTGCGCCGAGTACAGCGAGATACGGCCCTGACCGCAGGAGGTGGACTCGGCTGACTCAATGTAGCAGCTCTCGTCGCGAGCAGACGAGGCTTCCCAGTTCTCCCACTGCAGGGCGCCGGGATGGGCGGCGCGCCAAGTGGAGTTGTTCCACGAGGAGGTTACCTCTTTGCAGGAGTCAGAGTCAGCGTCTGCGCCGGGATAACAGACGGCTGCTGCGGGGCGCACAGCGGCCAAATTACCGGCGATGGAGTGATTGAGGCTGGTCCATTCTTGCGGTGCAGGCCAGCAGGGCTCGTGCGGTCTGCAGCGACAGCGAGGGGGATCTGGGGCGCACGAAGAGAGGACAACCAGGAGAGGGAGAACCAGGAGGGACTTCATCGTGCAAGCCCTACTCGTGATCTTGTAATGGACCGGGAGAGATGCGATGATAATGAGGTTAAAAAGGGGGTACTTACATATAAACTAGCATTGTGGCTGGCCTGACACTTCTAAGTGTGGCTGAGCTGTGGTTCCCCTGCAATCTCTGTCTGCGAATCCACGATGTCTGGTGGACCAGCCGAACCGATGAGTCCCGGTTTGGCTTAGCTATAGTGTACATCCTTTCCTATTGCAGAATATGCCATATGCCAGGCTAACTATATCGACGGATCAAGGCAAATGGAGCCCGTCATGGACCCGCTCCTCAGCTAACGTCTGCAGGATCACGCTACTGATTCATCACAAGAATGCAGACCAGACTAGCCGAATACTTTCAAATAGCTATGATAGGTATTCTTGGCCTACACTGGCCAACACTATGACGGGAGAGAGCTACCTCGCTCGACGAACACCGTATGGAGTCCTTCAGTTCCACAATAGATATCGGCTCCAACTATGGCCCTAATTCGATCACAGACACTGCGAATACCACTCAGTCGACCGGACACAGCTATACGGACTGGCACAGACAGTCGGCCCGGTCCATCCACCGCCACCGCACTGCTCCCAGTGCTGCGCAACACCACCACCTGTCGCCGTCGCCGTCGCCGTAGTCGTGCGAGTCGCCGAAGTCGTCGTCGTAGTCGTACTCCCACCACCCGGAGTACCCCCCGCAACATACCCCTTCAACGTATTCATATAATACCCAAAACCAGTCCCCGTCAGGGGCTCCAAACTAAACATATAATCTCCCCACCACGGGCCCGCTGCCCACCAAGCGGCACCCATCCAAACATCCGCATTGGCAACCAGGGAGTCCAGCATACCGACCACAGCGCGCTTGCACACGTCATTTGCACCACCAGCAAACTCGCCCAGGAAGCCGCGTTTGCCGTGCTCGCGCAGCCAGCTGGTGGCGGCTGCGATGCGCTCTGCGCCGATCGTGCCACTTACGCAGGTAGGGCTCGTCCCGGACCCGTCGCTGTCGAGGTACTGGTGCATCTCGTAGACGAGGAGGTCGGACGGATCCGTTAGCGCTTTGAGATTGTCGTTGATGGCTGGCCAGGTCCACGCACCGCTCCAGGAGTTGCCCTCGACGAAGATGTATTGGTTGGTGGCGCCGGCTGCGCGGATGGCATTGACAGCGGCTTGATTGAGGTTTAGGACCAGGGTTTGATCCATGTCGTGGTATTCGTTGTCTGGGTGGTTAGTTAGTTGAGTTGCTGTTTTTGTGAAGGGAGGAGAAAGGGGAAATGCAGCATACTGGTGTCGAAGATGACATGGTCGTTGGAGGCAAACTCCTTAGCCACGGTGGTCCAGAAGGCGGCAAAGTCGGACGTCGACGTGATGATGTTGCCGTAGCTGGTTTCTGGTTAGAAGCTGGGCTGAGGACGAACCATCTGGAAAAGGACTCACTATCGCCCAAAATTATGCGGGTCAATGACTGCGTAGGCCCCGAGATCGGTGATAGCCTTGACTGTCTATTATCGTCGCTGTCAGTATGTCCCAGCCCTTATGCCCCACGAGTACAGGTCAAACATGCCTTCTTCAAATCTCCCATGTATGTCGCATCCACCGTCCCCGTCATAGTGGTTGGCACCAGTCTCTCCATCATGAACGCGACGCGGAAGATATTCATCCCCTCGGAGTGAAGGGATCCAATGGTCGACTCCGACGGCCAAATGTAGTCTTTGCCCAGGAGCCCGGGGAGGTTGTTCTGGCCGAATTCAGCGCCAGATTCATTGGAGCCAAACCTACCAATATTAGTACGCTAGAGAAATAATTTGAGGGAATGATTGAGAAGTGGAAAGTAGGTACCAGACGAACGGGGAAGCCCGCTTGTTGGGGGCTCCCAAGACGAGAGGGAAGAGAAGGGAGAGCAATGTCAGCTTCATTTTTACGACTGGATTCTATCCAAAGTCTTGTTGACTCCCGTCTTTGGCAACGGCCTCTTGAGAGATATATTTTATATACATCGATACACATCCCTCGCAGGACCACAACCTGAAGCGTCAACAACACGGACCACCGGACCGCAGCCCGACAGACCGAATACATCCCAAACTAAAACGGACAGACAAATTCGTCACGGCACTTGTAAAGTCTGGAGATGCGGATCCGGAGGTGGCCGGATCTGCGGAGTTGGCACCCAATTCAGGCTGTGCAGAGACGGGGATAAATGTCTTGGTATCGTTAGTACCTTTTACTGACTATATTGACCAGGGGATTGCCGAGGCTGGGAGAACGGGGTATAGTTTGCCGAGAGGAACGTGGTTCGCTCAGAACATCCAGTGCGTTGGAGACAGACAGGGATTTGCATTGGCATATACCCTGGTCTCGAGCTAGGCGAGGCCGAAGCTCGAACGCAGTGATGTCGCGGGAATATTTGCCGACGGGTCGGAGTACTAGGTAGTATCCTACTCCCCTTGATGTCTTTCATATCTTGTCAGTTGAGATATCATCCAATCCAATCAGTGCACCATATATGCCGTAGTCTTGGATGAAGGCAATTCTGCAGGCCTAGTATGTCTCACTCAGGGCTTGCCGCACCACGTGTCATCCAAGCCAGAAACAGATCATGCGGGGAACAATGCGGAGGGCGTTCCGTCCAGAAGGTAAGACACCACCGAATATTTTTGCAAAGTCAAGCGTAGCAAATAGGGTCAAGAAAAATAGATTGCTTCTTTGAGTGGCAACAGGTTTGACAGGACATGCAGATAATCTGCTCGTGCGCTGCAGAGGTCTAGACCTCCCCCGCAAATAATAGAGCATCAGCACTAAGATCTAATCGGGAAAGAGTTTTATAAAGCTGAGAGATCGACTTAGGGTAGATCCTACAGGAATTTGATAGTTGCAAGTTATTGGTGGAAATACAAACAAGATATGATCAAAAGCTAATCTTATTCACTATCGAATTCTTGATTCTGAAAAGCTAACTGTGATAATATCCGCCTTTTTACAGACACTGCGAGTAGAAGTCATTCGACTTGGTGCAAACATACGGGCTCTCGCACTTGGTTGGCCCCTTCCAGCCAATGCCACCACACTGGCCGTAGTGCGCCGCCAGTCCCGTCTCGCTGCTGCCACCACCAGTGGTGGTCGAGGTGGGAGGGCGTACGGTTGTCGTGGAGCCACCGTCGCCGCCAGTCGAGCCCTTGAAGGTCGAGCCAATGGGTCCGACCTTGATGTTGGAGTAGACGACCGACGAGTCGGCGTCATTGCTCTCAACGTCTTCGGGAACACCCGACGAGATATCGCAGGTACCGCGGGCAACGCCGGGAACGGTGGACGCCTTGTCTGTGGGGTAGTTGCTGTCCAGCCACAGCATGTTGGAATTGTGGTCATCCCAGAGACTCATGACGAGCACCATGCCCTCCTGCAGGGCAGCGCCCATGCCCGCCATGCCGCCGTGCTTCTCAAAGACATTGGTATCGCCGAAGAGCTTCTTCTGGGCGCTGCAGAACGACTCCGTGATCGAGTTGCCAGGGGCCTCGGAGTAGGTCGACTCCGAGTTGGGGATCACCTTCCCGTTCTGCACGTAGAACCGGCGGATCTCGGACAGAGTGCCGGTCGCGGTGTTGTCAGAGGTGATGAACTGCGTCACGACCGTCACCTTGCTCTTGGTGTCGATCTTCATGCCAGGCCCGTAGAAAGTCTTGTCGCCCTGGCGGAACGAGTTGAAATCGCATCCGTCGGGGTCGCAGGTGCCCGCGTAGCGGTCCTTGCTGTACGTGCCGCCGCAGGCGTCGCCCTCGCACATAACCTGCTCGGGGACGTCGCAGGGGTGCGGGGTGTAGGCGGTCGAGATGCTGTTGGCCTCCCAGATGTCCATCTCAGCGCAGCACGAGCCGTGGTGGCCTGTGCCCGCGTTGGCGTCGTTCTCGGACGCCTCCCAGCCCTCCACGTTGGCCTTGCCGTTGATGAACTTCAGGTCGCGCGGGCACTGGGAGTCACAGTAGCCCGTGCCGTATTTGGCGCCAGCTTCGTTGGTGGGGTACTTGGACTTTCCACCGTCGGCGTCCATGGAGACGAAGTAGAGAGCGCCGTTCAGGCCACAGGGCAGGTTGGAGACGTCGACGTCAAAGGTGAACTCCTGGTTCAGCAGCTTGAACATTTCGTAGGTATTCTCGTCCTTCATGAGGTAGAGACGCGAGCCGATGTTCTTCTGCGCGCCTTGGGTCACGAAGTTCAGGCGAAGGGCGTCACCGGAGGTGCTCGCCCCGTAGGTGGCCTGGTAATCGGCGCCATCTACAGCGCAGTTCTCGGCGCAGGTCTCGTCGTCCGGACAGATTTTGGAATCCCAGGTGTTGCCCGTGTAGCAGTTGGTGTACCCCTCAACGGTGTGCACCCACCGCCAGTTGGCGTCGATGACGACCTGGCCTTTGTTGGTTGTGCAGGTGCCGCTGCTGTTGCATGTCTGCCAGGTCATGGCAGGATGAGTTTCGGTCTTCTGCGTGCCAACTTTCTGGGCCTGCACCGCGCCCATGTAGGCAGCGAGCAGCAGAAGGTTCTTCCAGATGCTATATGAGGAGGGCATTGTGATGGAGGATTTGTTGTTTGTGTAGAAGTTGCTTGGGAGGTTATTGCGATGGATTGAGAGAGATCTGTCACCCTTTTATATCCTGTTTACAACGTCCGTTTTGCCTCCCCATCGCCCTCAAACCTTCTATTCTATTCCATTCGGATTTACGGTCCGTTGACCGTCAAGTAATTCGTCACTAAGGAAATGCTGTCTACCTATTGAAGCCCAATTGTACCCCGTGGGGAAAGGGTTACCCCACATTTGCCTCTATTCTTCAGGACGGACAATGTAAGCGAGGGTATTTCGGCATAGCCCATTGTTCAGCGCCACGCGACTTTTAATATCCGGATAAATAGATGCGACTAAATCGTGAGATTTGACCAACTGGTTGCTAACAGGAGTCTTCTTGCATCGATCGAACGAATGGGAGAACTGACAGGAGCCACTGGCGTGGCGATGGCTTGGCCAACTTCGGCATTGGTCTTGTATCGCAATATCGATAGATTGCCCTAACGACTGCGGAGAGCGTCCCGAATCTAGCCGTTTGTTTTGGCGTGAGGTTTCTGAGCTACTTACCTTTTGAGGTATCAGCTTATTGTCAAGGGTAAAGTCAATTGCACCCGGAGGCAACAGAGACACGACACCCTGAATGGGCACTAAGGAACTAGTTTCACTGGCCAAATAGCGATTTAGTGTAGATGATTGTATTTCGTGGAAGCCGGTCTTTTCACCCATTTGAGAATATTGACCAATCTGGTCTATGCCGAATTCCCGATAGCAGTCACCAAATCATGTTGAATGAGCATGGGAGACATCGGGCTTTACCCCATGCTCCCTGTTCTTAGGGCAATTCTCTCTCCAAGACATACTCATTTTTTTCCCATCAAGACTCTTCTACCCCATTTGCGTGATATGGACAGGTGGGGAGAAGAATGCGGTCCAATTTTGGACCCGAGTCTCTTACCTTTGAACTTGTTTGGCCATGATCATAGTACGCTATGTAGTAGTAGGGCGTCTTGCGACTCCAACCATCCGTATCAGTTATATACCTGCCATTTTAGTATTGATTGTGTTTCCAGGCTTCTTATCTTCTGTACAGATATGTTACTCATAAATCATGGAATAAATTAGGTACCGACCTCCTTACAGCCTATGCTTAGAGAACAAAAATACATGCATACATATGCTTGGATCCATCAGTGAACAAATTTATATCAAAGAGCATAGGAGCCATGAAATTACCTATACAGCGCTGAACATATAATGCTAATGCTACTAGGTCTCTTGCAAGTAATTTCTCAATACCGCTACGCCAAAACGTTGACCAGCATTTGGTATAGGGCTTAACCTGACTGATATACCCAAGATGTTTCCCTTAGGAGTGTGTAGCTGCTGACTCAATAGTACCCCTAGTTTACTAGTGTTCTTCAGCTGGCTTAAGTCTAGTCCCTCCCAGGAGAGGAAACAGCACGTTACCATCACAGGAAGCAGAGTATTCCCGCAACTCCTACTAGCCCTGTAGTAGTGCATCATGAAGAACTCCAAAATAGGAATCTACCGTTCTCTATTCCTGCCAACATATCAAAACAAACTACTCTGTAGTAGTTACTATATATCATTTATTCAGTAAACAAGCTCTACTTGAACACTAAAAAGGGAACATATACATAGAAGGTTTAGTCAACTAGAATAATTGATACCATTATACACTATGTAGAATAGTCTAGCTAAGTATCTATCTATGGATGCAGCAAGCCTGTCAAGATGAAGATAGCATCTTGCGTGCCGACTGCTGATTTATTTTCCAAAGATACATAATCCAGTTGCGTGTCGGAGACTAGAGTAACCCTCCAATCTACATATGATGGGAAGGAGGATGTTCTCGTCTAGCCATCGGGGGATATCATGCAGATGATAGACACTGATCTGTCGCTGACTACCACAAGTGAGGGATTTAACAAAGTCAAAGCCTACCACCTGATCGTCGATCAGACGCATTAGCTCAACCGGGTGAAACTAGGACTTAATACCTAATTATGAGCCCATAGTAACACACAGAACCAGGAACCAAGAACCATGCGTTATCACTCAGACTGTCGCTGCTAGGGATCTACATGACTTACTGCAACCTCTTCCATTTCCAGACAGCTGATCCTCGCTTAGAATGCTAGGCGTCCAAGATAATGCCTCGAGCAGTGTTCAACGAGCACAAGCCTAGCTGATACACAGACTTGACAGAGCCTCCTGCCGGGGGGCTCTATCTTCAGTTTCGGCATACGAGTACCCCATGGCAATCTACACTGCTCCCCATATTTTTCAAGTCGATTCCCATGCTAGATACTAGCAGTGATGGACTCTATTTGCAGACTCACCTTAAACGTAGGCCAAGGTCTAGCTCATGGGGAAGACGACTCAAAAATGAAACACCCTATTAGGGCTGTGATCTGCAGCCAGCCACTCCTGCACAATGAACGTGAAGGATGACGGCCCCACTTAGCTATTCTCTCCCCTGTGACCTCCTCCTCTCGGCCTGGTGGCAAACGAACTAGGCTTGTTTCTGACACCTATCAGGGTTAACACTTTGGGGGCGGAAGACAGCTGAAAAGGTGCTCTGTAGGAATCGAGTCCGCGTAGATCACTAGAATAGACACTCTCGGCTGTGTGGAATCCAGTGGTGACGGCAACAACTCGCCTCCTTGGGTTAACGCTCTTCTGGCCGGTAAGGATAGACATTCAAGATCGATGTTCCCCCATTCAACCCCATTTATCCACCTTACCCAGACAACTGACTCGTGCACTCAGCGGGAGACGAGTATACCTTGAATCAATCCTTTTGCCCCTAACTGGGGCCGCCAGCTACACCATTGAGTATGTGGCGTTTTCCATTCCAGCCCCCACGCGCCAAGGTTGTACTATCCCCGCCAATCTTAGCCAGATTAAGCTATATCCTTAGCTGACACCGTCAAGATGTGCCGGTTGACTTGACAGACGATTCCCGAGCAGAATGGGTATAAAAGACCTGACTGCACTCCTACCAGAAGATTCCGCTCAACAATCTCGTTCATCTCAGTTATCAAAGTTCAAATCTTAAGCTTCCAGTCTCCATTTCTGCATCATGCCGTCTCTCCGCGCCAGCCTCCTCCTCCTCATCGCAGCGACCTCGACCGCCGTGAACGGCGAGCGCCTAAAGGTCGTCTGGTCCTCTGGCTCTTTTTCAACCGTCTCGGGCCCCGCCGGCAATGAGTCCGGGAATTACAACGGCTTCGCGATTTTCGACGAGGCCGGCAAAGCCATTTATGATCAGGGGACCCCCGACAACCATTCGCCTTGTTACAGCACGGACGACGGCCGCGAGTTCACCATCGAGGGCGACTGCTGGGATACCCCTCGCAAATTCAAGTGCAAATCGAACTTAGCAGGCAACCCTCAAACCTGCGAGGTTAAAGATGGCAATGGCAATTCCCTTGGCAAGGGCGACGGAAAGACGGATACAACTTTTATCGGTATCGCTATCGGCATGGACTCAAGCTGTGTCGTCGAATTCGATGCCGACAGCCACAACTGCCCTGAGGATGATGGCAACGGGCCCCTGCATGTTACTTCCGGTTAAACGGCCTTCCACTATTGCTTGCGAGACTGCCCATGTCGGCACTTGGTTGTGTATCTAGATAGAAACATATAATTGAGACATGTGACCTTGACTCCCCAGTATTTTCAATACTCCAATGATCCAACGATTCAACCATATCTCCTTAAGCTGTCACATTATGAAATGTGCAAGTTTTTTCCTTGACCAGTATTGGCCACAAGACGCAAAGACATGCCAAGTACCAGGCCGGGTGGGGAGGATGATTAGGGCTATGGATTCTGCACCGAGCCGGTCCTCAGCGCATTTAGCATGCTAGCCCAGCACACAGCTCACGCTCTGCTCGGATTAGCGCGCGCAAAGTCAAGGGTTTTTTTTGATATCTGTAAATCAAAGTATTTCATTGTAAATTATGGCAACCCTACAATACTATATAAGCAGCGACTATAGAAACGTCCAAAGCATGCGAAATGAGAAGAAAATAAAGAAAAGAACAAACAGACCCGACCGGTGTGGATGGCTGGTGTCTGTTCCAAATTGCGCATCCTTGGCGGCATCTAGGAAGCTGTCTAGTGTTATAGAAAACAGAGCAATGCTACTTCGCCAACCATGGGAAAAAATTATGCGCTTGAACAATGTCCCGTCACACCATTGAAGGAGTACACCGTCCATATTGTACTGACGCTCGAACCTTCAATACATGCTAAGTAGGTGCACCGAGTTTCCTTGTCTCGGTGAAAGGTCTGACATGCCAAGAGCACAGCACCTGCCGTTTCGGTCATTTCTTCAACATATTACAGTATAGCTTCCTAGAGAAAAGTATTTCTACCCTATCATTGGGTGAACGCGTGTGGAACTGTTGAGAATTATGGGCCCGGTATAGAAAGTATGACTCATGTGACCCGATCTAATCTAATCTGATCAGCTTTGTCAGCGCCGCATGCGGGACTGAAAATCTCCGCCCGCATCGGGAAATTTCCGCTGATCGAGTCAGTTCATCCCACAACAAAAGGCACAGACATCCCCATTCAACAGTTTTTCCCAGGAACACAGATTCAACATCAGAGCATAGGCACAATGTCCAGCTTTATCCTGACCCTCTCTTGCCCGGACCGCCCCGGCATCGTCCACGCGGTCACGGCCTTCCTGGTCCAGCAGAATCTCAACATCGTTGACTCATCGCAGTTCGGCGATCCCACGTCGAAGCGTTTCTTCATGCGCGTGCACTTCAAGGCCGAATCTTCCTCCTCGGAGACCGCGCCCACCGTTGAGACTCTTCGCGATGCCTTCAGTCTCACCGCCGAGGGCCTGAGCATGGACTTCCAGCTCGTCCCCGCGACCCAGAAACCCCGCGTGCTCATCATGGTCTCCAAGATCGGCCACTGTCTCAACGACCTCCTCTTCCGCCAGTCGACCGGCCAGCTGGCCATCGAAATTCCTGTCATTGTCTCCAACCACCCCGAATTCGAGACCCTGGCGCGTACCTACAACATTCCCTTCGTGCACCTCCCCGTCACGGCAGACACCAAGGCCCAGCAGGAAGGACAGGTCCTGGAGCTGGTGCGCCAGCACAACGTCGACCTGATCGTGCTGGCCCGGTACATGCAGGTGCTGTCGCCGACGCTGTGCGAGGCTATGTCCGGACGCATCATCAACATCCACCATAGCTTCTTGCCTAGCTTCAAGGGCGCCAAGCCCTACCACCAGGCTTATGATCGCGGCGTGAAGATCATCGGCGCGACGGCGCACTTTGTGACGAGCGACTTGGACGAGGGCCCGATCATCGAGCAGAATGTCGTGCGGGTGAACCACGGAATGAGCCCGAAGGAGTTGACTCACGCGGGCAGCAACGTTGAGAGCAATGTGTTGGCCACTGCGGTCAAGTTTGTGACTGAGCGGCGGGTTCTGCTGAACGGACACAAGACGGTTGTGTTTAGTTAAGTGGGTTTATATGTATATCAGGTGGTGAATTTTGTCTGTATATCTTGTCATGATGGGTCTGCGCTTTGGCTACAAAAGTAATAGACTGGTCTCTGGATGATTGATGCGGCCAATTGGATGTATACAGAATGAGAGCCTCATTATTTGGCTATTTACTAATAATGCCTCGAGCTCTAAAGCATCGTGGATGATAAGCTCGGGCTTACCGGTGTGCTATCTACTTATACTACAGGTACCTGGCAGGTATCTTTCTACCATCCCTACGACAGTACAATATCCCCAATGCTGCACCCACGCGACACCCGAACAGCATCTCGAATTATAGACGGACCCCGGCAAAAGGATGATAGTCCTCTTCCCCCGCCCACTGCGCCGCATACAGAGACTCATCCATCTGCGACGCATCCATCCCGGCCATGACATCCCTACCACTCATTAGCATCAATCCCACCACGACAGCAGGAAAAGGTCCAACATACTCATCAGTAGCCAACACCTCCAACCCAGGCACACAATCAATCAGCGCATAAAGGGCATAACTCCCAACAAAACTCCACACGAACCCAATCAGCGCCTCCACAATCTGCACCCCCAGCTGCCGCCAATTCCCATCAATCAGACATCCACCCGCGATAAACGTTACCCCGTCATACGCGGCAACCTCCCGCTGCGCAAACAGCCCCGTGACGATCGTCCCGAGAAACCCACCCAGACAGTGCGTCGCAAAGGTATCCCCATTGTCGACCCACCTCCACCGCGCAGCCGCCTTGGTGAACTTGATCCGCAGCGCCTGGCGCCCACACACCGCACCGAGGACCCCAAACGCGACCGCAGTAGTCATATCGACGAACCCCGCGCTGGGCGTGATAAGCACCAGCCCCGCAATCGCCCCGAGAAAGGTACTATCCAGACTCCACTTCCCGGTCTCAAAGTAGGTGAGGCTCGCCCAGGTGAGCGCCCCGGACGAGGCACACAGGTTCGTCACGCAGGCGGCCATCACGCTCTTGAAGTTCAACGCAAGCGTCGTCCCCGCGTCGAACGCCACCCACGCGTTCCAGATGATGATCAGCGCCAGGAGCTGGGACAGCGCGTTGTGTGGCTTGTGCAGCACGAGGTGCTGCGGGGTTCGCTTGTTCGACCGTCGCGACCGGAATCGCGGGTACGAGAGGTAGACGCTCATGGCTGTTGCTGTCGCGCCGCTGCAGATGTGTACGGGCGTGCCGCCGGCGAAGTCGAGGGCGCCTAGTGACGCCAGAAAGCCTGTCTCTGACCAGACCATGTGCGCCAACGGGGCGTATATGAATGTGCACCAGCCCTGTTCATCTCGGGTTAATCTTCTGGTTGTTGTGGCATGGGTCTCGTTACGAGTATGGTTTATTCTCAACCCATTTTTCGTTCGGCTGTTTACTAGGACATACAAAAATAAATGGAATCAATGGGAGGAGTCGCCCGCGCTCACAGGCGCCCCCGATCGCGATCGCGCACACCGTCGCGCAGAAGATGAGCTGGAATTGCGAGAACAGGATCTCTGGGATAGAACCCACTGGGTCCGCGAGGACTCCTATGTGGAACGCTTTGCCGAAGCCCCCGAAGACGCTGTTGGCGTCGCCGTAGGCCAGCGAGTACCCGATCATCCACCATTGGATGGAGCAGACGGAGACGGCGAGTAGACCCGGGTAGAAGGAGGCGAGGCTATTGAAGCGCGTGGAATAGCCTGAGTAGGCGAGGCCGACGGCGGGGATGATCAGCCAGCAGAAGACGCTGCAGACGAGGATGAAGAGTGTGTCGGTTTGGGAGCACGACTCCCATGCGGCTTGGACAGTCATGGTGTTTTTTTGCAACTGGTTAGTATGATTTCAGAGTCGTGTTTTTATTTTCTGGGGAACTGGGGTGTCTATATGTGATGGTGTTTTTAGCCCTATCGAGGTAGATCCTGATAAGACACGATGTTGCTCATTGGTTATGGAGAGGCTATCAGCTGCACGATGCACATCATCCCTGGTCAGGCAGTCGCATGCGATTCGGGGTGTCTGTTAGTACTGCTTATCTATTTCATTTTTTTTAGTAATGAATCAATGGTGCTGGAATAGTGAGTGTCTACTTGGCTCTTCACTAGGGGATAATCAATTAGTGGTGGTATATCTATGATGTATAGTAGGCCCAGCCAGACGCATCTGATAACACGAGAGAACAAAGTTTAAACGTGTCTCTCGGCAAAAATACATACTCAATAAAAAGTGAATAAACGAGCCCTATCCAGGGTCCTTGCATTCATGGTATTAAAGAAAGCCATGAATACCATCGGGGTACCATGCTCTGAAGAGGTTCCCTTGCCATCACGTTGAAGAGATCAGTAAAAAGATTTGATCAAGTCAACGCCAATGGCGCTGCTGGGAATCGAACCCAGGTCGAATCGGAATTGTTGTTTGAAACCACAACGATTCATGATGACCACTACACTACAGCACCTTGATCTGTATCAAAACTGGTGGACAACACGTGGATATATATATCGAAAAATCCGATGGTGGTAATTTGACCACAGGTTCAATATGTCTCTATCGTATTATCGACATTGCAAGGAACCATCCGAGCTACAACAGACACGATATACGGATAAACCCAGGATAATGCCAATAGTGGATACAACCCTTAATTTGATTGATGTCTTTAGGGTTATTTACACTGACCGGGGAATGACCCGCACCGCCACATCTAACCCGATCACCAGCCACAGTGGCTCGTGGACGAGTTGGCCTCTTGCCCGGCCGAAAGTTGACCCGGACCCGGGGCATTGGGGCGACTCTGTCCTTTCCCCGATCAGCATCTCCATTGACCGCGAAGCTCAATTAAACCTCACTCCATTTCGCTATCCGTTCCATACATTCCTTGTCTTCCTCTTCCGACCATCTTCAATCCCTCTCACATCCTAATCTTCACAATGGCCGACCAAGTGCAGGAGCTCCTCAATGTCCCCCGGGAATTCTTCCGGGACGGCATGCAGTTCATCCACCGCAGCCAGAAGCGTGAGTCGTCCAGCTGATAGCCTGCGCGCACACACCCCAATGCTAATCGGACAATCACCATCTAGCCGACCGACGGGAATTCATCAAGATCAGCCAAGCTGTTGGCGTCGGTTTCCTGGTGATGGGCGGAATTGGCTTCATCGTCAAGCTGGGTGAGCTCTCCTGGTTCTCGTCTCGTACGCGACACATCTTGCTAACACAGTGACAGTCCACATCCCCGTGAACAACGTCCTTGTCGGCGGTGCTTAAATTTTTCGTTTCCTTTTTCATCCTAAATATCGACGACCCGACCTCTCCTACGCCCGTCATGCCTCTCCCTCCTTCTTCCCCCTGAACTCGACTCGAAAAAATGGTGGAAACGACGAGCTATGCACCTGCGATGGAAACCGGGATATAGACGTGCACTCCACGATACATACACACGGCACTGCGACGGAGGAGATGGTCCCGAGGTTTACAGTTGTCGAAAGCGTTTCCCGTCGGTCGGATCTCGATCGCGATGGCGTTCCTGCCGCGTCCGTTTTTTGTCGACATGTCTAATACCCTTGCTATCGGTTGCAATAGTTTGTAATAATATTAAGCCTTGTTTGTTGGTGTTGTTTTATTTGTCTGGTATGCTACTGGGCTAGATCATCTCATTCGGTGTAGGGCAATGGCGTAAGTCACGAGACCGTGACTTCGGACTGCGAATGCCACCTTTCGTCAGACGCTGTCACTGGCAGGCTCTTGAAGCGCCAACCATTGATATTGTTACCCCATTTCGATCTGGACTCGGTTGCTCAGTAAATCTAGGAGGGTTCCTTCGCCAGTCATTCTTCAAATGATCTGTTATCTACGCGTGCTACAGTGCCTGACAACCATCGGAGGTATACGACCAGGATATCCAAACAGTTACGCATACGGGATCATGAGAGAGTAAATTGACTAAACACGGGATAGATCAGCTAGAATATGGACTGCACATAATGAATCACCCTAGCCTCAGTCGATGTGGAACTTCCTACCCCAGGATGATCTGCAGGACCCGATGATCGATCTTCAACCGTCCTGCAACTCGAACCATCTCATCCCTCCATCATACCACTGACGAAAGAGCCAACATTAAACATCAGCTACCGGGCCCCCATACGAATGAATCTAAGCCCTGCATCAGTATCCACATAGCGACAACCTCAAAGCAACGACAAACAACCAAGAACAAGAAAAAGAATGGGGAAGATCATACCGTCTGATCCGAACACCCCTCAGGCGTCTTATCCAGATACGCTCCCGTATTCACAAACACCTTATCCTCCTGACAAACATACCAAGCCGCCGTATTCGGTCTCTCAAAATCATCCGCCTCCCACGTCAGCGCATCGCCCTGGAACGCAAACGCGCCGTACTCGTTCTTCGTCGCGTTGAACCACGTCTGCAGCTTGCGCTGCTCGTCGTCCGCGCGAGGCTCCACGTTCATGTACAGCGGCTTCTTGTCGGCGCCGGTGTTGTAGACTAGCTGGCCGTCGATGACGTTGAATTGGCCTGCATTTGTGTTCTTCGCGAGGTGCGCTGCCCCTGCGGCTTGCGTTGGCTGACTCTGCAGGTAGCTGTGGTAGTAGGGGGTTTCGACGGCGCGGATCCACGACCAGGATGGTTCGAGGGTGGCTGTTGCTGTTGGTGTTGGGGTTTCGGTGGTGGCGGGTTGGGCGGTTGCGAGGGAGAGGAGGGGGAGGAGAGGGAGGAGGGATAGTGGGGTGTACTGGAGGCGCATTGTGATAATTGGGATGGCGTCTTTGGTGCTAAGCATTGTATGGAGATGGTACATGAGAAGCTTATATGGATCTGCTGGATTTAGGCAATTCGGGTATTCTTTCCTTGCTTCCGTGGCGGAAGTAGATGTGCATTTTATCTGAAACGTTGCGTCGGCATGGGCTGTCAATTTCGGGAGCTGATTGCTGGGAAATCTTCTCTGATGCTTCTTCAAGTACATATACGCGGAATATTTTATAACTTATGCACGGGTAGATCCCGTATAGGCGAAGGCTTATTCTCAAAGTGGGGGGTCTCATGAAAGGAGGGAAATTGTATAGCCCTGCATATGGGAAGGGCGATGAGAACCCAAACCATGAGCCAGTCTCCCTCAGTGCTTACTGTCGACTATGGCTAAGGCGATGTTCAGAGACCTGTACATCGCGATATTGTTTGTATCTCGGTCCTCAGAGCTACGAACTATCCACGTTATCTTACAAGTAGTAGTCACACTACAACATCACTCATTAGAATTATATTACCTTACTACACACCAATGGCTAAACCTCTGCCATAGCAGGCCACCACAACCAAGAAACCGCCATAACGGCCTTCCCAACGACAGCAGTCCACAACGCCCCGGACAGACCAACCTCGCTCCTCGCCCACACGCCCCCTACGCAAGTCCCCACCAGCATCCCTCCCACTGCCCCAGCCTCCGCAGCTGCTCCGGGTCTCGAAATGCCCACAAATCCGAAAACAAGTCGCAGTACACACTGGTCAACACCACGCTAGTTAGGCTCCGAAACTGCAGCACGCGACTCGCAACCGCCTGGCCGCTGCTCTGGAACGCAACCAGACCCAACGGCAGCGCGGTCCTCCACGTGAGCCCTGACTCTCCGACCGGCCGGTAAACAGTGACGACCGTCGCCGCCAACATGAGACACGCTGTCTGCATGCCAAACGAGAGGGCGAGGGCCCATCGTGCCCGCACCGGAGGCTGCGTTGAGCGATGGAACGTCGAGAAAAACACGGAGCCGAGGCAGAACCCGCCGATGGAGACGAGCGATCTCAGCCACCGGCCGGTGTCGTCGACACCTGCTAGTCCGAGCCCGAGGTAGACGGTGTTGCCGGTTTGCATGCTGGCGAAGGAGCCCCAGATGGAGACGGCTGAGCTGTCTAGGAGGCCGGTGAGGACGTAGCATAGTAGGAGGAGGATGTCGGCTCCGCGCGGGTCGATGTCGGTGCGCATGTATTTCCTCAGGTGATGCAGGCGGGTTGGGCCCTGGTTTCGACGGCCCAGGAGGGCGTCAGTCTCATGCGAGGGGAACTCATAGTAGGAATGTCCTGGGGTCATTGTGTGTATGGAGGATTATCGTGAGAGTGTGGTGGGTCAATGTAGGTGAGTAGATACTGGACGGCTTGTTCCTGCCGCCGGGTGTATCGTCCAGGCCCCCAGTGTTATATATCAAGGACCAATGATGAGAAGTAGGACCCTGAATGATTGTCGATCAACGGAGTGAGTTACACTAGTATGGTATTACCCGTTTACCAAAGATCTCATTCACAAGATGCATTGCGGGGTTAGCCAAGTCACCGAGTTAAGGACCGGGCCAAGGGTGACGTCAAGACTTGAACAGCTTGGTGGAAGATGCTTCCGACTTCCGACAGGGGCAGGGCTGGAAGAGACCCACATGTGGTGATTATTTGGTTCACAGGGGTGTTTACCTTTCTCTTCTGTCTTTGCCTGTTGCTGGGGATGGATATCGGATTGGATGCTGTGGATTGTCCCAGATGTTACTTTTTGGTCGGCTTGTTCGGATAACGGTTGTTGAGATCGAGAATAGTGACGACGTCGGAGATTCAAAAGACGAAGCACAAAAGGCAATTTGAGCCAGTCAGGCCCTTGAACCAGTTTCATAATCAGCAATACATGTTCCCTACCTTTTCTCTGATTCGAGGTTTGTTTCCACACTTCTCCGCTTTATTGTTTTCTTGGACAATGGAAACCTAATTGACAACCCATCTCATGTACTGTCATTATATGGCTAGATTCAAGGAACCCATCCAAGTCACCAAGACCATACGATTGATTTTTTGCTCTTGACCCATTTCCTATTCAATACACCCTCGTTGATTATGAAAAAACGACTCGAGTGGGGTCGACTTGACGGCGCTTCAGACTTCCCGATGATACCCTGGAATTCAGTCTTGAGTAATTTGGCTAACAATGCTCTGACACTTACATGACATCGAAACCTTACTGAAGTGCCACTGATGTGTATATGGCTTAACTTCTGGACGGGAATCCATCGGAACTCACGATGATGATGGAAGGATGATTGCACTTTCCCAGCCCTTGAACGAAATTATTGCTCATGTCCATACGTTCTATGGAGGCTATATAGAGCCCTTTCCCGGCCGTGAGGACTCACCAATCTTTCTTAACCTGCTAGGCTCACTGTTAACATAAACTTCTATAAATTTGACTGTGGGAGGCAGGGTAATCCCTACACAGCATCATTTACTTATAATATATATACACGTGAGTCCGATGCCATATTGTTCATGGCTATAAAGAAACCACGCAATATTGACAGGCACAGTACATACAGTATGTACAAGACACAGACAAAGTCCACACCAGACAAAGTGTCATCCCAAGACCCAAGTCAAATAGAAGACGATGAAGTTGCCAAAATCACCTTTTCCCTCCAGAGCACAACGATTGACAGCTCTGTCGGGCCACAGCTTGTATCGACAAGAGCCGGCATCGTAGAGCTCGTCGGGGAAATTGCGGATTTACCGACGAGCCCACCCTCACTGTTTGTCGACCTCGAAGGCGTCAACCTGTCGCGTCATGGAACCATATCCATTCTCCAGATTTACGCTGCGCCTCTTGACCGGACCTATCTGGTCGACGTCCACATACTCAAAGAAAAAGCGTTCTCACAGCCCGCGGGCAACGGCATGACACTGAAAGACGTTTTGGAGTTATCCTCAATTCCAAAGGTCTTCTTCGACGTGCGCCATGATTCAGATGCCCTGTTCGCCCATTTCGGGGTCCGATTGGCTGGTGTGCAAGATCTTCAATTGATGGAAGTTGCAACTCGCCAATGTCGGCGAAGGTTTTTAAGTGGTTTGGCGAAGTGTATTGAATTTGAGTCTAGCATGACCCCGGAGCAGAAGGTGGCCTGGAAGGAAACAAAAGAAAGAGGAAAGAGGTTATTTGACCCGGACCAGGGAGGCAGCTACGAGGGATTCAACACTCGACCACTTTCGAGCGAGATCCTGCAGTATTGCGCCCAGGATGTGGGATATCTACCCGGGCTGTGGCGAAGGTATGATCAGAGGTTGACAGCAATTCGGGACAGGAGGGCAGAGGTAGAGCAAGAAGTCGAACGTAGGATCTCGGACTCCCAACATGCGGCATATAATGGGAACGGCCGTCATATGGCACGAGCCCCTCCAAGATGGGCGTACCTATCTTGATATATTTTCATCTCTGTGCGTCTATATAGCTTGTCGGTTATGAGGTACCTCGGAAATTTGGGCATTTGTACTCAGCATCAGGGATGGAGAATATCAGGGTCAGGGCAGGGTATTAGGTCATGATCTTTGAATGCTTGGTGGGTACAGTTTACTGATCCCAAGTGTATGCCACAACTCCTGACTGTGTCGTGAATGTGGAATTGTGAGACATGCAATTAGCCAAACATCAACTGACTTATGTCATTTTCCCACATAGATTGTTGCCCTGATCCTTCGTGCCTTATGCAACCTTTTAAACTATTCGCAACATTGATAGTCATCAAGCTCATCATTCCTGTGGCCGTTCTCATCGGCCCCTCCACTATGGAAACTTTGACCACTGAGCTAAAGGTTGTCGAGTTCAAAGTCCTTTGGCTGTATGAACATAGCATCGCATTTCACGAGGCTACAATGTGATTATTTGAATAGCTCTGCTCCAACTGAACGATGATGCCTGTAAAAGTAATCTTGGCGAATTCTATTCGGAGCCCATATTTATACCAATCCTGCTATGATTAGATTTGCAATATCAAAGTATCTGCATAATCAACCCGGGTTTATGCCGGTATGATCAAAAATGATGAATGTTCAATGTTCAATGTCGAATTTTGTAGTCATCTACTCGAGTGAGAAATAAATTGGTAGAAAGATATAGAAGTAGTATTTACCAGTGTCTTAAATGGATTAGACAGGCATTGGCCCTGAAAAAAAAAAGAATACACGTCATTCTTTGGAAACTTCAGGTATGAGCAAATACTAACATGAATGTTCATTTTGCACTATATAGCCAGTCCCTCCCACATTTCCCTCAGTAATTGTGATAGGTTTCCCATGACTATTGACAACTTCAGAGCAGATAGCCTGTGGTACATGTGATGGGCCTTGTTATTCTCGAACAATGGCTATTAATATCCACACTGCTAGCGCCTTAGTCTACAAAAAGACTGTCACAGTTGAACAAGTAATATATGTTTACGAAACAGTGATGTAGAGACCAAATAAGTAGATACAGGAAATTCAAGTGATTATATAACCACTGATAAGGATCAGGAGCCGAAATTGTAGATGAAGCTGCTAAAATTAGACCAGAAATAAGACTAATGCATTCGAATATTTACGAGGTGTGGAGACACCGGTCATCTCCTTAAATTACCTCGATAACATGCTGACATGCCCCAAACCAATGTAAGCAGCCCATTTCCTGTGGCAGATATTAGGCGCAATGAAGAGTCGTGACAAAATTTTAGGTCGGTGATATGCGAGGTAGACCTGATCCCTGTTAATCTGATCAAGATAGGTTGGGCTTATCTAGACGTGTTCGGATAATTTCCTCAAGCTTGATGCGGGCAGGTGCCGAGTAAGACAGCCCTCAAAACTTTCTCGCGTGACGAGTCAGTAGGGGGTATGGCAGACAGAAATAGATTTAGATTTAGGGCCTAAATTCATATCAATCTAACCACAGTAGGATGGCGTGACCCAGTGAACAATCCAATGTTGAGGCCAAACGCACCGACCTATTCTCCATGCCCAATTCGTATTCAAACAAAGCCACTCGGCAAAGGACATCCACACAACCACATATATGCTATGCAGTCAGAATGTTTGATACCACTAGATGTTGTGATTAAATGGCTTTGAAAGCATGGAAATGGCGTTGGTTGTAGTCTACTTGACAGAATACAGGGAGGTTATAACACTGCGTCCAGTTTCATATGTCAAAGGAAACCCTGATGTTTACATCATGCTTCTAAGAACCTAATTTAACCCTGCCATGTTTTCACAAGGGCTTTCTCGCTTAGAAGCTAGGCGCTGTGACTTAGCACATGGTATTCCTGCGGGGCCATCTCGTATACAATATCTATAAACAATCCTCAACTCTGGCAGCCAAGGCCCAAGCTGCACCTGTTTGCAAGAATAGGATCCAGGAACCTTGGACCGCAAAAAATATCATGTCTTCAAAGTAGTATTATCCTCTGGTATTCCATCGATCTGTCGCCGAGGTTGTCGAGGTAATGGGAACGTGCGTCCACGACGGATATAAACATGGGATCATGAAATACCGGTTAACAATGCCCTTGGCCACGCAGAAGGTGCAAACAAGCAAGTACCGTAGCTATAATTATCCACATATTCTTCTAGTAGAGATTATACGAGCGATTATACCCCACATAGTGCACTTTCTACTACGACCACCGCCCGAAGAGGTTCCATTCCGCGAGATGGGGGACCATAGGGCAGCATGCTGTGGCGTCTGCTATAGTAGTCGCACTTCGAGAACATCAACATAGCCTGATATATTATAAGAAACGGTATATGCTTCCTGTATCTACCAGATATAAAAGAAGGTCAATTTCCACCTGCTTCCTCTCTATCACCGCAACATCCAGACAACAGAAACCCCACAGCCCCCAAACCAAACCAGTGTCAAGCACTTCATCCCCACACGTTACTCGAATCCACCACCATGAAGATCCAGCTCACCACCATCGTCGGACTTCTTCTCCCCCTCGCCGTGCTGGCCGCCCCGACTCCAGAGGCAGACGAGCTGGTCGAAATCCCAGTGGCTATTGAGGACGACGGGCGCCACGCCTCCTCCTTAGACATCGGTCTGGGGAAGCGAGCAAACCGTTCTTGCCAGATCGTGAACACCGAATCGGAATACGTCAAGTGTCGGAGTGGACCTGGCTTTAGCCATGATGTCCAGGCGGTGGTCTACCCTGCTAAACGGTACAAATTTACATGCTACAAGTCTGGGGACTGCTACGAGAACAACTGGTGAGATATTTTGATACGGCCTTTTTGGTTCTTGAAGTGATGCTGACAGGGTGTAGCACTTGGGATGCGGTCAAGATGAGCAATGGCAAGTATTGCTATGTCAATGGCTATTACACTGATGATAAGTGCACTGCTGGTGAGTGGAATTCTATTCTAAGAAGAGAAAGCCTCGGTGTATGGTGAACTGACGGCATACAGCGGCGCTCGGCGAGTGTTGATATAGCGGATCCCACTATGGGGGATGCTGAGGGTAGTGAGGATTGCAGAACATGTGTCGAAATATTATATAAAGACTCAGTATGCCTAATGTAGGGCTCGCGCAGCCAGAGCCCTAAGCTGCTCAAGCGCAACGTCAGTATAATGATTAAACCATGAGTGTCCATTTATGAAGCCTTCACCAACTGCCTCTTATATCACTAGTCCATCCATACCATCGGTAGGTACTCTATCCCTAACATAATTACAACCAATAAAGTAACTGCACAAGTGTTCCTCCACACCAATCTCTCAACCACTGGCAAGTCATGTTTCACTCTTTGTTTGAGCGAAGGCCAAACAATTATCGTTTATAAACTATGCCTACCACTTTGAATACGAGACCGACATATATACGTACAGCCATTCATGGTTTGCGAGCTATACAGACTGGATATAGTAACCGTAAGCAGAACTGAAGCTCGACCGGCATCCATCACCGCGTTCTCTCATACCGCACCCCATGCGACATAAGCAGATACTTTTTGAAGCAGTCTTCTGCGAAATCATCGAACGGACGATACTCAGCCCCCAGGCGATACGCCGCTGCAATACCCGAGATCACTGCGATTTCGTGCATATTCTGACCAGTCAGTATTGTGTTGATCCAAAGATAGGGGGAGAATCAGACTGAACCCACCACCATCGTCCAGCTCCCCGCATACAGTGTCCGGTTCTTCCCATTAATGAACATCATCCCCGGCACAACCCGCAGATAATGCTGCCACCGGTGACCAAACTGGTGCCACCATTTGCGGGCGATGATCTTGTTCTCGTCGATGCCGCCCAGTGTCCAGAGATGACTTTCTTCGTCATTCAAAAAGATACTCTGGTAGACATGCCGGTCTGGTTCAGACGCAGGTGCGTCTTCGCCTAACGCCTCGCGGAACTGGTGCTGGTAGTGACTGCAGTCGAAGCCCATCTCGATCCTGTCTGGGGCGCTCGGCAGCGAGTGCGTGAAGTACATCGGGGCAAACCCCCCCCAGCCGTCTTTGCGGCTGAGTGGGGGCTGCTGTCGAGCGAAGGCGGCCTGGTCCTTGCGCGCCTCGGTGCTGGCGTATCCGCAGAGTTCGGTCCGGAAGCGCGTCTCAAAGTTACTGGCGAAGTAGTTCGCGTCGGAATGGGTGACAGTGAGGTCGTTGTAGAAGGAGACGCCGTTGAGGACGTACCGCTCGCGCCAGGAGGCGTGTTCGTCGAGGATGCGTTTGGCTTCGTCGGCTGGGCAGCAAAGAACGAGGTCGTCGAAGGACTCCGGCGGTGAGTACATATCTTCGCCGCTGGCGATGGAGTAGGATCTTGTTCGGAGCGGGCGCAGGATCACCTCGTACTTGTCGCGTTTGAGAAGCTGGACTCTCGTGTTGAGGCGGATGTGTACGCCGCGCGAGGCGAGGTCCTTGGTCCAGTCACTGTAAAATTTACTCAGGTTGGGGAATGTGTACATGGTTGGCTGGTTGGGAAGCAGCGTATCCGGGTCGTAGTCCCACAGTTTCATGTTGGGGTCGTCAAAGAGTCGTTCAAGCAGGGCGCTGGGGACGTTTGGGGTCTGGTTTCCGGTCCCTAGAAAGAGAGCGATAAGAGGAAGCACGATGCGGTTCGTGAAGTCGCGACTGAAACGAAACAGCCGCATGGTGGTTTTGAGGGGCAGTATGCCCAGCACCGGCATCAGTCTCTTGATCCATGACAGCATGCGTCCCAGCTTTTTGATCTCATGGCTGAACTGGTCGATCAACGGACTGGGAAAGATATTTGTGAAGAAGCTCCCCGGCCCTTTTCCAAATGCCACCTGCAATTGAACAGCGCGCGGCTCGTACCCATATCGTCGGAAGAAGTTGAACGTGTGGTGGAAGATACCAGAGCCGCCTTGCACGCCGTCGTTCATCCAGCTAGCGCCATACCGACCGCTGTCTAGATCAATGGAGGTGGCCTGACCACCTGTATATGTGGCTATATCGAACAGTGTGACATCGAACCTATCGGGGTGTTGGGCGAGGGTGGCCGCGCACGACTGACTCTTAGCTGCTGCTGGGAAAGCTGAGCGGATCTGGGTTCACTTACCATGCCAGCAGCCCCCGCCCCGATAATGGCGACTTTTTTTGGCTGGCCGACCGAGGACATCTCGCATGATACTGAATAAAAATTTGCAACGTGCCAGCGATCCTGCGAACTGGTCGTGTTGTCATCGCATTCCGGTTCGGTCATGATGTCATCAGACGGGAACATCCAATTGCTGGATGTTGGTCGGAGGATGACCTGATCGGTCCAGCCTTGGTTTGGTCCGTTGATTACGGTCAATCTCAAGCGTGGAGATCAATTGTAACCGGACTATTGCTAATTGATCTATATGGTGCTTGGCAACCAACAGTATGCTAATATTGACGGCAGGCATCACTCGGCGTTCCACAACGAGGGCTACACGACTTTTCGACCTGGCTACAGTTCCACTGGAAAGTAGGTCTAGACATGCTGTTTGAATTTCACTGCGCGTTGAACTTCGTAGCTATGTGCGAGAGCAAATCCACAATTGAGTCATGAAACAGAGTGCGTGAACAGCAAAAAGATATAGAGAGTAAGTACACATGAGTCAGCCATATTCATTATTGGCCAAACTATCCTGAATCACAACAACTGCCGTAGTAGTCCGAGCGTTAAGGTGATTGCCAGCGTATATACGATAGATCCCTCGAGCGCCATTGCTGATGACGGTATGTCTGAAGGTGCAGATGCTTCAGCCTTGTTGCTGGGCTGCACAGTACCATTATATGACACCTCGACTGGGTGCTCGGTATATGCGACGAGTGCCGCTGGCTGGTAGTAGTCATCCGTGACGTCGAAGCTGATCTTGGCCGACTCACTCGGCGAATCGAGGCTGAGACATGTATCAGTGACCGGCGCAAGTCCATCAAAGCAGGAAAGCCTACCTTGCATATTCGTCCCCGTATTGATTCAAGACCACGGCCTCCCGGACCGTCCCATTAAACTTGGCATCAATCTCATAATGTCCAACTTCGAGATCTCCCAGCCCGACAGCAACGTAGGTCAGTGATCCGTCGTCGTTGGGGTCCCGGAAGGTGGCATCCTCATCCGCAATGGCGATGGTGTGCGTCGCGTCTTCACGCCGAGCGGGAAAGTTATATCGGCTGCAGCCACCCTTTAAGCGGACAAGGAACTTGTCACCCCTCTTGAGACCACAGGTCGTGACGAATAGGCGGAACTGGGGGCCTTGTGTCCGGGAGTTCTGCTTTGCAGGCACACACATCCGAGTCGCGAGACCGCCGCCTTCGAGACTCATCGCTGTGGACGAATGGCATTAGGAAATTCGTCATCTAGGGGAATCAATATCATGGAAACGTACCAGGTGGATATTCGTCGCACTCCATGGCAACGCCGCGCCTCTTTCCTAGTGCTGATCTCTGTTCAGTGGAGGTTGAAATGGTTTAGGGTCATGGTTCCTACCTTCGCACTCCGACTTGTAGAACTTTTTGCACTGAACATCTTTTCGCCTGTCTGCTGCGTCAGGGTTTTTCTTTGCTGGGCCGCCGTAGGTGAGGACGTCTTCCCCCTTTGCTAGGTCTGTCCATATGTCGTGTCGGCCATCGATGCCGGACTTTTGTCTTTTATACCAACCGTTCATGCCTGTATGCTGTGAGTATGATGTGTTCCCATGTCTCGAGCGAGCAGGAGAGCGAGAATTAGGGCTTACCCGAGCACATGCTCTTGACCAACTCATCCGTCTCCCCACGAACGGGTGTGAACTCGACGACAGGCAACCGCTGACCGGACGCATGGCACTCCGTGGTGCAAGTCTTTGGGAAAGGACGTTGTCGCTTCTCGGGCTGATGCTCACTACCTTGAAACACGTCCGTGAGACCCTCCGACCAGGTGCGACGTACGTTGGCAGTCGGCTCCACAGTGCACTCGGGTTCCGTACTCGTCGACCTGGACGTGGATTTTGATCTGGATGTAGACGTCGATCTTGACGTGGATGCCTTGGTAGTCGTGATTTCACGCGTCGTGGTGGTTCTCGAGGAGCTCGTGCGGGTACTGGTGCTCGTCTGGGTCTTTGTTGGAAAGCTCCATCGTCGAGTCGAACAGTATCCATCGCCTCCACAGGTGCCGCTCTGCGGGCAGCATGATTTCTGGCAGCACTTCTGCGAGCTGGAACACGTCCCTCCGGCAGGGCAACAGTGGCTCCTTCCCGGGTAAAAGTAATAGCCCGTGATACAACAACTGGCCGCGGGCGGTTTGCAGCGACGGGGGACATTCGGACATTCCACTGCAGCATATCATTAAAACGGCCTGCGCTTGACACTTTTTTCCTAGTAAAGAAGGAGGGGGTGCATACCCCAACCTGGGTCAAAACACCGAAACCGTTGGCGTTTTTCCAACGGATCGTCGAACGGGTCGAGCGAAATGGAGTCGTTACCCATCGCCAACTCCATCTCGTCTGCGCGGACGAGCTCATAGTCAGAGGCACTGCCATTGGTAGTATCCTGTGCTTGTACACTACACAGGAAGGCGAGGATGGCGAGAACGACAGGGAATGCGTTGAGGCGCATCTTGCTCGTCAATTGCAATGTACTCTATCCTCTCGCTTTGGAAGAAGATGTTGAATTTCCACCCGCGTAATTTGAGGTGATAGGAAGCTTTTATTCTTGGACACGCTAGTGAGGCTGTTCTCCATGTGACGGTTCGTATACAAGGCTGGGACAGGAGATGACCGACCCCGTATTCGGTGTAGAGGATACAAATTGATTGGCACACTTCCCCTTGGCCAGTTTCTTGGGTCAAATCGTATAGTAGATCCGACTGGTTGAGAGCCATGAGCAGCATTAGTGGCGTTATGAAAGAAGTAGTGTGCGGGGTTTACGACAAGCTGTGTTCTGATAACTGGGTGCACTATGAAAGAAAGGCCATTATATATTTTTATTCTCCTGCAAATGATCTAAACGACCCTAATGTATGGAAGTCAATTCGGAATCAAAAACATAATAAATTTGATGATTGCTCATCTTACGAAGAAGGGTTCGAAAAGTTGCAAGTCGCAAGAAGAGAATAATATACAAAATAGCGTGGGGGCGTCTTGTAAACACTGCAGACCACATGTTCGGCTGCTTGTAGGTACTCCACAGGAATAAGATTATTCCTTTTTGGAGGTTCCTTCTAATGCGTAGGTATCTTGTGGCAACATTATCGGGGGCTGGTTTACATCTACTCCTCGCGATGCGGGCACCGAAAATATGTAAACCATTTGATCTGGTGGAATAGCCACAACGCCTTCCAATTTATGAAATACATAGAACTTCAAGATATTGTACACGCACCAAGAGTATTATGAAGTCATTACATCAAAACACAAGTCTTTTGAACAATAATATGTTATATCAAATCAAATGCAGACACGCGGAGTACGAACCACATTGACCCGCTAGACATTCCATCACCCTTCGTTTCTACTGGCAGTGCCTAATTAATATTTTGAAATATAATTTGGAGTCGGACAAATACAATGAAGCATTTTTATATGCAAGTTACATGCAAGCACAGCCACTAGTCTTCGTAGAAATAGCTAAGCCTTTCTTCCTCTGTTCCTTTGATGTAAAACACAGAAATGTCGAGGTGATATCCGAGGAAAAAGATCTCGTAAATGGATGATCGCTGAATTCCAGATAATCAAATCACCTTGTAACTCTTGATTTCCAATGATATTTGTCGACAGTATTGCTTGTGCTTGGGCAGTATGGGGAGTAGTTGGTGACTGCACCTGGTGAAACGTGTCAGTTAGCGCATGCAAATCTGTGGTTTTCTGATGACTGCGTGTCTTGCAGAGTTTTGGTTTCTCATGCAACTGCCAGTGCCTTGCATGCCTTCATCGATATGCTTCATCTCGTTCATTTTTATCATTGCTTCCCCACCTGGTCTCCTCGCGCACGATAGATTGTTTACTATTTTGTGAATATACAACGTGACGTCATACAAGGCTGCATGTACGTATCTCGGCTTGCCATAACCTCCCAATATGGAAGATGCTAATGGAGTGAAGGTGGACAGGGGGTCATATCGTCCCCAGAACCCACAACCGAAGTTCTAATACAATGCATGGGCATCGATCTCTGCTACGCTCAACCTTTGAGTTGAAATTGAATCAGGAGCCAGCCGCGCTGGAAAGGCCTCGACTCGTCTGCGGGATTTAAGTTCGAGACTGACCAAGTTTGGGCCAAGTCCAGGCTTCTCATGGCCGAATAAGTGGAGTATTCACCCAGGGACTGATCCTGTGTAAGCTCGATGTTGTCGTTAAGCATTATGTTGTTATCCTCGCTGGTTGATGGAGTGATGAAAAGGGTCACCTCGCTGGACTGGACCGGGCTTTTGTGCGCCCGGGCCCAAAACCGGGGTCGGTCCTCCACCTGGTCCAGTGACATGGGGTCACCCGCGGCCAACTCTTTCCACTTCTCTGGATAGTCCTCTTCTAGGTTAATGGCTAGGACCTTGCCAACGTTGCCGTACGCGGAACTATCGGCGAAGAAGAACGGGGGTGGCGCAGAGGCCCAGTCTTCGACGGCCGCGGATGCGCTCCTCTCCAGCAACCTGCCGGCCCCAAATGACGAACAAGGGATGTGCAAAACAACATCAGAGATGCTGCGGTAGTCAAATTGGCGGAGGGTTTTGGGTAGCGAAATGCGCCAGGAGGAAATGGCCCCCGCTCCTTCAAACGGCCCATACTGGTCGGAAGGTCGGTAGTCCGTGTCCCAGACGCCCGCGTCCTTGTAACAGTTGGACACGGGGACGGATGTGAGTGGGATGTGGTCTGTGCGAAAACTGGCTTCTCTCTGCGGGGGGTAGTCATCGGGAGTAGATGAGATGCGATACCTGTGCTGCTGCAGTGTAAGGGTACAGCTGAGGTTGTTTCGATTTGGCTGCGTAGCCGACTGACTCCTCGAAGCCAGGAAGTGATACGGACACCGAGAGGATGCGCCGGCAGAAGTGACGGGAAGTCCATCTCGAACAGAACTCCAGGAACATCGAACTGGGCTTCACACAACTCGTGGAGCGCGAGAAGGGCCCGAGGATTTGTCTCGCGCAGGGAAAAGTGCTTGACGATCTCCTAGTCGAATGACATATTCTCCCGCTCTAGAACCTCCATGCGTTTGAGGTCTAGGTACAATGCTTCCCCGGCTAGCTGACCGTCGCGCACCGTCTCCCAGTAATCCGGGGCGAGGATGTCAGTTGCGGACTGCCACCAGTGGATCAAATGGCCAGTTCAAAGTTCAAGGACCGCTGAGCGGCTTTGGCTAATTCCATGACCATCACAGGTCCGGTGGAACATTTGACCTACGGCGTTGTCCAGCAAAGTGTACAGCTCGTGGCCGGCATATTCGGTGCGCAGCCACTCCTCCTCGGCCATAGCATTCTCCAATTGTTGCTGATACTGCTGTAACTGCCCACAAGCTAACCGAAGATTTCCAGTCTGTAAGTTATGCAAGCATCAGAATTGCGTGAACAAATATCTACCTACCTAGATATAGCCAGTAAGTGCAGTGGCATCGCCATCAAACAGTAGCGTGCTGACCGCTTGTAGACGAGGGTGAGTAACCCCACAGGCCATGCAAATTGAGACGACTCTAATCTATCCTCGGCTGCCCTGATATATACAGACCCCGGCAGTAAGTAGAGACAGCTCAAGTGCAAAATGCTTGCTGATCTGTCTACAGCCGCTGCGTTCGCTTGACTCACCCGCCATAATACATGATTAGATTAACCGAGTCAGGCATCGAGCCACAACGAGCTGGTAAGTTGCGAACCCCGGTACGACATGTAGATCTTCACCTGGCTCAGTTGCTAACGTCACATTCCAGTAACGGCACACCCAGTCCAAGCCGGACTGCAGCTGGCGCACTGCACCGACCGACAGGGTACAAGAGTTTCCGCCCCGCTCCACCCAACCGATATGCTAATTTGTGTCTCCCACGGTCACAGTGACATTGTGACTAGTGCCATTCCGCAGGGGCAATTCAACCTTGTAAGTAAACGTGAACTGTGGGCAAGGGCCTCCGGACTGATAATGACGGGCTCCTTGGTATGTATCCTTGGTTGTGATGTCCGGAAGATTGAACAATTCACTGCCCGAAGGTGATCGACCTGTTTCTATTCTGGACGGATTAGACAGGATTTCGGCCTACGATCACGATCATCATTGTAGCCAATGATGAAATTATCCGTCTCATAAACCCGCCATGCGGGCAGCGACCTGCCGTTGATACTGGTCGATCTCGGGATTTCCTCCAATGCTACCCATTACGAGAGCAAACGAAGCATAAGGACGCTCTTCAAGGTAGACCATACCTTGAAAAGGTTTACCTGGTCGATATATTGTCATCGAGTCACCAAGTCACCATAGGAAAAACACCTTGTCTCTCCAGACAGCGGAGTGACGGTATTTACACGTGGCGAGTTCCACCACAATCCGACGCCTTGGCAAAAGCATGCCCATACTGCATTGGACGGGAGGAATGGGGCGGAATGGGCGATGGCGAAGAATAGATGAATTCCTGGCATGATCAACAGGGACAATCAATGGGGACAGGCAACGGGAAATGCATTCAGAGCCAAAGAGGGAGAGGCTGGCCAAGACTCCATCCTAGACCAAATCCTAGGCTCTTGACATCATGCCTCGGGAGTGGAGTCTTTCGTGTATAAACCGCTTAGGGCTTACTGGTGTCCGCGTCGTTTGGCCCCAAGGAATGGCTTCTCCACATGCTAGAGATCCATCCCCACTTTTCCAGGCTGTGTGGTTTGCGACCATCGATCCTGGCCAAATTGGTCGCGACCCTCAATTTCCGGTGCAGCGCCCTAACGCGATCAACTCTCCAGACCTGGTCAATCAGCGTCCAGAGAGCCCGATATCCCAGCGCATTCCCCGTCCAACCCTGCCCTATGACAGTTGACGGTGCTAATTATAAAATCCTTCCCCCACCCTCCTTCAATTCCTTCGATCCATATACCCTTGTCAGCTGGTGCGGTCGACGCTCTGGTCACCCCATTTCCGGTCTAGTTGTCCACCGATGAACCATGTCGGTTTCAGACCGATCGGCACCGTCGAGGGGCTGTGGTTCCTGTCAGCCTCGTCTGGCTGGTCGCATTTTACGTCGACAAGTCACGCTTGCAAAACACTTGCAATCTTCCTTCTTTGAACCCTCCTGTCCCTGACCGCCTAGGTAATCAATCGTTGGATTGAAAGCGCTGTCATCTCACTCTGTGCTTGCCAATTCAAGGTCTGTGGCTGGGGAACTCTGTCAGTCGCTGGGGGTATTCCCTGTTTTATTCTATTTATTTTTTTAAACCCGCGTTTCGCACCAGTGAAACGTCGCTTTCCCCATGAAACCGTCGTCCCTAACATGGCTCCCAACGCTATGGTTGGCTCTCTGGTGGAGTCACCTGAGCGCGGGGATCGAACTAGAGATCCAGAGTGATGGTATGTATCTTCCACTACCGTCACCTTCATTCACTTATTGTTTGGAGTCACCTCCATTGACTTGTGTCTTCGTCCACGGATGTCCCTGTCCTTGGCGTTCACGATGCTAACCGCGGAAAGAATCCCTCAAGAAGGCCGCCAGCTCGGCGGCATGGAGCATGATGTCCACGTATAGCGCCAACGAAACAGATAACCCGGGAAAACTCGAAGGCACCTGGTGGGAAGCGGCCGGCATGTTCCTGCATCTGATACAGTACTACCACGTCACGGGCGATGAGACCTACAACAAGGACACCACCGAGGGCATGCAGCAGCAATCCGGCGAGGACCAGGACTACCGACCCAAGTCGGAACTCGCCTGGCTGGTACCTCTCTCTCATGGTCTAGATTGTTATCACATACTAACGACGTCTAGGGAAACGACGACCAAATGTTCTGGGGCGTCGCTGCCATCACAGCCGCGGAGCTCAAGTACCCCGAAGATCCGAAGGGCGCGTCCTGGCTGTCCCTGGCGCAAGCGGTCTTCAACACGCAAAAGCCCGCATGGGACCCCGCCGCCTGCGGTGGTGGATTGCGCTGGCAGATGCACTCGGTCAAACCCGGATACGACCTCAAGAACAGTATCTCCAACGGCGGGCTGTTCCAGATTGCGGCCCGGCTGGCCCGCTACACCTCCGACAAGGAGTACGTGGAGTGGGCGGACAAGATCTGGGACTGGTCGGTGTCCGTGCCGCTCATCAATGACAAGACCTGGTACGTCGCCGACTCGACGAGTACCAAGGATGGGTGCAAGTCTGCCGGGCGTGAACAGTGGACTTATACCTATGGGACGTATCTCATTGGGTCGGCGTATATGTACAATCATGTAATTTTCCTTGTCCTTTGATCGCTGGAGGGACTACACTAACAGACTAACACAGACCGAAGACGAGAAATGGCTGAAGCGCGTGAACGGCCTGCTGGACGCGACGCTGGAACAATTCTGGCCGCAAAAGTACTTCGGGTACAATACCAAAGGAGAGACGCTGATCGAAGTCGGCTGCGAGAAACCCGGCAACTGCGACAACAACATGAAGACGTACAAGGGCCTGCTGGGATCGTGGCTGGCGTTCGTGGCCCGGGTGGTGCCCACCACACGGGACCGCATCACGCCGAAGCTGGAGGGCGCCGCGCGGGCGGCGGCCAAGTCGTGCACGGGCTCCAAACACGACGAGTGCGGCATGCGGTGGTACGAGGACAAGTACGACGGCAATGGCGGCATGGAGCAGGATATGAGTGCGCTGAGCATGTTCACGGCGAACTTGATCCTGCGCATGGACGACGATCCGGTCACGTCGAAGACGGGCGGAGATAGCAAGAGTAACAAGAATGCGGGCATGGTGCACCATGACGACGACGATAAGGACAAACTGAAACCCATCACTGCAGGCGACAAGGCTGGGGCTGCGATTTTGACGTTTGTGATGTGTGGGGGGTCGCTTGCGTTGGCGGGATGGGTATTCTGGGGGGAGTTCTTTTGACTTATGATTTGATTTCTTTTTTGTATATTGATTCTGTAGTATGTTATGACTTGTTTTATGGACAATCGAGTCCAATATTGATCAAACATTATTCTTATATGTCCAGGGCCAATCTGGCTCAAATCGTGAGCCATTGTACCCATGCAGTTCCTGACGAACGCCATTGTCTCTCGAATATAAACTCCAAGTATACCAGCCATAGATCCAAGGAATAAGCTTCGAATTGCTATGCCAAGCATCTAATGCCCAGACTCACTCCAGACCAAAATTCCGTGTTCATACAACCCCGTCACCAGACCCACTCCTCTCTCCGCATCCCGCCCCGCCGTCGAACTACTCCCGAACTCCCCCCGACTGACATACAGATCACGCACCCCCCGCTCCTCCGTCCACTCCGCCACCCAGCTTGGCGCCCCCGCCTTGTAACACTTTCCCTCCTCCGACAGCACCCCCGTACACTGCAGCCGCGCCTTTACGGTCGCCTCGAGACCCTGCATGGACGGATGTCCCGCGATCAGCAGCACCCCCGCCTGATCGGTCTCCAGGTTATCCGGGAAGAAGGGCACGGGGATGCTATGAAAAAACCGGACGGAGTAGTCGTGGGGTTGGATCTCATACAGGTAGACGGCCGCTGTGGATGTCGATGCCACAGCGACGGTGGACGCGTTCACCCGCGCGACCCCGTTCGCGAACGGGATCCGTGCGACGCGTCGCATCTCGCCCGTTTGGGTATTAGCGTAGACCAGGGCACCACCCGGAGCCCCGCTGAGCGTCTCGGTCTTGGCAAGTTTCGGATGCGTTCGTTGGAGGTAGTGGTGGTCGTTGGTGATGTAAAGCTCTTGCGCGCTGAGCGCGAGGATAGCGTTGGGCGCCCGGATGATCGCGTCAATTAGCGTGCGCTGGTAATGGGCGGTCGGGTGGCTGGGGTCGGACAGGTCGAGGCTGAAGATCTCGACGCGCGACCCATCGTAGTGGTGGTTGCAGACGAAGAGCTGTCCGCTCGGACGGTGGTACTCGACGCCTAGGGGGTGGAACATGTCGATCTCGGGGAAGTCGACCAGCTCGATGGTGGTGAGCGCCTTGTCGTCGTCTTCGGCGTTTGTGTAACGGTAGATGGTTAGATCGCCGTGAGGGATGAGGCTCTTGTCTTCGGTGAAGGTGCCCATGACGGTGTTCCAGCGGTCGCGACCTGGATCGCAGCTGAGGATGGCCAGCCCGTCCTCGGGCACCATCACGGCATCCTCGCAGTTGCGGATGCGGTCGGCGTATTTGATGGCATAGTGGGGTAGTTGGTTGACCTCATTCAGTCGTTCTGGATGGTTGTTGTACAAGAGGGAGAGCGATCTCGCTCGTGAGGCTAGATAGAGACCCAGGAGGGTAAGGATTGCAATTTGCTGGGGAGTGTCAGTGCAGGTTCGACTTGAGGTTGGGGTGTACTTGCACTTGTGTATCTAATGGCGGGCAGCATTGCGATGATGGAGAGTTGGAGAAACAATCGTGGATGGCGGTGAGGCTGGTCAATATATATACCGAGATATATATCGTCGAGTAAGTAGACCAGGATACCCAGACCGCTGTTTCCCTTGCATATGCCGACCGTCCCCCAATATTTCCTGGTCTATCCTGGATCTGACTGCTGGATGAGAGACGCCATGATCATCCTCTCAATCTGGCCTTGTCTGTCCGTGCAATACGCCCCACACCCCTGAGAATCATCCGGATTGGACGATACCATTTTTAGCATCAACATGCATTGGAGTCCGATCACTACGTCATGTCATCGACACCATCATCCTGTCCCCCCTAAAACACGTTCCATCCATTGACACACTCGCGACGAGATGATCTCCCTCCTTCATCTCCCCACGGAGGTCCGTCTCAACATCTACCGCCATCTGATCCCCAGTATACCTGTCCGCAACGGCCTCATCCTCCGCAGTGGATTCGCGCGCTCTGGCCCTCCCCCCTCCCTCCGTCACGACGGTCAGCCTTGTGCCGCCGCGCTTCTCCGCACAAGCCGCACCGTGTACCACGAGCTCGTTCGCGAGTGGTATGGCACCGTCCCATACGAGGTCTCCCTCGACTCCAGATACATCGTCTTCTGCGGCCGCATCTTCTCCCCCTACGCGCCCCTCCCAGACACCCTCCGCTTCGTCACCCGGCTCGAGCTGCGGCTTTCCCTACAGCGCACCCCGCACGTCGTCCGCGACACGGCCGTCGTCGAGACCCTCCTCGCCTTTCGAGACCATCTCACCTCCCTCGCCCGCTGTCTGGGCAATCGCGCGCGCCGCTGTCTGCGTGAACTCGTCGTCCGCCTGGCGGTCAATGTCCCGCTGCTTTTGAGTTTGAGTAAGACGCCAATCGAGCTACTCGAGCTGCTCGACTGGAATCTTGCCCCCCTGCGCGCGCACGTCGCTGGGTTGGACGTTGTAGAGTGGGAGTTGCAAGAGCAGAGCTATGGCATTCAAAGTCGCGAGTTCTGCGACTCGTACGCTGAGTTGCGAGTCGTCATGGAGGGCTTCTTGAATGAGATGCGGCTGGAGATGCTGGCGTGGGGAAAGGACCTTTGTGTTTGAGCAGGCGGGGTCTAGGTCACTGGTGAGATAATACTGCATTTTTAGAGAAAAGATCGGGCGGTCATATATAATCCATATAATACCATTGAATTGAAGGTTCTTTCAGTCTCAACTTCCTCATTATCGCGCAGTCGTATGCTTCATATGCCGGAACAAGGATCTTGATGAGATGGCGTTATCCCGCCTTGTTTTCCATTCGAACAATGGACATAATCATTGTGGGATCTACCCTGCCTCAAAGAAGGTACATCTACTACACAACAATGACTCCAGCCAACATATATAGACCCAACCCTCCCACTTGACCACCAGTCATCATTGACTAGTATCCCACACAATTATACAAGTGATCCACCATAATGTCCAACTACTACTACATCTACGTCGGCCCCTTCGAGGCCGACAGCGTCCCCACCATCAAGGACTATCTTGTCGCTGCCCGCGCTAAAATCCGCATGACCAGTCAACACGTCATCCTGAAACGCTACAACGAGGCCCTCACCAAGGACCATATCCTGCTCGTCATTTACTCGAACCACTTGATCAACACGGACGAGGGTAGACACAATGTGCTGCAGGACGCTGTCGCCGCCATCACTGCGCATATCAAGCACATGCAGGAACAGGAACAGCTATGTCTCTACCTGCTGCCGTCGTTCGAGACTACTCCGTTCGAGCCCGTCAGCGGAGAGTGGGTCCCCGACGATGCGCCCAGGGTGACCAGCCAGAGTCGCCATTCAGGTTGTTAGTACGATAGTAAGTGTCGTGTACAAGATAAGTACAATTGCAATGTTTTTTTTTTCTGAAGATGCCATCATACATGATATCATATTCCCACTGACTAGTAATTCGCCCGTAGATCACACCCCAGTATATACACAGCCCAACAACCAGTAAACCGCCTCTAGTATCCAAACAAACCTGCCACAACACAGGCAACACCAATTGCTCCCGCAACATGTCCCATGTTTCCACCAACAACAGGCGCAGCGAGCGACCCCGACGGCGTCGGCGATGGGGTAGTCGACCCGGACGCACCAGTCGGCTTCGCGCCCCCGTCCGCAGAAGTTGAAGTAGCAGTAGGAGTGGGCGTGGACGAAACAGTCGGAAGGGTGAAGTCATCCTCATCGTCTTTATCATCCTCATCCTCCTTATCATCAGGCGCACCTGTTTCATTCAACTGCACGACCTGGAACCCCTTAATGGCGATTGACGACTCCTTGGTGAAGAACTTGCTGGCTTGACCGGAGGGATCGCCCTCGCAGTCGTCCGTGTCGTACAGGCGCATGTCGATGAACTTCTCGCCCTTGGAGTCTATGCGGAAGACCTCGCCCTTGGCGTGGTTGACCTTGATGCATTCGCTGGCGCCCTTGCCGGACTCGGTGTGCGACTCACCGTCGGCGCTGTGCCAGGTGAATTCCCAGGCGAGGGAGACGGTGGGGAGGGCCGCGGCGGCTGCGAGCGTAAGGAGCTTCATATTGTATTGATTGGTGTGTATTGGTGTGGGGTAGGTATAGATATGGCTTATTTGAAAGATATTAGAAGAGAAAGATAACTGACTCGCAAATAAAAAATCACCCACGAGCTGCTCTGCGTCGTGATTATATATTCACACTAGGCGTCCCGTGTTCGCAGCCTAGCTGCATGACCTCGTATTTGCGACGCCTTCGTCCAGCCAACGTTCATAACGATATTAAACTAGCCCCACTCGTAACAGCCTCCGTAGACTGTGCTTTGACTCTCCCTCTTTTTTTCGGGGGATATCCAGGGGTAAGGGCTCGCCCAGTGGTGGCTCGTCCGTTGCCAAGAACCGGACGCTCTGCAGCTGAGGGTTGGATGGCTGGATGGGGTAAGGTTGGTGGAATGGGTTTATGATCGGCGTCCATGTTGCCCAGTTTAGTATGGGCTGTTGTTTGCTGTCCCCGGAGATACCTGTGTGTTTCCTGACGTGCATGCCGTCTGCTTTGAGGGGTGAAAGGGAATGGTCTCGAGATAGATGGGCGGATTAGGGCTCGTTTGTTAGGCACATGAGTTCCTAGCTATGCCATGGTGTCGCGATGAAAGTTATTTACACAGCCCTACAATTTCATGATATCCGTTGTAACCTCGATTATTTATTACAAGCCATGGCATGGCAGTGAAAACTCGACCATTTAGGAAGCCTAAAAGTGTCATGATATCTTTGTTGTCTGGTGGCTACAGTACTTTTTAGTTGCGTTACATGCCCTGCGCTGCGGATGACTATCATAGTTGGCTGGGACATACTCCGTACTTCCCCAGATTTTCCTTGCTCGAGTCTATGATGGAAATATCATGTCTTACCCTACAGCCCCAGCCCATCTGATTGACTACCGGAAATAGCCTAAATGAGAGGATATCACTGAGCCCTAGATCAGCTGCTATTCTTAGATCGCACGCCCCAGACGCTTCCTCTCCAATGTAACGTTCTAATTAACCTCAGGAAGTCCATAAATGAAGGCAATTTAATTGACACTAACCGTTTGAAATACATCCCTTAATAAGCCCGTTACAGCCAATTTCCCCGAACAATGGTGCGGATAGAAGCCAATAGCTAATCACTTTTTAAGAGCCATCAAGTCTTGGCTTATACTGATTGATGCCCTGCGATGCCAACCGCCGCCAGCCGATCTCTCCAGTAAACAGACTCAAATGGTCGGGATGATTATGCAATATTCCTGTGAGGGCGTATTGTACAGCCATATTTATCGAATTTTTACCCTGCGCAATACTTCTAACAAGTCTCTGAGACCAGAGCATACAGAATCATGAGCCAAGAACACAACCTATTGAAGGCCAATGATTGCTATAGGCAACAAGCAGTTCAGTCGTCGATATAACTGCAAGTCCATTAGCCGAATAATGAACTGCCTGCCGGCTTATCATTAGAGCAACCCGGAACCTCGCTCGAAAGACTGCATGCTGTTGACTAGGCCCCCAAGGAGGTGATCTATGATCAATTCACCTGTCAAGATAAAATAAGTGACAAGCAGTCATAAGAGTCTACCAGCGAACTGACACATTTATGAATCTGATCCTGTATATCGCAGACATTTCGCCATGACAGCTTAGTGACATTATTGCTTAACTGGCGAATGACTTCAGTGCAACAACCCCACCAACCATTGCCTAGTTATCTCGACAGATAATCACTCCCCCTTCTTCTGCCCACCCCCAATTTTCCACTTATTCAACACCCCAACGCCAACATTCAAATACGTCGCGTATCCCAACCACGCCGCATACGGCACCATAAACCAAAACGCCGTGCGATCAGTCTCCCACCACCCACTCATCAACGACGCCACGGTCCCTCCCAAGAGTGTCAGGTCCGCGAGCGCCCAGGCCGGCTTGCGCAGTCCAAAGAACAGCGGCATCCACAGGTAGTTGAGTGCCAGCTGTGCTCCGTACAGGGGCTGCCACGAGTCATCAAAGGTGGTCGCGTTTGCGTGGTACGCGGCGTACCCCATCGTGGTGTATAGGAGGGACCAGACGGGGGGAAAGAGCCATGCCGGGGGATGGTAGGGAGGTTGCTTTAGCGAGTGGTAGATTCCTTTTGTTCGTCCTCCACCTGGCTGTATATTAGCTGGGCTGCGCTCTAATTTATTAGGGAAACGTACGGTTGACGAGGTATCCGACTAAGAGTCCGCCGGCGGTGGGTGCCCCAATGGACAGGAGGGGCGAGCTGAGGATTCCCTGGGGGAGGGAAGTTGACCAAGGCATGTTGTATGGATGTTGGAAAGTTGACAGCGAGGAATGCGGCGGATGGACCAGAACGGTCCTTTATATGTACCTGGAATGTGACGTCATGGAAGAATCGGATCAAGCCGAGATCGATCTGGCGTGGATCGGGACGTCAGTCATCTGGATGATATCATATTTGGTCCTGTTAGTATGAATATTATGACAAACAATAATCTAGTTAGAAATGGCGGCTGGTTATATAGAATCAAGCCAGTTCATTCTGATATGTAATTGACCAACATGGAACAATCTCGCCCACCCCAACTCCCACCATCCCTTGATTGGCAGGACTCGACACAAAATCACAGACATTACCACTGAACCGCCAAAGATACCCTGATAGCTGATCTCTAGTCAGCGTAAAATGAGAGGACAGATCAAACCGGAATCCCCCAAATATACCCCTTCAACAACCCCCGACTATATGTATCATCCCCAACCCCCACTAGATTAAGCGGTGGCTGCATCAGCTTGCGATCCTGCGCCGTCAACTGAAACCCCCTCCGTCGCTGACAGCAGCCACACATAGTCGTGCAGTGTCCAAACCGATGCGCTCGAGTTTTGCTCCGCTCCCGCTTACAGCACCCACATCCCCGCGCACAACATCCGCCCCGCCCCGCACAATCCGCCGTCAACCACTCCGCCAGGAACCACATCTGCTGTTGCCGGTATGAGAAGAACCCACGCAGGAACGGTCCCCACGGACACTGCGACTCCGCCACATAGGTCTGCCGCTCCTGCCGCCAGTATTCGATGTCCGGGTCGTCGAGTTCCTCCTGCCATGCGACTGCCTGCGCCAGCTCCTCGGCGGCCGGCGGCCGCATTTCGCCTTTCGTGGTTAGGATGCGCATCTGGTCTAGTAGGAAGGTTTCCCGCTGGACGACCTCGCGCAGCCGGATGTCAATCTCGATTAAGGTCTGCACCCAGGCGTGGAGCTCGCGCCTCTTGCCGCGCCAGGTCGCGGCGTGGTGGCGGAGAGACTGTGCGCGGTGCCATTGACCGAGGGATTCGAGCTTTGTCTCGATGCGGACGAGGAGGGGGTCTAGTGCGACGATGACGGCGCGTTTGACGGGCATTATGGATGGTTTGGAGGGTGTATTATGGTGTTGAGAAAAAGGCGGTGATCGGGTTACAGGTTAGTCTTCCGGGGGGGCTTGATATTAGGTCACCGCGATGTCATACTCTTTTCTGATATTACTGATTGCACAAGACTTAAGTTCTGCATTAATGACATAATATTGAGTTATATTCACAAGCCTGACTGGCACCTTCACATCAAGTCCACCCCATTGATCAACCCATATAGGGATTTTCCACCACGTCTGTGTTCGCGGGACGCCCCTCGCAACACTCTTTCAACCAATCACCACCGGTCTCGTCGACCAGACAGTTATCCTCGGTGAGATGCAGATCGGGCCACTCCCGCGGCCATGCAGCCTCGATCTTGCACGGAGGTGTTACCCGGGCATGGCCGTGGTTGTCGCCGTCGAATCCCGCGTAGATGACAGCGGTGCTATTGGTTTTATCGGTATTTTTGACATCTATCCATGGTCAGTGTCAGGTCGTCAGTGATCGGACCCGAACTACTTACTGTACGGCCCAGTGCTGTGGCAGATCTTGGAACCGTTGACGATCATACATCCCTTGTCGATTTTCTGTCAGGCAATGTGTGAGTGATGCTCCTTCATAGAAATCAGGAAGTACTCACGATGTCGGTGCCCTCCTTGTTGTAATTCTCAGGCGGGCCGCATGGCCAGAACGGGGCCGAGCCGTCTTCCTTGACCATATTCCACACGATATCTCTTTGAACCTCACAGACGGGGATGTCGAAGAAGCCTGGAGTGCGGATGCTGTATTGGGTTTCGCCGAGACTCGTGACAATTCCTTGCATGTCGGGCCTCGCCCATCCGTTCTTCTGGCCGTTGGCGAGCCATCCCTCCACGCTGCTTTCCACGATGTCCGCTACGGTGACCCCGCCCCATTTGGTGCCGTCCAAATTGGTGTGGTCTCCACCGGGGAGCAGCCAGGGGTGGGTGTTCTGGTCTTCGTCCGGGTTGATGGCGTTGAGCAGGTAGTTCCGTTTACCCTTATAGCAGATGTACGTCTTCACGGCGACGTCGTTCGTGAAGAACTGGTAGCTTTCATTGTCCAAGTCGAATTCAATGTCCTTGGTGTTCTCGTCACAATCGTACTGGCTTCTCCTGCAGTGGGTATTAGCCATAGTCATTGTGAAAGAGTATCCACCAAATGTTGCTCGTTGGAGCAAGGCCAAACAATAAGAAAAAAGAAAGAAAGAAAACTAACCAGATAAAGGGACGCGCCGCGGTGGGCGACACCTTCCATGCAAAGGGGATCATTTGGCTGTAGAGGATCTTCTCGATATCCTTCTTGATGCTGTCCATGTGGAGTCCGTTCACGGCAGTGTTCATGACGCCGCCATGGATCATGTGGTAAAGAGAATTCACGTTTTCATCGTCACCGGAAAAGATCAACTCCAAGTACTTGGACTCAATATTCTTCCAGCCATTCATCGTCTCAGAAACGAACGCAGACACTGAGCTCAGGGTCTGGACTGCATTACCCGGGCTGTATGTCGATTAGCGTCCACCTTGGCTGATCCTCTCCGTGGGATACTTACCCTTGCATATTGGTCTTGTATAACGCCCCTAAAGTTGCCTGCACAGCGGCGGTCATGTCCGCTATGATACTCAAACCCTTGGTGCTAGCCTTCTCGCCGCTCACGTCGGTCTGGGTGCCCTTGGTATCCCCTTGGCTTTGCTCGTCGGTCTGGGTGCCCTTGGTATTCCCTTGGCTTTGCTCGTCGGTCTGGGTGCCCTGGTTATTTCCCTGGCCCTGCTGGTTGTTCTGGGTGCCGCTGCTACTCCCCTGTCCCGGCCCGTCGATCGGGCGGTTGTCACTCCCCTGGCTCTGCTGATCGGTATCAGTTCCCGAACCACCCTGGCCCTGCTGGTTATTCGCAGGTTGCTTGCCATTATTCTGGCCCAGGTCGTTCGCAGGTTGCTTGCCCTGCGCCTTGGAGCTCTGGAGGGCCTTGGCGGCGACAGCAACATCTTGAAGCACTAATAGAAGCATCATTAAGTTAGCGACGTTGCACTTTGCCACGGAAATGGGGATAACCATGAAACATACATGTGTTAAACACGACGGACGTGCCAAAGCTCACAACCAGCATTATGCCATCCCACGCATTCTTCATCGCAACCGATTCATCGGCCCTTAGGGGAGCAAATGCTTCATTGAATTTGCCCACCATGCCATCAACACTGTTCTGCACGGATTCAATTGCTTGATACGCCTCGGCATGGAGCTAGAGTGTGTCAGTATATACTAATATCACTGCCCCTTGAGTTGGACAACCTACCTGGTGAACTCCAGCAAATCCAGTCAAAATCGAAACACTGCAAAAGCATGTCAGCCCCACGTCGAATGAACAGGTCCAGTGAACGGGGAGTTAGCATACCCAGCGGGGATCTGAACACTCTCGCAGTCCACAGGCTGCGAGCAGCGGTTCTCGCTTCCAATGTCGCTGCAGCGCATCCCGTTAGGTCCCTGGAGGAAGTTGCTGACGAACTGGGAGAATCCACCATTCTTGTCGGATTGTTGTTTCCAGGACTGGACTGTCGTGTTCCACGCGGCGTCGGCATTGGTTTCTTGCCACAGGCCCTCCGGGTCGCCCGGGTTCGACGTGCATTGCATGGTCTTCCAGTCGTCTCCGTCGCCATTGTCATCTCCATTATTCTGATCGTCCTGATCGTCCTGACCATTGTCACCATTGTCACCATTGTCACCATTGTCACCATTGTCACCATTGTCACCATTTTGGCTGTTCTCATCGCTCTGGACTTGGTTCTGGACTTGGTTCTGGTCTTGGTTCTGGTCTTGGTTCTGGTCTTGGTTTTGGTCTTGGTTCTGGTCTTGGTTCTGGTCTTGGTTCTGGTCTTGGTTCTGATCTTGGTTCTGGTCTTGGTTCTGGTCTTGGTTCTGGTCTTGGTTCTGGTCTTGGTTCTGGTCTTGGTTCTGGTCTTGGCTCTGGTCTTGGTTCTGGTCTTGGTTCTGGTCTTGGCTCTGGTCTTGGTTCTGGTCTTGGTTCTGGTCTTGGTTCTGGACCAGGTTCTGGACTTGGTTCTGGTGGCTGTTCTCGTCTTCGTTCTGGTCGCTGTTCTCGTCTTCGTTCTGGTCGCCGTTCTCGTCTTCGTTCTGGTCGCCGTTCTCGTCTTCGTTCTGGTCGCCGGTCTGGTCCTCATCCTGGCGAGCGCAGATGATACTTCTCTCGTCATCCGCTGTTGAAGTTGCAGATGTGGACAGTCCATCACAGTCTCTGACCGCGAGATGCCGACTATCCCATGACTCCCGCGGCAGGATGACGTTAGTATATCCCAGATCCCCGTCGTTCTGACCATCCTGACCATCGTTCTGGTCCTCACCCTCACCATCACCGTCATCCTGGCGAGCGCAGATGATACCTCTCTCGTCATCCGCTGTTGAAGTTGCAGATGTGGACAGTCCATCACAATCTCTGACCGCGAGATGCCGACTATCCCATGACTCCCGCGGCCGGATGACGCCAGCACATGCTAGCTGCGCCGCGAGGGCGATGGTTAAGACGCGCATAATCGAAACACCAAGGGCGAACTCAAAAGAAATGGCAAGACCACTAGACAAATTAGAAGTAACGAAACTAAACTGCTGCTAATATTCCAAGCAGAATGCAGAATAACTCGCGGATGGTGGTGTCTTTTATATATTTCTCGCTCTTCCCCACAACCCAACGATCGCCCTCCCATCCGATGCCAACTACAGCGCCTGTCCTGGTATACAGTCCAGTAGATTCAGTATTCAACACTACGTATGGAGACCATTCTAACCGGCCCGGCTCACGATGTACGTGAGAGGCCGATAAAGAGCCATCCCCCATCGCAGGATCACCCATGAGTGCAGCCAATGGGGGCCGAAACTGGTCACGAACCCGAGAAAACCCTAACTGTCTACCTCCTCATGTGATTCATCCCCCCTTCTACTCGCCATGCCTCCATTTCTCCCACCTCATCCATATACGATCCCACTCCCTGTTTAGGTAAGTTCCTGGCACCTGAGGATTGGATAGCGCCTTAAATGAGGCAGTGAGGGATGAATCGTGGGGGCGACGGCCCCCATCCAACGTGGATCCACCCACGCGAGCGCCTTCCCATAGGTCGATAGCAAGATACGATACCGGTTTGATAGCCCAGACACATAGAGCTATATACTACATATGGTAAACGGCCCATTGCCGTGCAGAAGTGCCACACTAGATCGTCCAACCCCGCTACACCGGGAACAGCTAGTCACTACCGTTTAAGGATCAGGCTATTGCTATATGCGAGAGACCATACCGCTCACGGCACAACACTGTTCCTGCAGCGGGGAGGCCCCCAAACTGCACCGGGCCGGTGGTGACCTCGTCTTCTCTCGATCTACCCACCCTGAAGGGGTAATCCTATCGCGTTGGCTTTACAGTTAGCCTGCAGGAATTAAGTCTAGGTGTGTATGAACGTAGTACAATCACATACCGATGTCCAGATGCCTTATATAATCACAAGAAACAATCGCTAGGTACATGGGGGTAGCGGGGGATTGTCCGGAAGGTGAGTTAGACCCAGTCTCGAACCGTCCAACCCCCACCCATCGTCTCCACCGACCACCCCGCTGGAAATGACATCCGAACCAGTCGACGCGGATCCTGAAAATGCAGGTCCCAGCCATGGGCATTGCCCCATACTAGTGTGTCGTCCTCAGACCAGGCGATATGAAACCCCTGCACTAGCGGCATCGTGGACATTGGTCGTCTGCCCATCGGCCCTTCTCTGAGGTTTCACCGCTCCTTCTTCTATTGGTCTCGACTCGTGATGGCGCTGTGCCCCGTTCATGGCGTCCTATGAGATGCTGGAATCTTGATAGGCTAGATTTAGCCTGCAGGGGGCTGTCGTTGCCCCGGTGGAGCCGATGTGGAGATGTTGAATAGTTCCATATCATCTCGTTGTGTCTGTTGCTCTACTCGCTATCACGACCCGTGGATACTGGATTGGTGAAATCAGATGAATGATTCCCACTTCCTGAACGAGGCTACACAAATCCCTCTCGGTCGTACTGCCTCCTATCAAAAGTCTCTAGCCAATTCGTACTTTGAGGCTGAGCCCTCCCCAGGTCAGACTAGCACTATAGAAGTAGTTGTTGTTAGACATGCTGCTAGTTCAGAAGGCGAGCCTCGAGTTGCTCCTGGCTGACGTCCCTCCAATACTGGCTGCAGGTGGACAGCACCCGGCGACGGAACACTCTTTGACGCCGACCATGTTGCGCCCGTGTATCCACTTATAGCACACCTCTAATCGTCTCGTCTTTGTCAATATTGCCGTCCAACGTGGCGTCGTCCGGTTGATCCTGATCCCACCAGTTCTGCTCAAAGTTTTGCGTTTCCGCGACATGGGATTACGCTCCCAGGGACCAGTTAATTTATTTTGTGGACAACATAACATCGGACCGGTGGACATGTCTCCTCAATCAGGGCCCGGAGGGGCATGCTCCGCGAAATCCCATAGTGTGGTCACCGCGGGGCGCGATGGTTATTTCTTCAGTGCCACCTCGAACCTCGTACATCATGGGTTGGTCTAGATTGACCAACGCGAGTCCCGACAGTTGGCATACGTGAGAACGAGGAACGGGGAACGGGGCATACCAACAACCGCACCAAACGCCCTTCAGCATTTTGAGAGGGCTTGGCCTGATGCGTATGTCTAGTAGCGCATCTCAGTGGCGTCGATGTAACCGGCAATATCCCCCGGGAGGTGACCCTAGGGTTGGCGGGCTGTCTAGTACACCGTTTCAGTGAAAACGGGATACCACTCGGCTACGACAAATATCATCACACATTTGCGCTGTGTGAGTAATCTTATATTCGGTGCAATAGTTTGTAATAATAGCCTTCTGGAGTGCAGGATTCGCGCATTTAGGAACCTGAATCCCGGCATAGTAGTCGAGATTAAAATCAAGCCACAAGTTCTGTAGCCTCCCATGTACGACCACCCATTCCGCGGCTGCGTGTGCAAGCTGGCAATGTTTTGCGGCAATTGATGACCCCGGGATAGAACCATGTATCGTAGACTGACAGCATCAGATATCCGATCGCGTTTCCCTGGCTTGTCGCCGTAGATACTGTAGCTTCTGTCAACATACATACGCAGTTGGTCGGATGATAGACATCTAAAAATTGGTATTCTATTGGCCAATCGCCCAGCGCGACGAAAAGGTTCGTCTTCGTTGTGCCAAAGCTCCAGTTCCAGGAGTAGAAAAACTGCCTAGTAGAGCTCCAATTCGCAGGGATATTTGCGGCCGTTGTCAAGCTGGATGGACTCAGTCGCGACTTTGGTTATCAAACCACCGACCGGATATTTTGTCCATCATGCAAAGAAATAGCGTGCCATGGTTTACATAGTCTGTCTAAAATTCCGGGTAGTCGGAATTTGCTTTGGTGCGCTGTCACACAGTGGTTCCGCAACCCCTTGAGCGCTGTTCGTTATGTGTCCTCCGCCAACAATGATAGCCCGATCCTTGTCTGGTTGAAAGGGCTGGTATAGTATGTAGTTGAATAAATCTACAGGGTAGCTTTGCATGTGTGGTGTATCCGGGGAGCCGATTATGTACTGATCGACATCAGACCGGAGAGTTGTCGCCAGGACAGTGCTCGTATCTTCAAGACGCGCCATTGTTGCATAATCGCCTGTCTGAGCCCGCGTCGCACCCGGTAGAGATCCACTCTCATGGAAACTGTTCCATCGCAATCCCTGTGTTGACAAGGTAGTCCCTGCTTTAAACATCTGCGACATGATTGTTCATCACAGCATTTCACTTTGGTAGCAGCACAGGCCCACACGCCCTGGTCACGCGCCGAGCAGATGGTCTCTGCGTTTGAGGGCCACCGATTGCTCTCGAATCCTGTACGCCGAGTAATGTTGAACCGTGACGCGAGGGAAGACCCCTGTCGTGGACGATCAGTACTCCGAACGTTCTCGACATGACTGCATCGCCCGGCAGAGAAGTTTGCAATCGTTCAGGACGTGACGGGCAAAGGCCATCAAGGGGATTGAGAAGCCCTGAATCCTATACACCTCGGGCAAAGCTGGTCAATTAGAGTTATACCCAAGGTCCACTAGGTACTCAAGGGAAAGAGGGCTAACGACTAGCTGGCCCGACGTACACACGGTCGTGCCTGACAAGCTCAATCTCCAAGTCTGATCTATGATCTTTCCTTCTCCAACAGCTCTGCATACCGATTCAATGACCGCCCAATTAGATTGACTAACTCCCATATGTAGTCCGCCGTGAACAGGCGCGCCCACAGCCGGGTCACCATCGCGCCGAGTCGCGTATTGTTGGCGAGCAACCACTCGCGCGACACCCCATGCTGCGCCTCCATAACCATATCAATGACGAACTCCAGAACGCTGCTTTCCTGCTCCGTCAGCGGGGGTTGTGGGTCTAGAACGGTGGCTACGGTCTCAAGCCATTTAGCGAGCAAGACGGCACACTCAAGCGAGCATAGAGCATACTGGTTGGACCAGGACACGACTTGTGTCTGCGCGACGAAGTTGATCCCCAGCTTGATGGGGGTACTGAGCGCGTGGGCGCAGTGAAGGGCTGCTCGGGTGAGACGGTCACTGCGGTGGACTGACAGGTTCTCTTTCAGAGATCGAGCAATCTCATCCGGATCCCAGGTCTGGAGACGTCGGGCGGAACTGAAATCGGCGTTGAGGCGGATATATGCGAGGCGGAGGAGAGCGGTCGACGTGAAGGACAGTGGTCCGTATGGATTGAACGGGTCCGTAGAGGCCTCCTGGTTGCGTTCCCAGCACTGGCACCACCGCTCGAGAGCCTGCTCCAGTGGTACGATCTCGGCTGGGGAGAGTGCACTGCTCTTGTAGGGGGTCATCCGGCATGTTTTTTGTATGAGCCAGATATTTTGGAGAATAGCGTGTATGAGGACATATCCCCCTAGGGAGGAAAAGCTTTCTAGGCGCCCGTGTATGCCTGGGCCCTGTGCGAAGAGCGACGACAGCGCGTCTTGCAACATCGGTTCCTGCGCACATTGTCTACGCTCCTTAGTCCATTCGCTCCCCGTCGGGGCTTCCCATTCTCGTTCGGTGCAGGGTAGATCGAGGGTGATCTCCTCGGTAAGAATCATAGGCGGAAGGTCGAAGACAATGGTGAACAGGTTAAAGAAGCAGTGAACAATGAGTTTGGTGCGCTTTACGCCCTCGCTCCTGACCCAGCTTTCCCATGACCCATCCTGGACGGGCAATTCGTTCAGTCCGCCTTGACGCAACAGTGTCTCCATGTAACTGCGAATGTACAGGGCTTCATGATGGGGTGGGTCCTGTTGGAACCAGAGCGACACCGATGTTATAAGCAACAATGCCTGTATTGTTTCCAGGAGATCTTGGTCTACACGCGTAGGACTCGTCTTCCTATCGTTACACCCGGTGAGGGTGGCGGACTGCCATTTACGGCGGATGTGCTCCAGTATAACCGGCTTGGCTATTTGATATAGGTTCAGACTCGTCTCCGGCTCTCGAATGTACCGTGCGCCGAGGGCAGCCATAGACAGAAATAATTGCAGTGACAGCGACTCCACGCTCAGCGTTGGGATGTGCATGAAGGGGTAATGATCCTGGAAGCCCATGAGATAACCAGTCAAACAGCGGGACAGAGCGTGCCGTGATGGTAGACGCGGCTCAGATAGCACATTCGAGTAATCGGCCAAATATCCGACAATGCGGCCCCGACACTGCGTCGTGACCGATATAGAACGCCTCGGTTGGCGGGCCTTGTACGGCCCGTGTGCTTCCTCTGCTTGGGGCGACAGCAGGTGATATCCATGCTGTGGTAGAATGGATCTTGCGGGGGTGGACGCACTCTCCTCCCCGGGCTGCGTCTCGGTCGGTTGATCATAAGTCGGGCATGAATCGAAAGGCAGTGGAAGAAACACCGGCAACGGCTGGTAGGTGGGCGAATATGGGTGGCTCGGAAGAGGAATGCTATCAAAAAATGAAGTGAAGTCATCTCCGTCACCGTACATCATGGTGGAGCTGTAGTCGCCTGTGGACTCCGCCATGCTGGATTCTGTGGGTCCCAAGTCGGACAACGCGTCCGTCACTTGTGCCTGGGACGGGACAGCCTGATCTTGTAGAGGCGCCATGGAGACGGAGTTTTCCGTAACAGCCAATGCCGGTATGCTCAAGCCATGCGCCACTCCATTGGGCGAGGCTGGCGAGGATGATATCCTAGCCGGGAGGCTGTGAGCCAGGCGCTCATGACGGCTCAAGAGATCCCTGGTTTCCCTTAGCAAATTGGTTTTCTCTGAACACAGGGAGAATTACACACTTTCTGGTGAATGATTTCGAACATCTACCACAGACAAATGGTTTCTCCTTGGTGTCTACCTAGGTTAGTAATATAGTCCCGCAACTTTCGTTGTTTACATCTCCTTGGCACATACGTGACCGATCATGGCGCTGTAGGTGCTCCAGGCGAGCAAAGGCGCGCAGACATCGTTGGCACTGGTAGGGCCTCGAGCTGGTCACATTAACCATGACGATGTCTTCAAATATACAATCAAAACAAAAGAATGAGACATGTGTGGGATAGTCGTTGTTTCTCTCGTTTCAATTATTGTTTCAGAGTTGGAGATCCAGATCGGGCCGATCCCGGCAACTTAAATTGGCGGGATGACAAATCACCCCATATCTCGGCAATTGAGCCGGGCACATTTACCGCCGAGCCCTGAAAATGCATTAATTCTGACCCGCGCGACAACTACTGATCCTCTACTGATCGCCCTGAAGCAACAAACTTTTGGATTGACAATTTAGATAGACCATCTGGATAACATGAATAGCAGAAACATAACAAAGCAAAAGAAGGAGCGACAGAGAGGAAGGAATACGAATTAGGCACTGCGTTTATCGGGTTGTCCCATTTCCTCCAATAACCTGCCGAGTCGAATGCCTTATCACTTCCACCAACTTCCCTCTCGATCTAACTACGTCCATTATGCCATGATGGTATAAATGGGCTCGGGGCAGACCTTGGTCCAGTAGCACTTTTTGCCCGGGGGGTCCTCCGGCTCATCCGGTTCATCCCCGCCAGGTTCAGTCGGTCTAGGGATCCAAGTAGTCCTTGTCTCGGTTACTGTTTCTGTGATCGTGGTCGATGGCGGAAGTGTAATGGTGGGGATTGGAGTGCTGGTGGGAAGTTTCGTCGGACTCATGCTAGAGCTAGGCGTCCTGCTCGGAGGCGGGATACTACTTGGGGTCGGAGTGCTGCTTGGGATTCTCGTAGGATCCACGCCGGTGCTGGGGGTCCTGCTGGGACTCGGACCGCTCGTTGGAACTCTTGTTGGGTCCACGCCAGTGCTTAATGTCTTGCTCGGGGTCGGGGTGCTCGTTGGGATCCTGGTCGGATCCACGCCAGTGCTAGGAGTAGGTGTGCTCGTTGGAATCCCGGTCGGATATACTCCAGTGCTCGACGTCCTGCTTGGAGTCGGGCCGCTCGTGGGAGCTCTCGATGGATCCACCCTAGTGCTGGGGGTTGTAGCACTTGTTGGAACTCTTGTCGGATCCACGCCGGTACTCGATGTCTTGCTTGGGACTGGAGTGCTCGTTGGAATCCTGGTCGGATCCACGCCGGTGCTGGGAGTTGAGGCGCTCGTTGGGACTCTAGTCGCGTCCACGCCGGTACTCGGCGTTCTAGTGACAGTCGGGGCGCTCGTTGGAACCCTGGTCGGATCTACGCCGGTGCTGGGAGTTGAGGCGCTCGTTGGGGCTCTGGTCGGGTCTACGCCAGTGCTCGACGTCTCGCTCGGGGTGGGGTCCACGCCAGTGCTAGGAGTCGGGGTGCTGCTCGGAATCCTGGTTGGATCCACGCCAGTCCTCCGAGTCTTGCTCGCGGACCCGGTGGTTGGCTCCGTGGTGCCTATAGGAGTAGACAAAACAGTACTGGTCGGACTAACGGGGGGCACGCGCGTAGAAGAACCGGTTTCTGGCGGCGACCTGGTAGGGTCCTCAGTGGGAAGTGCAGTGGTTGAAGAAAGTGTACTAGAAGTAATAATTGTTGATGGGGTGCTTATGCCAGGATGACTAGTAGGGAGCTTCGTTGGAATCACAGGGCTTGTAGGAGACACTGTTTCAGGGGAGCTCGGAGAAGGGACTGTCGTTGGCGTGACACTCATGCTGGGACGACTTGTGGGGTCCAGTATGGGAGTAGCAGACGTACTTGGAGACACAGTCTCAGGTGAACTCTGAGAGGAGACTGTCGTCGGCGTGACGCTCATGCTAGGGCGGCTGGTGGGGTCCAGAGTCGGGCTAGCAGAGGTAGTTGGAGACACTGTTCCAGAAGAAGAGCTAGAAGGCACGGTTATTGTCACCGTACTCGTACCAGGAGTACTTCCACTGCTGGTAGGAAGCTTAGTTGGAATTACCGGGCTTGTAGGAGACGCAGTTGCAGGGGAGCTCCGAGAAGGGATCGTTGTTAGCGTCGTGCTAGGGCGACTGGTGGGATCCTGAGTAGGCATAATAGATGTAGGAGACACGGTTCTAGTGGTACTCTGAGTCGGAGTAGCAGATGTAGGTGGGGACACAGTTTCGGTAGGCGTGCTGCTAGAAGGCACTGGTATCTGTACGGAACTCGTACTAGGGCTGCTCGGACGACTGGTGGGATCCTGGCTAGAAGCAGTAGATGTAGTTGGAGACGCTATTCCTGAAGGCGTGCTGCTAGAAGGCCCTGTTGCCCGTACAGTGCTAGTACTAGGAATACTTGAACTAGAACGGCTGGTAGGATCCTGAGTAGGAGTTGCAGACGTGGTTGGCGACACAGTTCCGGGCGAGCTCGACGTGGGAGAAACGGACGTAGTCGTGGGCACTGTTCCTATAGACGTGCTGCTAGAAGGCGCTGTTGTCGGTACCATGCTCGTGCCAGGATTACTCGCGCTGGGGCGACTGGTGGGATCTTGGGTGGGGCTAGCGGACGTAGTTGGACTAGTAGGCGCGCTTGGACTTGTGGATGTGGTCGGAGACACTGTTCCTGAAGGTGAGCTAGAAGGCACTGTTGTTGGAATAGTGCTCGTGCCAGGACTACTCGAACTAGGACGACTGGTAGGGTCCTGGGTAGGAGTAGCAGATCTTGTGGTAGAAACTGGTCCGGAAGACGTGCTGGAAGGCACTGTTATCGGCACAGTGCTCGTGCTGAAAGTGCTAGATCTACCAACACTGGATCGACTGGTGGGATCCTGGGTTGGACTAGTAAGCGTTGTTGGAGACACTGTCCTTGAAGGCGTGCTAGAAGGCACTGTGATTGGTATTGGTACAGTGCTCGTGTCGGGAATACTCACACTAGGACGACTTGTAGGTGAGTGCGTAGGTATAAACGATGTTGTCGGCGTTGTTGTGCCCGAGGGACCGCTGGTAGGGATTGTCGTTGGGGTGGTACTCGTGGTCGGGCTGCTGGTGGGATCCTGGGATGATATAGCGGAACTACTAGAAGACGTCGTGCTAGACGGTGTCTCTGTAGGAGTCATTGTGGTAGAAGGGTTGCTGGTAGGAGTTGGTGCTGGGACAGTTCTTGTGCTAGGGCTACTAGTGGGGTCCCAGGTTGGAATCGTTGGACTGCCAGGAGACGTGCTAGACGTTATTTTCGTAGAAGACGAAGTCGGGGGCAAAGACTCAGTTGAATGCCTAGTCGGATTCTGTGTCGGTATATTTGGACTCGAGCCCGACTCTGTCCCTGAGGTAGTTCTTGTCGGGACAGACGTTTGGGTAGGGATCTGGGTTGGAATAGGACTCTCTGTCGGGGTAGGACTCCGAGTTGGGATTGGAGTCACTATCGGGATAGTGCTCTCTGTGGAAGTAGGATGCTTTGTCGGAACAGGAGGCTCTGTCGGAGGACTAGTTGGATCGTCAGTAGGCCTGGTCGATGTGGTAGATGACGAGGTTGGCATGGAAGTCTTGATCGAACTTCCTGTCGGCTCAACAGTTGCAGTACTAGGGGTGGACGTCACAGTCAAGTGTTCGGTGGTCTTTGAAGACGTTCCAGTCGTCTTGGTGGAGCTACCCGTTGGCGTATCAGTTGTAGTGCTATCAGTGGATGTCACAGTCGAACCTCCAGATGTCCTCGAAGTCGTTTCAGTTGTCCTGGTAGTAGTCTCCGTTGGAGCAACAATTGTAGTACCATGGGTGGATGTCACAGTTGTGTCTCCAGTGGTCTTTGAAGTCGTTACAGTCGATGTCTCCGTTGGCTCCACAGTTGTAGTACCATCGGTAGACTTCACGGTCGATCCTCCAGTCGTCTTTGTCGATGTCTCTGTCGGCTCTACGGTTGTTGTACCATCGGTAGATGTCACGGTCAACCCTCCAGAGGTTGTCGAGGTCTTTCCAGTCGTCTTTGTCGATGTCTCTGTTGGCTCCGCGGTCGTTTTACTCTCCGTGGACGTCACGGTAGACATTTCAGAAGACTGGGAAGACGAGGAGGTCGGCTTGCCTACATTCTCAACAACATGACCCTCGACAGGGGGTCTCTCTTGATATGATGATAATCAGCAGGAATCGACGCAACACCAGTGGAGGAAGGCAGTTCAGTGACAGAACCGCTGAGTTCGGTGATAGCTAGTACAGAAGTGACAGGCGCAGAACCAGTGAAATCGACTGCAAGGAACCTGTTCGTAATGTCTCCCACGGAGCTCTTGGCCCTGGAAGACCATAAGGGAATGCCAGCTGCTGATCCCACAACGACCAGAACCAGCAGGTGGGAACGCTTCATGTTGATTATTCGCAGTGTTCGGTTTCCTCACAACGATCTGATATTGAAACGGTTCCTTCGAGGTCAATTTGAGTAGGTAGGACTGCTGGCTCAGTTGACCAGGGTGGATGCCAGAGTAGAGAGCCAAAGAAGAGCATGGCGGCTAAGATTCAGGGAGAAAATCTCTGCCTGATGATGATAGAATGACATGGAATTTGCGTCTGTCAATTATAACTTTGGTTGCTTACGCACGCTGGTATCTTTTGCTTACCTGGTAGCACGACGTCATCTACACAACATTGCCGTCCAAATGATGAGGATGATAGTAATTGTGGGAACCTTGGTAGGTGCGGATTAATTCCCTCGATATAGCGCAAAAGTATCATCACCATGGCTTCCGCTAAGTGCTCGGGGACCAAGGACACATTTTTTTTATTGATTTTGCTATCCGGGATGACATGGTAGCGGCAGGTCCATCTGCTCTCAGCAAGACCTGAATCCAATTTTCTAGTGACATTCCTAGCGATGCTCCCAACACTCAGGACTAACCATTGGCAGTAGTCTTGCCTGTCGTCGGAACATCACGCCCTCTGATCCTGCGTCCTTACGGACGCTACTGCAGATTTCGTGATTTTGAAGTTATTGAAAAACCTTTCAACCATCTGACCAGACACAAAACTCTAAAGTACCATGAGTTCCTGTCCAAGGTATTAAAGGTTCTAGGCTCTTCTATTGTGCGTGGTGGGATAGTCAAACAGCAACCGGTCCGAAACCTAGTTATTATCCCACTACCAGATGGTTTGTATATGAAACTGCCGTTTTATCGCGTCATCAGGTCAAGGTCAGGTCACAGATGTCAAATGAGCCTGAAAACGTCCAGATATACGACTGAAAAGATCTTTTTTTATCCCATGCCTGCCATTATATGTACACCTATTTCTACGCACATGTACTCTTTTGTCTCTTTTTCTGCAAACCCAATGCCACTCATATATAGTTTAGAAGACTTCAAATGTTTCCAATGCATTCGCAAGGGTATCTGTTTAGAGCCCTCACCAATTTGACAATTTCAACCCCATGGAAATCCCCCATATCAGGAGTCGCACTGATTAACGCCTGAGGCAGCAATTAGATGGTATCTCCGAAAAGTGGGTCCCATGCCTATCTTCTTAACTACTGAGCTTCTCCAAGATTGTGCCAATAAAAGAGTTGACAGGACGTCTGTTGTAAGAACCCAATCGTCAAGGCTATTCAGATCTAGTGGGCAACCGTTGCCAAGGGATCATGTATGATGTTCACTATCTCGAAATTTTAGGAGGCATTTGTTGATTACCGATTTATAGTAGATGTAATCATAATGAATCCACCGTGCGCACACTGATTGGGTCCGCTTTTCCCCACTTGTGTTGCCATAGGGCGCGGACTTCTCCAATTTGGAGAAGACGGGCTATGAAAACATGAACCTTGGCCAGCAACACATGAAAATGCGCTTTCCGTCCGGACGGGTGGGACCGCGTGTCCCCACTCCCCACCCCTTTAAGCTTGAATGGTTTCTCTTGGTGAATGACTCAGGGGGGGGTTAATCTGTATCTCTCATCTATGTAGTGGTCGATTGGAGAAGTACGGAGTGAGTCATGGTACTGGGTTGGTGGGTACTTGGCGTCGGGATAATGTCTCCCTCTTAGGGCATACAACGCGGTATACTACTAACTGCATACTTGGGCTTCAAAAGTAAAAGTCCACATAACGAATATCGCAGAGTTCTCCGACATCTCCGATTTCTCCGACTCCCCACTCACCGGCACTAGTGCCGAAAAGCTTTGTCACTAATCAGGATCTAGATGGGCATAAAACCAACCTGCATCCCTTCCTTACTGGTCGTTTGATTGAATTTTCGAGACGGACAGACAAGCGCGAAGATGGGATCGGACGAGACAGGAACCCATACGAGCGACCATGGCTCTACGGAGACCATCCAGGTCCCCATGGCCCAGTGCCCGAACACGACGGAAAAGCAATACAGCAACACCCCGCAGGAAATCGCATACCTCTACCTCGAGATGGAGACACCCCTCCCAACACCTCTCATCACATTGCCGCCGGGCCCGGGCCAACTGGCCGCGCCAGAACCTCCAGACCTCAAAAAATACACTTCCCCCTTCCTGTGGCCCAAATGGCGCAAAACCCTAATGACGTTGATTTCGTGCGCCGTGACTGCATTGGCTGGGTACGCGGCCGGTGAAATCAGCCCGGCGTCCCACGAACTGACGACTGAGTGGGGGATCACGCCGGTCGTGTATAATCTGGGGATAACGATCTTTTGCATCGGATTTGCGTTGGCGCCCATGGTCTTGGCGCCTTTTTCGGAGATCAACGGACGACGGCCGATTTTTATCGCCAGCGGGATTCTTTTTACGGGTGCGTTATCCGATCTGATGAAATTCGTCTGACTAGCTGGATCATGGCTCGTGCTGATGGCTATTAGCGTGCATCATCGCCTGCGGCGGGACTCATCACTTTGCGGGTCTGCTCGTCGCGCGGTTCTTTCAGGGTGTTGGTGGATGTACGTGTCCCTTCCGGTGGTTGAAGACGACCTAGCTAACCGTTGCAGCTACCTTCTCGACCATGGTTGGCGGTGTAATCAGTGACATCTATCACGCCGAGGACCGCAACACTCCTATGGCGCTGTTCTCCGGGGGTGCTCTCTTGGGCACCGGACTAGCGCCCTTGCTGTCCAGCATTGTGGTCCATCACACTAGCTGGCGCTGGGTGTACTACTCGCATGCAATCGTGTCGGCGGTCTTTGTGGTGATTATCTACTTCTTCTTCAGTGAGACGCGTGGTAGCGTGCTGCTTAGCCGCAAAGCTAAAACCCTGAATATTTACTACGAAGCGCTGGAAAATGCGGGACACGTGGGTGTTATTATGCCTGATCAAGATGAAGGCATAACAGACAAGGGTCAGGGCAAGATTCGGCGCATCCGGTGGAAGGTCAAGAGTGATGAGCAACGGGCGTCCCTGGGCCAGATGATCAGCATTTCATGCTACCGCCCTTTCCGTATGTCACTTAACTAGTCCTCCCACGGGGTACGGTTCGCTAACAGCCTACGCAGGAATGCTGATCACCGAACCGGTGGTCTTTTTCTTCTCACTATGGGTGGCCTTTAGCTGGGCGGTGCTGTACCTGCAATTCAGCTCTATTCCCCTGGTCTTTAGCACCAACTACGGGTTCAACATCGAGCAAACGGGTGCCGTGTTTACCTGTATGTCTGCTGAATTTCTTTCCCTGACCGAAAACTGACCCGTACAGCGATGTGCGTCGGCGTTATCCTCATCACCGTGATCAGTATCTATCAAGATAGCGTCGTTGCCAAGTATATTTCCTTGCCCAACACCCCCGAACGTCGACTGTACTTCGTCTGCATCGAGGCTGTCCTGATGCCCGCTGGACTGTTCTGGTTCGGGTGGACGTCGTTTCCATCCGTGCATTGGATCGTGCCCTCCATCGCGATCGGATGCGCCACTATGGGCATTTTTGCCGTCTATCTGGCGGTATTCAATTACCTGGCTGATACATATCACCGCTACGCGAGCTCTGCCATCGCGGCCCAGTCATGCTGTGCGTCTTCCACCAGTGATCCCTTTACATTTCGAAAAATGGGGATGAGTGGCTAATGATTTGACAGGTCGAAATCTTCTCGGTGGTATCTTCCCTCTCGTCACAAACGCCATGTTCACTAATCTCGGGTATCCTGGGGCATCGAGCTTGCTTGGTGGAATTGTAAGCCTTTCCTTGTTCGACTTTTCCAAGTAAAAGCTAAACAATGCTAATCATCCCAGGGAGCCGCTCTTACCCTCGTACCATGGGTCCTGGTGTTCTTTGGCCCACGAATCCGCGCGAATAGCAAGCTTGCCAGTGTATGTCTCTCTTTTTTTCACGTGGAATTCGGCTAACGGCGGGTAGGAACTTGCTCATTGAGGGTGTCCGTGAGACATACAAAACGCACATAAACAATAGAATTGGACCTGCTTAATCTGCCCACATGACTGCTTTTTTTTCTCTATATATCGAGAAAGAGATCTCTATATAACATAGATAACAGAGAGATTCAATGAGAATAATGTAGGTATCGTCTCTTCTATAGTTCATTCTATCTATGGATATCCGTCTATATCAACACCACGCAATGAAGGGCAACCCTCCCAAATTCAACCGGTATTTCAATCAATCATGAAGACAAGCTCAGAAAAGGTCAAATGGACAACGAAGTGTCGAAAAAGTCGTAAAAGCACAGTGAAGGAAAGGAAGAAACGAGCGAAAAAATCATCAATACCCAACAGGCCCCTCCCCAGCCGCCAAATTACACTGCCTGAATAACCTCACTTCGTCATCCCCGAAAGCCCCCACCACAGAATGCAACACGCCTCGGTTATGAAACAACACTAGGTCTCCCTCCTCCCAGTCGTGCGGATACACATGAGCAGGGGAAATACCGGGCCTCTGCATCCTGTAGACGATGTCCCGCACGCGGGACAAGTCGTCGATGATAGTCCCGTCTGCACGGTGGATCCTGAGCACGGCGCTCGGGTGGATCTGTAGGGCGGGTCTACCTGTCACAGGGTTTTTCCATACCATGGGTAGGATCTGGATCTTGGAGGGATCGACGGGTGGGAGGTCGGTGGTGGGGAGCTCCAGATCGGCGGAGTAGAGGCCGAGACCTGTGGGCAGGGAGCGCGCACCGCTCATCCAGATGTATCTTTTGTGGATGGACGTGGTTAGTATTGGTTGATAGACTTGTTTATCCTGAAGGATTGGTGAGGGAAGACATACGGATGCGGTGCGTATTCAACCCGGCTAGTGAGGGCAAATTCCTTGTCTTCATCGGAGAGAAGACTGAACATTTTCTCACCCGTGACGAAGGCGGTCGTACCTAGGGGCACGTCCAGTGTCTCGTTGGATCCGTCGTCGTAGCGCAGTGTTTGTCGGCGGCCTTTAGGCACCTGTACGGCGAGGAGTGTCGTGACGTGTGGCGGGTGGAGGTCGTACAGCGCCGCGTCAATATGCCATCTGTAAAACCGCGTATAGTCGCGGTCTTCTTCCATCGGGATGGGGTCACGGTGGAAGGTCCGGTGGTGGGGGTGTTTGAGCTGGATGTTGGAAAGGCCTTCGTAAGATTCGACGAAGCCGTGTCCAATGACCTGCACCTGGGGTTGGTGTGGTACTGTCTTTAGGTCTGGGTGCAGGATGCTGCGCTTTGCGTCGACGGTCTTGCCGTGGCCGTACTGTGAGGCGGACGGGTCGAAGCGCTTGGTGAGTTCATATTGGGCTTTCGGGGTGAGATGATGTTGATTCTTGATCACTACCACTTGGTTCCTGTAGAGCTCCTGGTGGATCAAGGTGAATATATCGTCTGTCGGTGTTGTTAGCTTCTCATCCCAGTATATAGTCAAGACAACACACCCGTCAGGTTCTCGAGGTCGACACCCTTGATGACGGTACCAAAGTCAATGTCGGATCCTAAAGATGGGCACAGGGGTTGAATCGAGATTGCCATTGTTCAGATATATCCCACAAGCTTGAGATGATGTACGATGATTCAATTGAACGAAATACCAGCTATTTATAATGTAGGAGCATACCTAGGGCTGATAAGCTATACGGCGGGTGAGACGGACAGTTCACCCGCTCCCACAAAATCGTTGATGGTGATTGGTCGGGAAAAGCAATTCCCGTCATTTCCCGTTTGGGAATAGAATTAGTCAGCCTGCGATATTGATATGCCCTGAAGTCATTGATATACAAGATTGCCGTATCATTTATAGTGTCTGTTGGAAGTAACAGACCGGCTCGCTGTAGATTTAATCGAACTTGCTGAAGATGATAGACCGCCAAGTGTATTTCCAGAAGGCGCGGCCTGGAGCATTCCGTCATTCAAGGCGCACAGCTGGGGCCTATGCATAATCAGCTTGTACAGCTCAACATGACGCTTCAGGCAACCCCATGGTGGTGTCCTATTGAATTAGACATGGAAAAGATCGGAGTTAGTCGAAAGACTGTAGGTTGTATAGCGGAGAATATTGCGTGATGCACAAATCTAGAAAACGAGGAGAATCTTCGAGGGCTCAAATCAACGGCAGGCGATGTGCAACAATTGCCGGCCTGGAACATGTCCCAGTGAATACGGATTACCAACGGTGAGAAGTTGGTCACCTGGACAATCCTGATTTATAGGACCTTCCCTAGGACTAATCGAAGGTATTGGAGCGGCTGCGAAACGACGAGATACTCCGCGTGGGCGATGTTGACGTTGACAATATTGTCTTCAATTGTGCCACATGCAGGGAGATCCTGCGGTGGAGGGCTCTACCTCGGAATTTCCGACGAAAGTAGTGATGGTACGACGGCCCGCTCACCAATGGTCATCTGTGGCTGGCCCTTGACAAGAGACTAACAGTGCACTAATGCGATCCCTCCCTCCCACAGAGCTAGGTCGCTAGGGGTAGCATGTGTGGACCACCTTGCGGTCTTTCATATATAAAGTGGCTCGCCCATGATGATAATGTTGCCGTGACCCCACAGAAAAAAATTTGGTCACCTCGATATGAGTGGTCTCGGCGTCCTAGGCTCGCTGGCAGGCGACCCTAGCCTTCTAAAATTCGTCGCAGGGTTTTTTGGTCTAGTAAGAACATCGGTATAAAACTGCAGGGTAGAGCGTTAACAAAGCCACACTAGGTGTCCTTCGCCTCTCTTGCAACCTGTGTCTACAGCGCCTATCTACACCCATTGTCAAAGTACCCCGGGCCCCGGATTGCAGCCGCCACGAGACTCTGGTTTTGTTACCATCTCATTCGCGGGGACCTGCATCTGGCAATCCATCACCTGCACCTGAAGTACGGCGAGGTGGTTCGCATTGCGCCGGACGAACTATCGTACACCCACGCCGACGGTTGGAATCAGATCTATGGACAGAGACCGGGCAAGCCGGAGATTACTAAAGATCCTCTATTCTACGGGACACTGAGCTCCGGCCCTGGTAGCATCGTCAGTGCATCGCGTGATCGACATGCCGTCCTGCGCAAACAGATGGCACCTGGGTTTTCGGAGCGCGCGATGAGAGAACAGGAGGCTATTATTCGATCGTACGCCGATTTCTTGATCGGTGCTTTGAAGCAGAACGGGAAAGCAAGCGTCGCTGACTTGATGCGCTGGTATAATGTCAGTATCGCTAATCTTCCCTCCGCTGGTGCCGTGTGTGGTATGCGCATTTACTCAACGGGGATCAATGTAGTATTTCACCTTCGACATCATGGGTCATCTCGTCTTCGGCGAACCCTTCGATTGTCTGAAATGCACCGGTTACCACCCATGGGTCGGACTTATTTTCGACGCTATACGCTCGGCTGCCTTCATGCGATCGTCCAATTTCTGGCCGTGGCTCGCCCCCCTGATTCGAAAGTTCATCCCCAAGGAGATGCAGCGTCGCCGACTGGAGCAGAAGGAAATGGCTCGGGCGAAGGTCGCACTCCGCAAAAGTATCAAAGACGCACCATACGATCTCAGCGCGAGTATGTTGAAACCGGATAGCGGTGTCACACCGCAAGAATACCAGGCCACGGTAGAGTCGATCATTATCGCCGGCAGCGAAACCACCGCTACTGCCTTATCGGGCGTCACTTTTCTTCTGCTCAAGAACCCGGATAAATTGGAGAGAGTTGTCAAAGAGGTGCGGTCCGCTTTCGCATCGCCAGAGGACATCTCCTTTGTAAACATCAACAAACTGCCCTATCTGCTGGCGTGTCTGAATGAGGCACTGCGGATATACCCTCCCATCCCGGACGCGTTTCCCCGCAACACAACCTCAAATGTGGAGATGATTCTAGATCAACTGGTCCCTCCAAATGTAAGTTGATGATAGCGATCCTAGCAGCCCCATGCTGACTGCGTTAGACAATTGTCCGCATGACCCACTGGGGAACGTTCCATTCTCCGCGAAACTTCACCCGACCGGACGAGTACCTCCCCGAGCGATGGCTCGGTGAGGACCCCCAGTTCGCGAATGACAAGAAAAACGCATTCCAGCCATTCCAGGTTGGTCCGCGGAACTGCATCGGTCGAAAGTATGTTCCCTTCTTTCCACCTGGACTTCGTTAGAGTCTAACAACGCCTAGCTTGGCATACTTCGAAATGCGATTGGTGATGGCGTTAGTCCTGTGGCATTTTGACATGGATCTCTGCGAGGAGTCGACGGACTGGAGTAACCAGAAAGTGTACTTGTTGTGGGAGAAGCCCGCGTTGATGGTGAAGATGTCGCCACGGGCTGTATGAGCCAGGCTCACCGTCTATGACCGGAGCTAGAGCAAACCTTTCTCGTACATGCTTGGACTTCTCGGCTGAATTTGACAGAACCTATAGATGGAATGAATGTAGACGGCATAGGCGCAGCGTCATAATTGCGATTTTGAAACATTGGATGTATTGATCGTATTGTACTACTTGGTAGTGATATGGGGCTGGGGTAACAACTCTCTTATCAAGGCCTTCAGCCACTGGGTACGTTGTTAAGTTTATGATGTCGGTTGCTAGGTTTCCAGGGTCGAATATGAGACTGTCTTTCAACCCATTGAACGTCTAATCGGGGCAACGATGCTGGGAACACGGCCGGTCCCCCACTTCTATGGGCTACGGCCCACACCAGCAAGAATCACGGAAAGCTTTTATCGCATCCAAGAGTGCAAAAAGGTTAGTGCGGATAAAGTTTGAGCCGTCACTGGCAGGGATGGCTAGTATAGTCCACGATATCCATATCTGTCGTGTATTCAAATTCCTTGATACTATCCCTTAACTGCTTGAATGTCGATGAAGCGCACTCATGTCGAGTCAGACGATAATCCGGCGCTGACGGCTGGAATGCGAAGCCTGTTAGTCCTGGTGAAGTGTTACACCATGATGGATCTATAAATGAGCCCACGGCCCGCACCAGCGCGTTGTAGCTTGTACCAGAGTGGGGAGGGGTGGAAGCAGGTGGCCAGAACAACTTGCTGCTCTGTCTCTGCAGGGTCAGTGCACCAAGCATCATGGATCAGCATTCGAAAGAACAGCCGCGCGATGTGTTACTATAGGTTTTGTACTCTTTGTCGAGCGCGGTGAAGACCCTGGAGATTTTCTCGGATCTGCGTCGGTTGATTTCGGCTGCACTGCTTTTAGCTGGTAATTATAGATGAAATTGGTAGTTGGGGCTCACGTAATAGTGTAGTAGGTAAAGACAGGCCGAGGCTGGTGAGGGGTTCGTTGCTCCGTGTAATCGCAAGGTTGGCTGCCTTTCTAAGCAACGCCTGACGGTTAAAGATGCATGAAATACACAGCCACAGCATGACCTCGCGACAGTGGGTTGTGGGGAACGACGGTATTAAGGTGTCAATCCAGATGTCTGCAAAGAATTTCACCGGCAGGACACTATCATAGTAGCCTGCAATGGTGGCTAGCTGCGCCAGACAAGTCACGCTGATGTCCCGGGTCAACCTGTGAGTTTTGCAATGGACAATATTCATGAACAGGAGAAAAGCTTCAAAATCCCAGTCTCCGGCATCCAGCTTCACGTAAAAATTCTCGAAGAGAGACTGACCCTCCTTCCAAGGCCCAGTAAGACACTTTTTTAGAACTGGCGAAGCGAAGGCGAGGTGCTTGGCAGAGACCTGTACGGTGTAGTGAGGTAATTCCGGGTCATCGCCCTTCGGCTCTGGCGTAGGATTGCCTTCATCATTTGGGGGATCATTGTTTGTTGTGTAACGGCCACTGGCAGATTTTGGGATGGCGATGCACTCTTGCGGCCATGGGGTGAACAGGGGCACTCTTTTAGGTAATGCGAATACAACCTCTCCGTTTGGGTCAATGGCATGGGACGGTTTTTCCATAGCCGTATAGTCTGTAGATGACTTGGTGATACACCGAGGGGGGGTAAGATCGACATAGGAATTTGAGCTCCAATTAGAAATAGAAGTAGCACATATCAGGCCTAGACAAGATGATGGATACATTACAGGGGACGTGTCCCTCTTATTCTGCCAGTTGTGCGGTGGTGAAAATTCCGATCCGGATAGATACGAATCACTGATATCTTGATCAATGATTAACTGTAGCAAATAATGATGATGTAGCAATTGTGTCCTTGAACCTTGACCGAGTTTACAATAATTTTATTATAGCCCCTGGACCAGAATAATGAATCGGTATTCAAGCCGCGGTGATTCTTGACTAATTGATTAGCTTCACTGTACTGACAGCCTGAACTAATGTAGCTTCTGCACACCATGCCGTTTGTCCCTAGTTTTACTGCCTAATGATACGGAGGCTTGACAGAAAATAAGAATAACACAAGTTTGGGGCACTTGATACGTTATGAAATCCATTAGGCCGATCTCTAACTTTCCAGGTCGGGTGTTAAACTTTCTTTCAGCTTATCGAAAGTCGAGTCTAGGCATCAGTGTCACGAATAACCAGATTCTAGTGCCAAGGTCTGGTCTTCGAGGTCTGGCTGTGACGGGGTGTACCAGACGCGGTCTCGGAAATCGTTTACAGCCTCTACTCAAGCGATGTACTTGGCGTCATGGTGGGGTAGAGGCACGCGGTGAGAATAACTCTCTTTCCTGCGTTTGCTGTTGAGGTGCATCCTGCATAATACAGGAGGATTCCTAGCAGCAGCCGGCTGATTCTAGAACTCATCAACAGCCGTGAATATATCTGCGATCTTTGCCGTTCTTCCCGGGTTTAGCTCAGCCACTGTACCAAAATACCGAACGGCATTGTAGCCGAGCTTCATATAACTGATACTCCAAGACAGAGCTCTCAAGCTCCACTGGGGCCCTTGTATAAGTCTCTAGCACTGGCTCTTTCATTTCTGACTCCGTGGGTCCTTAAAGTCACCTTTAACTAGATAAGATATTGGTTGGCTTCAGGCGAGGATCAAGCTCACAACCTCCGCAGCCGGGCTCATAACCTCTCAGCTACTGTACCAAGATACGGGCTTCATAAGACCGATAGACGAACAGTTGGTTTCGGCTGCAACGGCGTTAGCTAATAATGATAGACCCTTGTACGGAGCAGTTGGAGCCCACATAACATTAGTTGGTATGGGCAGTGGCTGGGCAGGCGATTTTGGGCCCGCTGCAGAGCCCGCTCTCCGGTTAGATGTTGGAAATTATTCGATGGATATCTAGCAAGAGATATATCAAGGATGATAATGAGTTTAATGAGAATGTAACGAAAGCGGACTGTCTCTTCGACTGCTTCCGGGCTCATAACCTAACAACATGGAAGAGATGAGCGTAGGGAGAGGATGAATGACCCTATTTCTCTAAGAACAATGGCCACACTATCTAGTCCGTCATATGACTATCCCAATGATAATCGTCTCCCAGACCGATCACTGAGTTTATAGCTGTACCCCATACCCTTTATCCTGTTGCGGGACCTTTGAAACACGCCTCTGTACAACAACAATAAGTCACTGTGCATTTTTGACTAATGGACAGTTTATCCTCTATCACAACAGTAATGAAACCAATCTAATTGTGTGTTCTGCAGGGCCATTTATTTGGCAGACTTATTTCCTTCACAGAGCGGGAGGAATCCGCCACACGTTGCTCATAGGGTGAGGGTTTGTTTTGATCTCAATTGTTACTGCGTGTATTGTGAGTATCAAATAGTTACTATCTTCACTACTAGATATTAGTAAGGATGCTCGTTGCCATCACACTAGTTTCTGCCATAGGTAAGTCATCTAACATCAAGTTATAATACGCAGGAGAGTTATAGCTTTAGTCTATCATTATGTCAAGATATCAGTCACATTGAGTCTGATATAATGCTGATTTAGTATTTCAGTATAGTGGTGGAGATATCACAATTCATACATATCTAGAGTACTCGGTAAATAGTGTCATGATCTTGATAATCACTCCATAGCGGTATATTAACAATGATAAAATCAATGATGGTGGGACCGGGCAATATATAATTCGCCCAGTACCTCATCCCTCAGGTGGAGAATGCTGTGATCACTGGGGTGAGTGGTAAGAGTAAACAGGGATGAATGTGTTGTAACCTGCAAGACCAACCATGATCAGGTTAAATATATACTATTGCACTTATCCAAGGTTAATCGGATGAGCAAAAAAGGAACCAAAGAGCAACGAGCACAGTATAAAAGCATGGCCATCATCCCCCTTCCCGCCAACATTCTCCTCGCTCCACACCTCTTCTAGTCCTCACCCTTGACATCGCAACAGCTAACCTGTTCTCAATTGACCTGATTTGTCATTAACCAAAATGATCGGAAACAAGAAACTTGCCGTTGCCATCATGGTGCTGGCCATGGTAGTCTCCAGCTCCGCCTTTCTGCTTGCCGCTCCCCTGTTTCTGACTTCCACCTTCGCTGGTGCCGCCCTTGCGTCCGTTGACCCGGTTGATCCCTTGTCGAACCTGCTGGACAATCTCGCTCAGGCTGCCAGCGACTATCTGATTTTTAAACGGGCTGTTGATTCATTCAATGGCGACCTCAATACGATCCGCGGCCTTGCCGAGTCCGGACTAATCGTCGAGCAATCCGTCAATAACTCCACGGCCGCCGCCAAAGCCTGCCACAAGCTCAATGTCGACGAGAGCACCCAGGTCATGACGGCTCTTGCTAAGCCCTACCCCACTTTCATGGCGGATCTGCTGGGCAACATCACTGCCAAGGTATGTGTTCCCCCCGCGAGTGCTTCGTGGCGTAGAACAGAGCACCAGCTGACGAGATCCTTCAGAAACCTTATGTCGACGAGCTTCGTATGAATTCTCAGGTCGTGGGTTACTTGCGTAGAATGTTCCGTGCGTCAGACCAGCTGCCTCTGGCGCTGGAAAAGATCGCGGTTGAGAGCGACGCCAGGGTCATTGACCAGGGTCGCCTGTGGTGCAATGGACTGATTGGAGATGCTATCGATGAGTTCGGCAAGTGATCGGCATGCTCTATGAGTTGTGGCAGCTCAGATTTTATTTCATGGGATTGACTGCTGTACTGTCTACGTTCTGCTTCGATCTTTTTGTTGTGGTCATCAACGCTAGGCATAGTTAGTCCCCTGCCAATTGAAACATTGTTTCTACCGTGTGCCTTCGTAGACCCCACGATGCTGTCGGGAAAGACGAGCCGCGGATTGTGATTCTGTCCTGGAATAACAGCGAAAAACGTAACACAGAACGCAATTCCATGCGTACAATACATCTGAGGTCAGACAAGTGGGTATGCCAAGCCATGCATCAAGGAACGAGGCAGTGATGGATTAAGTCCGATCCTGTCAGACATTAAGGCGCCCTCTAAACACCCATTGGGTTAGTTCGCGATGGAGTATAATTCCGACCAACGTGATCCATCACTTTTCGTCCAGGCTTCCAGCTGAAACCCCCCACCACGAATTCCACCATCTACCCCATCCCACACTCCTTCCAACATGCCGGGGGTTCCCTCGGGTCGCGGTTGCGAGGCGTGTCGCAAGCAGAAGAAGAAGGTCAGTCGTGGCTCGTCCACCCCACCAGCCAGCCCTACCCCACCTAACCCTAGATTGTCTTCCAGTGCGACCAGGCTCAACCCTCCTGCGCTCGATGCGCCCGTCTCAATATCCCCTGCGTCGGCGGGGGCGTCCGACGGTTTAAGTTCATGGATCAGGGGGTTGTCGTCAAGATGGCAGTGAATAGAAAGACGGATCCCCAACCACAAACCCGAGCGCCCACGCCGCGATTCCTCCCATCCTCCGAGACAAACGCCATCGCCAACGCCTTTGTCTGCATGATGGAGGTCACCGACGTTCGATATGACATCTCCTGTTACGGTGGCTTTTTGAAACAAGTTCCAAGCCGGCTGGGAACCAGTCCAGTCCTCGATGCGTCCGTCACGGCTCTCACCCACGCGTCGGCGGCGCTCTATACCCGACAGGATCATGTGGAGGTTTTCCAAAAGTACGGACATGGATTGTCGGTCCTGCGCACCGCATTGAGTAATGCGCACGAATCCCACTCGGCGGACACGCTGTGTGCCATCTACTTTCTGATGATTGCCGAGGTCAGTATCGGCGCGTGCAAAGGACGAGGACGGCACACTAATTGTTCCAGGGCTGGATCATGAGGAAATACGATATCTGCGCAGGACATGTAAGTGGCATGGCTTATGTATTGAATATTCTGGCTGCCAAAAAGGACCCCGACCCGTTCGAGCAAGACCTCCTCCGAACGCTGTGTCTCCCTGTAGTAAGAACATTCCCCCCACTCCCTCTTCCGTTTCATCCTGACATCCCAGCTTCTGGTGAGCATCTTAGATCCCACCGTCAAGCTTCCCACCAGCGTGATGCGCCAAATCACCGTCGCCGGTCCGCGTCGTCCCATCCTCAACAACGAGAACGCCCCCATCCGAAGCCTGCAGGTCACCACCTTCGCCAAATATCCGGACCTAGTCCACCACCCTGAGCTCCACTTCTCCGATCTCGTGGCAACCTATCAGCAGATGCACTTGGAGTATGCGATACTGCGGCGCCGCCTCGACACCACCACGGTCGACATCGCTGCGGAGGCCAACCGTGTCCCGAACCTGAAGACAATGCGGCTTCAGGCCCTTTTCCAGGTCGGATGCAGCTTGGTGCTCACACTGGCAATCATCTTGAATCGGGTCTACCATACGTGTGACCCGTTGGAGCCTGGCCTGGACGACGACTTGAATCACTTCTGCCGGGAGAGCTTCACCCTGGCGGAGGCGGCCCTGCCCCATCGTCCGCTGGGATCGAGCCCAATTCCTCTCAATTTGACGATTGCCTGGGCAGTGGTGCGTGACGCTCACCTGCGAGAACAGATTGAAGGCATGATCGAGGTGTACGAAGCGAGCTATATCAAGACCCCGTGGAAGGCCTCGGCGTTTCTGCTGCAGCAACACTTAACGCAGTTGCGTCTTCGAATGGCGTCTCTGCGGCAGTCGGAAGATATCTTTCGGACCGTAACAAACAGCTCTTTTGCGACGCCTTCCTGACGAGCAGCCTTTGCATTGTTAGCGAAATCTATAGTCTCACTAGAGGTACGGGATTGCTTACCTCGTCCTCCCCCAAATACTCGGTCCCAACCCTGATTTCCTCCCCGTCACCCTCGCACTCAAGCCGAACTTATCGCCTCTGTCCCTGATTTCCACCAGACGTGCTTCCGCTTGAGGGGCTGCTCCCAGGACTGCCACCACCATTCGCGTTGGGGGTGCCCGCGTTCGATCCGGACTGGCTCCCCGAAGTTGAACCATTTGTCTGACCATTTCCGTTGTTGGAAGATTGTCCGACGACGGTCTGGGGAACGAGAAACGCTTGCATTTTGTGTATGGAATAATGTTGATGGTACTGTTCGGGTTTTGCTGTTGATTTGCATTTGGGATTCATCCCGTCCCAGTCCATATTTATATGTATCTGTTAGATCACATCTGCGATCGATCGCACAATCTGGCATCGACATGAAGGATGAAGCAAAATGATGTAAAAAATAAAAATAAACAAAACCAACTCGTATTGATATCCCCGATATAGACACAGACTAATCCAAGGGATTCAGTACCGCCTCCACCGAGACCGTTCCTGATCTACTCGGCTCCCGGCCAACCATCCCTACCCTCCACATGGGCAGCTCCTTGATGGAATACTGACGTTGCGCTCAACCGAAAGCCAGCTTCATCTGCAATCCAATCATATCCCGGAGATCAGGGTTGCGTGAGCTCATCCTGATCGTCACGCTGACCGACGCCAAGCCGTCAGCTAGGCCCCCGCTTGGCCTAAATTGGCCAAATCGGCCGCTTTTCTGGTCTGTGCTGGGCTTCATCTGCACCAACGGGGAAATGTAGTCGAGCTTATGTTATGCTCTGCATGGCGCAGCATCGCCTATCACTGTCGCACTATTAATATACTGTCGATGCTACTTTCTTCTACTACATATCAAGTATAATAGAGACAGTCTGACTGGATATCTGGCTACTTCCAACAGCCAAGATAGTAATCCAGTTGGTTGAGAATAGTAGGATATGAGAGAGAATCTCACTCACCACTCGGGACTTCTATGCCACTGTCTCAGCGCTATACCACCGTCTCCAACAAATGAGCGCCCCTATCCGCGATCGATCGATTTCATTCCTCCCCATCTGCGCGTAAGGCTGCTCCTCCGTCTCGCCTTGTCCTCAGCTCCGCTCCTCTCCCTGTTTCTCTTCGTGCTGGAACACCCGCCCCAGTGGTCTCCCTTACAGTCTTCGCTGTACATCTACAATTCATGTCCCATTACGGTATAGTTTAGGTGGACAGCGTGCCTTGAACAGTAGCAATTCCCAGACAACCACCCCGAAAACATCACTCTGGAATACTCCATCCAGTAGCTGTAGCCTTCTCAGTCATATGCTAGCACTGAGACACGGTTGCTACTCTTGGTAGGTGTGCTCAGCTGTAGGGCAGCATTGGGAGTGGAGAAAGCGTAGGGCTATGCAGGAACAGTAGGATTCCCAATACGATGGGAAGGGAGTCCTGAATTCGGTGTGGCTCAGATGGTGGACTAGGGTCCTAAGGTTGGAGGGCATGTGGGCCTTATAGAGAGTGGGGGTAAGGCGCTTTTCGGATAGGTGGTGTTTGATGGTTCTCGCTAGATGGGGAATGCTTGTATTGTCTATTTTAGGTTTGTTGGGCCTGATTTGCATTTTGTATGCTACTTGATTGGTCTTGGGGGAGAAATGGCGCTTTGTTGCTGTCGACGGTTGGATCAAGACCGCTGTATATTTAGACGAACCTATATGCTGACGCTTTGACATCATAACGGTTTGACGACACCAACACATATTAAATGGCCGAGAGTGTCACTGAGACAATGCGACGCTAGGCCTCGATTTACTTAGAAGAGAAAAAGAGAACATAAAAGTAAGACATCCGCTGAGGAATGTTGCAATGCTCGTCTAGTAATTCAGGCCGTTCAGGCATACAGCCTCTGGCCTACTGTGTTTTTTTTATCATCACCATCAGAGTAACCATACAGGCGAAGTGAATGTCCCATTCAATCACAGGATTGACTCCCGTTCCCTGGTCGAGGAAATGAGACCCTTATGCTGACGCAGTTCTCATCTGTGGTGCCTAGCTCACTCACCCGACGCCCTCCTGGACACGAACATGCATGCTGCTTCATAATCCTGCTACATAAGCTAGTTATAGTGTCGTGGCACCATATGAAAACTACATGGTGTACATGTTGTTGTCGAATGGAAAGACCACGACAGCATCAGGGCAAAAGTCGCGTGTCCACTGGCTCAATCTCCCTCCAAGGGAGACAATTGGGGTACCGGCAGCAAGGAATGTCGCCCCTTCAGCGATGCAAGGGATGTGATACCAGCAACCCTACGCCCCGACGCAGCTTTAAATGCTAGATGTGCGCCCGCAGGAAGTGACCACGTTTCGAGAACTGCACTGTCCCGAAAGAACTTGAAGCCATGTACGCTACATTGATCCTCTTGCTGGCGACCTCCACCGCGCTGGCCAAAACCATCACGGTACGACTCCAGTATGCAGATAACCAGGACAACCGCTGATCAAAACAGGTGGGAATCGGAACAAGTGAGGCGAGCCGGCCACTACATGTCCCCGTGGGGGAGTGCACAGACGTGGACGAAGAGTACTTGCCATACTTTCTCTCACTATAATCTATAGCACTGCTAACAGGAACAGGGAGGTGTACACGTTGGACTTGAAACAGCCCTGTCGGGCGTTCACGTAAGTCTCTGGACTGAACCACTAACACTATGCCACCGTGCTAACAGTCACAGTGGCGTCATGTGCACAGGACAGACAGTCTTACTGAATCCCGGCGAACATACGAGTATAACCCCTGTGCCGGTCGGAAGTCTCTTGTGCGAATAGATGCGATCATGATCAGATCTGTCGTGGTGGGTTAGGGTGGTAGATACTATATCATAGGTTTGCGACGAGATGTATCAAAAATTTTGTTCTCCCTACGCTCGGGTTTTTCTGATGAGATTCCGGCCAATAGCATATTTCAAAAATAGCACAAAGAACAAATGACAGGAACAAGCCACCCAGCATAAACCCATGGTAAGAATGTCCTTTTCTGTAGGTTTTACCCACTGCTCCTCCTATGACACCGGCCCCTCACCCATCTCTGGGTGACGACCCTACGTGAGGAATGCGGTTGGTTATACGGGCTATATACTATTAGTATTCGCGTCTATTTCGAACGGTGGAAGCTATATACTGGCCTGTGATCATAAACATGATTGAAGATCCTCTCTTCAATGATATTCTTATCTTCCTCTCAGGTAACAGTACTTATAATTCTGATATAAAGTCGTGCTATAATTCTTTCTATGACTATGGGTCTAGAATTTTTGAATTCAATAGTGAAAATATTATATCAAGTTTATTCAACGACATTAAGATCAAACTCAATCTACAATCTCTCCCGCAGCTTCAAGATGCGCTCCGTGCCCGCATCAAACTGCTCCTTGGACACCGACCCATCTTCCACGGCCGCCACCAGCGCGTCCACAATGACTGCTCCCTGCGTGACATTCCTCGCCGCCGCCAACAGCAAGTCCATACCCGCCTGCGCCGCGAGGATCGCGCGGGCCGAGTCGTCCCCAAACGCCGTCAACGCCCCCGCTTCAATCGCATCCGTCACCGTCACCCCGGTGTATCCCAACCGCTGGCGCAGCTCCCCCTGGATCCACGACTCACTCAGCCCCGCCGGCATTTTCGGGTCGACCGCGGGGTATACCCCCCACGAGGCCATCACCATGGCCACATCCGCTGCCATCGCCCCCTGGTATGGCGCCTCGTCCTTACCCCTTAGCTCGTCGATCGTCAGGTCCAGCGTCACCGGTTTTTCGTCCGTGTTCGAGTCCGTCGGCGCCGCTCCCAAGCCCGGGAAGTGCTTCGCCGCCGCGAGCACGCCCTCGGCCTGCTGCGCCTTGATGAAGGCCGACGCGCACTTGTCCACCCGCTCCGACGTGTTACCGAACGACCGACCGAACTCGTCCGCAAAGTCGCCCGCCGTCCGGTAGATGTCCAGAACGGGCGCCAAATTCGCGTTCATCTGGTACTTCTTCAGCGCGGTGGCAGCATCTTTCCCTGCCTGGGTGGCCGCGCCGACTGGGTCCTTCGCGTCTCCGATCGCCTTGGCGGGGGCTTCAGGTCCGCCCGGGAGACGGCGCACTTCGCCACCCTCTTGATCTGTCGAGATGATGAGGGGTGTGCCGGCGTAGGCGGGGCTCGCCGCATAGACTTCTTGGAAGTGCTGAATGTGCGCGGGGAGATCGTCGTCCACGTTTTCGCCGAACAGGATCAGCCCGCCGACTTTACCGGCTGCTATGAGGTCGAGGAGCTCTTGAGGCGGCGTTGTGCCGGGGTAGGAAAATATGACGTGGGCGCCGGCCTGGGTCGCGAGGTCGGATGGCGGCGCGGATAGGGCGGGGGTGCCCTGAAGAGAAAACGCCAAGAGAGTGAGGGGTTGGAGGAGCTTCATCGTGGGTTTATTATGCTGTAAAATGTCTTTTGAGTCGCGATTGTCACGTACGGGGTGGAGGAGCCTGCTTTATATTTGTTGATACGAGGCCGTTAAGCGATGTTGCATGATCGACATCGTCTGGTCGGTCGAGGCCGTCGCGTTGTGGATTTCGACCAATCGCACCAGTGTCTCGTATAGATAGGATCCGACTGGGGTTACATCGTTGTTGGAGGATAGTTAAATTGAAGGGTCATCACTATCGACATACACGGTCCTCGTATATACAAGTTCGTCACCTGGAATGCCTTAATAGAGTACAGTCCCCGCTATCACGATCGCCGACAACACCCACAGCCCCGGTCTCACCACCGCACCGATCGACTTTTGTGTCTTTCCAGTTTCCGAATCATCCCCTTCGCTCGTATCATCGCTCGTGTCCTCACTCTCAGACTCGCTCGTCGAACTTCCAGACGAGCTACTACTGCCACTCCAACCGGAGCTCGGCTTAACCGGCCTATCATCCCCAGCATGGCGACCCGCCTTGCGCGCCTCCTTCGCATACTCCCACTCCACCTTGTCCCCCGGCTTGATGTCATCAAACGCCGCGGTACAAGCATCCATATCCGTCTTGCCCTTGAAATAACTCTCCAGGCACGCAATCTGCTTCTTGTTCATCTTCGCCTGGCACGGGTCCGGCTTCCCGTCCTCCCCCGAAACCAGCTCCGGACACGAATCACTGGGGTCTTTGGCCGTGATAGCCCCGAGATACTGCGGACAGCCTGAGAACAGATCATCGGCGCCGCTGCCATCATCGACAATTGTGAACTTTACGCGCCCCGTCCGCACGTTCCCCGTTTCGATCAGCATGGTGTCCCCCTTATCCGTGCACGTCGTCGTTGAATACTCCCACGATAGAGTGTACTCTCCGGCTTTGATGTTCCCCCCCCAGTAGGTGGAGTCGGCGAGAATTCCCACGTTGCCCGCGGTGTAGTTAAATTGCTTCTGCCAACTGTCGGAGGCGAAACTTCCCGCCGCGAAGAATGCCGGTCGATCCCCGTTGATTTCCCAGTTGATCTGGTAGTCGAAGACCTTGGCGGTCGGGGCGTTCTGCAGTGCGAACACAACCGGGGGCACGGTCATGTTGTTGTATGTGGTCTTGCCCTTGGGGAAGACAAGATCGATTTCGATGCGTGCTGGGTTGGATGCGCTAGCTAGCGCAGCGGTCGCCCCGAGGGTGAGCAGAGTGATGGGGAGCATGGGGAGCATGTTGGGTCGGTGTGGTGGTTGTGCAATTTGTCCCTGTAAGGATGGGCCAGAGAAGACTATATATCGACACCACCCATTTCCTTTTTATCATTTTCTTCAACAATCACATTGTGTTGCCTGTTCGCCTTGTCTGGATCAATACGGATGGTGCTTTGGAATACGAGCCCTGGGCCAATCCCACCCGACGCCAAGCAGCCCGTCTGTCCTTTCTGAGAATAGCGATACTCATTAATAGAGACTTGTAGACTGACTCCCCACTAATACAGTCTAGCTTCAGGCAGCAAATGGCCCGATGGAAGAATAGCGGGACCCGGGTCCGCAGACATCTGAATCCTATAAAATCGTTGAAAAACATCACGGATCACGTCGTAGCACGCGCCAAAACGCACCACCCGCATGCTTCCAAAGTCGATCATCGTCGATGATGCCCGCGGGTAGCTGTAGCGTTGTCGTCCGTAGTCGATGATGATGTTAGCTGCCGCTCGCACTTCGGGCTCGATCTCCTCTACTACCACCTTGGTCCCTGTGCCACTTATGTTGGCCGAAGAGCCCATCAGAGGCAGTCCGGCTGCGGTGGTCAGCCGCGAGAGCTCTTCCTGCAAGCCGCCTCCGTTGACTAGCATCGACAGAGTTTCGTCCACGGTGCTCTTCGACAGTGTCGCGTTCCCGAGTTTGCGGACCAGAGGGTGGTCTGGACGGAACGGGGCGACGACGCCGAGCGGGAGATCGAGGTCGACTGTCAGTAGCCGCACCATAGACTGTCGCTCTGGTGGGAGAACGTGGATGGCTTCTTGTAGAGCAAAGCTTCCGATCATGGCGTGTTTCTTGTGTGGTTTGCGTCGCTTGACGGTGAAGAGTCGGTCCAGGGCTTCCGCGTCACATGCTACCAGGCCGTATCCAACGTTGGCGGGGATGATGGCCAGACCACCGTTTCGCAGCACGTCAAACACCCGTTGGGCGTCTCGAGCAATGTCCACTGACTTGCTTTCTGACATTCTCGGTGCTTACGGTCGTGGTGGTCAGCAAGGTTGCCGGAGGTGTCTATATTAATACAGATATCTGAAATCACAACTTTCTACTAATGGCTGTCCTACACTTGTCTTACTGTGACATAAAAAATAAACCGAAGACTCTGAGTTCGCACCCGTGGGTGTTGCGAGTCGGGGTGTTGTGCCCTGCCGGTCGTGTACAGGACAAGAAAAGCAAACTAAAATGGGCATTCAAATAGATACGGGCTTTCAGATAAGACAAGCAAGTAAACTACTCGACTTTGACATCCACCTTATTGGAAACATACCCCCCTCGGGACGACCCTTCCAAATGCTCTAGATGGGCGCCGCTCACATCGCTGGCACCGCCCTGCCACACAGCATGCCACACCCCCTCCGCCTGGATGGCATACTCGTGCCCATCCACCAGGGGCACATGCGATAGCGTGATAACCCGGTCGATGGAGGCGTTAGCGGGGATTTCCACCAAGTCGTTGTGATCGGCGGGCAACCGTCGGTTGATTTTGATGGTTGTCAGCGGCACGGCAGAGTCGTCGTTGGTGTGATCGCGCACGGAGAAAACGCCGAGAATATCAGCACGAGGGTCCAGCGGGGTGCCCCAGGTCAGGACGGTCACCGGATAGTCCGCATTATTATGGACGGCGACGTGGATGGGGATGGTTGCTGGGGATTCCAGCGGGGTAGGCAGACTCGGGGGAGTCAATGTCACCTGAAGGTTGGAGATGTTGGCCATGTTGATGATAGTGCTAAAATATCCCGATAGAGAAAAAGAAAGTGCTAGGTTGAGTTGGGAGGCATCTCCGTCGGGGTGCAGCTTGATCAATTGTTTATATTACAGCTCCGGCGCTAATCTGTCTTGTGCACGATGAAACCTCGGTTGCCATGCCTGCCGTCGATTGCACCAATTGATATCGCGCACTGCCAGATAATGTCCAGCTGATAGACAGGGACGAGAGTGTCATCAGCGCTAGCGGTGCGGGGGAAGCCAAGCCACCGAGTGGAGGGTTGCATTCCTAGGGGCAAGACTAATTGTGAGTCTGGCCGTTGAAGAATGCGTGCTAAGCATCGTCCATTGTTCCTGGATCTTCCGATCAGCATTCCCACCGAGATCTAACGTGGTCTCCATCGCCCTAGGAGGCTGATCCGTGGTTACGGTCGACAAGATGTTAGTTACAGACATTCTAACTCTTCGCTGCAGAATGCAAATATTACAATCAAGCCTCCCGTCTGAGGACAAGCCCCCCGTCTGAGACATTTTGCCGTCAGAAGCTTGAGCTGGCCACAGCGGGGGCCGGCGGACGAGGCGTTGTCCTAAACTCTTATCTCTGGAAAGCATGCACGCCGTGCAAGCCACCCCCATGTTAATATATCTCTAATCGCCGTGAATAAGCCCCAGGGACGAGTTAGGAACGGCTGGTTCAGCCACTTAATTTCTTATTTAGCGGCTTCCCGCCGGGCCAAGACGACTACGACACGGATATGCTCCGATTCAGGAAAGAAGACTTTGCGGTTAATGGTCAGTTGAGGTGATTTCGGCAGTTAGGGTCTCAAGTATAGCGGACCGACGGTATTGACAGCTGCTGTGGACTCCAAGACATGACAGATTCTAGCCATGTCGGACGAATATAAAAGGGTCAACATGACCACCGTTCGAACAGACGTCTCCATTGTCTCCACTGTAAGAACATCCAGTTTCATAAACATCTTCCAAATCATTCACCATGCGGACTCCCTCAGCTGCTGCCCTCCTGGCCCTCCTCCCCAGCGCCCTCGCCATCCCGGTGAGCGCTGACTCTCCCTCTCTGGATGTCACCCTCACCCAGGTGGGCAACACCCGCGTCAAGGCGGTCGTGAAGAACGTCGGCAGTGAGGACGTCACCTTCGTCCACCTGAACTTCTTCAAGGACTCTGCCCCCGTCAAGAAGGTGTCCCTGTTCCGCGAGTGTAAGTAGAACGCCGGCCCATTCATCGTCCTTGACTGACCCACCTAGCCTCCGAGGTTGCCTTCGAGGGAGTCAAGAAGCGCTTCCGGTCCAAGGGCCTGACCAAGGATGCCCTCACCTCCCTGGCACCCGGTGCCGTCATCGAGGATGAATTCGACATCGCCAGCACCAGCGACCTCACTAAGGGTGGCTCCATCACCGTCCGCACGTCCGGCCGCGTCCCCACCGCGAAGAACAGCGCCATTGTCGGCTCCATCCCCTACTCGTCCAACGAGCTGACCATCACCGTCGACGGTGCTGAGGCTGCGAAGGTTGCCCACGCCACCAAGGACATCGTCAAGCGTACTGAGATGACCGAGTGCTCCGGTGAAAAGCAGTCCGCCCTCGAGACGGCCCTCAAGAACTCCGTCTCCCTGGCCACCAAGGCCGCCGCCGCTGCTGAGTCCGGCGACGACGCCCGCTTCGAGGAGTACTTCAGTACCACTGACGCCGAGACCCGCAGCACCGTCGCTGAGCGCCTGCAGGCTGTGGCCAAGGAGTCCGGCTCCACCACCAGTGGCAACACCCAGTACTACTGCGAGGATACCCTCGGCTACTGTGAGCCCAACGTCCTGGCCTGGACCCTGCCGGCCCAGAACATCATCGCCAACTGCGACATCTACTACTCGGAGCTGCCGGCTCTGGCCTCTGGCTGCCACGACCAGGACCAGGCGACTACCTCGCTGCACGAGTTCACCCATGCCCCGGGTACTTTCAGCCCTGGTACCGATGATCTGGGTTACGGCTACGACGCCGCGACTGCGCTGAGCACGGAGGATGCGCTGAACAACGCTGACTCCTACGCGCTGTTCGCCAATGGTATGTTCGCTTCTCCTTTGATTGGTTGGTGGATAGTACTGACGATGTGCTGCAGCTGTCTATCTCGACTGCTAGTCTGCGACTCTTCGAGGTTGATGGGATGTTTTTATGGCTTATCATGTTTGGAAAATGTTGCACATAGCTGGAATGAAACTGGTGTTCTTTTTTCAATATATAAGTAACGTTTGGTGGCCATGCCAGGTAGGCTGTAAACCGCCACACCATAGCGTAGATTGTAGTCGTCTCAATATTGTTTTCAGTATATATCCCAATATACTGAAGGCATGACTACATTATGTCGGCTTACATCCTTGGGCGGATATGCGGGGCGTAGACAAGCCTTGCGAGTTCCTTCTAACGGACCATCCAAAGAAATTCATAACGACTCGTGCAATTTTCCCATCTTAATCGGGCAGAACAATACTGTTAACTATGAGGAATATACATATATCATTATTAAACTATTCATAGTAAGAATTATCCCAAAACAAGTACCCTAGTACTCTCTTGCCGGCCGACCCTGTTCAGTCCGACACCAAGGAGTCTAAACACGCGTGCAAAGTCCCTCGATACATTTGTTATCATAGCAGCAATTCTCGTCAGCCAGACAGGGGCCGTTATCCTCGCGACAACCAGGCCACTTGGGGTCGGTGGGCCGACACTTGGTGGCAGCGCAGTAGGTCGAGCAGCAGCCTTGGCCGCCGCCGCCGGACACACAATCAGCTGGATCAAAGTGTTAGTATGAATATTAGACAAGGTCAGGCTGTGCGTCAGTCAAGCATACCATACACGCCCAGACAGGTCGCAGTGGGAACGCAGGTGGTGATGGTGGTCGAGGATGGGCTCGTGAAGGTGGCCGTGGTGCAGAATTCGGTTCCGACGCAGGCGTCGGCGTCGCCGCATTTGGCTTGCGCTGTTCCTGTTGTTAGATACATACAAGTTGGATGAAGACCTATAACGTACCCATGGTAGCTAGGGCGAGACCGGCGAGGGGCTTGATGAAATACATATTGATGTCTGGTAGTGTGAACTGTGTGATGGTGATTGATACTATAACTTTGTGAAGACTCAAGTCCTTGATGCTGACCCATGAGGTACTTTATACCCGGAGGCGATGCGCCAAGACAGTGCGCTGGACGCCCGATGATCGAATACGAGGATAGACATCATCGTTGCGATTGTTCGGCTTCCATTTACCGTTTCCGTCTGTTTCCTACGATCTGGCTGTCATCTGCTGGTGAGATTCTGGTGGCGAGGTGGGTCTAGCCGATAGACGTTGGATGCTGTCCCCATTCTACCTTGGTATAACTGATCCTGGGGCCGAGTACGACCATGACACTGGGAAATAGCATGCGCTGTGTCTGTTGTGTTCGCATGGAACATGGGCAACGAATACTTGGTAAGGAAGTGCGTTGGGCGGACCCAGTCGGATACGACTAGCATCTGGCGATCATTCGCTGGGTTCCAGACTTTCGTTCCAGACGTCCTGTGTCGTGGCTGTAATTGGCGAGATGAGTGGATATGGATCGGTCGATAAGGTTTGTTTCTAAAATCAGCAGTAAGGCTACCCATCACCGATCGTGGAGCCACTGGAAGCATCATTTCTATCAAACCGCGATAAAGATATCCAGATGACTTCAATAACCGTGGACCACTTTGGCTTTGGCCTCTTTGCTTCGGGTTCCCACCATAACTCGTTCATCCTACGTAATTAGAAGATGAGGGACCGGTATATGTAACGGTGGATGCCCGCATATCCTCCTACGGCCTGTTGAATGAGTTTTATCAACTATCTCAGTGAGCTTCCCGCCCATATCCACACTATATCCAAATGCAACACGTCGGGAAGTGGGGGATAGTAGACTGTGTGTTTATACGCGTTGGATATATTGCCACAAGCCGCGAGTAAGACCGCATGGTGGTGGATTCTGCAATGACGGCATCTGCCTGAATACCAGGCGGCTGGGACTGGCTGTACAATGTTCATGCGACCCGTCGAAAATTGAATTCGTCTCCCGGTTGATCTACTCATATCCTGAGCGGTAATCGGCATATATTTTCACGTATTAGTTCACCCCACGCGATTGATTACTGGCAGGCTGTGGAGTGCGTTACGGCAACCTCCATTGACCGCCACTCATCAGCCAAATACCCTAGAGGTGGAGGGGAATCAGCAATTCTCTTTCAGCACCCCTTGCAGCTCGGGAATAGGACGCGACCGTTCTCGCTGTGCCCGCTCACACTAGGGATGAAATGAACATCGCGCACCTTGAATATCTTTGCTCTTCCGACCGCCCGTGAGATCCGGATATCTCATCTCAAATCCAGTCAACTCTCGTCTCCTACCAACAACGATGCGACTGCTGTACCTCCTCTCCGTTATATTGGGCGCTGTATACGGCTTGTCCACCGACCATGGCGACTGTACACCCAGCGGAGAGCATTGTGACAATGAACATTCGTGCTGTGGGGGTTCTGCCTGTAGCGAAGGGATGTGTGTCTTGATCATGTATGTGACACCCACAGGCAACGGAGCAGGGCTAACAAGGATAGATAACCATATCGAAGTACCGAAGACAATAGAGATGAAAATAATGGGATATGGTGATCTACACTAAGTATGCATTGTGCTCCTGGTATTTGAGGTGGAAACAGGAATTCTTTCGCCAATTATTTCCTGCCCTTGTCTACCCTGAATACCGTCTCAGCGTCCTCCATTGCCCAACCAGGAAATTACTCACATACCTCTCACTACCCATGCCTAAAGGGGAAAATACAAGTCTGTGGAGGGAGGAGGCAATGAATGACCTGTGCTTCACTGAGTAGACCTATCACTTAGACCCATCTGGGATCGCACCTTCCATTTGAATTGTCACCTTGGTTTAGAATGATCTTAGTCAAATGTTAGACGGCAATACTCCTTCCAAGTGCCCTTGACTAGACGACTCTTCTCGGTATCTTGTCCAGATATCTGGCGATGCATTGGCTATCTCTTCTTTCCCTTGTAGGCACTGCCCTGGCAACTTCCTCTTACTTCCCAGACTATGTACCGGCATTCAGGAACATCCAAGTTGGTCCAAGGCCATTCTACTTGGTAGATGACATGGATGATAGTCCTCTGAAGAATCAGCTATCCTCGTGCAGCGAGAGGCCCATCCACTACGCCTCTACCTTTTCCATCTCGCATCGCGGTGCACCCCTCCAGTTCCCGGAACATAGTCGAGAAGGCATGCTGGCAGCTGCACGCCAAGGGGCTGGGATCATCGAGTGCGACGTCACGTTCACTCAAGACAATCGCCTGGTCTGTAGGCACTCGCAATGCGACCTCCACACGACGACCAACATCCTCACCATCCCCAGCCTAGCCGCCAAGTGCACGAAGCCCTTCTCCCCGGCCACCCATAAAAAGTCAGCAGCGGCAAAATGTTGCACATCTGATATCACATTAGCTGAGTTCAAGTCCCTCTGCGCCAAGATGGACTCCAGCAATGCTTCTGCAGTCACTCCGGAAGACTATCAACACGGCGGACAGCTATGGCGCACTGAACTGTACAACCAGTGCGGGACCCTTGTCGAGCACACCGAGTATATCAAGCTCATCGACAGTCTAGGGCTACAGTTCTCGCCAGAACTCAAAGCCCGAGAAGCAGTCCCGCGTTTTAATAGAAAACATGTGCAAGAGGCCCATGCACAGCAGGTGATCGACGATTACAAGAATCTGAATATCAGTCCATCTCGGGTCTGGCCCCAATCTTTTTCGGAGGCTGCCATCCTCTACTGGATCCAACACGAGCCCGCCTTTGGAAAGCAGGCTGTCTACCTCGATAGCCGTGTTAACACTCCCAGCGGCTATGCCGAGGCTGTCGCCAGTTTGCCCCGTCTGCAGCAGCGGGGCGTGCGCATCATGGCTCCACCAATTTTTGCCCTGCTAAATACGTCCGCGGACGGCGAAATCGTTTCGTCGGAGTATGCACGTGCTGCCAAAGACGCCGGCTTGAATCTGATCGCCTGGTCGTTGGAACGATCTGGTCCGATCAAGCTGGCTGCAGCCGCGGGAGACTATTACATCCAGTCGATCGCCGGTGTCCTCCATAAGGACGGCGACATCTACCGTATACTCGACGCCCTGGTGAACAAGGCCGGTGTCAAAGGAATATTTTCGGATTGGCCGGGAACGGTGACTTATTATGCCAATTGTATGGGATTATGGTAGATGAATAATAGCGACCGTCTAGCCAGTTTACTCCATGTAGGATAGCTTTGTTAAAGCACAGTGGTCGCAGTTCCATGGATATCGAGCTTAACTCTGTAGATCAGGCCATCGATTCATTCCCCTCCAATCATAATCAATGCCATTATTAAAGGGAATTCGATGCGATTGGCTGTGCATGGCATCCGGGCTGTCAGTCTGTCCGATTAGGGTTTGACGCGGATGGCGTGACATCATCATGATCATTCCACTTGGGACACGCCTTTTATATTGAACACTTCGAGCATGCCCCCTCGATTCAAATGATTGTCTTCAAGTCAGTATATACAAACAGCCATGTTGAGACTACTTCGCACTCCTGTTACCCGCGCCCCGATCAACCGCGTTCCTGCGGTCTTGTCGTCCCGAGTCGTCGCAAGGGGACTCCACCCCGAGGTGCATTCCATCAAGGGGGACGACTGTATGCACATTGCTACGCTGTTACGCTCGCTTCCAACACACTGATGACGTCTAGTTTACTTGGCTCCCACTTTCCCGGACGATTTTGAATCCCCGACGATGTATAAGAACAACGTTGGAACGAGTCAGTGGGACGAGATCCACGCCACGTTTAGCGAGGCTTCGGTACATAACACCCTTCATTGCAATCTACAATTCATTGTACTAACGTAAACAGGTCAAGGCCGACCGTGGCGAAGTCAGCTTTCAGACCGTGTCTGAACAGGGATTGGATGGGCTGGCACCGGAGGAGATGGAGCCCAAATTGGACGAGATGTAGATCTGTCTTTGCCTTCGAGACTGGAGTACTTTGACCGGCATTCTTGATCAAATTGGGTCGTTGACATTGGGCATTCAATATGGACTTGTGTATCATCGGGATCTGGTATTTATTCTTCAATCGCATTCTCTTGCTAGTCATTATCTCGTGACCTACTTGACTTCCTCGACATGCTGCACCATCCCACCCACCTTCGCCTCAACATCTCTCTCCTGCGCGTGCTGTCCTGGCATGACGGTCCTCCCTCCCTGGGAGGTAAACACCCCGCCTGTAAATCCTCCCTTGTTAAACAACATCGGGATGTCCTCGAGCTCAAGACCCTTCGTCTCAGGGTAGAAGAAGTAGACCATAGGAATGAACACAGCATTCAACACCGCAAATATCACAAACGTCTTCCACCCAATATTATCGAACGCAATCGGCGTGATCTTAACAACGGCGAACACCGCCATCCAGTTCCACCCCGAAGCCATGGCTTGCATCCGCGTGCGTACCCGCGTCGTGTTCAGCTCTGCCGGATAGAACCACGGCACTGGCAGCCACCCGACCCCGTAGAACAGCTGGAACACGAAGATGAACGCCGTCGCCCCGTAGGCGCAGTCTCTCCGATCCAGAGAGAGCAAGATACTGACCATCACGAAACAAAAACATAGTCCCGCGGAACACAGCATCAGCAGAGTACGTCGTCCGAACCGGTCCATCAAGAACACTGGAATGGCCGACCCCACGAGATATGTGCACTGAATGCAACCGCCCAGAATCATTGATAGGTCGCGACTCATCCCCATCGTGGTTTGGAACATCACTGGTCCGTAGTAGTTAATCATGTTAGACCCTGTGAATTGCTGTCCTAGCTCGATGGATATGGTTATCAGTAGGCGGCGTAGGTTCTGCGTCTTGCCCCAGGTGAATAGCTCCATGAAGCGGAACGGTCCATCTCGTTCCTCCTCTTCGATCGCTGTTTGGATATCGAAGATGGTCTTGCTGACTTCGGGGTCGCTCACGGCGCGGTTCTCGATTGCGGCGACGACGGCTCGGGCGTCCTCATGCCGGTCGTGTTGGACGAGCCAGCGGGGCGTCTCGGGGAGGCCAATGATTTGGAGGATCAAGAGGATGGCAAAGACCGCCTGGAAGGCGAGGGGAAAGCGCCACTGAAACGACGAAGAGCTGAAGCTGGTGCCGTAGTCCATCCTATCACGCACACCTCGTCAGTCTCGTCGAGTATATACAATGTTGGAAAAGTATACGAACCAGTACGCGATGACCACACCGAGGATGGTCACCGTCCCCTGGGTCGTCAACAACGCGCCTCTACACGACGCCGGCGAGCACTCGCTCTGGTAAACCGGGGCCGTGGAGGAGTTCATCCCATTGCCAATCCCCGTCACGATTCGCCCTGTAATAAGCTGCGCCACCGTGTCGGATGATGCGAGAATGATAGTCCCGACAACCATGATTGATCCTCCGGCCATGAGCATCGACCGTCGCCCGTATCGCTCCCCGATAAAGTAACACACGATTGACCCCACCACGCATCCGATATCGTACAGTGCCGTGATATTCCCCTGCATTTCAGGGTCAGGATTGTTGAAGTCTTGTCCGAATCGATTTTCCGCGCCAACGATTCCTGCCATAACGCCTGCACTTCTCAGTATTTCGTCGTATGTTCGAGGGATGGGATGGGGCAAGAACGTACCCTGATCGAATCCTAGCAACAAGAACGCCTGGCAGGATGCCATCGTAATGGCAGCGATCAACGCCTTGCCGCGGAATTCATGTTTCCAGAGATGCATCTTGTCTGGTTGATGCTAGAAATGGTTGAGACAACGGTCGGGGTCGTCACAACATTGTTCAACAGATTAAGGAGCTGATCCTCAGGTTATATTTCGCGCTGAACTCCCTCGTGAAAAGTTCCCCCGACTGCGCAACCCAGCTGTTAATCTGGCGATGTTGCAGGGGTGTTGAGACGGCCAAGTAGTCGATCATACCCCATGGGGCATAGATGGGAGACGAGCTCGGTCTATCTTCTCCCGAGATGCGGAGTTCGCTTCCCCACGTTTTTCGCATAATCTGGGGTTGACGGTCGTTATCGCAATGCCGTTTCATGTCATTTCTACCCAATATTCAGTGGCTCTCAGTGAAGAGTGCGAGGTATACCTGTATACATTTGTCATTTCTGAGAACGAGGTTGCCATCGCGGTGATGGCAGATGTCGAAACCAATGAGCCTAGGGTTGGCACGTCCACGTGCACTTCCCTGCTTAATTTGATGTTATCGGGGAATCGGCTGTTGTTCATAGAGGAGAACCGACATGAGCATCATGGTAAAAACGGCGCCCGGGGTGGAAGACGATATGAGCAGGTTGACAGCAATAAGGCGAACGATCGCGTTCTTACAAGGAACTCTGGGGCATGCAAACAAGACACCAAGAAGGGACTTGTCATATCCTGAACCCCACCAGCTGCAGCATTTGCTGACCCTTTGACGACAGGAACAGACCCGACGCCATTTGCAAAAGAGCAATCGCGTCCATAGTAGTAAAACTTTCACGTTGCTTGCATAGCAACACCCCATACGAGAAATTCCCACCGATTCCCTACTAAAATCAGCCCCTTTCACAGGCTGCATATCTCTCAGCATTCCCTAATGTCTCTGACACAGAGATCCCCTTCGCAGGCTGTCTTCAAATTACCTATAATTTGCAAGTTGGTATCAAAATTCCCCTGTCAAGTGGATCGAGACCCATGTCAAACTGCTCAGTCATGTTCACTGCATGTGTCTCATTCACTGTTGCCTTGGTGCACGGGTGACGACTGGTCACTCTCGGCAGGCTGGGCATGGTTCAAATATCCCTCATCCGAGGACCCAAATGCCCGGCTGATTGGGTTCTTTGCGGCTTATACGAGTGAGATAGTAGATGTAGAGTTGTCAGTAGAACAGGACAGAGCTTGTGCTTGGGTCCTCCATCATCCTTCTTGCCATTTTCCCTGCGTGGCGCCTCGTGAATCATGAGACGATCCTTGTTCGCTGTTTCTTTCAAACTTCAAAGTCTAATCAGTATTGAAAACAGGCAGGTACACCAATATCATGTGTACCAGGTTAGACACTGATGACATATGTGGCTGACCAAGGAGTACTTAACTGTCAAACATAAATATACTAATTACTACAAATACAGAGAAAATGCTAGGAGGGCTACAGGATTAACTAGGGCATTTACTAATTGTGTAGCATGTCTATCAATAATAAAAGCACACCGCACATTCATGAGCACTAATTTCTATATCTCCCAGACACTGTTTGACAGCGAAAAGACTCGCAATCAGGGGCTTGAGCCCAGCTTCAAAAAATTTCATTTTTTTTCTCCTATCCAGTACGAAAATCGCTGTGCGGAGTACAGGGGATGGACATAGTTCAGCTGGGATAGCTATAAGCCCTCACAGGAGCCCGATCCTTACATGACAAAGGGGATATGCAGGTGGTGATATGTTATTGGAGCTCATCGCAAGTGAATCCACGTCCTGCGAAGCATTGAGGCTGAGCATCACCAATTTATTTATACTTTGGTGGTATATGTGGCGCCGTTGGGCGTTTCCACATTTCTTGATACGAGGCATATGAAAGATCTGACCGTCTGCTTTGACCGTCTGTCTGGAGAACCTCTCGGGGAAGAGCAGAGCGTTTGCATATCTTCACGGACATTGAAATTACCGATTAATTCCGAGTCGTGCTGAACATATAGCCAAGAATTTATTGCCGGTTTGCTCCTTGTCGCGTCCGATGTTGACCATCCTAGTCAGGCAAACATTGCATTCAAGACCCCGTCACCCCCACCCCCGCCAACTTTCTCTGGTCGGTAACTTAAATTCTATGTGTGGTATATTCATTGGTTCTCAGGGCCTCCTCCACTTGTCTCCTGCATCCTCCAGCCTTGTACCCAAAGCTCTCACCGTTTCTCTTAGCCAGATCGGGATACAAACCGCGAGTAGCTAAGAACACAGCTCACACTATCATCTCCCAGCGCATCTTATTTCTCGTAACCCCTGTTGGTCTCTTTGACCCCGGTGCCGATCTCAGGGGTTCTCATTCGTGCGGAAGCACATTCTGCGTTCTTCTGCTAGTAACTGGCCCAGAGAAACAGCGTCTCCAGATACCCAATTGGGATATCCAGAAGGCGATCATCTCGTATTATCGCCGACGTGGGCCCAGAGGCTCGTATCGACTTTGCGTCAAAGAGAGCCTAGTTGCTTTGAGGTTATTCTTTTGGAGGCATGGGATGAATGGGAATATTGTGATGCGGCGTGTCCATCCTTGGCGAAATGGTCTCTGGCTATATAAAGGTGGACATGCCCTATCTGCTGAACAGCTCTATCTCCATCGACTTCAGGACATCCTCTCCAGACCCACATCCGATTCTTATCAACACCTCTCGGGACTCTAAATCAGTTCTTACCAACCATTTACAATGAAGGTGCGAGGCGCGATTCACCGCTGTCGGGAGCATTATACTGACATGAAGCAGTTCACCGCCGTCCTCGCCCTCTGCGCCCTCGCCCCCATGGCTCTTGCCCAAGGCTCCCTCATGGTTTGTTTTCCTTTCTCTCCTGCTCCCGCTGAATTTACCGATGTTCAATTACATACGCTAACATCCTGCGCCGTAGGACAAGAGAGGATGCAAGCCTAGCAACTGTGCTTGCATCGGCCGCCAGGGCCAGTTCTGCGGTGACGAGTCCATCAACAAGGCTTGCACCAACGGTCACGTTTTCGAGTGCAATGGCAACAGCGGCAAAAGCTGTGACTACGGCCTGCGTGACAGCTGCAGGAAGTGTGGCAAGCTTGGCTGCTAGATGTTTGATCTTGCGAGGATTACTTAGTTCATGTGATGGCTGTTTATGTTTGAGATAATCTAGCTGGGGGTCGTCAATATTCCAGGGAGAAATGATACAAATCTGCATGAGTACATATTGAAAGAGTAATTGGAAATCCAATTTCATCCTCCTATTTAGTATTCAATTTGAATGTTAGAAGTATATACAACTCTCAATCTCCCTCTCTCATACTAACAACAGTCGTAGATCGCAGTGGAAAAACACGTTTTCCCCAGGTCAACAGTCGTCTGTAGCCCACTACTCAAGAGTCATACTGGCAGACCCACTGCTCTGATAGCCCTCAGTCGCAAGAATCAAGTAGTCGTGCGAGCCCAGTGTCAGCCCTGACTTGGACCATGCATCAAAGTGATTCTGCACGGTGATTGTGCCACCCACGCGGTGCTCGGTGCGCACTGACCAGTACTGGTCGAAGGTGGCCGTGCCTATAATGGACGGTGCGTCCACGCGGGTGGTCTTATAGATATTGTACGTGCCGCCGTCGCTCTCCACAGTGCCGAGCTGCTCAGCGCCCGTCGACGGATCGTAGGTGCTGAAGCTGTCGACGATGTAGTACTCGATCAGCGGGTCGGTTGTCCATCCGTACACGGACACGTAGCTGTTACCGCTGGGGTTCCAGGTGCCGCTGTAGTTGATGACCCTGCAAACAGTTAGAGACACACATAGTATGCTGGATGAGGCATCCTACTTAGCACTGCCGGGGTTCCAGCCTTTGCCAGCAACAAAGTTTCCGGTATCTTTCCACTCCACGCTGTATTGGCCGCCCTCGCCGTTGGTATAGGTCACATCACCACCACCATCGGTCCAGAAGGAGTAGAAGTAGCCGTTATTCGTGCCAGTCCCGGGCTCGGTCGCCTGGCGCTTGACAAGTTCAAGCAGCGCCTTCCCATTCGGGGCAGCGGAGGCGACAGAAGCGACGGAAGCCGCGAAAAGGATGGATTTGAGATTGAACATCGTGTAGTGTTTGAGTGAAGATATGATGCGGTTGAGAGGTTGGATTGTAGGTGATGAGGGGGTGCTTCGCGACGTTTTATAACTTCAGTCTCCCTCGGATTGTCTCCAATTTAGCCGGCCATAATGGAGGTAGATCCGGTCAGATCAACCGTGGGCCTATCCCCGCCGATCAATAGCCGGCTGCGGAGTGTGTTTCATGTAAATTGACATGCACTTTTACCGGCCCCTCTCCGGTTCAACATCCCTGTTCCGGCAGCTCGACCGTGTGCAGAACTTTGACGAAATCTTCGTCGCAGGTTTGAGGTCCAACAAAAATCAGCTTTCTCATTGTGTGGCCATGTCAGCGTGAGCCTTGGGTAGATATCTTGTTCGTGCCAAATATGCTAGGTCTTCCCATCGTTTTGGCTGTAAACTGCCGGCTCTTCCTCTTGGCATCACGCGCCTACCCACGCCGCAACAAGGCCAAGACGCAGGCGAAAACGCCACACCCCGCGTTATATATCCGGGTGTACACAATGCCTAATGTGGGCTTTGTTTTGGGTCATCGTTCTACCTTGCACACTACCGGCTGTTGGTTAAGCATGTCGGTCAGTTCGGCCCGATCAGACCGTTGCTAACCAGCTAGCTATTCGCGGGACTCATAGATGATGCATGAGATGCTGCTCATACAGCCGCGGTTCAAATCAAAAGCCAGTCGCGGCCCAGTCGGCCGACGGTAAATATCCACTGTGAAGGCTTCCTCCCGGTTGTGTCTTGCGTCCAATACGCCTGCAATATTTGTGCAGCATTGAGTACATTCAGGCAGCTGGTGTAATTCCAGAATCGTTCCAGACTCGCTATGAGATAATCCCGGTGCGCCTGTTCTTGACATACTAGGCCAGCAATGAACATCGGCCATAGAATGCACTTGAACAGTGCGGTATCATCGCGTAGTGCCCCGATCACGCTGATCAACTCTGCTACCGTGGTGTGCTGTGATGTGGTGGTCTTGTTTATGACGTCGAGCACGCACTGCCCGTAGATACAAGCACCCAGTTGGTAGGCCCGGGAAAGTGTGCAGAGACCGTCAATGTCCCTCGGGGCTGACGGTTCCTGTGGCAATTCTGTAGCCCAGAGGTAGCTGTCAAAATTCCGTACGGATTCCAGGACAGAGCCAACTTCCTGGGATTGGTCAGGAGAGGGTCGGGTTATATCATTCTCCTCTGCTAAGATATCCCTTTGCGACGAGAAAAATTGGATAGCACTTAGAAGATACCCGGGACAACCAAGGAATGACTGTTCGACAATGTCGCGCAGGCGGGCTCCTGATCCGTTCAGCGAGAGAAACCGGGACAGTAGTTTGGGCCGCACAAAGGTAGTTCCCAGAGTTTCAATCCTGGCATGGTCAGTATATGGTGCATGTTCCTTGTCAGACCTACAGTGCATACAAGTGGATCTGCGTAGCTAGGAATTGGCGGATCCCCTGGATGGTGGATCCTGGATCATCGGGCTTCATCATGGCCATCATGGTCTTCGCACCGTCCAGATGGTAATTCCAACGGTCGCATCCCGATTCCAGAAGGTCTAAAAATACCAGGAGGAACGTGGTCGCCACGGTTGTGTCTCGCTGGCATGCTTTCGGGTCGCTTAAGGCATTGGCGAGGCCTTGGATGGAGCGATGTTTGAAACGAAGAGCCGCCTGATGAGCGTCAGCTGACTCTGGAAGTGCTGATGCATGATGCTCCGAGAAGGATCGTCCTGTATTGGCGCGGTGGCGGGCAGCTAGGGCGAGAATTGTCTGGAGGAGCACCGAGTCACCCATGGCGAGGGAGATGAGACTTCGGAATGGATTCTTCTCGCTGTCATAAACGATGAAGACCTTGCATATACGATCGTTGTCTAGCTCGATCAGTTCACGATCCCCTTCTAACAGCTAAGACACTTACAATAGTCTAGGTAGTACATGGAAGTGGGATCCAGATTCGGTGTGGACAAAGCACTCATGGTCAATCCCATGCTGTTGGGGCGGCCATACGCCGAAGCATTATACAAGGCATCACAGTCTATGTCTGCCGGGCACAGGTACACCGTCAAATTCTACCTCTTCCCAGAGTAGCGGAGTTTCGAGACGTCACTGAGGAACTCACCGTGGTTTAGATTAGGCCCCGCATCGACGATCAGCTGCATAGAACCCTGGCCAGGGTTCTCCACTTGAGGCCGAGCCGTCTCTTTGAAAGACTTTCCTCGCATAGAGCCCCGAATAGCCACGCCCCGAACCCATCGCAACGGTCTTTCCCTGAAACACTCGAGTCCGGCCTTCTCACATTTGAGGCAGGGCTCCTTGGAGCGGTCGCATTGGATGCGCCGGCGGCGGCATGTATAGCATGGTTCGGACATTTCAGCCACGAAATAGGCCTACAAGTATGGAGGGGAATTATCAACTCTAGATATCACAGCTCGCATGGTGTCCTGGAGAGATAAACGAGGTTTTGCGGTGGACGAGGGGCAGATGTAAATATTGCAGGAGATGACGATGACCTCGGATCAAACGCGAATTGATATCAGGCAGTGATGCATCGTTATCTGTCGCGCTAGCCTGTTTCTGACTGTCACGTGGACCATTTTTCGTAGTGGTGTTCGATCAGTCAGCTATACATTCTCTGGATGCACAAGTGGAAAGCCGCACTGGCAGTGATCCACAGCCAACACTGTGTATCCAGTTCCACCAATTGTTCATGGTTTTTCCTACGCTTGATATCTATCAAATAACAATGTAGGAGGCTCAGTTTGGTGGGTTTTTTTCATTGACGATATGCGTCGGTGTGTTGTGGACAGAGTGTGTACCATTATATATTCCTGCTCCCGCCCTAGAGGTTATAGGTGTTGTGGTATATTTAAAAGCATAAACCTCGAGAGAAAGCAACAATGTGGGACGCTTTGAACAAGATATGCACTGGATATAAAGCAGTGAGATAGTACCTCACGAAACACGCTTATCTATGAGGCCTTCTGATCCTTCTTCTCCCCCCGTTCTTTCACACCTTGTGCAATGCCATCCCCCGTCTCGGTTCCCAACTGGGAAAACCCACCGATGACACCCTCGCGGTCCCCTGGACCCATCTCCTGACTCATCTTGAATTTCCCCTGCAGTCGATCAATGGTGATCTCGATCCCGATGATGTTTTTCTTCAGTAGGTCGACATAGCTCGTTGGCGAATCGGACACCGCCCATGGCGTCGGGGCCTCCCCGCCGGTATACCCCATGATGCGGGACTCGGACTGCTGCGTAAGATCGGTGACCTGGCGCTGCAGGAAGGACCCTGTCTCTTCGGACTTGGAGTCGGAGAAGACGCGGATCTTGCCGTATGCTTGCACGGCGGAGTAGTTCCACGTCGGCACGACCTTCCCTGTCGCGGGCTTGGTCTCGGTGTAGAATTTGGGCGTCACGTAGTGGTGGTGGGGCCCGTTGAAGAGGACGAGCACTTCGTCGGGCAGTTCTAGGCTGCGTTGGCCTTGCTCGTGCTGTGCGGCGAGGGCCTCCATCAGGACTTTGGCTTGGGGGTTTTGCTTGGCGATGTGGCCGCGGAGGATGCCGTTGGATGGAGTGCCATCACCGCTATCTGGTACGTCAAGCACGAAGGGGATATGGCTGGATTGGATCAGTGGGTGTGATGGGGATTTGATGGCTGTGGTGAGGATGCCAAGGGGATTGTCCCGGATCAGTTGCTGGAGGACGGAGATGCAGCCCTCAGCATGGACCGCACGGAGATACATGACGGATGATATTTAGTGTTGTATGAGGCAGTTGGAGAAAGAGGGGCACGTCCTCCTTCTTAAATAATTTCATTATTGATTATCTTGAGGATCTTTTGGTTCTGTGATTGGTGGGGATCGCCGAGGATAGTACGATGACTCAGATCAACTAGAATGTCAAATATGGGAAGAATTAATATAAGCATGTATAGAGAAGACATCTACTATGATGATAATTGTTTTCATTTATCGGGTGTTGGACATGGTATCTCCTCTCCGAAGCCTGATTGCTATACCTCAACATACTTCGACAGACCTATGCTGACCATGCTTATACCTATAGCGGTGGAGTCGCCGCTTAGCATGGGCAGATTCGGTGCGCATACATGGCTGCGATAGTCACTCGAAGGGGGGATGGTTTATTGTCAAAGTGAACATTCACTGCATACACGGAGCTGTAAAACAGCCCATTACACTTTTGAAGCATCAATTGAAGGTACCTACCGGTTAATAGATTCTGTGGTCGAGGCCCATAGAATCGAAGAGGATGCCATGCCAGATGCGGCAGTTGACGGGAGTGGAGACGCGTGCTGAATTAGGGTTGGCCAGATCACGACCCGGTATCCACTGTCCATCAGCTTTCGGAGAGTGGAGAAGCGCCAGCATATTTATACCCTTGTTGCATGTTCGACAAACAATCCTCTTCAACAATCATCTTCCCTGCAACATGGCTCCCTCGAATGACTCCCATCCTGCTACCAGGGCTTTACACGCTGACGACCCCCTCAATCTCGTCACCGACGTGGCACCCCCGATCCATCTATCCACCACCTTTCGCTTTCCCAGCCACCCCGATCAATTGGTCCCCAGTGAGGACCCAGTGGTAGGCAGATTCCTCTTCCAATCGCCCCGGGGATAGAACCTGACGAAAATTTTAGGACGAATTTGACGGCAAGAATTATGTCTACGCGCGCGAGTTCGCCCCAAACGCCACCCGCTTTGAGCGCATCCTCTCCTCGCTGCTCAATGGACACGCCGTTAGCTACGCATCCGGCCTAGCTGCCATTCATGCCGCCCTGGTGCTGCTCAACCCACGTCGTGTCTCAGTGGGAGACGGGTACCACGGCAGCCACGAGGTCATTGCCGTGCTGTCCCGCCTGTCCGGTTTGAAGAAGCTGCCCCTTGACTGTCCGGCGGAGGAGCTCGGCGAGGGTGATGTTATTCTGCTAGAGACGCCCGTAAATCCATTTGGGACCGCGTTCAGTATCGAAGAATACGCCGCCAAGGCCCACAGTCGCGGCGCGTATCTCATCGTCGACAGCACGTTTGGCCCGCCCGGCTTGCAGGAACCGTTCCAGTGGGGCGCAGATCTCGTCATGCACTCCGGGTCTAAGTACTTCGGAGGCCATTCCGATATGCTGTGCGGAGTCTTAGTAACAAAACGCGCGAACTGGCTGAAACAGCTATTCGAGGACCGCCTGGCGCTGGGCAACGTCATTGGCAATATGGAGGGTTGGCTGGGCGTACGCAGTCTGCGTACGTTAGATCTGCGTGTCCAGCGCGCCAGCCACAGTGCTGGGAAGCTGGTTGCGTGGCTTCAGGCTGGTTTGGAAGCAGCAAACCCAGCGCCAGGAAGTGAACAGAAGGCGGTGCAAGATATGGTGCAGACCATCTACCACGCCAGCTTACAGGACGAACCGTGGTTGAAGCGACAAATGCCGAATGGATTCGGTCCTGTGTTTTCCATCATCCTGCGCGGGGAGGAGCTTTCCCGGAATCTTCCCAGTCGGCTTCATTTTTTCCAGCATGCAACCAGTCTCGGGGGTGTGGAATCGCTTATCGAGTGGCGCGCCTTGTCGGACTCACGGGTTGATCGGAGCTTACTGAGAATTAGTGTGGGACTGGAGGATTGGGAGGATCTCAAGGGTGATCTCCTCCAGGCGTTTAGGGCGCTTGGTGCCAGCCACGCGCAATGAAAATCCACTTCCTAATTTCGCAAAAGGGCCCGCCCGATCTATGCTCAACGACCGGTTATTTTTACATGGGATAGGTTGTAACGCCGGTTTGTGCGCCGTCCTGCCGGGCGCATAACGGATGCGTATGTTTTACGCAATTCTGGCAGGAGCGACAGGTCAGAAATAGAAAGGCAGTTCGTGCTATTTTGCGCGTTTTGACCTCTTTTTTTCCGATCTATCACTGTCAAGTGACCGGGTTACAGTAAATTATTGCAATTATAGGCAGCGGAGCAGCTGCCCGCCATGAAGAGAAATTAATTACAGCGGGATGGATACATCGCCCGGGATACGGTTGAGTAAAGTTATCCCTTAACAAGAAGCTGCTTCTCCTTCTTGATCTGCTTGACTACCTCGATGTCGACCTTGAGGGTGTTGGCGACAGTGTCCGCAGGGGTCAGGGCCAGCCACTGGGCGAGTGAAATGTCCGCCACACGGTCGCTCTTGTAGATTTCGATCCAGATAAGTTTCTCCGTCTCGGAAGTGTTCTCAATGTAGTGGCCTGGCTACATTAGTATTGGTTTGGAAGCTGGTGACAGCCGGATTCTACTCACCACTGTTGTCGGGAAAGACGCCGGTATCTCCTGCGCGGAAATCGAAGGTACGCGCCTTGGAGTCACCCAGGAAGACGGTAGCGCGGGCTGTGCCTTGGTGGAAGTACAGCCACTCCTCGGCCTGGTCTTAATCAGCGATTGATCTCTAACAATAGGTTGGAATTGGAGGATGAAGAACATACGTTAGGGTGCCAGTGCAGCTCGCGAAGGCCCTTGGGCTCCAACTCCACAACGGCAGCGGCGAGGGTCTTGGAGATGGGGAAGTTGGTGGAGTCGATCTTGCGGAATGTACCACCCTGGCCCGGGACAGGCTCGGGGTCGTGGTCGTACGTGTGGTAGACGTAGGAGCTCGCGCCTTTGAGAGTGCCCTGGGGTGCGTCGTCCAGCTCCTTGCTGACGGTGCCGTTGAGGATGTAGGGGTCCTTGGAGGGCACCGTGTCGAACACGGACGCGTCGACGCCGAAGTTCTTGGCGAGGATATCCTTGGGGGTGTGATTGATCCAGTCGTCAACCATGAAGGTGGTGCTGTGCATTTATTGTTAGTCGCGTGCAAAGTCGGAGAGGCAGTGGAGCAACATACCCAACTTTCTCGAAGTCACCGTCGTCGAACGCCAGGAGGTACTCGTTCTCATCCTCGATACCCTGCACATTGTGCGCCACACCCTTGGGGAAGTACCAGATATCACCGTAATTCAGCTGCTCGGTGGTGAATTGACCGTTCTCGTCCACACCAGTCAGCAAAATGGAGCCCTTGTACACAAAACCCCACTCTGCCTGTTCATCATGGTCAGCCGTACATTCACTTTTGACTTGTCTCATCAGGAAAACATACCACGCGGTGCCAATGCAGCTCACGGATAGCACCCTTAGACAGATGTTGCTGTGCTCCCGAGATATCATGGCTCTGGGGCAAATCCTGAACAATTTGTTCCCGGCTCCAGCCTCCCGGGAAAATGCGCGCCTTAGAGTCCGAGAAACTCCATTTCAAGTTGGGTACCCAGCCATTATCCGTGCTCTCCTGGCCCAGGTTGGCAGGGTTCTGCAGGTCAAGAGGCTTGTTGGTGCCTCCTAAAGACGTTGTTGCATTAGTCGCGATCTTGAAGCATCATGGGGGGAATTGTTCTCACCATAAATGGGGGCTCCTTTGCCTTCGCCGTTGATGGGCTGGCCATCCTTGAAGCCCGAACGCTTCCCAACTGCGGGCGAGGCTACAGAGAGTGTCGCAAAAAGCGAAATTCCAAATAACTGACTAGCCTTCATGGTGATGATCAAGATATCTCCCAACAATGCAGGCGACTAGGACTTGGATTGACATGACAGAGCGCTACCAGGCTGGTATATATCTGCCATTCCGTCGGGAGGGGTCGCTGTCCGGGATCTCGAAAACAAGGAATCACAACATTGACCCTGAAAATGGTGACTTTTTATTGATGTTGATCGCGATCTACACGACCCAGCTGGGATGAACATCGCCGTTCGCACCCCCATTCGGGAACGTCCCAAATCACGCCATTCAATCTTGCCAATGATGCCAAATTGGGACATCTGGATCAAATCATATCAATATCTTGAGGAAAGATCAACCGTTCGCTTCGCTTTCGGGGTGAAATTCCAGAATCGAGCGATGAGGGGTTGTGGTGAGGGTCGCGATGGGGTGGATGACGAAATGCTTGGCATATTGTAGAAATCGCATCGCACCCACAATGCGGATTGCCTGGATTACCCCTTACGGATAGTTTGAGTCAATCCTGACATGATCCTGCAGAAAAAAGAAGGCCCCTGCGGCGACTTTCGGCCCTGGTGTCATTTTAATTGGCCGTGGGAGTCCCGCAGGGTCCGTATTGCATAGGCAAGCCTTGTTAGGGTAGCAGGCCAAGCACAGGGATGGTGGAAGTTCGAGTCCACCAGCCGGCTCCTGGCCATGTGTCGATCAGTTGACGCAGGCCCTAGATCCTGGACGAAGCTTTGCTAGAGCGAGCCCATCTCTCTGGCTCCCCGTGGTGGAATTGGGAAGGTCGACTCCGACGCGAGGCTATTCCCAAGTGCGATGAACCGATGCGTTGTACCTTTAGTGGTGATAACCTCGTTGTCAAACCAATAAACAACAACTACATTCTCTGGATCAGGTCACCGAAGCTGGACATCAGTCGGGGTCTGCCAATTGTTAGCAATCCGACATCCCCGTGTTGACTGGTATACTGGGTCATCAGTCGACGATCAAGACACTATCGAGTTCGGTCTGTCCATGTGGTGGATTCAAATTTTTCCCCTAGTTCAGCTGTCTTGGATACGATGACACCATATCCAGCCACATATGTTGGCTAGAAGAGTTCTGTTCCAGTGCCGGCTGGAGACATGCCTGTTCCAGTAACCCAGTGGTCGGTTTCTGGCGTGGTTCATGGGAGAGGATTTGCAATCACGCAGATCAAAGACGTCTTATACCAATCTCCCTTCCCTGTTGTCGATTGCCATAGTTTAGAATTGCGTGCTTTGCTTCATATCTTCCATGACGCCGCGTGTGTTGGTGGTGGACAGGAGATAGACAGGATGCGTCGATATCGGAAATGAGGCGCGATGATGAGATCGCTAGGAGGGTCTGGAAAGTGCATATATAGGTCCAGAAATTCTCTCAAACCCGCTCATTCATTGAGACAGCAAGGTCTATCATCCACTTTCGACACCATGCGGTCTTTTCTCATTCACTTGGCCTCTACGGTCTCCATTGGAGCCTGTCTCTCCCTTCCTCCTTTGATCCCCAGCATTCCCGGGGTGACCGAAGTTTTGAACAACGTGGTTCCTCCTCTGCCTATTTTACAGGTCCCCACCCCTGCTGAGGACAGCCCGCCATTCACTCCAAGTGATATCAAGCCCAAGAAGATTGGATACTTCTGGACCGGTGCTGGAGACAAGAGACATAAGGACTTCCTTGCCACCTACAGCTTGGACGATGTATGACATCCCTAACACTCGCCGGTTAATGGCCCATCTAATTATTTTGTAGGATACATTCGGAGAGCTCATTTATGTCACCGATGTTCCCACCAGTGGCAACGATCCTCACCACCTTGGTCCCTCCTTGGATGGCAAGACCCTGGTCGGTGGTGGATTGCTGTCCCTGTTGAAAACCCAGGACACCGCGTTCTACTTCGATACCTCCAACCCCTATCGCCCCAAGTTCAAAAAGAGCAACCGCGCTCTCCTGTCTTCTATTGCCGATGAGATTCGTGCCAAACCCGAGGGGGGTTTCTACATCACCTACATGGGTTCAGCCCTGGGCACTGCGCCGGGTCGTCTCGTCGAGACCGACGAGGAGTTTAACATCATCCACGAGTGGCCCGAGGACGTCCCAGGGATCCTGAACATCCTGGATGAACAGTTTTCCCCGCACGGGCTGACTATCGATTGGGAGAAGAAGCTGATCCTGACGTCGGACTTTGTGGAGCCCATCAGTATTCTGAAGCCCAGCCCCCGAATTCGTCGTGCACACACCCTGCGTCTTTGGGACCTGGACACCATGAAGATTACGAATACTATCCGAATCCCAGACGTACGTTAGCTCACTTTTCATTTCTCTATTCTGGGGCAGCTATTAACGTTTAATGCCAATAGGGCGGCGGTATCCAAGACGTCAAGTTCATCCCCGGCAACAAGGAATCGGCGGCCCTGGCGACTGCGGTGCATCTCGGCCAGGTGTGGATCATCTACCCTCATCGCAAGGATGAGAACGGTAACCCAGGTGTGGCCGAGTTGCTGTTCGACCTGGGCGACAAGGCCCGCGACACCACCGCCATCTAGTAAGTGTCCCTGCCAGTCCACATTGGCAACCTGCCAGTACTGACCATTCCCCAGTACGGATGTCACCCAGGACGGTCGCTTCTTCTACCTCACCCTCACCACCGCCAATCACATTGCCGCTCTCGACATCAGCGACTTGTCGAACGTTAAGCGCCTGGACGACCCCGATGAGGACCAGCCTACCATCGGACCCCACTATGTCAAGGTCACTCCCGACCAGAAGCACCTTGTCGTCACCGACTACTTCGTCCAGACGGGCGATATCGGCATCATCAACACCCCGGCTGATTTCAAGGCCCTTTACATTGACCTCAACGAGGACGGCAGCATGAGCTTCAACCGCACCATCGACTTCCAGAAGGAGTTCGCCAACCGCGGCGGTGCGAAGCCGCACTCCACTGTTGTCTTCGACCTTACCGACCCGGAGAACCCAGTGTACTATTAGCCTGTCGCCGGAGATTGATAGAATCTAACGTAATGTATGGGAGGCAAGCGCTGAGTTATATTGAGATTATTCAGTAAATAATTGATATGCTCGATGCCTTTATCTGCACCGGCCTGCGGTGCCGAGTGGAACAGGGTATGAGTCTTTAGCTTTGGCCTCTATATAATCAGAAATCAGAGCTTGGGAAACTTTTTTTCTATAGGTTTTGACATTCATCACGTAATCCTATTTGTGAGACGAGACGCCCAACCAACCTGGCTCTAACCTGTATTATTCATACAAATATATATAGATATATAGTGTTTGACTTGATGACTTTTTTGTCACTCTTCTTAGGCCTAAATTAGTGAGGGCGCACAGACACAGGCTTATCGACTCCTCCAGCCCTACAAGCATGGGATCCACGAGATCAACATCCCAAGGAACGGCAAGCGGTTGAGTTATTAACATTTACTGCTCGGGAAATTCTAGCCATGGGACAAGCGTCTTGGCCACGCCCGGCTTGTCCCATGTCACTGGTTCCCAAGACACGCAGCGGATCTTGCAATAGCAATAGGAGCCCACCTTCGGGACAATGCCTAAGTGATTGACGTCGCGGTGGATCATTTTTTAGAATGGCTATTGTGCACTGCCATCGTTGTCTTTGGTTTGCCTAGAGATTTACCTTGGAATATCTCCACTGTCTGGGTTCTTGGCGGGATGGTAACAAATAAGGGTTTCACAGATGCTAAGTATGACGCATGCCACGATCGCAGGCTCTATACTGCAGATTACTGGCCCAGATTCAGGGAGGCCTTTATCCTGAGCTTGTTTATTTGCTGGTAGTTGCGATCATGAAGAGGGGTTGGATATGGCATGGCACGCAGTATGATGTCATGGGTACTTGTGATGACATATATGTATTGAGAGTCGCCGCGGCTCCCGGGAACGAGAGCATAGGTCTTTTGAAGACTTGAATTCAATTGTATACCATCATCATACTCTTTGAGCCAAGCTCAAACCATCATCATGGACATCGTGCAGAAGTTCGGCCACCTCAAGGCCGACCCGAAGACGGGACGGCGCACCAGCTCCGCCCAGGCGGAGGAAGAACTGGCCTTAAAACAGCGCGGTACGTTCCAAACATCCCTTTATGAGTTATGTTTAAAGTAGTGGGCCTAACGTTCTGTTGGATAGCGTTCAACTATCTCCTGGGCAACTTCGGTCGCCCTGATAACGACCACCCGGACCGGAGATCCAGCGGCGCCAGTAACATGGCTGGCATGGTCTACGCTGCGCAGCAGAATGCCCGCGTTGAGAGGGATACCACTCCCTCTCTACCGGGGGGTAGCCGGTATGTTGCTCCCCACTCTCATGTATATAACATGCCGCTAATCAGGAGTCACAGTAATGAGAGTCACGCCAATGATACCGCCAGTAGAGAGGGACCCTCCTCGGACATTGATGATGACTCGGGCAGAGTGGCAATAAGCCCTATCGATGGAGATGGAATCAGCCCCACCAATACTGGGCCTTCGTATCGAGAGACGGTACCTCCTTCTTACAACACGGTCAACGAGACAACGCACTATCCCGACAATGCAGTCAGAGAACCAACGTACTATCCGGACGATACGGTCAGAGAAACGACCACTGCTGAGTATGTCCCGGGAGCACCCGGGATTATCAGACCAATTTGATCCCCCAGTAACCAGTGTAATTCCAGGCGTCGGAGGCGTTGGGTCAACGGGGCGAAGGGAGGGCTGTCTCATGTCCCTGACTGTTTGCGTCGGGATGACTTCATGATCGACAGTCTCACTTGTCCTGTGTTTTGTTTTGTCCGAGCTTTGTATAGTAACCTTTCCCGCTCTGTATAGTTGATATCACAAATCACGTTTAGTTGTTTAAACCTTTCGAGAGAGTCCATTCCATACTCCTTCTTGGAGAAGAAATAGATATAACCCGTGAGAACACCTTGTCTTAATGTTTGCATCGACACGGAGGATAGGATGTTCATGTTCATGAAACACGTACATTTGTAAAAAGAAGAAAAGAAAAAGAAAAAGATACTATACAAATAATCGAACCATCTCAGACTCTCTTCCCCCCGAACGCACCAGCGCGGTATCCAGCCTCGGAAATCCACGTCAACGTGTCCTTCTCCTGCTCCGTGAAGTTGGCCGCATTCTCCGCCGTCAAGCAGCAGATATTATCCGAGTGCAACTGCCACGCCCCCGGCTCGCGCACCTCTCGCGGCTCCTGGATGTACGACTCGAAGCGCGCGGGCTCATTCTTCTTCCCGGAGTACTTATTCGCGAGGAGCCACCCGTTGAACCAGAGGGGTTTTCCGTCTTCATCGAGGTGGAGGAGTTGCGGTGCGCAGATGGTGTATTGCGTTGGGGTTTCCTCTGCATTTGGGTCCTCGCTGGGCTGTGTTTCTGGTGTTAGTTGCGGCTCGAGGGTTCCCATGGTGGCTGCGTCGCCCTGGTGGAATGCGTAGTCTGTGTCGCCGACGAGTTCCCATCCCAACCAGAATGTTTCTTTGTCGCCTGGTGCTGATTAGCCAAAACTTTCTCCGGATAGTTACAATAGAGCAGGCCAGACAAACCATAAACCATGTCATACACACCGATCTTCCCGACCGCAGAATTCCCATCGCGGTCTGGCCCATTCATCCGCGCCACTAGAAGGAGCGCCACATAGTGCACCCACTTGTCAATCACGACCACCCCCGACTCCTGCATGTGTCCGCTATCGCCCGTCCAGAAGCGGCTCTCGGTCGCCTTCTTTGAAATCGGCCGGGGGAGGATCTGCTGCATCCACTTCTTCTTCGACTCGGGCATCATGAACCGGTCCCGGAAGAACAGTGCCCCCGTCGCCCGGTACGACGGGTGGTCGAAGAGATCCCCCGGGTTCTGGAAGAATAGGGCGTCGGCGTCGATGAACATCGCCTCGCGGAAGCTGGAGAAGAGGATCGCCCACGGCTTGCCGGCCCATCCGGCGAGCTTCCAGCCGCGGTCAGTCACCATCTGGCTCACGTCGCGGGTTATCACGCCCGGGATGGCTTCGAGCTCCGCGCGGAAGTCCTGACTGAGATCCCCGTCGCCCAAGTACATGACTTCAATTGGTAGATCGCAGCCGAGCCGTCGGATAGACGGGATGGAGGTGAGGAGGAACGGGGCGTGGTTGTCTCCGGCGCAGAAGACGAGACCCTTCCCGCCGTTGTGGAACTCTGCGTGGAGCGAGATGTGGTCGGGAAAGTAAGGCATGATCCACGGGAACAGGAGCATCGCGAACCGGGTTATGAAGGCGCGATACGCTTCGTATGCGTGGAGGACCTGCGTCACGTCCATCTCGAGCGCGGTGGCGATCCTGGGATCTCGTCGGACCGTCTGCACAATATCGTTGCGCGCGTGGACACTGCTGCCCTCCACAACGAGATGTAGGGCTTCCCACGCTGCGAAATGCTTTTTGAACGATCGCGTCCGTAGCCCTAACTCCCGCATCTTTTCCTCTCCCGTCCGATCGATCGGCCGTAGCAGGTCGCGGAGGAGGGCCTCGTCGGGGAGAAGGGAGATCACTTCGCGCAGGGCGCTTTCGAGCTGTGTGTTGGATCTGATGCCGTTCGTACTGATCAAATCTCCGCTAGTAACAGGGATTCGGGGTGCTTGAAGAGGCGTTTGGGGTGACTCGGCTTTCGGATCGTGCCACGCTGGTGCGGGAATGGCGTGTGCGACGTCTTCCATGACGGCATCGGGCTTGGGCGGGCGACCGTGTGCGACCGTCAAGGCCTCTCTGCGTTCTGGATGAAACTGATCTGCAAAATTCACGAAGACAAGCCACATTAGCAGCGCGACCACTATCAGCCTCAACGCTACGGCGCGTCGCCGTCGCCAGGAGTGCGGTCTCGGTCGCCACTCCATCTCTGCCATGCTGACGCCGTTCGATCTGCAGATGACCGCTGTGAGGACAGGCTCACTCCGACAGAAGCCAGTCCCAGATGTATTGGCACATAATTTAGACTGATGTCAAGGAGATGGCGAGGACGGGTTCCTGGCAGAGAAGATGGATCTTCTGCACGAGGCAACAGCCACCGAAAAACCGAGCTTGGTTTAGTGTCCACGGTAGGAGACGTTACATGTGGCCATGGATAGATCTCGACCACCGTGGACAGCAGCTGCATATATGTGAATATCAATTCAGACATTTAGCCGGTGGCGTGCAGCGTCTCGTGTTCCGCCTCAGGCACCCCATCCGGCGCGACGCCATGACTTTTCGGTCGGTTCCTCGACCTTTTTAGGGGGGTAAATGGGTGGTCGAGGCCTTCTGAGTGTGATTGTGCGCCTGAAATGCACCCCATTCGGGGTGAAAATTGTATCATATCAGTGCGATTGCTGCAGCATCCCTGACTAGTGCTGAGGGGCTAAGACTAGTGGATGCCATCTCAAACCTCACCAACGGGAAGTCATCCTGAGCGGCATTAGTCACACCCAGACCCTGGTCTGGTATCTTGCGATTTGGCCTTTGCATTACCAATTGGGTTTGAGTGCGTAACTGGACAAAGGGATGCTTTTTCAACATCGTGTAAGGAATGGATTGGAAAGATCGGTGGCGGTGATATCAGTGGGAAAGTTTCTGCTGTCGCACTGACGATCGGGTTACTTACGAAGCCCAAAGTCCCATGATATCTTTTTTGGGAAATGGCCGACTGGAGCGTTGTCTGGTTGGCAATCATCCTTGTGTATTTGTGTATGTCCACTATTGACGCCCACTGGTCTGGATTCAATATCCTCCCCCCACCAAGGTACCACTGGGGCTCAAAAGTCCCATCTTTTCTCCACTGTTCGACCACAATGCAAGTGCCCTGACTTACAGGCCACACAAAACTTCCAAAGGAATAAACAACGCAAGCGATGCGCCACGGTTCCTGCATATTATGTATCAACTCAGACTGAGGCAAGAATACCGGTCGACATGTATGCAGTATACGCTGGTTGGTCGACGCTTGTGGAAGAACATTGGCCATGAGAGTTTCCATTTTAGTCACGCGCTCTCCCCTGTGATAAGAGTGCAGAGAAGTAAGACAAAAAAGCATCCGATCAAGAATATCTATAAACGACCATGATTGATCTCATATATCACGACTAACTGTACTCTTGACTCCTTGCCTTCAACCACGAGATATCCGTGACTGGTGCAGGCACTGAAAGCGAGGGGAAGATAGATATGATGCATTTTCTCCCTCTGTGATGGCAGTGATTCCAGTAGGAGGTCACATGGTCACCTCAGACAGTGACAGTACGAAGGGTCATTTCTTTCGTCTCGCATCTTGTTTCTTGTTCTCTTCTGAACCTCACTAACTGCCATGATAGTTCTTACTATCATACGATCCCTTCTTCTGACTGTTCTATTGGTTTTAGTGCTATTTCCATCAATTTTGAGCGGAGCGCGGCAAGTCCTTGTTAGGTGCAAGTTATTGACGCATTACTCGCCCCCCGGACCTTCACCCCCGGCATCGCATATTAGTCCTCCTGGGGATCGTAGACCAAGACGATCCAGCCAGCCCATCTTCACTACATCGTGCTACTCCGGTGGTTGGCTCGTCCGCCCTGACATCAACCAACAGCAGCTGAACACCACAGCTATAACAGCATCGGGGGGGAACGATGAATCACCATCATGGACTGTCACCTGGAGTACTTTGCTTGTTAGTAGTCAGACGCCTTCCCTACACTATTTGATAAATATGAAAAATAAAATCCAGAAAATAACAGAGCCCCTCACTTGCATTCAATTCTCAAAGCCAGTATATAATCTTGAAAAACATGGGAGCACTTAGTATAGCAATCTTCAGCAGATCTACTTCTCTACAGAAAAAATACATAAGAGAGAAATTACCGGGTTCACCTGGTCTGCCCCTGACATCATCCAACAACGAATGACTGTCTCTACTACAGTTTCTCGCTCCCCTTTCTCGACCAGTGGGTCGAAGTCGGCGAAGGCTGGCGGCTCGAATCCCTCAAGTACCTCGCATAAGAGTACTTCCTACCCAAAAGACAAGGTAGATAGCCTGACGGAAACCACGGCGTACAGGCTAGGGGCAATGTACGAAGCAGACTATCTAAGAGAGCAGATAGGGCTGACGTGCCCGTCAATCTTCGGCATGGAGACTCCCCTGGTACACGTTGAGAATCAGTCCCGCAACCCGCAGTCGTACAAACAAACATGGAAATTGCTCTTGAAAGGATGAGCCTTCTTAGAGGCTTGCAAAAAGCTCAGGTATTCACTATGAACGACGCCGACGACGCGGAAGACGCTATCGCATCTTATGAGTGTTCACTCTCCCACTGAAAAACACACAACCGCTATCACAGGACATGCCATTGTTGCTGTTGTATGAGACGTTGTTTGGATGGAAACTGCCCTCCAAATACAGCAGGTCATTGATGAAGGCAGCAGGTTCCTAGAGGATTTACCAGTGGGAGTATTCATGTGAAAAACAGCCCTCGTAGTTTGTCACCTATCCCTAGTTTCACTTACATTATGTCGCAATATAAGATGGCTATAAGGGATACCCACAGGGTTCAGAAGTGTCTAGATACCTTTTGTAGCCGAGCGGTATTCTTTGCCACACATTATCAACATCGCTTCTATCTCACTCCGTACACGACTAGTGCTCTTACCACATCATCATCCTCCTCGTCGGCGCTTCTGAGGTCGGTCCACGGTTTAGCCTTAGCATCATTGCTGTGGATTCCTTTGTTGCCTCAGGCCCCAACCCCTCGTCGCTAGATAATATCATTGAAGCCAGGGGTCATATACGGTTATGTAGACGGATCAAAGCAGCTAACGAGACCAAGGGGTCGAATCACGACGCTTAAGACATTAATCAAAAGGACAACCGTTGGAGAATTGACAAACCCCACGAGATGAGGACTCCCACCCCGCAACGTGTCGAGAATACCGACCGTGGATCCGAGGTCCCGGGGCAATAGCGTGGCGATCGGCACGAGATGATTTCATAACGTGCGCATCACTGCCCTTTTGTCGCACCGGTGGGTCGGATGGACATGGGCTCTATCTGGTTTGGTCGGGGTAATGGCATAGACTTTATTTGCATGGTAAAGAACGAGACCATGAACAGTCAGAAAAAACCGGCCGTGCTGGTTATGGTAGATGCATCCATCCGCAATACCCGACGTGTCGAGTTTGGGGTAACAGGGCACGTTGACTCGAACACCACGATCCTTCCACAGAACCATCACCATGGGGTTGTATGGAGGATTTCGGACCGGGGCAATAGGTGGGGTCCCCAGATCAAATGCAGAGTCTTCCCCGTACTTTCTTCCCCGGCAAAGTTAGATGAAGTGGAGATCCTTTCCTAGACGGGCCGTCGCAACGATTGACTATTAGGGCAAGCTGGATGTTTCCCGACGGTATGACATCGTCCTCCTGGATCACGCAGCGTCTATCCCCGCAGCCACATCCCATGCAAAACAGGATGCTCTATCTCACTCGTCAGGTGTGGGGTCGATCACGGTCCCCAAGGATTCCCCTTGTCGTAGCCAATAATTGCCGACGAACAACCGCATTGCCTCCCTGAAACAGACGAGCTACGGCATTGCGGGATGTGATCCTCGGTTCGTCGATCCTCCTCGTGGGGGGTTTCATATGCTACAGACGATCGGTGAGGGGTTGCACGAAGCTGGAGATGGCTCGTTGGAAACTAGGGTCGGCTCATTAGGCCCTATATAGTGCGGCCCCCAATCGGTGGATTCAGTCCTTTCCTCAATCTTTCTCCCTATCCCCTTTCCCCTACTCTTCGCTCTTTCCTCCTCTCTGATCAATCATGGCCACCACAAAACAAACCCCCCCGGGCTTCCTGGGCAACCTGACCGCAGACCAGGAGATCCGCCTGCGGCAGATGTGGGCGATCGTCCTGCGACTGCTCGACGCTCAGGCTCTTGGTGCCGCCGAGCCCTCTCCCGACCCCGGTGTCAACCGCCGCAACTCTACCCTCACGCGTACCAGCACCACCATCTCAGCCGCGGCCGGATCCGCCTACACTGAAGCGCTGGGGAAGGCTATGCAAGATGTGGGGGTCAGCTCGACCGAGATCCGCGCCGTGCGCGACGCCCTCACCAGCCTGACGACGGACGACTTGCGCTTCGGCTTGTTGAGCACCGCCAAGTGCGACCACCCCGACTCCCTGCTGCTGCGATTCCTGCGCGCCCGCAAGTGGGACGTCGGCAAGTCGTTCTGCATGATGCTGCATGCGATGGTGTGGCGCATCAAGGACCAGCATGTCGACGAGAGAGTCAATGCCAACGGCGAGCTGCACGCCCTCCGTCAGGAGAAGGATACCTCCAAGCCCGACCAGGCCAAGGCCGGTTCCCAGTTCCTGGCTCAGATGCGCATGGGTAAATGCTTCATCCATGGGGTGGATCGGGAGAGCCGTCCGGTTGGCATCGTTCGCGCCCGTCTGCACCGTCCTTCTGAGCAGTCGGAGGAGGTCATCACCCGCTACATTCTGCATGTTATCGAGATGGCGCGTCTGCTTCTGCTGCCGCCGATTGAGAACGTCACCATCGTTTTTGACATGACGGGCTTTTCTCTCTCCAACATGGTACGTCGCTTTCTTTCTCTTTCGTTCCCTTCACCACCCCTTTTCTCTACGTGTGTGTGTGTGTGCGGGTCTGTGTCTAACTGGACTAGGAATACGCCCCCGTCAAGTTCCTCATCGACTGCTTCCAAGCCAACTACCCCGAGTCCCTGGGCATGATCATCATCTACAACGCGCCCTGGATCTTCTCCGGGATCTGGCGCATCATCAAGGGCTGGATGGACCCCGTCATCGTCGCCAAGGTGCAGTTCGCCTCCACCTTCGCCGACGTCGAGAAGTTCATCGCCCCCGAGAATATTGCCCCCGAAATCGGTACCAAGGGCACGAGCTACGAGTTCGTCGAGCCATCGGAGACCGAGAACGACCCCATGCAGGACACCGCCACTCGCGATCGCCTGATGGAGGACCGCACTGCCATCGGCGAGGAGCTGCTGCTCGTGACGAGCCAGTGGGTTTCGGCGCACCAGTCGAACGACCAGGCGAAGGTCTCAGAGATGGCGCCTCGTCGGAAAGATGTTATTGAGCGGTTGCGTGTAAATTACTGGTCGCTGGACCCGCATATCCGTGCGAGGAACCACTTGGATCGCACGGACATCATCCAGCCTGGGGGTCGGATTGCCTTCTATCCTGGCTCGGAGACCACGTCGGATACAGAGACGGCCAAAGCGATAGAGGTGGAGCATGTTGAGCAGGCGCAGGTGAAGGTCGTAGATGTGTGATACCATTTTCTTGTTTTTTTCTTTCGTCTTAGGTTTTACTTCTTTCTGTGTCTAGATTATGATTATGGATTACGACTTGGTTCTCATATGCTCGTATGTAGACGTGCATTCATTCCCCAGCATCTCTATAGATCATGTTCAGAACACTACAACCGTGCCAACGGTCCATCCGATTTCACCAACCCTAGGCAGGCTGGAGTGATATCCGCAACAGTGACACAACCCGTCAGCTGCATGCATCGTTTGAACTCGTCATAAAGAATGTCCAATACCTTGGACACGCCCTGCTCTCCATCATACTACTTCAGTCAGCGGTCGTCCGAAGATAAGGGAGAAGAAATAGGATGGGGGAGGGAGAGAGAAAACATACCGCCAACCCCCACGCCGCCGGCCGTCCTATCCAACAACACTGCGCCCCCAACGCCAACGCCTTGAAGATGTCCGTTCCAGTCCGAATGCCCCCATCAATATGCACAGGGATCTTCCCCGCCGCCGCCCGAACACACTCAGGCAGCACATCAATCGTCGCCGGCGTGTCATCCAACTGCCGCCCCCCATGGTTACTCACCAACACCCCATCAACCCCGTACTCCCGCGCCAGAATCACGTCCTCCGCCGTCAACACCCCCTTGATCCAGATCTGCAACTTCGTCACAGACCGCAACCACGGGATCTCACGCGCCCACGAATGTGCGTCCTCGTTGAACTCCGCGAACCCCGCCACGTGCGTCTGCGTCTGGTCCTGCCCCCACGTCTGCTCCAGCATCGGCAGCGCGAGGTCCTTCGGCGTGCGGAACCCGTTGCGCAGCTCGGAGTACCGCACGCCCAGCACGGGGCTGTCCGCCGTCAGGAAGATCGCCTTACACCCGGCTGCTTCGGCCCGCCGGATGATGCGCTCTTGGTGCGCGCGGTCGCGCATCGAGTACAGCTGCATGACGTGGCTCATGGGCGGGAGTCCGGTCGCTCGTGCAGCCTGCGTGATGTCTTCGACGGCGTGGTTGCAGAAGGTGGATACACCCATGGGGACGTGACGGCGTGCGCAGGCGCGGCTGGTCGCGAGCTCGCCTGAGGGGTGCGCCATCCCTTGGAGTCCGGATGGGCCGATCCCCAGCGGGAAGTCGATGCGTTGGTCCAGGACGGTGGTCGTAGTGTCGATCGGGGAGACGTCGACCAGAACCCGCGGGCGCAGTCGGTATTTGTTGTAGGCTGTGGAGTTCTCGGCGACGGTGATTTGGTGGGTGGAGCCGGAGTTGTAGAAGTCTATCTTGTGTCAGTGGGCCATGGTTTTGTGGGAGAAGGGGATATGACCCTTGAGTTTCGGAGGCAATTTCTTGGACGCTTCCTGCTTGATGTCGTCGACGCAGAGCATCATGCTCGGAGAGTTAGGGTTGGCCATGTTGACGGTGTCTGGACTGGTATTGCGGGATTGGTGAGAGTATGGAAGACTCAATACCTCCAGTTCGAGACGCTGATTTATATTATTTTCTCTCGGAATTCGCCGCGATACAGAGTGGGGATCTCGCTTGTCGATGAGTACGAACCCCTCACCAGACCTGCATTCAGGTCCACATGGTGTGCATGCCTACAGGAATAGCATCCCAGACCACACGGGTTGAGATACGGAGTTGCATTACATTGCAGCGCGGAACGGAGGTGTGACTCACCATACCGTACTAGAAGAACCCCCACGCCATATGTATCGAAGGGAAACCAGCCTCCATCAGCCATAATAATTTTCCCGTCGCGTGGCTCCCTCCCCCTGATGCGCCTCGTGGATATCTGAGAACAGGAACACCCAGCAAGAGCATGAGCTTGGTCAATAGCCGCCGTTTTCCAAGGTCTTTCAAAAAGGGCTGTCACCGTGCTGGTGCAGTCAATTTCCCTAATGGGCGTCTACTCTACCCATCCCCTTGCGCGACCCGAATGCACGCACCTGGACGGGCACATGGCTGGCTTGGGGGCTGAGTCAAGTTGATCCTGGATGGAAAACGGTCTGATAGTTTCTTCAAAGTCGTATCACGATGTGCAGTTCTGGAATTGGCAGGCCTGGTTGGGTTTGGTGTTGGAGGAGAACGGTATAGCTAACGAGGTGGCTTGTTTTAGCAGGGGTTGGAAGGATCCGTTGTCCTGTCGGTGAGATTGACAGGATCCGCGCGTGACAGAGGTGCTTTGGACAGGTGGAACTGGAATTCAAAACGGCACGTATCGGAACATATGAAGACATGTTTCCAGAAAGCCATTGTCTGCAATGACTGATGCGTATATCATGGAGTACAAGAGGGTCCAAGGGGGATCTATCACCGGATCAGAAGCAGTGATTATTCAATTGCCTATCCTGCATACTGGAGTTCCCTTCATTCTATCCTAATTTTATTGTGTTGCATTTGAACCGTTAATTGAAATTTTCGGAAATAAATCCTGGACCACACTGTGGTAGTAAGAAACAGGTCCTTTTGCTAAATAATATATATCGTGCCGCTATTCCATCCCTTGTCCAAGTCCAATCGAAAAACCACCATCTGCCAAAATCAATACAAGAAGAGGCGCAGTAATTTCCTTGGGGTCGTTTGAAAACCATAACCTTCCATGGCGTAGGACATTTATACAAGATCAGACGTCAGTTGACCTCGCGATCGTGAAGCGCCAAGATGGGGATTAAGTTTGGACCAGACCATTATCCACTTCATCGGTTCGATCCCTACTCGTGGTGCACCACATTGACCCAATGATCGCGTGTCTTGAGACAGTGTGCAGATTTAGTCTGATGATTTACTGACCATTGAATGATATAGGTATCTCATTCTCTAACGACCAACAAATACAAATAGAATCCGGGATATCAACAAGAAAAAAGCACGCTCCAACGCCATCCAACTAGAAAAGAACAGAGATTCCTATGGCTGGTCGGCTCCTCGCACGACCACCGCAGGAGGCTGCGTAGGGACCGCGGACGGTATCACGACGGGAGCATCCGCCTGCACGTTCGCGCCCAGCCCAAAGTAATCCATCTTGCAGAGGGGACAGCAGGCTCGGCGCTTGGTGAGCCAGGAATCTACACAGAGAGTATGGAAGATATGTCCGCAGACCAGCGCCCGGATGCAATCCTCCTCGTCGAAATACTCGATGCACACGGCGCATTGGTCGCGGGTGTCGTCAATCACGGGCGCCGCGCCGGCGCCGGCCTCGGCGGACTCGGGCGCCGCGTCTGGCCGGGGGATATCATCGTTTGGCCGGCCCTGCTCGTCGTGGCTCTTGCGCGGCGGCGGGGCCCCTGCCGTCTCAGGTGTCTCGGTCGCGGCGGTTCGGGTCGCGGTCGCCTTCCAGAGCCCATACTCGAGGGCGGGAAAATACCGATCCACGTCCTCCTCGGTGATGACAGGTCGGATGCGGGCCTCGAGACGGAGGCTTTCCGGGTCTGGGGGGTCTTGTTGAGCGGCGCGGGGATGAGAGCGCCCTCGTATCGAGACCGCCGTGCTGTCGATAGCCCACGGGCATCAGTTGAAGCATTCCGACGGCGATTGAAAGAAGCATACCAGAACCCAATCATCACCAGCGCCAATACCGGGACGATAAAGTAGTAGAATTCGATCGACATGGGGCCGTCATCGCAGGGGGCGTCGGCCTGCGGTAGATACTCAAAGCTGTCCCATACAACTTGGCGCGATGGATTATCCCTGACTTTGCATGTTGCACACGATCCGCTGTAGGACCGCCGTGATGGAAATAGCGGAACGAAGAAGAAAGGGAAACCAAAGAGGGAAATAACGGAGGTCACCCTGGTCGGGGTCTGTTCTAGTCAGCCATGTCCGGACTGGCCATTAACCCCGCAGAGGGCACGGAGGAAATAATTCACAGCAACATAAGCAGTAGCCGCTGGGCCTTGCTGGGCCAGCATACGCTGTGGTCACAAGTAGCCCCTGGCGCAGCCCCTAGCTGCTCACTGGTGCAGGAAATCCCATGGACCCACTTCATCAGCCCCCAGTCGCGGTCCGGGGATTTGATATCGAGGAACAATGGGGCGGTGTTGCCCCTGTCCGATGGCTGAGCCGTCCTCTCCGGTCGTACTTACTATGTTTCTGGCCAGACAAGGCTGCGAACCTCATCGGCTTCCTGGTAATATGACACTGGAGAATTGTCCTACCAGCGCAAACCATTTGAAGTCATCCTGATGACCGCGACAACCAGTATGCATAAGCGGTTCGTGATCAGCGATTCCACCGGCTGAGTCAGTGAGCATTAGTGACACAACTTAAATATGCCGAATCTTTCACGTGTCAACTGATCATCGTCCGAACTCCGATTATCAGGGTTGGAATCGCTTTGAGATGGCTTGACTGCGCTCTGACTGGGAACCTCGATGCTTTTTTGGCATATCTCACGAGATGAGTAGGACATGAAGGCTACGGCGGGGAGAGATCTGGGAGCGGTTGGGCCGTGCTTCCTAGCCCTGACGTCACTCAGTTGCATCACATACCAGAACCGGGAACGCAGCCTGCTGGCAGGCCTCGTTTGTCTATTCTGGCACTCTCAGTTATAGACTCACTCATACACTGAATCTGCATTTGATTCCCAGAATCGTGATCGAGAATGCTATCTAGAGCACTTCGACTACCCGTAGCCTGCGCCGGCGTGCGTGGCCCAGGGCGTCGCTCCCTAGCGCACGTCACCAACGTACCGGATATTCCAACGGTAAAGAATGACTCTAGGCATCTTAACTAGAGACAGGGAGCTGACCAGGCCATGTTTAGGAAGAGGACAGGACGTTCTCCGTCCCCATCGCCGAGGATAGCTTCGAAACGTACGAAATGGACCCTCCGCCGTATTCCGTGGACATCACCAAGAAGCAGCTCCGCCAGATATACCACGACATGACATTGATTCGGTTCGGCCCCTGCCCCCCTCTCGATCCTTCTTTCGATCTGTTAATCCGTGGTTAGACGCATGGAATTGACCGCCGATGGATTGTACAAGGAGCGCAAGATACGGGGCTTCTGCCACTTGTCGACCGGCCAGGAGGCCGTCGCCGTCGGCATCGAGCACGCCATCACCAAGCAAGACAAGTTGATCACTGCGTATCGGTCTCATGGGAATACGCTCATGCGAGGAGGAACGGTGAAGAATATCATTGGGGAGCTGCTGGGCCGAAGAGGCGGGATCTCCTACGGTAAGGGTGGCTCGATGCACATGTTCACCGAAGGATTCTTCGGCGGCAATGGGATTGTCGGCGCCCACGTGCCGGTGGGGGCGGGAATTGCCTTTGCGCAGCAGTATACCGACAGCGGCAGCGTCACACTCGATCTCTACGGCGATGGGGCGGCGAACCAGGGACAGGTCCACGAGGCGTACAACATGGCGAAGCTGTGGAACTTACCCATCATATTTGGCTGCGAGAGTAGGTGTCCCCGGTACAGCAGTGCGGGGCTTATGCTGACATTGTAGATAACCACTACGGAATGGGCACGTCGGTCGAGCGCGCGTCGGCCATGACGGAATACTACAAACGTGGCCAGTACATCCCGGGGCTACGTATCAACGCGATGGACGTTCTGGCGGTCCTCTCCGCCGTTCAGCACGGGAAGGCCCATGTCACCGCCGGCAAGGGGCCCCTCCTTTTTGAGTTCCTCACGTACCGGTATGCCGGCCACTCCATGAGCGACCCCGGGACCGCGTATCGCACCCGGGAGGAGCTCCAGAAGCAGCGATCCAACGACCCCATTTCGAACCTCAAGGAGAGACTCGTGGAGTGGGGGGCGTTCTCCGAGGACGAACTGCGGACCATTGACAAGGAAGTTCGCAAACAAGTCGCGAAGGATGCCGAGGAAGCTGAAAAGATGCCGGTGCCGGAGAACACCCCGGATGTTCTGTTCGAAGATGTTTACATGCGAGGGAGCGAGCCGAACCAACGACGAGGGAGGACCATTGATGAGACTTATTACAAGGGCTAATGTCGTGTCGTTCGTAGTGATTTAATGAACAGCGTTTTCATGTATGTATATCAACTCCACCTCCTCACTACTCTATTTTTATTTATCTGAGAATTTTCTTTTTGATTGTTTTTATGTATGTCTATGGGGGTTTGGACTCCATCTCGCGTCTACCACGATCCCGGATTGGGTACACAGCCCCAACCCGACTGGTAGCCTGGTCGGAATCATCCCAATTCGCCTGAATGTGGCTTTCGTATCCGGGCCTTTTTGGATGAGTCATTATTTCTGGACACGGACCTGTTCTCTTTGTTTTTTATTGATTTCCTGTTGGGTATATCAGTCAGGCTAAGCCCTATACCAAACGTTGGTCGTAAGGATCTTGAGTATTTCTGGCAAATGTCTGACACGGTGTAGTCAAAGGATTCCTGTGTGGGTTAGTGATAGATCAAACTTGGTGGATACGGAAGACTAGGATATCAAATCATAGGACGGGCTCCAGTCCAGTGTCAAGTTAGACATTGGGCACCGCGCTGCATCGACTGTGGAAGAAGCAAGCATGCAGAGGCTACGTAGCTGCCCCACCCAGAGCTAACAATCGTTAATGTCCTACAATGAACCATTACACCAAGTTCTGGCGGCCTTCATAGCATCAACTACTGTGTTCTGGGAAGGCGGTTCATCATCTACTCAATATACTATTCGACGATGTCTCTACTGGTCGTCTGTCGGCGACTTTGGATCGCAACAACCACCCGGTTCGCTAGGCATCTGTCAATATTCTATAACTACATTTCCAGCCTCGTCACAGCATTCCGTGGGAGGAGGGGAAACCGTCCAACTATGGACTACATATACACTCCATTGAATTCCGCCTCTAATGACATCCGCCTGGTAACGCTGCTCCCGGGGACCCTCCATCAACCGCTTCGCATTAACCTTACTACCAAACCACTACACCCCACCCCCAAACAAGATTCGCACCGATTGCCTCTAGGCGAGCTACGAAAATCCCTTCCTGGCGGATGGGAAGCGCACGAAACACTCGAAGGACGGATTGCCTTTCACCACTCAGACTTGGATGTCGTAACATGGGACCATCCAGTGCCGAGCTTTGAGAGACCTCTGTATGATACTCCCGAACTAGACGATTTCGCTCTGTCGCCCTCATACGAGGCACTGTCTTACGTATGGGGCTCTTCCGATATGTCTGCTGAGGTTGTAATTGTGTCGATGAGCGACCTCGATGAAGTTCTGGGCATCGTGCGCATCACTGCTAATCTAGACGCCGCCCTCCGCCATTTGCGATTTGAGGATCGACCGCGGACACTGTGGATCGACGCAATATGCATCAATCAAGGAGACTTGAACGAAAGGTCCGAGCAGGTTCAGCGGATGGCCCATATCTACACCCAGGCGAAGAGAGTCGTGGTTTGGCTGGGGGAAGCTTCGTCGGATAGCAAACTTGCCCTGAACAGCTTGTGCCACCTCGGGCGCCAGAATATCATCACCAAGAGCAATTTTGGGTTCCGAGCACCACAGGCAGAGCACCCCGACTGGTGGTTGCCCTCCTTCGACATCCCCTTCGATGAAAACACGTGGAAAGCCATCTCCAGTCTATTGGACAGAGCCTGGTTTCAGCGCCTCTGGGTCTTCCAGGAGATCCAGCTGGCGACTCCGCGCGCGGTGCTCCAATGCGGACAAGACGAGGGCTCATGGGCGGATCTCCGTGCCTCCATACTTTGTCTGAAGGAAAAGAACCAGACCTTCCTACCCGAGGTGGTCTCCAACCTCCGTAAACACTTCATGCTATGTCTGGATTGGCGCGGCGAGAGCTTCCCTCTGATGATGAACTCCGTCCGGCGACGTCTCTGCAGCGATGAACGCGACCTCGTATACGCGCTTGTGGGCCTGATGACCCCCACGTTTGCCTCCCTGATCCGCCCCAACTACCGCCTTCCAGCTCGCGAGGTCTACAAAGACGTCTTTCTGGCCCACGTCAAGGCCACACAGCGACTGGAGCTGATATCCTACTGCGGTCGCGGGGCTGAACTCGGCTCCCCGACCTGGGTCCCTAACTGGGTTGTCCGAGACCAATACGACCCGAACCGTGGACTGGCCAGCGGGATCTCCCCGGCTGTGTTTTCGACCCCGACACCCGACATCCTGGAGGTCAGTGGGGTGTCATGCGGTAGGATCTCCCATGTTGGCGGCCTCGCCGAAGGCGAGGCAGACGAGCGCGTGGAAATGGCCAGAACCTGGTACCGGGAGTGCACCTCCTGGCTCGAGGAGTCCGGCTTCCGGGGAAATTCCGACGTGCCATTCCGGGACGCGTTTGCGTCCATGCTTCTTGAGGGCGGCGTGGGCGATGTCTACCCCGAGATTATCAGCGTCACTTGTCGTGAATGGAGCGAGAAATGGGTCGCACACTGCGAGGAGAACCGCAAGGTGTCTGTCGACGACGTCATGTCTGATCCTGAATTCTTCCGGTGTGCACAATTGATCATTTGGAGTCGGTTTGTCGCGACAGCAGAGGGATACATTGGTCTGGCACCACGTGCGACTCAGCCTGGGGATATCATCGCCGTCTTCTTGGGATCGAACACCCCGGTTGTTCTGCGCCCGGAGGGCGATCGGCGCTTCGCTGTCATCGGGTCTTGCTACGTGCATGGGCTGATGCATGGTGAGGGCGTCCTGGGCAGATTCCCGCCCGGCTGGAAGGGTATCTTCCTCATGGACGAGAACGGCTTGGACAGACCGTGTTATCGCTGCGAGGAGTCGGACAGCCCGGATGGCCCGGTCACAACAGAAGAAGACCCACGATTGGGACCTGTACACCCTCCATTCGAGCGCGTCGCGTCACAGCGGATTCCTGATGATCCGACCAACTTTGTTCGATTTCGAAACGGCGAGACAGGAGAGGTCATTAATCACGATCCGCGATTGACGCTAGAAGCATTACGCGAGAGGGGAGTCAACGTGGAAACGTTCCAGCTGGTATAGGACAGATGGTGTACATATCGGTTGCCATGAACTTGACAAAACGTATACATTAGGAGCGTGAAGTCGGTGTTTATCAAGTGATGGGTGGAAGTACTACTAATATACAACTTTGAAGACATGCGAGAATCCTCAAGGCCTCGCTAATATCGTTGCCAACATGCTAGAATTCTCGCCGGTAAGGCCTATGTCGCTCAATAGACATTCCCAGGCTTCAGAGTCAATCATGCAATCGAAAAGCAGATATATTGGCCACACCCTGTTGATGCCCCCGTGACAGTGTGAATATGGTATAAATCCCACTTGGCAGAATCATTCTTTACTAATTGGGCAGCTAGACCCATTCTCCGTTAGGCTCTGACAGGGAGTTTTTCACTCTTGAGCCTGTGGAGAGGGGGGCTAAAGCACGTCTAAGCCCCACAGTCACAACGGCTAACACCTTGTTGAAATTCATCCAATCTCATTCCCTGTTCCCAACAATCAACCCTGTCACGAAGCGTGTAGTGGTATTTCGCGATTATGGATGAACCAAGGTACCAGAATCCCCAAGAATTGGAACTACTGTCCAGCACGGAGCAAGGCATAGAAAACCCCATCCTTGTGATCCCCGCCTCTCCAGACGAAGAGGCCACGGACGACACGAGCCTTGCACCACACACGATACATGAAGGGGTCTTCTGCGATGGGCCGTCTTGTGGCAACAATTCTGACCCAAAACCTATCCAGGGCACGCGGTACAAATGCGCGACATGTCCGGATATGGACTTTTGCTTGGACTGTCTGCTGGACGACGCGAATCCTCACACCAAGACACATCCGCTTCTGAAGTGCACAACACCATCAGCACTTCCTAGATACCGAGAACAGTTACAAGCTTCCCAAACGAATAACAAACCAAGCGAGAGAGGCGACCCGGTGGTGCGACGGCACGAGTTACACAGTATTCGCTTCCAAGGTATCCAGAACCATGTCACCCGAACAATACTGAGCGATGTAATGGCACGCGACAGCGATGAAGCTATAAAAGACCCCGCGGTGCGGCAGATGGTCAACGACCGAAATCAAGTCCTGTCACGAGCGGGCAGAGAAACAACAAATGCCCTAGATGTCCTAAAGAGGGACCGGCCCGATAAGGAACCCCTCTCGGACGAGGTGATGGACCGCATCGCGATCTCCTTCGTGACTGAGGATTCACCACAGCCCAGGGAAAAGCAGAGTTTATTGGATAGCGCGGATCAGGAAGAGAAGTGGTCCCAGTACAGACACCATCATTTTATCCGTCGATGGGGCCTGTTCAGCGAGGACGATGGGCGAGACGAGGAATGGTGGATCGAAAATCCGGAGATTTTCGATGAAGAGGATCCGCGCTATCTCTGCGAAATGTGTCGTCATATTGACTTTAAGGCGCTGTTCACACAAAGAGGCCTGCCAGGCAACACCGCACCCGGACCAACCGACATCACCATATACGGGCTGGGCCACGTAATGGCCGGGGATTGCGCATGTGCATTCTGTCGGCTCCTACGAAGGTCATTCATAGAGAATGGATTGCCGGCCGACGGTGGTCGGGAACTCTTCGATGGACAGCAGATGACGCTAAAGGTTCTGGACGAGGGGCCAGAGTGTGGTCTCCGGCTCGAAGTATCGCTTTCTCTCGGACTTACTCACGACCATTATGACTCGCTGCCTCCCATACTGATTCAATGGGCTGATGGTGGGGATGAACAGCATCCCGGAGGGCGAATGATACGGCAAGAATCTACCGATTTAACACTTCTCAAATCTTGGGTTGACACCTGCGACCGCTGTCACTCCGTCCCGGACAAACAGCACTCGAAGGATGTGAAGAAAAACACACTCCAGCTCCGTTTCATCGATGTCCACGCGAATCGCATAGTGACACCCGAAACACTTCCCCGATACGCCTGCCTATCGTATGTCTGGGGAGGTATCAGTGGGACCCAGTACACTTCGGACACGAAAGCCGACCTTGAGGCGAAAAACGGGCTGTACCATGCGTCGGTGACGCTGCTGCCGACCATTCAAGATGCAATGAAAGTGGCGAAAGCAATTGGGATTGACTACCTCTGGGTCGATGCTCTGTGTATCCTTCAAGATAACGAAGAAGACGTAGGCCGAAACGTCGCCGGTGCAGGATTAATCTACAGCGGCGCGGCGCTGACTATTATTGCCTCCACCAATTCCAATCCGAGCCACGGCCTTCCTGGGGCTAGCACCGTGCCTCGGTCGAAAGGCCAGAATCGAGAGACAGTTCAAGGGATGTGCTTGGCCACGGTATTCCACAATCCTCGGAGACAACTGGAGGACATTGAAAATTCAGTATGGAACACTCGCGCATGGACATATCAGGAGCGACAACTGTCCCACAGGACCGTGTACTTCACTGAGTCGGAAATGGTATTCATATGTCCCCACGCGACCTGTTTCGAGGACACTGTACCAGCAATGAATTTGAACTGGACGCCATTGCCGAATAATGACCTCCTCCATTCAGACCCCCGTGGGATCGAGTTCCAGGTGTGGTCGGACCCGACGCAGCGCCAGTTTCCAAACAAGGCCTTTGAGACGAGTGGTGGCAGTATAACCATGGTGGCCGTCGATCCGGATGAGCAGAATGGGCGCGCGCCATGCTCCGACCCTGCCCCATTGTACCGCATCACTCGACTCTCGGGGCCGCACCTCCCCGGTCGACTTGAAGATCAGGCCGAGGCCATGACCCCATGGAAGAGGTACACTAACGCAGTGAGCCAGTACACAAAACGGATGCTCACTTTCGATGAAGATGCCGTGAGAGCTTTTGCTGGTATGACGGGCTTGATCGCCAAGGGGGCCAACACGCAGTTCTGGTACGGCATGCCCGAGTTTTTCTTTGATCGAGCGTTACTCTGGTACCCCAAACAACTCGTCAAAAGGAGAAGGCAGGGTGAACGCTCGTTGTTTCCCAGCTGGACCTGGGCTGCGTGGCAAGGTCCTATCCACTACAGAGGCAAGGGGTGGCACAATTCGCAGTACCATGGACCAGCCTCGGTCATCAAGTGGTACCAAAACCTGACCCGGCAAGAATTTATTTCTCGATGTCCGATTGATACTAGCTCGGGACGCCCCATGGAGGAGGCGATCGACGGGTCCGAGATTGATCGGTTCCTTTTTCCGTTGAACCCTGACGAGGTGAACAAGGTCACTGACCCGTCCGATGGCTGGATATCGAAGTTTGACGAAACCTCCAACCAGCACTATTATACCCATGAAGCGTACCCAGGACTCATTTGTGATTACCCGGTTTATCTTCCAGGTCAGGATGTTCCAGAGCGACCGGATCCCGAAGGGGTTCTGTACTTCAATGCCCATACCGCAGAGATACAGCTGTATGATGTGAATACTGTTGGCTCGCCAGCAGAGCCGCCCGGGGATGACTTCATCCAGATTGGGTTCCATGACGAGAGTAGATCAGCAAACTACCGCCCTCCATGGAAACGCATTCTCTACCATCAAGGCTACCGATGTGGCTTTCTTGTCCTCAATATTCCGTTCGATGATATCCAAAACGCCCCGCGGACGAAAGCTACTACCTTGCTGCCATTTCCAGAGATTCTCTCCCCGAGATCCCCACCCCTGGTGACAAGGGCTTGATATATAGGGCGCTGGATCCACGACAGGCCCAGTACTTCCTATACAAAGAGAGCCAAGAGGACGACCCGCTGGCTTCATATGACGCACCTGATCCCACAGCACCACCCGATGTCCTACCCAAGTCAGAAAACGGCGATCCCCATTGGGACGAAGGGCGATTTCCGACCGCGATGGCGTTTCCGATCTATAACGTGCTTCTCCTTCGAGCCAACGGGAGGTTTTCGGAGCGGGTGGGTGTTGGCAAGATTCATTTCCATGCATTCCACCTCGCTTCTCGCAAAACTCGTCTCGTCATGTTGAAATGAGACGGGCCGCTCTTGATCGGGGTCAGAATGGGATCCAGCGGGAAACCCCGTTCATTGTGCGTCAGATATTATTTCGAGTCTGTGCTCATTATAAAATTTGTGGCTGGGACCCATGTCGTCCAAGCAGACAAGGGTCGCACCTGCTTGTCAGAATCACAATCATGTGGATGCGCCCATTTGCAACTCCCCTCTTGCCAGTGCATTCGGAAACGTCATTATGAACTGCTACAGACCCGGGTAACACTCTAGACCCCAGAATGGATTCCATGTTTTGTCGCATCATCTGGTCAACCAGACTTCCCCGTCTGTGTTCATCTTAGACCAGACGCTATATAGCCAATTAGCCATTCATGTGCTAGCGATCCAATGGAGAATAGATAGATTAATAAACCACTGGCGAGGACATGAATATACGAGGGCTCAAGATACTTGTTAACGAAAACATGGTTCATTAGCATTTCGGTCATTAAATGTGAGATATCGTGCCCAACAAGCATCATTTTTCGAGCACCCTCATTCACCCTTCCGCCAGGTTCAAGAATATCTGGAGACTAGCCCTTGCACCTGGCCCCCAAGAACGATCTGGTGTGGCAATCCCATGTGGAAAGGAAGTCCCCCGGCACCGATTCTTACCACGGGAGCAAACCATGACAACGAAAGAAAGATGTCGATGGCTTGCCAACACGCGATCTCCCATATGTCCGAATTTGACCAAACACTGGCCAGTGAGGGCATGTCGGCTTGTCCTGTCGTAAAACGTATCAAACAATAGAGTGTCCATCGCCTTTGGATGACTGTCAGTAATGTTATGGTGGAGAATGGTTCTTGCCTCAGTACTTACCCACTGGGTATCCGCCCTGTACTTTACCACACCAACACTAGTACCACCCTCACGGCTATCCTACGAGACAGTATACACACGATCAGGTCGCCGCGCCGCAATTGCTAATGCGTTGAAGCTCCGCCGTCGCAAATTGCGCATATATGACTTTTGCTCCGGGGCAATATCACCGTACGGATGGTCCCGATCGAGTGGTTGGTACATTCGAAACATGCCCATTCCGATGAACAACGCGACCACACAACCGACCAGGACGACAAAGACGTAAAGGGAGTACTTTGATGACGCGCTCATAACTGTTGACCTCGAGAATATTGCGCGCTGAAAAGGCTCGTTGATTGCAGAGACTCACTGGGTCTCGATGGAGGTGATATAACGGGACCAGGCGATGTGGACTCGGGTTTTGTATATCGTCACTGGATCTGCCCCCGTGAAATGGCAAAGTCTGCGAGCGACGGCATTTTGACAGCACACCCTGTTAGATATTGGCACCCTCTCCGTCCCAGTGAACGTAAAAATAGCAGACCGAGACAGTATTCCGGCTCGGCCTTTGTGGTGCGTGCAACAGCCCGCTTCAAACAGGGACAGTGCTTATATCAGATTCTTTTCACCCTAGAGTTGCTCTGGTACAAAGAAATCTACTAGCTACACCTGGAAACCTCTGCAATTGTTGTATCAGCCAGCTTACTTGCGTGCTGACCTATCCTGTCCCGAGGCTTGGTTAATGACACCATCTTGGCTATTTCGTCCGACGTTCGGCCCACTCGAACTGCGAATCTTTCCAGGAACGTGCCCTACCATACGGCAGCAGAGTGACAACGATGCTGATCCGTCGCAGATCGTTCAGTCCCAAGTTCTATCGGATCGTCTTTTGGCTGGAAACAAAAAGCAGTTAATCCGCATCACGCGAAAATCACTTGATATCGATACTGTTCCTCGGTGAGATGGCGTACCGCCACAGTACTGTCTTGATCATCGTGATGAATAGGGGGTATTTCTCTCAGCCGTGTCAGCATCGAATGTTCATCTCTGGGCTAGGGGTACCTGCATCCCGTTATTTCCGCCGTTTTCTCGTGACAGTCCACGAATGGAGGGCAACTCACGGATCAACGCGTCTGTTGAACAGGTTTCAGCCACTAACGGGCCAAGACCTTCAGACCTCGTCACATGCTCGTTCTATTAGACTGATCAGGGACAACAAAGGGACATGCGACGCGACAGCCACACCCACGACCGTACGCTAGGCGCACAGCCATGGCTATGCAATTTTACAGGCCGACACACAGACCCCAAGTGATTAAAAATAATAGAATGGGAGAGCTTTTCAAGTTGATTACCCGGGAATGATATTTCCCTGATCACTACTGTGAGTCGAGCGGGAAACACTGTAGAAACCAAGCGGGTGTATGCAAAATATATCTTGGGATGTGGCAGTTTTTAAGTAGCCTTACTTCTTCTGCCTTATATGTGGTGCAAGCTGCTATGGTTTTTCAGCATGTCTTATTCTAACCATTGGACCACAAACACCAATTGGCGAGTGGAAGGGCCTTCATATCCAACCTAGTTTAGCTCGTCGAGGAGAGATGTAGTCGGGTTGTGAAACAGTTCTCTTTGTGATCTTTGTAGAACATCCTTCAGTTTCTTTGGCACTTTCAGTTCGCGAATATATATTTGGAATAAGTACTGGAGATATCATGTTATATATTTCCTGTCCGCTCTATTGATACTTGAGTTTCAGGAAGTAAACGCGCTTCAATTATACCCCATAAAGCTATACCAGTTCGACACTCAACTCACACATAGCAGACACTCGGTTTCTATTTCCCCCTTTTTCTCTTCTTTTTTTTCTATACGCAGCCAAAGAGAGCCGCTAGAACAAGAATATATTACGGTTGTTTGAGAAAGAGATTAACTTACCTCATAGGCGACAGTGTTATCTGCGAATCTATCACTCGCTTGCATGTGTTCATAGGTACGACTTCGAGTGGCGACACAAAGCCACTGTAAATAATATTTATGTGGTTTGTATCGAGATCTTAACAAGTGCCCATGTGCAGTTCAAACAATTAAGCCACCAACAGGCGTCACTACCAACAAGAGCCACACTGCATCCAGTGACATCCTAAGTGCGACGAGCCAGCTTCACCTCGATCCCACTCTGCCGGACAAAGAACTCATTATGTACCTTCCACTCCCTATCAGGATGAACCAGGCTAATATCATAACGAGCCACCAGAGTCGCCATCACCTTGTACACCTCCAGTAACCCGAGATGCTTTCCAATACACACGCGACTTCCTCCACCAAAGGTCAAATCGGCATGGTTCATCGTGCGCAGACGTGTCTGGAATTCTTCTTCGGTCTCGCGCGCCTCATCCCGAAGCCACCTCTCCGGGCGGAACATGTCCACGTCGGCGCCCCAGACGGACTCGTTGTGGCTGACGATGTACGGGTTGAGTCCAACCACTGATCCGGTAGGGACGTACTGCCCGTTGGGGAGGGTCAGCCCGCCCTGCGGAACGTATCGTTCCAGGTTCATCCCAACCGGGGGGTGGCATCGCATGGCCTCGCGGATGACGGCGTTCAGGTAAGGATACTCCTTGGATGTTTTGTAGGACACGACGGGTGCATCTGACGCGGTGTGAGGGGCGATTTCGGCACGCAGGCGTGTCCAGACTTGGGGCTGCTTCAGGGAGAAGTATAGGGCTGCGTTGAGGACAACGCCCGTCGTGTCCGCTCCGGCGATCATGTTGATCATGAGGTAGGAGATGATCTGCATGTCGTCTACGACGTCAGGGAACTTCTCCTTGGCTTCGATAAACTTGTCCAGGAAGTCGGGCTGACTGGGATCATGGTAGTGGCTGTCCTTGCCCTGGAGCCGGTCGGTGAGATGCTGGATTGAGATGTTGGTGATGTTGCCGAAGCCGGGAGGCCCGATCCGATAGATGGGGTTTTTATCCAGCAGATGGTCTAGGATCGGGAGTTGTGCGACCAGGGTGAAGTATCTCATCGAGGCGTTGGCGATGCCCAGGGTCCCGTCAAAATCATAACCCTGTTGCAAGTATCCGATGGGCTGGCTGAAGGTAGCTTTGCCTACCACGTCCCAAGTATCTGGATGGCGTCAGCCAACAGGACGCCACTGGACTGATCATGAGGGTTCCAACTTACAGTACGCAATCCACTCGTCCAAAGCACACGCACTGGTGGCGCTAGACCCGTCGATAAAATTCTCCTCGAGTCTTTGACAGAGGTACTGTATCATCTCGTCGATATGGGGCTCCAATGGGAGCACCCCCGTCATGGAATAGTGCTTGGAGATGGGCCGCTTCTGTCGGGCATGCACCCCCGGCTGGCATTCACTGAACAGATTGTAGATGATCTTGCCATTGCTCATGGCACTACTTCCGTGGTAGAACTCGGTCTGTCCCAGGTTAATTAGGGTCATCCACTTGCGGGACAAGGGGCTTCACTTTGAGGTAGTCGGCCTTGACGTTATAGATGGTTTTGATCAACTCGGGATAATCCAGGTCCAGCACGTTGGGCGCAATGCGCACCACAGGCCCGTACTTTTGATGCATCTTCCGAATGACAAGGTGGTAATTTCCCTGCCGTGCGTGATGCATTCGCCAGAGGTTCGTCCACCCTATTGCAATCTCGTCAGTGCAACGTCCCTATCGCCAACCGGAATCCACCAGACTCTCCACCCCATCGGTTTCACTTGACCTACCTGCGAGAAATGGGCCGGGGAACCGGCGCAGGGGGGAAAAGAGATAGGTCGTCAAATACCACACGGGCAGGGCTGCTAGAGACGCCCAGAGGAGTAGAGAAGCCCCATCTCGGACTTGAATGGGCCACTCTATGGCGATGAACGAATCCATTGAAGTCATGGTACGACAGTAGATGTCAGGGCACTTCTTCAGATTCGACTGTCTTTCCAGATGAACCCAGACGAAATACCGACCACCATGTCATCATAAATAGACGGCCATACCCCGATGACCCCCCTTCTCCCTCACCGCGACATCCACTCGACGAATCACCGGGACTGTGGTCTCTCCGATGGGAGTGGTCCATTGTCGCGGCACAATGTCTTGGTTTGCCCAATGTTTTTGTGGTCCTTGGCGGGTGCAACCACAGCGGTGCCAAAGTACAGTCGTGGTGCTATTCGTCTATCCACTAGGCCACTAAACTGGGCCCCTGTCGCGAATCCAATGAAGCCCGGTAATTCTGTGGCGGGAAATACCATAGCGCCGACCGGAAGTGTGTGCAATCCTTCCCCTCCGCCGGGTGTGGGTCTACGTCCTGCCGTTGACAGTTGACAGTTGACCTGTCGAGTGCACGGCCATGATACCGTTGGATCCGGTCCACTACGCTCTATGCTGGTCTCCGCGGGCGGGGAAGTCCTAGCAACATGACAACAACACGTCCCAAAGTCCGATGCTCCGTACGAGCGCCACTCCCAGGGTATGGTGGGTCCATCCAGCCGCCAAAGTCCGACCCAACGGAGTGTCACTTGACACCTACCTCCCTGTATCCCTCCGATGCCGTAGTCGACGAGGTTATACAAAGTCCGAAAGGGGGCGATGAGGGACGGACCGCTAGCTAGGGCCTTTCCCTTTAATCAGGGTCATCCTGGCTCGTACCTGGACATATTTGATTTCTGACAGCTCACAGGAACCAGGGAGTCCCTTCAATTACATATGGGGGGTGTGGGAAGGCATTACCACCATGATCTCGCTATTTCTATTCCGTATCGCCGTCGCGGATGGTTCTGGTGCACAAGATTTCTTACTGCAGCACCGTCCCTTCGCAATCTTGTCTTAAAATGTTGGAGGGAAAAGGAGTCCGGGCCGTGACGGTGATGTGGGTGATGGCCTTCCTCTCGTTTGTTATGGTTCCACTTCGGCTGTATACCAGGATCTACGTGAATAGGGCCGTTGGCCTGGACGATCATGTCTTCACGCTGGCATGGGTATGTCTTCCACTGCTAAAATTCGTCTCCTCGAGCGAGAGCTGACCACGCTCTAGGTCTTCCTCTTTCTATACACCATCTTTGTCACTATTGCGGGTCATCACGGCTTCGGTCAGCCCCTGGACTCCCTGCCGGTGGACGAAGCGGTCAATGCTGTCTACAACGAGATAGTTGGACAGACGTTTGCTGTGCTGGGCATGGCCATTGCCAAAATCTCATTGGGCATCTTTCTTCTGCGCATTGTCGTCAAGAAGTGGCACCGCATCTCCATCTGGATCTCCATGGTCAGTCTGGCCCTCGTCTCCGTCATGACGGCCATTCTTCTCTGGGCGCAGAAGAGCCCGATTAGGGCCACCTACGACCCTCGCGTCCAGGGTCGCCTCGTCGTCGCCATCACGCCCTTCTCCATCCTGCTTGGAAGTGAGTCTGTCTCGATTGGATCCCGGTCGGGGAATAGTGCGACGCTGACATGTCCTGCAGGTTGGTGTGCAGCGGTGGATTTCTATTTCGCCCTGCTTCCGTGGATCTTTATTTGGCAACTGAACATGAGGTTCGCGGAAAAGATTTCCATCGCCTGTAGCTTGAGTTTGGGGTTCATGTATGTTTTTCCTGTTTCTCCCCCAATCTCTCTGTTTTACCTTCTTTCTTTCTTTCTTTCCCTATATTCACAGGTTTTGCCTCTTTTCTCCCAGATACCCAGATACCCAGATACTAACAGTCCCAGTGCCTGCGTCTGCGGCATTATCAGAACCATCGACCTGAGCGGCCTCGGCAGCGCCAATTACACCGGTAAGACACCCAAAGGGAACCAACCGATCATGAAAACCCATCTAACGGAGAAGTCATCCAGAGGACACAGTGGGTCTTATCATCTGGTCTGCCGTCGAACTGGCAGTCACCTTGATCTGTGTTGGAGTGCCGACTATCCGTCCTTTGTATCGTGCCATCGTCCACGGGTCGCGTCCGGAGAGTTCCGACCGACGGTATGTCAAACACAGCGAGTCAGACCATTCGGCGCGCTTTCGCATGCGTGCCATCATTCCCGATGCGTCGCTTTTCACTACCGTGCGCGATGGGACGACGGAGTCCTACATCGCCCCGGACGATCGCAGCGGCAACCAGATCCTCCCTGGCCACGATCCCTGTCCTAGCGATGGCATCCGTGTGCGCGAGGAGGTGCGCGTCGAGCGGGTGTAGACTCTTCACCCCCTTGTCGTGTTTGCTGTTATTCGTTTGTTGCTGGTTATTTCACACTGGTCCGAGGGCTTGGGTTGGCGCGGCACTGTCGGCCCACTTCCATTGTGTTATATATCCCCTTGTGCGACTATATAGAAATTATTTCAGGGATGTCTCGATCTCTTGTTGATGACATGTGTTGTAACAGGGTTTTCCCTCGATTGGCACCAGGGTCCGTCATCTGGGGTTGGGGACCATCATTTCCCTTCCGGGTGTTGGTGAAGCCTGTGATGCGGTCCGAGCGGTCCGATCCGCAGCAAAGACAACAATGTCCGCCTGGGGTAGACGTGAATACGCATGGGAAATCAAACAGGTCACTGCAAGACCGGGGAATAAAATATGAGATAATGTAGATAAAACTTCCCACGGACGATCAATGTCTGAGACAAATAATCAGGGGCGGAGGTTTTCTAACAAGGTCTCCGACTGACGAACAATCATGGCGTCAAGATCAGCCTCGATCCCCACACGAGTCACTCCAAGTCCTGGGGATGCATCGGACCGATGCCCGTTCACGCCTCATATAGATAACGCGTCACCGGCAAGAAAATGAGCCAGAAATCGACCGCCATCCTGTGAATCCTTCCCTGCACATAATACCGACCATGACTTCATACTCCGACGTCCCCTTCGCCGATCCGGTGTGGCTCACCCGCCAGTACAGCCCCTATTATAACGACTCCCATCGTCGGCTCCAGCGCGAGGCTCGCGCGTACGTCGATACTCATATCCTGCCCTTCTGCGACGAGTGGGAGAAGCAAGGAGAAGTCCCAGCCGAGGTACGTCTCCCCTGCCCTATACACGAAGTCCTTCCCCGTCTGATGCATGCCCTCTCGGTCGCAATAGGTCCATCGACGCCATGCCGAGCTGGGATACACGGCCGTCGCATCTTTTCCCCTCGCCGCCGACTATCTTCAAGGCCAGCGACTCCCCGGCGATATCGACCCGCGCAAATGGGACGGCTTCCACGATCTGATCGTCATCGACGAGCTAGCTCGCTGCGGTTACCTGGGCATCGTCTGGGCGCTGGGATGTGGGAACTCCATCGGCGGGCCGCCCGTGATCAACTTTGGGAATGCGGAGCAGAAGCGTCGCTTCTTGCCGGATATGCTGCGCGGGAACCACCGGTTCTGCTTGGGCGTCACGGAGCCGGACGGTGAGTGCCCTGTGTCGTCAGGGAAGGGGAATATGTGCTGATCGGGAACAGCTGGCTCCGATGTTGCGGGGATTACGACCACGGCGACGCGAAAGGGCGACGTGTATGTGGTGAACGGCGCGAAGAAGTGGATCACGAACGGCATCTTTGCGGATTACTGCACCGCTGCGGTCCGGACGGGTGGCAAGGGCGTCCAGGGCGTATCGGCTCTGGTCATCCCGCTCAAGTCCAAGGGGGTGATGCGTCGCAAGATTGACAACTCCGGGGTCCATGCTAGCGGTATGCCTCATGACGTTCTCGAAGAGGACAATGGCTAATGCGGACGCGGGTAGGGTCGACGTACATCGAGTTTGATGACGTGGAAGTCCCTGTCGCCAACCTACTGGGTCAGGAGAACAAGGGTTTCCCGATTATTATGAGTAGTAAGTTCCTTGTCAGCCACAATATGAATAGACACTCACCTCTGCAGACTTCAACCACGAGCGCATGTGGCTGGCCTGCACCTCACTCCGCATGGCCCGTGTCTGCTTGGAGGACGCATACATCCACGCCATCACTCGGGAGACGTTCGGGAAGAAGCTCATCGAAAACCAAGTCATCCGATCCAAATTCAGCACAATGGCCCGCGGGCTGGACTCGACCTATGCTTGGATGGAGCAGCTGATCTACATGTCCGAGGTGGCTCGCAAGAAGGGCACGGATGCCGGCATGGGCGGTTTGTTCGCCAACCTCAAGATCCAGGCCGGCCGGACGCTGGAGCTGGTCAATCGCGAGGCGCAGCAGGTTTTGGGCGGGCTGGGATACTCGAAGAATGGTCGGGGAGCCCGCATCGAACAGGTCAGCCGCGATGTGCGAGTGATGGTGGTGGGAGGTGGCAGTGAAGAGATCCTGTCGGAGCTCTCGGTCAACCAGGAGATTAGGGTGATGAAGAAGTTGGACCAAAGCAAACTGTAAAGAGACATGCCACATTAGAAATTATACGCAATTTGAAGACTACCACCATGAGACAACCACGTCGTGACATTTGCACCCAGACGTAGCCCTATAAGGACTATCCCGCCAGTAATAGACATGTGAAGAAACTACCCCTATAACTCGGGCCGAATATTCACCAGAGTAGACAGAAGGTACAGAAGAACTGTCGATGCTAAACCAATAATATGTTAAATTAAACATTCTACCTCTAAATTAATCAACAGAGCACAGAATCTTCCCCTCCTCGACCGCATCGCCCTCCCTCCATGTCGTCTGGAATGTCCCATCTGCACTCACCGTGATGGCCACCTCCATCTTCATACTCTCAATCACCATCACATTCTCTCCCGACTTCACTGGCTCCCCGACCTTCTTCAAGATTGATAGGACCTTGCAAGGCATCGGCGCCGCCACCGTCCTCAGCTGCGATCCGTCCTGCGCGGCAGCCACTGACCGAATGCTCTCCACCCACGACAACACGCTGTCCCGTCGGAATTCCATGTGCGTGCCAACTGCTGGGAAATGACAGAAGATGCTCTGCGTCGTATCCAGACGGAGTCCGAGCCCGTCGGGCCGGACAGATGGGATGGCGATATGCGCGTGCTGCTTCGACCCGTTGATCGACATCTCGACGCTGGCTGTCATCCACGGGTGTGGGCTCCTGTCGTCCGCGGTCCACGAATTAACATGCACCCGGTAGGGCGTCGTGGACGTGGCGGCCCCCGTTCGTAGGGTTTCACTAATGGCGTTGTACCGCGCTGAGACTTCGCCTGCAGCCGATCGCTCCTTCTCTGTAGACTGACTGCCCGTCGGAGCGAGGAAGGAGTATATCTCATCTCCCCCAGCCGGATCTCTGGTTGGTTGGGCCTTCCACAGCCAAACCAGAGATTGTGGAGAGGTTTCCCCTTCAGGGAGTCGATACGGCCACTCTACGGCGCTCACAACGTCACAGTGCTTGTTTACGGAGTCATGGTGCTGATTTCGGAACTGACGTCGGACATTCTGAAATGGCCGCTGGCGAGCACGGAGCGCATTCGACGTAGCGAGATGGCGGAATACCACGCTAGGCAGCGCAGAGAGGATCTTCAAGTCTGGTCCCCCAATGGTCGGTGCCTGCAGCAGTTCGTCCTGGTATCTCGGCAGGAACGACGTCGTGTACCCGGGATTGTGGAAGGCCGGGTGTAGGAGGGACCGCTGTAGGAGAAGTTGGTTCGTCTTCACGCCCACGCAGGCCGTCTGGGCCAGCACGCGGGTCATCTTCTCAATCGCCATCGCCCGCGTCGGGGCCCAGACCACGATCTTGGCAATCATCGAGTCGAAGTAGATAGACACGGAGGATCCCGTCCCGACGGCGGTCTCGTAACGAATGTCGCGACCCGGGCCCAGCATCCCCGATGCCGGCTGCCACAGGTAGATCTGGCCGTGCTCGGGGAAGTAATCCCGCTGGGGATCCTCTGCGCAGAGGCGACATTCGATAGCATGGCCCCGTTGGGTGACGGTCTGGATGGCCGGCAGCGCAGCCAAGCGGCCCCCGGCGGCCACGTACAGCTGCAGCGCCACCAGGTCCACCCCGGTGACTTCCTCTGTGATCGGGTGCTCGACCTGCAAACGGGCGTTGACTTCCAAAAAGTAGAACTTGCCCGTTTGCACGTCAAAGATGAACTCCACAGTGCCGGCGTTTGCATAGCCAATCTTCTTGGCAATCGTGACGGCCACCGCGGACATCTTCCGCCGGGTGTCATCGTCCAGGAAGGGACACGGAGTCTCCTCAATTACCTTTTGGTGTCGTCGCTGCACGGAACAATCGCGGTCAAAAAACGAGACCACCTCCCCATGGGAGTCTCCCAAAATCTGGATCTCGACGTGTTTGCTGCTCTCAATATACTTCTCTAGGATGCAGTCGGCGGAACCAAACGACCGCTGTGCCTCTGACTGCGCTCGCTGTAGCTCTGCTCGCAATTGATGCGCCTCTCGGATGATGCGCATCCCCTTTCCACCACCTCCCGCCGACGCCTTCAACATCACAGGCAACCCGATCTCCGTTGCGGCCTTCTCCAGGTCGCCCACCTCCTGGCTGGATCCCGCAAATCCTGGAATCAGGGGCACTTCGGGCGCATGGGCGCTCAAGTAGTCCTTGGCCGCGCGTTTGTCGCCCAGCGTCGACATGGCGCTGGGGCTAGGCCCAACAAAGATCAGACCCGCCTCGTGCACGCGTTGCGCGAAGTCGGCGTTCTCGCTGAGGAACCCGTACCCCGGGTGGACGGCGTGGGCGCCTGCGGCCACGGCCGTCTTGACCAGCAGTTCAACATCCAGGAAGGGGTTCCGACTACTGCGGTCGATGCTGCCGAGGTTGATGGATTCGTCTGCCTCCTGCACGTGGCGGGAAAGAGCATCTCTGCGCGATTCTATCAGTACACGTAAGGAAGTTAAGGCAATGGCCCAGGGGAAACTCACTCGTCCACGTAGATGGCTACCGACGTGATGTGCAGTTTGCGGCACGTCTGGATAATGCGACAGGCGATTTCGCCTCGGTTCGCGATCAACAATTTTTGAATGACTGGTCGACCGTCGCGGTTCAATGGCGGGGGTGCGACGAACAGCGGGGTCCGCACGGTGGAGGCATCTGGTACTTGCATGCCCGGCATTTTGATGTTGGTGTTGGAGATCTGTCTCCCTGTGGCGGATTCGGGTGTGAGCTCAGACGGCGCGTAAATAAGCCCAGTACTGGTCGGGTTACCTCATCTGTGAGGCCCGGACTAAGTAATGCGTCGTCACGATTGAATCCGTTCGCGCCCGCCCCGCATCGGACCGTAGTCCGGCAATCGGTCCGCTAGGTGGAGCTGCGGACATCCCCCATGGGGTTGTGAGACTATCCGACTTACGGATCTAGAAGACGGTAAATCCTATCCGACGAGCGCAAATGATCTAGTGTATGTTTATGATGAAGTCATACATATCGCCCGATTAGGATTGGCCGGGATCACTCTGAATCGGTGGTATCATGGCCATGTACCGCATACGAGTACGCTAAAAGACAAGTACAGTCATCAAAATTGTCTATATTGGCAAAATGAAGTTTACTCTCAGCTTTGAATTATTAAGAAAGTCCCCGTAGTATCACACAGTCCCTCTACATCCTGGCCAGCAGATTATGCGTTGACGTCCCACTGACGCCAGGCAACCCGACCACCTCCAAACACAGTCCCAACACATCCCGCGTATCCCTCGGGTCGATGACCCCATCGTCGATCAGCATTGAGCTTGTCGAGTAGCACTCCCCATCCCGCTGGGCACTGTCTCGGAAAGACTGCACCCGTTTGCCCAGCTTCTCCGGCGACAGCACCTCACCCTTGGACTTGGCGCTCGATCGCTGCACCGTCTCCATCACTCCAGAGAGCTGGTCAGGGCCCATCACGCTGCACCGGCCGGTTGGCCAGGTGAAGATAAAACGGGGTTTGTAGGACCGTCCGCACATGGCGTAGTTTCCGGCGCCGTACGACGCCCCGAGAATGATGGAGATGTGAGGGACGGTGGAACAGCTGACGGCGGAGACCAACTGCGCTCCCATCTTGATGATGCCGGCGTGTTCGGCTTTGGCGCCGACCATGAACCCGGTGACGTTGTGGAGGAAGACGATCGGGGTGTTTCTGGGATGATCCTTAAGTAACAGTAGGTAGGCTCATAGGGGAGGACGGACTTACTGCTGGTTGCACATCCGGATAAACTGGGCCGTCTTGACCGCTTCGTTAGGGTTTATGACGGAGAGTTGATTTGCGACAATGCCCACGGGGAAGCCTAGTCTCATGTTAGTCATGAAACCGGATTTCTTGGGGAGAGGCATCTTACCCAGGATATGCGCCCATGCAGTGATCATGTTAGTGCCGTATTTTGGTTTAAACACGGACAGGCGAGAGTCATCCACAATCCGCAGGAGGACCTCGTGCATGTCAAATGGCTTGCGGATGTCCGGGTTCACCAGCGACAGCAGGTCCTCCACCGGGTAGCGAGGCTCCACGGCGTGGATTGGCGTCGGGACCGACACTTTTCGTACGTGAAGGGATGCCACCCACTCGCGGGCTTTGCGAATTGCATCGAATCTTCGCCCATTAGCCTCTATCACTGCGAACGGCGCGAAACGAAGCACAAAATCGTCGATCAAGAAAGGTACGTACTCATCACTGGCAATCTGGTCCGCCAGACCGGTTGTTGTCGCATGGACCTTCGCACCGCCCAGTTCCTCCGCCCCGATCACCTCCCCCGTGGCCATTTTGACCAGCGGGGGCCCTCCGAGGAAGGCCTGGGCCTGGTTCTCCACAAAGATGGTGTAATCCGACAGCGCGGGGTGGTATGCCCCACCGGCCGTCGATGATCCAAAGACGATGGCGCACGATGGCTTGCCGTGTGCTGTCCGGACGGCGAGATCGCGGAACAGCATGCCTCCCTTGTGGAAGACTCTGAACTGTTGGGGTAGGAACACCCCGGCCTAGATGGGATATTAGCATACCTATCATCCCCCGGAAGTCGGCCAGCAAAACTATACCGATTGGACCAGAGAGACCAAAGGCAGGTCATTTTCGAAAGCCACCTCCATCATACGGTTGACTTTCAACACCGTCATTTCGTTCCAAGCCCCACCACTTTGAGTGGGAATATGGGACATGAGAAGACATGGTCGACCACTAAGCAAACATCAGTCTCAATAATCCACAGAAATAATTGACTACTGGCATACCTGACTGCCCCGATGCCAGCAATTAGATTGCCACACGCGTTCGAGTCGGGGTTTTTGTATCCCGCGAACGCGCACAGTTCGAGGAACGGTGAGTCGGGATCCAAGAGCAGCGAAATACGATCCCTGGCTATACACAGTGTTACCACTTTGGTCGCGCGACCGGCTAAAAAGTTTCATACCTAAGAGCTGGCCTCTCGACTGGTGTCTCCGCATAGAGTGGTCGGTGCCCTCCTCGGCGACCTCCCCCAAAGCTGCTTCGAACCGCTCCAGCACCGGCGCCCATGCGGTTTCATTCTGGCGGAATTGCTGTCCGCGCAGATCAAGCTTGGAACTGGAGACGGGAAATAAAGACTCGCTGGCCATGTTGTGTGTTGGTTGCTAATCGACGGTCAACGAGGATAGTTAATACGGTGTTTCCCCAACGTCACCAACGGAGGTTGTTATGCATCCGCATGTCGGACCGACCCCGGAAACCCCATGGACCCCACCCTGCACCAGCCAGCGTCGGGCGGATAAATGGTGCAGGGCGTCTGGTCGATCTATGAGAGTCGCAGCACGACATACTATAGCTTTTCTTTTTCCAATTCTGTCCTACTATTGGGTTCTCGTTTGTCTCCCGTTGACCGATTCTGCCTGGTGCATTGTTTTTATCCTACCAACCTTTTTCTCCCCCCTCAAACATGGCCTCGGAATCGTCCTTAATTCATGGCCCTCAGCAGCCTGCGCTGTGGGATACGAGTCTAGGACGCCTGATTGACGACCAAGGGGCGCGCTTCAGCGACCGACCAGCTGTCATTGTGCCATGGCAAAATGCCCGCTTCTCATATCGTCAACTGTGCGATCAAAGTAAAGTAGTTGCTACAGCACTCTTGCGAATCGGCCTTCGCCATGGTGATTGCGTTGGTGTGATGGGAGGCAATCGCCATGAATATGTCGAGGCGTTCCTTGGTGCGGCGCGTATTGGATGTCCTGTTGTGGTGTTGAACAACACGTACACGCCCAAGGAGCTGGGCAATGCCGTCGGTCAATCTTGTTCGTATACCTCTCCGACAGGCCAGAAATGCTCGTTCTAATTAGAGATAGCATGCAAACTGGTGTTTATCGCCACGCACATTGGCACCCGCAGTTTAGGCGACCATATCGCCCTGCTCCGGGGCAAAGAACAACTCAATCCGATACTCCCAGACCTTCAACGTGTGGTGTGTTTTGGGTCTCAGCAAGTTGGCGGTGTGGGTGTAAATATCGAGGATTACAACACATTATTATCTCGTGGTACTCCTAGAGATGACAGCGTGCTAGAACATGCACAGAATGCTGTGGGCCCAGAAGACGTCCTGAATCTGCAGTTCACCTCAGGTAAGGGTCCCTCACTGATAATCCGCGACAAATAGCTAACACTCGCTGGTCAATAGGAACTACGGGATCCCCCAAGGCGGCCATGCTCACCCATAAGTGTGTCTAACCCTACACCCCCCCCCCAACCAGGAATGAGACTGACACCGACTCAGTAACATTGTCAACAATGCGCGATTTGTCGGACGCGCCATGCACTTGACGCCCGATGATATCATCTGCTGTCCCCCGCCTCTCTTCCACTGCTTCGGCCTCGTCATGGGCTTCCTGGCATCCTTCTGCCACGGCAGTGCCATCGTGTTCGCATCTGACAGTTTCCATGCTCCTAGCGTGGTCGATACCGTGGTTGACTTCGATGCCACGGTTCTCCTCGGTGTGCCGACCATGTTCGTCGCCGAGCTGGAAGTCATGGCCAAAACCGGGCAAAAGCCGCGCCGTCTGCGCACGGGACTGGCCAGCGGGTCGTCTGTCTCGCAGGCTCTCATGAACGAGCTGCGCGCGAAGATGGGCGTCGACAAGATGTTAATCGCCTACGGCATGACGGAGACCAGCCCGGTGACGTTCATCTCGGACATGGAGGATTCGGACGAGAAGCGAACCACCACCGTCGGACGTCCCATGCCGCACACGGCGGCCAAGGTCATTGATCGAAAGGGAGAGACACTGCCCCGAGGTCATCGCGGCGAGTTGTGTACCAGCGGGTATGCCTTGCAGAAAGGGTACTGGAAGAATCCGGCCAAGACGGAAGAGGTGATGAAGAGGGATGCGGATGGACGTTTATGGATGTACACCGGGGATGAGGCCATGATTGACGATGAAGGATTCGCGCTCATCACGGGCCGGATCAAGGATATCATCATCCGAGGTAAGATTTTGCTCCTCTCTTCCCCTTGAACTCCCTACACGAATTAACCTAATACAGGCGGTGAAAATATATTCCCCCGAGAAATCGAGGAGCGCCTGGTGGCTCATACCGCCATCACTGAGGCCAGCGTGGTAGGTATTCGCAACAGCCGATATGGCGAGGTCGTCGGCTGTTTCCTCCGCGCCATCCCAGGACAGCCCCGACTAACCACTCCGGAGGTGCAACAGTGGGTTCGCGACATGCTCGGTCGCCACAAGACTCCTCAACATGTGTTTTGGCTCGGCGACCCGCTGGTGGGGGAAGATTTTCCCAAGACAGGGAGTGGGAAGCATCAGAAACACTTGCTTCGCGATATTGGGAACCGCATTGTCCGTAGTGAGCAGGGTGCCAAGCTGTAGTCGCCTCTTTGGTGTATACTTCAATTAGATACTCAATTAGACAAATCAAACTCTATACCTTATTTTAAAATCATCGCTACCATTTCCATACTATTCAAATATCCCCACCTCGCCCATTGACAGGATGCACATGCTTGGATGTCACAAGTACATTCGTCGGTCCGGCTGTCGGACGCCTAACCCATGACGGAATAGATCGACAGTGGATTCAATCCTCACGATCACCACGGGAATAAGACGGCGGTCCGTTTCCCCGCAACAGTTCCCCTTCATCGGTTAACGGAGAGGCGCGCGGATGACATACAAGAGAACTGGATACCATGCCGCCCAGACCCTTCCAGTCCCCACATCCTCAGTCCCTTCCATGATGCATCCGCCTTCGCCCGTCCGAATCGTTGAGGTTGGTCCTCGCGATGGGCTCCAAAATATTCGTCAGCCAATTCCGACCGCTGCTAAGCTGGAGTTGATCCGTCGATTGCGAGAGACTGGGCTGCAGACGATCGAATTGACGTCGGTGGTGTCTCCCCGGGTCATTCCCCAGCTTGCAGACTGTCGCCAGGTGCTTCAGAATGCCGCCGTCCGACAACTCCTGGACGATCGAGGCCTGCGCCTTCCGGTTCTTGTCCCTAATGTGAAAGGACTCGAGATTGCCCAGCAGCATGGGGTGCGGGAAATCGCGGTCTTCGTCAGTGCCACCGAAGGCTTCAGTAAAGCGAATATTAACTGTTCGGTGAACGTTGGAATTGACCGTGCCAAGCAAGTGGCATCCATGGCTCGTGCGAGCGGCATCGAGGTTCGGGGGTATGGCCATTAGACCCTTTCTACTGTATTCTTGTTTGCTTTCCAAAATTTACCTTGCAGTAGTGTGCCGATGGACTGACTCTCTAGATACGTTTCGTGTATATTCGCCGATCCCTACGACGGTCCGACCTCCCCCTCCTCCGTTCTTCACGCGGTCAAGGCACTGCTCGATATGGGTTGCTACGAAGTTAGTCTGGGTGATACCTTAGGTGTTGGTGTTCCAGAGAATGTGCGCACTCTTCTGGAATATCTTGTGAGCCATGGGGTGCCTCTAGACAAGCTGGCCGGTCACTTCCACGACACCTATGGAGGTGCTGTCGCCAACGTCTGGGCTGCCTACCAGTTGGGCTTGCGCGTATTCGACAGCAGCGTTGGTGGCCTCGGAGGCTGCCCGTTCGCCCCTGGGGCCAAAGGCAACGTGGCGACGGAAGACCTGGTCTACATGTTCCAGCAATCCGGGGTCGACACCGGGGTAGACCTCACAAAGCTGGCAGAGACGGGCGCGTGGATCTCCAAAGTGTTGTCGAAGGACAATTCCAGCCGTGCCGGGGCTGCTTTGACAGCCAAACACAGCCTGGCCACCAAGAAACAACCCAAACAGACTCGGGACCGCTCCACGTTGCCATGGGCCCTGGTTCGCGAAACTGAGGGTCTACTCCTCCACCGCTCTGGGGTCAATCTCAAGATCATCCTGAATCGCCCTCGCAACGGCAACGCCCTCACCGAGTCTATGATATCAGATCTCACCACGGAGATCTCGGCGGCCGGTCGCGACCCCACCATCTCGCGTATCATCATTTGCGCCCGGGGGAAGTTCTTCTGTACGGGCATGGACCTGGCCAAGGGCAGCACGCCGGTGGCTCAAGGCTCCTCGGCGCGCGACGCACAGTTCGAACGACTGACGACCCTCTTCGAAACCATCGATCAATGTCCCAAGGTGACTATCGCCTGTATCAATGGACCTACCTTCGGCGGCGGCGCGGGTCTGGCGTTCGCCTGCGATATCCGGCTGGCCGCTCAACCAGCCACCATCACGCTGAGCGAGGTCAAATTGGGTCTCTGCGCGGCCACAATCTCCAAGTACATCATTCGCGAATGGGGGGTCGCGTTCGCCCGTCAGGCCATGCTCTCCGCCCGTCCGGTACCCGTCACGGAGTTGAAGGCCATGGGTGTAATCGCCGACGTCGCAGAGAGTCCTGAGAAGCTCGAGGTTCGCTTGGAGCAGTGGCTCGGGCGGCTCAAGATGGCGTCCCCTGACGCCTCTCGAATGTCCAAGGAACTCGTGCAGCTGGGCTGGGCACACGCGGGCACCGACGAACAAGCACAGGGCATCAAAGCCTTGTTCGATGCCATGATGCGACCCGAAGCAGACGGTTCGCATGGGGTGAAAGAATTCCAGGCAAAACGCCCGGTAGACTGGGATGCGTATGCGTTACAGCGGTCGCAAGCCAAGGCGAAATTATAACTTCCCCCTCCGAGTGATGATGAGGGGAGAATCTCCCAGCCGAGGGAAAGAGTCCAGGGACCGACTCCACTTGGCGCGTTGACGGGCGAATCCACGTGGATTAATTTGACTTCGGTGCTCCACTTCTGGCAATAGTTAACCGTCACAAGCCATACAAAGTAGATGATAACCCAGTTAGACTCAGACCTGAATAATAAGACTGCCCAGGTTGAGCTAGCCTTCTTCCCCCACAGAATCCATTCAATGTTTTTCGTTGGGTCCAGTCTCTCTCCCCGCTTCTCCTCATTTTGCGCTGCTGTCTCTTTTCCTGTCCTTCGTCCTCCTCCGCTTCTTTTTTCGTTCGTCCCTTTACCATCGCTTCCCCATATTGAGTCCCAATTAGAGGTCGTTAGCAATAATCAATCCATGGCCCACCGTTACGTCGACCCCTCCTAAAAGTCCGAGAGGCTTCATCCCCGACCGCTCGTCATGAATCCGGATTCATTCCACCACGGCATCACCAAGCGCATCCGACAGGCCTGTGCCAGTTGCCGGTATGTCTGGGTGCCCGATATCGGTGTTATTTGTGCTGATCGTCGTTCTTCTCTTTATTTTCCTTTTGTGTCAATAGTCGCAGGAAAACCAAATGCTCCGGGGAAAAACCAGTATGCTTCCACTGTCGCCGCAACCGCAAGCGCTGCGTTTACGAGCCCTATTCGGCAACCGTCACGACCACCGACTATAACCCCCCTCCGCCGCCCATGTCCACCATATCTGATGATGTTGGTCTTCTCCAACTCCCGTATCAGTCAGATGCTCACGGTCCGTGCCAGGGCGGTCTCCTGCAGAGAATCTCGATGATCGAGTCTCGTCTGGCGGAGCTGAGTGGCCAACCGGTGCAGCAGCAATGGTTAATCTTCCATCATTCTCCGAACCTCCGATAAGGACTGACCCTCATTGATTCGTCTCTAGGCCCGCATCCTCCCAGACAGACTTCGACGACGCCCATATACTTCCCTCCATGGGGCGGGGCAGTTCGCTGCAAGCTACCCCTCCCCAGTCCACGACGTTCTGCAAGGATCCTTTGTACGTCAACCACCTGTCATGGAGCATGGCGCACGGCCATCGAGATCGGGAACTGATGCTCTATCTATCTTTCAGCTCGTTTCCTCCTCCCCCCGTCATGCGATCGGTCATCGATACCTACTTCATCCACGTGCACAATCAGCCGTACTCGTATTTCCAAGAGTCGTCCTTCCGCGAGAAAATGAAGAACCACGAGTTGCCCCGATGTCTAGTCCTTGCCGTACTCGCCTCCGCCGTCCGATTCTCGTCCCACAATTTCTACGCGGGCAAGATCCACGAGGCCGTCGACACGTATGCGCGAGAGTCGTGGCTCTTAGTGCTGACGGACCATTTGACGGTGGAGAACAACCTGGATATCGCGGTGGTACAGACGGTGAACATGCTGGCTGTTATTGACTACACCGGTATGTCTGCGCGCGCCTTCATACTCTTACCCTCGTTCTGACCCCGACGCGCAGCCGGCCGCGCTCGCTCCGGTTGGCTCAAGATAGGAATTGCCGCTCGCATCTCCCAGGACCTGCGCCTCATGACCGAACCCGATCATCCATCGATATCCGTCACCGAACAGGAGGAGCGACGACGGACGTTCTGGTCCGCATACTTGGTGGATAAACTCATTTCCGGGTGGCAATCCCGACCGCTGGCGATCCACGACGAAGACTGCCATGTCCAGCTGCCCTGCGACGAGCAAACCTTCCAAGCGGGAATGGGGAAAAAGACCCAGACTCTGTCCCAATTGTCGTGCTGGGACTCGAACTTGGCCGATAGCCCCAGTCCCTTTGCCCTAGTCATCCTCATGGCATCCATCTTTGGGCGGTGCACGCGATATGTCCATCGCCAATGGAGCGCCGATAAGGTTCCTCCCTGGGATACCAAGTCTGAGTTCTCCGCCATCAACTCGTCGCTGTTGCTGCTGGAATCCTACTCGAAGTTGGGAACGACTTCCATCGCCGAAGCCGCCGGCCAGGATGACGATCCAGCCAATCCGCAGAAGATGGGCCACTTCATCTTCGCGCACACCATGTTCCACCTCTGCCACTGTTTACTCAACCACCCATTCATCGTCCACCTGCGACTCAAGCCGTTCGGGTCCAAGATCCCTCATAGCTTTCCGGCGCGCGCCCTACACGCAGGGTATGACCATTCTAGGCAGCTGCTGGACCTGCTACACAATGCAATCGGGTCGGGTTGTCTCATTGAATCGTCGTTCTACCCTTATTGCATCGTTGTCGCGGCGGGAATTCAATCTCTCGCCTGCCATGTGGAGCCCCCAGGGCCAACAGACCCTTCCGCGGCCACTGCCCTGCAATATGTGCATCGAGCGCTGGAGCTTCTGGAAGGAATGGGTCGCCTCTGGGCGCATGCCGCAAACATGGTCTGTCCCGTCTCTTTCCCGTTGGTCCGTGGTGATACTGACTGTTTTAGGCCACCCGCCTCCGCGAATTCCACTCCCAATCGCACCTCCTTTCCTCCCTCCTCGACCCAACCCGCATCACGGCAGACCTTGACCGTGCCTCGGCTGACTCTTTCCGCACACTGATCGACTATGGCGCCGTTGGCGCAGCCCTTAACCCTGGTACACGCGTTTCAGGAGCGGACGTTTCTCCCTCCGCCGCATCATGGAGCCCCAATATCCTAGCCCCGGCGGACGCCTTCGATAGCTCTACCCAGGGTTTCCCTGGTATCTCGCCATCCATGCAGCTGCCTGCGATGGACAATATCTTCAGCTGGGACACGCACGGCTAGGTTTCGGGGCTTGACAGGTTGGTAGACAATTAGTGAGGACACTCGTACCTTACCGTTATCATATCACGGGAACCACCGTGCCCAATTTCGGTCTTATGCAACAGATGATCCACGACAGCTGAGATGATCGAACGGCGTTGAACAACGCCGTGCGATACACCCCTCGCGGTCTCGACTAGTCTACCGTACCGGTGTCCATGATATTAGCTGAGCCTGCACAGCCGCCATCCCTCTCGTCCGTCCGACTCCAATAAAGTATCGGGCCATACTTAGTCGGACGGTGTCTGCCAAGTTCCTAGGTTCCTTTTGGACGCGCGTCAGCATCATCTACGCGTTGTCCGGGTCTTACCCGCACCTAAGACCGACCTGTGCGTTCGGCCAACTGCGTTGTCTGTTTCAGCCTTGCGAGAGACCCTTACTAGGCGATTATGGCACGAAAGACTGGTCGACTGGACTTCGCAGAGGGGATGTCGAAGATGGCGTGGCTGAAGTTGCCGTCTTGTTCGGGTCGGCTGTATGCAAACAGTGCAAACATCTCGTGTCGTGTCGGCCTGAGGCACCTGGGACGGTGCTCCTGGGGAAGGTTCCTCACGGCCATGGGATATGGGTTGGACGATGTTCATATGACTTTCAAGATACCTCCATGTAGTTTATTGTACGACTTGGTGCTTTTTGATGGCTTGTGACTGTAATCTCAGCATGGTTGTTGGGAACAAGACCACACGTCTTCTTGTCTATATATTCTAGCTACGAGTTGACTTAAGTCAAACATTAGAAGGAGCAAGGAACTAAGATAGAAACAGTGCGATATGATAGAGCATTGAATTTATATCAACAGAATATCCATTCCTAAATCTCTAATTACATCTCGCCAATCCACCGCAACCAGCCCTGTGTCCATCCCCCTTTCCGTGCAGAAAGCATCCCGTCTCCGCCACACCTCCTCGATGATCGACTTGACTGCAAGCCGGTTCCCGAGTCCAAAATGCGTCGACTGTTCCAGCCACCGGCGCGATGACTCCATGTCCCTCGTTGTGTAGGCTTCTACCGCCGCGATGAATGCCGGCCACAGAGAGATATTACCACTGCTCAGCGCGGAGAAGGCGGTGATATTATCGAATGTCAGGGATACGTACACTGCGACGCGCTTGGGTGGCACATCCAGGAGAGCTCGATATAGGTAGATGTAGGTTGCGAAGATGAACGCGTTGAGCTGGTATCGTGCCAGTTCCTGAATATTGGATTTAGAGGTCTGTGGATTACACTCGAAAACCTGTTCGATCCCGATGTCCCCGAGGGTGTTATCGAGGGCTTCCGCCTGGAGAAGATTCAAATAGGCGAGCAACTGGGAGACAGTCCGGTCCGCAATTAAGCGCGTTCGGGGGGAGGCGCCGGATCGCATCTGCCGGCTGACGGTCGTGATAGTGGAAATGCATTCGAGAAGGAGTCGCTGGGCGCCGATGGTGAATCCAAACTGTGGGGTTGTCGAGATAAACGAGGAAAGTGCTAGGTCCGAATTTATGGAAGGAGAGACAGTAGGTCCAGCTGTCACAGGCCTAGTTACGATTGTCGAGGTAAATTCAGGACTGGGTGGTAGTATTTGGGTCGTGTTTTGGCCGTCTGTCAAACAGGTAGCCCCGATGATCTTCACAATCAGTAGGCTCTGGGTGGAAAAGCAGGCAAATTCCGATTCGTTCCATGGCTCTTTGCCATTTGATTCAAGGAGAAAGGCCCACGCCCCTTGGAGATGATGCTTCCACTTGCTGGAATTGCCACTGTAGACCTTGGAGAGCTTCAGCTTCACTACGGTACATCACGGGCTGAGTGACTTCTTACCTCGGCCATCATCAGAGTCATAATGGCTGCCAGAGTGCTACCAGAGTCCTTGCCAGTCACTCGGAGGGAGTCATTCACATATTTGATTGCCGCGTTGTAGTTTGATGTGGCCAGCCGCATCATCTTTTGTCTGTCGTTCCCTAAATGGACAAAGTTAAATGCTGCATGGGCTAGAATAGCATGGTATAATGCTTTCTCCCCGGACACCGAGTATTGCAGCGAGACCGCAGGGTAATGTCGTTTCCAGGGATTGCACGGATGCTCAAACGGCATCATGATGGATGCCACATAGTCGACGTAGTGGTGAAAGAGGAGTTTCTCCTCCTGGTTTGCTTGTGGCGTCTTCGTACTATTGCACACCAGGGCCTGGTTCATATTGGACCCTAACGATATCGAGACCGCAGCAGGAAAGACCGAGAAGGGATTATAGTCGATCCCTGAAGGCCAGGGCGCCTCGCTCGTCTCGTCGTCATCCAATCGCGCGATCAATAGATCGACCACATCTGGGTCGAGAGCGGCATAGTTCGCCCAAGTTCGCTCTAATTTTACCAGGCCGTCAATTGGGTCTTCCAAATGACCCAGCAGCTACATACCACAGTGCATATATCTCCGTCCGGCCGATCGGTAGGACTCCTTGCCATTGATCCAGACAAGGCGCGTACTTGAGCTATCACACTCGAAGCCCAGTCGCTTGCATGCTGAGCAAGGGAATCCATTGTCGCACTTCACTTTCCGCCCACGACAACGCCAACAACCCTGCTCTGGAGATTAGGGTAGCCCCATAATAGCCATCCCGGGGCATCTGACTCACCGTAAACTCCCTCTGTCGCTTACGGGTACGCGAGACAGGAGGCTCCATGCTCATCTAAGTGCAAATTATGGATATAAGGCATGCCTTGGCGAGGAGAGATAAAGAAGTTGTGTCTTAGTGGCAACAGCTGCATTAACGTGGTGTCTGAGACTCTTGGCAGTGAGATCCCTCAGCATTAGCCTCTAAATTAGCGCCCGTTAGTATGAGTTGCATCTTGGGACGGGCTGCATCTCGGTATGAGTTGCCTTGCCTTTCTCGCCATCAGGGAACGAATTGGTACAGCCTCCCGATATCAGGAATAAGCCCAATGCCAGTATTTAGTTGTCCTCGGAGAGAGTTCCGGGAGAACCTGCGCAAGATGGAAATTGTGCAGAGATTGCTGATTACACCTCACTGATCGCAAAATCATCGTGGTAATATCGTTCAATCATGGGCCTTCCGATAAAAAATGACACGAATGACAACAATTCGTCGGACCCGGAGAAGCAGGGGATAAGCTGTCTGCAAAGATCGTTGGATCCTTCTCAATGGCGCAGTGTAAGTCAGGAGTATCGACAGGAATCACCCGATGGGACAGTCTAATCGAAGTAAACAGCAAAAAAAGATATTCGTGGTAGCCACTGGCCTACTCATGTTGTTTAACAGCGTATTCGACTCGACTATTCCCAGCGGCGGCATTCGCTTCATCGCGGACGGTCTGCTTGTCCATGACGAAACACAATTGGTATTACCCACGTCTGTCTATCTCCTCGGTTATGTGACCGGACCGCTTGCATTTGGCCCGTTGAGCGAAATCTATGGCCGGCGCATCGTGCTGGTAGGAAGCTACGTCCTGTTTACCATCTTCACGTTAGCATGCGCCATTTCCCCCAACTGGCCCGCGTTAATCATCTTTCGCACACTATGTGGCATCTGCGCATCGAGCCCAATTGCAGTAACAGGGGGCCTTTTTGCCGACGTGTATCGCTCCCCTCTAGCTCGTGGGCGGACAATGGCGCTGGCAATGGCTGTGACGACCGCAGGGCCGCAATTTGCTCCGTTGGTAGCCGGATTTATCGGTCCGGTCGGATGGAGGTGGATTTTCTGGATATCACTGATCATTGCCGGTGTCACTCTTATCCCTGTTTGGTTCCTTCCAGAGACTTTTCAACCAGTGCTTGAGCAGAAGAGAGAGAAACGGGCAAATGACGTGGTCACCAAGGCACTGACACGGCCACTCTACATGCTCTTCTGCGAGCCGATCATTTCTTTGACCTGTCTCTACCTCTCCTATGCCAGTGCAATCTTCTGTGAGTGTCCATATTCCTGAGAAAGCAATAGCACTAACGATCAAAGTCATGTACTTCGAGGCGTATCCCTTGGTATTTCAAGGTGTATATGGCATGATTGATGGAATTGCTGGCTTAGCATTTATTCCGAGTAAGAATAATCGGCCTCGGCCATCAACATTGTCTGTCGCGCTAATATATTGTCTAGTCTCCGTCGGGGCTTGCATCGGGTTGGCCATTTTCTTGTGGTATGACTCTTTCCTCCAGAGCGCAAAAGCGCGGAAGGCTCGTTGGTCCACAATCGAGGAATACCAACGACTACCTCTGGCGTGTCTCGGGGGGCCGTTGTATGTGCTATCCTTATTCTGGCTAGGCTGGACTGCCTCCGTAGATATCCACTGGATTGTGCCTATGCTGGCGGGCATACCGTTTGGGATGGCATTTTTCCTCATCTTTGTCGCTCTCATCAATTATCTGGTTGACGCTTATCACGAATATGCCGCCAGTGCCATGGCAGCAGCTAGCTGTTGTCGCAGTGTTTTTGGGGCAGTACTGCCACTTGCGTCCACTCCCATGTTTCGTCACCTTGGAATCGCTTGGGGTTGTAGTCTTCTAGGGTTCCTGAGCCTACTGATGACTTTGATCCCATTTGTCTTCATCCGGTACGGGGGCTGGATCCGAGCAAGAAGCAGATTTCAATAGGTACTAGGGGGTTAAGGCAATGAATTCTGTGGATGCTGTTTTGTTAGTGAGTACGGGCAACGTGTTCTACTTGTTATACTCCGTTGCTTCATCCCGGTACTGTGGGGAGCGCGCGCGAATCGTGGCCTGACTTATTGTAAATGTGCCTATTAGAATGGCATCTAGAAGGTTATAGCTATACTTGAATTAAATTGGACCTGACGAAATGAGCAATTGATGCCAAGTCCCTCTTGCCACTCGGTATTGCATGCCCACCCGAATGATAGACAACCAACGGAGCTGTTCCATCCTCCTCTCCCTGGCAGCTGTCTACTAGCTTCATTGACGCGTGTTCCTCTACTACCGTATCCAATGAGCCAAGGATATGTAGGGATGGTGTACGGATCCGCGGGTTGTAAAACGCATGATACTCCCGACATGGCGCGGCATATCCCGAGATACTTATAACGAACTTGAGCGAGGAATGGCCCAGTGACGCAAACGCTGCAGGATATGCAATTCCGCCGTCCGTTTCCAAGCCTGAAAAAGCTTCCTTACGATTTCCCTCAAGAAGGGACGCAACCATTGCTGCAATTGCAGCTCCCTGGCTGAAACCTATGACTCCGTCAAAAGGCCCTTCGTCTTTCAGCACCGAAGCGAGTGTCTCTAGTCCCGTTTCCAGTCCGGGATAAACGCCATCAATGTGCTCAGATTGCCACCAAGCCCACTGTCCATGCTGATCTCGGAGTTTTGAAGGTGGTCCTGAGAGTTCCAGCGCAAAAGGGGCTGTTGGATAATGAAATTTCACGCTCCCTGGTTGTTGGGGAGCAAGGGCTTGCCGAATGAGCTTCTCCATAGCCTGGGATTTGGCACGCAGGAGTTCTCCCGACTGCCGGGATCCTACACCCGTTAGCGCAGGTTTCAGTGTGTCAGTCGGGAAAACACACCGTGGATCATTAACAGCTTCATCATCGGACTTCGTATCGGGCTTTTACGTATAATTTATGGCTGGATCCGAGGCCCAGTGGCCGCTGCTGGATCACCGAGAATATAAAGGACGATCTGAAAGCGCTGAACGCCGGTGTAGGAACCATAACGCAACTAACATGTTATATTGCAGGAAGAGCAGTTAAGCACTTTGGAAATAATCAAACTCAATAGTGGGGAGCACATAGCCTCGCTAAATAACTTTGGCAACTGTTGCCGATGCACACTAGTAAGTACTTTGCGAATCCTTTACCGGACTATTGCCAGATTTACGCGATACTAGTGCGGACAGTTTAGTCTTAGCAGGACGCTTGCGTCTTGTTGCGAGCTAGTTTTCTCGAGACATAAGGGTGTCCTGTCATCTAGATGACAACTAGCTGGATAGATAAGAACCATAGGCCTGTATTCCTTGTTATTGGCAGGGTCCTTGTGTCTCGGTGCAGGCGTTGCAGCATCAAGCTACAAGCAGGGTTTGAAAGAGCACGTGCCGAGCTCCCTATACCACAGGTCTATATTCAATTCATGCAACGCATCTTCCACCCCATGGAGCATCATTTCTGGGGTCTCTTCCCAATATACCTTTTTCCCCTGAGACATGGACTTGATCAAGTACCTTGATCATACGGGGAATATTACCTGGGCTACGATGACTGACTGAGAACAATGAAAGGCATTAAACTATGTGCATTTATCCCACCCATCTTCTCCAACCCATGTACAATTGAAGGTATTTCCTCAGCAATTCTGGAGACTCAAGTTAGACCCCTCCTCCATGGCCATATTTAGCGAACCCCGCCCCATGCGCCCGATCATCTTCTAGATCGCGATCGCTCACCTCCATGCGGATGTCTGTCTTCATCACAATGCCATCCTCACTTCCAAACCGCCCGGACTCGTCGAGTCGCTGGTGCCGGCCGTTCTTATTCAGCGTGCTTAGCCGGTTCCCGTAGCTCTGTCCGGGTGTCTGCATGTTGCTTCCATAATTATGGGTGGATCCCCACACCCGCCCAAAGAAGTGTTTCATCGCGACAGAGAGCGCCGGCGCAGATCCGCAGAAGATTGCTATCGTTGTCAGATTTGGTCTGGGACTGGTGGGTCGAGAAGGCGGGGATAACTTACCGACGAAGACCTCTACCTCGCACCAGTTCAGCGAGTCCGCCAGCTGGTAGTACTGGTCTTTGGTGGCCGCGAGCCGCTTCACGAAATCATATCGCACGCAGCTGGCTGTTCCTCAATTAGCAAGAACTCCGGTGCCCGGGAAGCAGGTGGAACGCACCAGCGATTGACAGAATACCCAGGCCGAAAACACCGAATAAAGCACCCTTCTTCCGCTGCATGAGGTTAGTATTGGGGTCTTCTCGACTGGCCAGGAAACGGGTGGGGAGCACCGACCGTGGAGAGTTGGATGCCCCACAGCATCGGAATGGGGGTGAGAAAGATGAGAATATCAGAGACGATGTTGAGGGCTCCGTTGGCTTCGTAGAAGATCTGCTGCTGCTCGGAGCTGATGCAATGCCCGGGCTTCTTCCCTGTGGGGTCCCAGAACTTGGACGGCGGGATGCACGACAGCACCGTCACGAATATGCTGGAAACCGTGAGCCCGATGGTGAAGAACATCGAGAAGTATACCGCCCATTTCATCAACTTGCGGTGGTCCAGTCGGAGGTAGAACCAGAGCAGGGACATTTTGACGAATCCCATGCCGATGATATAGAGAAGACGGGTGGCGTAGATGGCCTTGCGCGGGGGGTGTTAGCGGAGGAACCGGCGGATCGGTGGAAGGCGGGGACGGCGTCTTACTTTCATCATGGGTATCATGCCCTCGGGGGGGATATCGTTCACTAGCTCAAAGTCTCAGTTGCCATCCATAGGGGATCGGACGAGGGGGGAGGGGCGCGTACTGTGTCGACCAAGACCATAATATGCACCTACAGAGATCATGTTAGTAACTTTGCATTGCACTCTATCCTCCAAGAGATCGCAACTCACCAACCATCGTCGCGATTGTCAACCCGAAGGTGAGAAGCTGCGATCTTGTTAGTGAGGGACATAGATCAATCAAGACCGGCCACCCGTACCGTTCCAATGATCATTAAAACTGAATGTCGTTAGCAGGGCCAGTCTACCAGCGTCGTCATCGGTACCTACCATCGTCGGTTCCCAGGGCGCGGAGCACCACCACACGCACCCACACTCGCAGCAGCATGACGATAGATATGAAGACCATGAAACTGATACCCACTCCGAAAGTCGAGGCCTGCCGAGTGCCGTCTACCAGGCCCGGCTTGGGCGGGGTTTGCATCTGTCGAGGAACTGCCATCCTGTGTGGGGAGATCTGGTCGGAAAGGGACCAGGGCAGGCGCTGGTGGCAATCGGGACGTTGCTCGGGTACCAGGCAGGGACAGGGGTCAGTCGTGTGAAGAAGTCGAAGCAAAAAAATACAAAGAAAAAACCAGATGCACGAATGCCAACATAAGTAGTGGACTGGGCAGAGCTTAAGTCCCTTGGCCCCTGTCGGTTTCTTCTAACTCCCGATAGAGGATCATAGTCTCTATGGAAGATAGCGACCCCCTCCGTCTGGCCTAGGACGGCACTTCTTCTCTGCAGAGGAAGAATCCGCCCTATGAGATTTCTATTCTGAGTCGAGCAGCGGGGCCAAATGAGCTTGGAGACTTAAACAGGTGCAGGGTACAAGACGCCTTGGAAAGCGTCAGGCTAATCATCAAGAATGCCCACCATCCGCACTCTGTCCCCAATGATTCGGCCAGTAAGGATCAAACCACCGGGTCACGATAGGCACGGACATACTGTTCCTGGAAGGATGGTGGAGACGGTACCCTAGCTCACGGGCCGGACGGAGCGCGATGGTGGCGTTAGCTAGGCGTCAGACTAGCTGTCATCCTGGGAACACGACGATCGCGGTCGCGAAAAGTTGGATAGGTCTGTTGATCGGAGCTGTTACGGCTGATAGAGTACGAGTCACTAGTCGCATCGGCGCTGGTGGTGATTATAGCCCCCCTTCAAGGTGCCTTTGGGTTTCTATACTTGGTCTGGCCCCCCGGTAGCATCGTCACTAACCGGCGCTATTTGGTTCCGCGGTCTAGGCATGCAGGGTTCGCACGTAGGTGTCAATTTCCCACACCCCCTAGCTGGGAAATGGATGAAAATCTCTGCCATGATCTGGACGAGGTTGCAACGGTATTTGCACATCTTCTCGCGACCGTGGGGCCGCAACTTGGGGGGCCGAAACAAGGGGGGCTCGGTTGGGATTCACTTGGGGGCCTCTCTACTCCCACTGCCGATCGACCCATAGTCGAGCATTGACAGCTTGGGGTTTTGATACCAGACGATTCTCGCGCCAGTCGCCATGGTTTGAACTAATTGCCGGGCGGAGGGATCCAGGGTGACGATCTATAACCGCGCGATGGATGGGCAGTGGCTCCCAACGTCCATATATGCCCACCCGGGGTGGAACTGAATGAGTACCAACTGAGCTCGAACGACGGGGTACTTATTCCTGGCGGGCCACTTGAATGGCCTGGGACCAATCAATCTTGTGAAAGGACCGATGAAAAGGTTAAGAATATGGACGATCTCGACGATTTCTAACAGCATGAAAAATTTGCGAGTAGTTGCAAATATATCGAGAGTCAAAAACAGTATGCGGGGAAGAGTCTGCAAGTTAGCTGACTTGTTGGCCAATTGCTTGTCTCACAAATCAACAGATCTAACGGGGATATATAATGGATTGATGGTAATTGAAGACAGTATAGCATAAGCAGCAAGAAGGGAGTCAATCGGGAGTGTACAATGTTCGAAGGTCATCTGATGCTTTGAGTCGGGTGGGAAAACACGACCTCGATAGAGGCAGCGTGGGAATGCGTCATTCCATAATATATGCAGTGACTATGTAGATCAGCTACCATTCTTGCTTGCCCTGATGGACACACATACGTCGTGAAGCGAAAGGGGATTAGTCCTAGGAAATCCGCCAATCCTCGCGCGCAGTCGAATGCGGATAGGCGCAAGGGCTAGCTATTAGTAGTAGAAGCATCCCCTTGATGTGCCCTGTTACTAGGAGAGGGGCGAGGGAAACAGTCACAATAGCGATGTTTTCGATGGTTGTTAAAGCTATGAAAAGGGTGTGGATCGTTGGAAGATTGCAAACATGGAGTCAGATTAAAGAATAGTGTGGGGAAACACCACAAGTCGGCTGACACGTTGGCTGATTGCATTGTCTCACTCTTCACAGTTCCAATACAGCTTTCACCAAAGATTATACTAATTATATATATAGGAGTATTTATCGCAGTTAAATGGTTACTACACAATTAGAAATGTATCTTAAAGTCATAATTCGCTGAACAGAAGTAAGACCATAATAGAGGTCAAATCAAATATGTAGTTTGATATCTCGCGTATGCTTTCATCAATATCAAGCGAGGATTAGATATCAGTATGAGTTATTCAACTTTGTATTGACTTCCTCAACTCTTTGTCAATCAAAACCTGGAACTTTGATATATACTATCCTCAAGTCGCAGGCATGATCATTCAAAGGTTTGATTTAGCCAAAACGTGGCGAAGACTTTACGAATGAATTACAATGATGAATAACGATGGTATGGACGTTGTTGAACAGAGGAGCCACAGTAGATAATCAAATTGAAAGTATATTAACAGCAGAAGATATATATAATCTATATTACAGTTGACCGACAGCAGGACGGGTAAAAACCAGGATCCACTGGGAGCTCTGGCGCAGGTCCACTCGCACGCAAGCTTCCTCGCTCGCGGGCAGTCGCCCTCAGCGAACCGCATCCCGGCCTCGGAGTATTCTCGCTCGGAGAAACAGACATCGGCGGTTCACGAGCTGTGACGGTATAACAAGTTGTCTCAAGGCCGTGCCCACGCTCTGGACCGCCCCGGGCCTCCGACCAGAGACCGATGGGCCGTGGACGCGAAGGCTCGAACGCGCCAGTGGGGAACCCTCAGATGCAACGATCGGGGTAGGAAAAAGGGCGTCGTCGGGTATCGTCGCGCGCGCAACAGGGTGCCATTCCATTAGAACACAGGGGAAAGAAGCAATATAAAGATATAAAGAGAAGAAGAGAGAAAAGGAAAAAAAAAAAAAAAAAAATAGGAAAAGGAAAGAAGAAAAGGAAAAAAGAGGAAAAGGAAAGAAGAAAAGGAAAAAAGAGGAATGCACAATCGTGACTCGTCAGGTACGATCGCCGGCCCCAGCGTGACCCGGGACGACTCACGGTTCCCTGGGGTTCGCCTCGTCGTAGTTCCAGCGACGGCGGTTGTCCCGGATCCACCACTCGGCGATGTGGGCGCCCTCGGCGACCCAGTCGGCGGCGACATCGCCGTGCTTGCTCCGGACGACGGCGATGAGCGAGAGGACGTCGAAGTCCTTGATGGCGTTCAACTCCAGGGGGTCCGTACCGAAATCGCTGAAGCGCCACTTGGCGTCCTGGACGAGGGGCACGACGAGGTGGTAGGTCCGGAGTGGGGACCGGACGGAGAGCCAGGTGCCGCCCTGGTTCAGGGTGGTGAACTGCCACTGCTGCGTGCGGCCGACCTCGGGGGCCTGCTTGCGGAGCATGGACTGCCCCTCATACAAGGGGAGGAGATCGCCAACGATGTGGGCGGCGCGGTCGTTCAGGGACCCGGTTTCGAGGAGCATGTCCAGAATGGTGGGCAGGATCTGGTTGGATAGGACCGGGTCCTCGACCTCGACCTGCGGCAGCTTCGGGTGGGACAAGACCATGGGCACGTGCTCGTTGGCGATGTGCGGGCTGGCGTTGGGGGTGACACCGCCATCGTTGGGCAGCGACACGCCGTGGTCGCCCACAAAGATGAAGAGCGTCTCGTCGGCGACGTTGGCCTCCTCGAGCAGTCCGATGAGGTCGGTGATCCAGCCGTCCTGATAGGCCAGGGTGTTCAGGTAGCGGTTGATGTTGTTGTTGAGCGGGAACCAGGTGTTGCCGAGGAGCTCCTCGTAGTTCCAGCCCGGAACGGTCCAGGGCAGGTGGGTGGCGCCGGTGAGGTGACCGAGGAAGAGGCGCTTGTGGTTGGCCTCGGCGTCCTGGATGGCGGCGCGGACGTAGTTCTTCAGGGTCTTGTCCATGTAGCCGCGGTAGGGGACGTCCTCCGAGTCATCCGGGGCGAACTCGCCGCCGGCGGCCTTGATGGTCTCCTTGGTCATCATCTGCTGGAAGCCGAGGGCGGGGAAGAGCTGCGAGGCGTGGTCGTAGCCGCCGTTGACGGACATCATCCACAGGGACTCCCACGGCCACTGGCGGAAGTCGGGCGAGGCGGCGGTGATGTTGGGCTGCTGGTTGAGCAGGCCCAGCACGTGGGGCAGACAGGGCTGGTAGAAGTCGTACAGCCACTCGCGATTCATGGCGATGGTCAGGGCGGTCAGGCCGCACATGGTGCTGGTGAGACTCTTGAGGGTGAAGGTGCCGGTGGTGTGGGCGTTGCGCAGGGTGATGCCACCGCGCGGGGCGGGGCGGTTCGCGGACGTGCCGAAGCCGGTGTCGATCCCCGTCAGGCGCTCGGCGGTCGGGGTGAGGGAGGCGAGGCGGTTCATGATCGCCTCGGGGACCTCCCCGGGGGCGTAGGACTCCCGGACGCGATCCATGATGCGCGAGTCGGCCCGCAGGGGGAAGACGTCGTGGCGGTTGCTCTCCAGCTTCATGAGGATGACGTGCTTGATCTTGAGCTCGCCGCGACGGATGACGTCGCGCAGCGGCTCCAGGACATCGTTGTCCAAGTTGGAGGCCCGCAGCGGATCCTTGGCCGGGTTGTAATGCAGGGACGGGCGGTCCTTGGGGAGGCGCTCGCCCGCGTCGTTGACGGTGAAGGTGTACCAGTCCCCGAAGCCGCGCGGCGGCTGCTCCGGGAGCCAGTCAAAGGTCGGAGGGACGTCCAGCGCGGTGTGGTTACCCAGCCAGCTGTACTCGCCCGGCAGGTAGCCCAGGCCCTCGAAGATGGGGTGCGACCGGGCGGGCACGAAGGGGGCGGCGGGCAGGGGGTCGGAGAGATACTCGTAGGCCCGGTCGGTCGGGCGGATGATCCGGACGACGAGCACGGCCACGGTGACCAGGATGACGGCCAGCCGGGTCGCGACAGACCAGCCGGGGCGCGTGGTCTCGGGCTGGGCGGCGGCGGTCTCCCGCGGCGGGGTGGGCAGCAAGACAGACTCGTTATCGCTCCGGTCGCTCTTGTCATCCTCATAGTCGTTCATGGCGATCTGCTCATAGATGGCCGGGTCCGGCAGGGGTTCCTTCTTGCGGCGGCAGTGGCGGATCA